TGGAGGAGTGTCTCTGTGATGGAGTGTCTCTGTGGAGGAGTGTCTCTGTGGCGGAGTGTCTCTGTGGCGGAGTGTCTCTGTGATGGAGTGTCTCTGTGGCGGAGTGTCTCTGTGATGGAGTGTCTCTGTGGCGGAGTGTCTCTGTGATGGAGTGTCTCTGTGGCGGAGTGTCTCTGTGGAGGAGTGTCTTTGTGGCGGAGTGTCTCTCTGATGGAGTGTCTCTCTGATGGAGTGTCTCTGTGGCGGAGTGTCTCTGTGGTGGAGTGTCTCTGTGATGGAGTGTCTCTGTGGCGGAGTGTCTCTGTGGTGGAGTGTCTCTGTGGTGGAGTGTCTCTGTGGAGGTGTGTCTCTGTGGCGGAGTGTCTCTGTGATGGAGTGTCTCTGTGGCGGAGTGTCTCTGTGGCGGAGTGTCTCTGTGATGGAGTGTCTCTGTGATGGAGTGTCTCTGTGGCGGAGTGTCTCTGTGGCGGAATGTCTCTGTGGCGGAGTGTCTCTGTGATGGAGTGTCTCTGTGGCGGAGTGTCTCTGTGGAGGAGTGTCTCTGTGGCGGAGTGTCTCTGTGGTGGAGTGTCTCTGTGGTGGAGTGTCTCTGTGGTGGAGTGTCTCTCTGGTGGAGTGTCTCTCTGGTGGAGTGTCTCTGTGGTGGAGTGTCTCTCTGATGGAGTGTCTCTGTCGTGGAGTGTCTCTGTGATGGAGTGTCTCTGTGATGGAGTGTCTCTGTGGCGGAGTGTCTCTGTGGTGGAGTGTCTCTCTGGTGGAGTGTTTCTGTGGTGGAGTGTCTCTCTGATGGAGTGTCTCTGTGGTGGAGTGTCTCTGTGATGGAGTGTCTCTGTGGAGGAGTGTCTCTGTGGCGGAGTGTCTCTGTGATAAAGTGTCTCTGTGATGGAGTGTCTCTGTGTTGGAGTGTCTCTGTGGAGGAGTGTCTCTGTGGTGGAGTGTCTCTGTGATGGAGTGTCTCTGTGATGGAGTGTCTCTGTGATGGAGTGTCTCTGTGGAGGAGTGTCTCTGTGGCGGAGTGTCTCTGTGATGGAGTGTCTCTGTGGTGGAGTGTCTCTGTGGTGGATCACCTCACCGGGTCGCGCGCTCAGACGCCCGTTCACGCGGCTGCACCACAGGGCGCTCTCCTCCTGCTGGACGATGAAGTCCCCGTCCGACTGGAATAGCTCCATGGCGCCTCGCCGGCCCCGCTGCGCCGAGTCCCGCCCGGCTCCGAACGCTCCCCGCTCCGTCGTGACGTCACCGCGTACGACTACGTCGTGACGTCACCGCGTAGCTCCGTGAACTCGCGTTCCCGCCTTGCGCCGCAGCCTCCCAGCGCGTGACGCCCGCCTGCAACATCGCGCGGCGCTACGCGATGACGTCAATTACGCATGGGACGTCATCCGGTCTCGCGGCAATGAAAACAGCGCGATGACGTCATCAACAACATGAGCTCTAAGTGGCGGCATTCGTATAATGACGTCATGCCGTGTTTGTGGCGCTCAATTAAATGTCTTTTAAAATTAATTTCTATGGGAGGTACAACCGCAAACCGATATCTCGTATCGTTTATTTTTGTATGCGATCACCGATACTGATAAAGTCCAATCGTAAGACATATACAGATACACGTGAACGCCAAAGGCGTCGAATGCCCCGCCCCTCGTGGACATCTGTGAAGAAGCGCTTCCTCGCTTATCGGATTTCTTGTGAAGTCTCAACAAGACGCGCCCAGAAGCCGCAGGCAGAGAGAGCCCCACGCAGCCGGGCTGGCTGGCGACTCAATGAGCAGCAGGGGGCAGCGTCCACCATGCAGTGAACACCACCACCACCACAACCACCACCACCACGCAGTGACCACCACCACCACGCAGTGACCACCACCACCACGCAGTGAACACCACCACCACGCAGTGAACACCACCACGCAGTGGACACCACCACCACCACGCAGTGAACACCACCACCACCACGCAGTGAACACCACCACCACGCAGTGAACACCACCACCACGCAGTGAACACCACCACCACGCAGTGAACACCACCACCACGCAGTGAACACCACCACCACGCAGTGAACACCACCACCACGCAGTGAACACCACCACCACGCAGTGAACACCACCACCACGCAGTGAACACCACCACCACGCAGTGAACACCACCACCACGCAGTGAACACCACCACCACGCAGTGAACACCACCACCACGCAGTGAACACCACCACCACCACGCAGTGAACACCACCACCACCACGCAGTGAACACCACCACCACCACGCAGTGAACACCACCACCACCACGCAGTGAACACCACCACCACCACGCAGTGAACACCACCACCACGCAGTGAACACCACCACCACGCAGTGAACACCACCACCACGCAGTGAACACCACCACCACGCAGTGAACACCACCACCACGCAGTGAACACCACCACCACGCAGTGAACACCACCACCACGCAGTGAACACCACCACCACGCAGTGAACACCACCACCACGCAGTGAACACCACCACCACGCAGTGAACACCACCACGCAGTGAACACCGCCACCACGCAGTGAACACCACCACCACGCAGTGAACACCACCACCACGCAGTGAACACCACCACCACGCAGTGAACACCACCACCACCACGCAGTGAACACCGCCACCACGCAGTGAACACCACCACCACCACGCAGTGAACACCGCCACCACGCAGTGAACACCACCACCACCACGCAGTGAACACCGCCACCACGCAGTGAACACCACCACCACCACGTAGTGAACACCGCCACCACGCAGTGAACACCACCACCACCACGCAGTGAACACCGCCACCACGCAGTGAACACCGCCACCACGCAGTGAACACCACCACGCAGTGAACACCACCACACAGTGAACACCACCACCACCACGCAGTGAACACCACCACCACCACGCAGTGAACACCGCCACCACGCAGTGAACACCACCACGCAGTGAACACCACCACCCCACCACGCAGTGAACACCACCACCACCACGCAGTGAACACCGCCACCACGCAGTGAACACCCACCACGCAGTGAACACCACCAACACCACCACGCAGTGAACACCACCACCACCACGCAGTGAACACCGCCACCACGCAGTGAACACCACCACGCAGTGAACACCACCACCACCACCACGCAGTGAACACCACCACCACCACGCAGTGAACACCGCCACCACGCAGTGAACACCACCACGCAGTGAACACCACCACGCAGTGAACACCACCACCACGCAGTGAACACCACCACCACGCAGTGAACACCACCACCACGCAGTGAACACCACCACGCAGTGAACACCACCACCACGCAGTGAACACCACCACCACGCAGTGAACACCACCACCACGCAGTGAACACCACCACCACGCAGTGAACACCACCACCACGCAGTGAACACCACCACCACGCAGTGAACACCACCACGCAGTGAACACCACCACCACGCAGTGAACACCGCCACCACGCAGTGAACACCACCACCACGCAGTGAACACCACCACGCAGTGAACACCACCGCCACCACCACCACGCCTCACAGTAAAGTAATCTTCTTCTTGGTTCTTTCGGTAAAGTCACGTAGAAGGGAAGTAATAAAATAATAAAAATAAAACATAATAAAATAATTCTCACGACGTTTCGGCCACAACGCAAGCAGCCGTCCTCAGGTGAAAACCAGGTCCGTCGAGGCGACAGAGTCTGAATGACGGACCTGGTTTTCACCTGAGGACGGCTGCTTGCGTTGTGGCCGAAACGTCGTGAGAATTATTTTATTATGTTTTATTTTTATTATTTTATTACTTCCCTTCTATGTGACTTTACCGAAAGAACCAAGAAGATGAATCCCTGCAGTCACGAAAGCTTTAAATCGTAAAGTAATCTTGTTCTCAGATAAACACAAATATACTTGTGAGAATCCATTGGTCAGCCGTGACACACTCAACAGTGAAGACCGTGCGTCTCAAGGGTTGGCTTTGAGATGTCCCCGATGACTGATTGTGTTTGCTTTGTTAGATTACTTTTAGTTCCATGTTATGCTCCTAAGACTGCAGTCACGGGGTTTTTTGTTTTCGACCGGTTCCCTATTTCTGTACCTCGCGAAACGCGAACCGAGACTCGCTGCTGAGTACCGCGCCCTGTGTACCCGCGATTGCCACTTAAATCGGGCCCCTTCCTACCGAAATCAAATCTCAATTTGTGTACGAAGGACCCCATTAACGGTGACCCCATTAACGGTGACCCACTTGACGGTGATCCCATTGATGGTGACCCCATTAACGGTGACCCCCTTGACAGTGAACCCATTGACGGTGACCCCATTGACGGTGACCCCATTGATGGTGACCCCATTAACGGTGACCCCTTGACGGTGACCCCATTGATGGTGACCCCATTAACGGTGACCCCCTTGACGGTGATCCCATTGATGGTGATCCCATTGATGGTGACCCCATTAACGGTGACCCCCTTGACGGTGATCCCATTGATGGTGACCCCATTAACGGTGACCCCCTTGACAGTGATCCCATTGACGGTGACCCCATTGACGGTGACCCCATTGATGGTGACCCAATTAACGGTGACCCCATTGATGGTGACCCCATTAACGGTGACCCCCTTGACGGTGATCCCATTAACGGTGACCCCCTTGACGGTGATCCCATTGACGGTGACCCCATTAACGGTGACCCCCTTGACGGTGATCCCATTGACGGTGACCCCATTGATGGTGACCCCATTAACGATGACCCCATTGACGGTGACCCCATTGACGGTGATCCCTTTGACCCCTTTGACGGTGACCCCATTAACGGTGACCCCCTTGCCGGTGTCCGCCCTCGCCACCTCTATCGGCGCTCCGCTCGACCTCGCGAGGAATGGATCGACGCGGGGATTGCGGCAGGAATGGATCCGCCCTCGACATTCACGATCCGGGGCCCCGTGAGGCGAGGCGGTGCCCGCGCCCCCCACGTTCCGGGGCGCGCGTTGTTGTTGTTCAGCCCCCACGTGGCACGCCGTCTCCTCCTCCCCGACGGCGTCTCCCGCCCCAGCCATGAGGGTGGTCGTGGGAGGCGGCTCTGGCTTCGTGGGCTCTGCGCTGTGCCGCCTGCTCGGCAGCCGCGGCCACACCGTGACGCTGGTGTCGCGCTCGCCCGGCTCGGGGCGCGTCACCTGGGGGCAGCTGGAGGCGCGGGGGCTGCCGCCGTGCGACGCGGCGCTCAACCTGGCCGGGCTGCCCGCCCTCGGGGACCCGCGGCGCCGCTGGAGCCCCGAGCTGAGCGCCGAGCTGCGCGGCAGCCGCGTGGAGACGACGGCGGCGCTCGCCCGGGCCGTGTGGGCGGCGCGCCCGCGGCCTCGCACCTGGCTGCTCGTCACCGGGGTGGGCTACTACCGGCCGAGCCGCACCGCGCGCTACACCGAGGACAGCCCCGGCGGGGACTCGGACTTGTGGGCGCGGCTCGTGGCCGCGTGGGAGGCCGCGGCGACGCTCCCCGAGAGCCCGGGGGGCCCGCAGGCGAGCCCCGTCCGACACGTGGTGGTGCGGCCGGGCGTGGTGCTGGGCAAGGGCGGCGGCATCGTGAGCCGCGTGTCGTGGCCCTTCCGGCTGGGGCTGGGCGGCCCGATGGGGAGCGGCACGCAGCCCTTCCCGTGGGTCCACGTGGACGACCTGGCGGGCATCGTGGCGCACGCCCTGGAGACGCCCTCGGTGTGCGGCGTGCTCAACGCCGTGGCGCCCGGCGCCGTCACCAACGCCGACTTCGCGCGGGAGCTGGGCCGGGCCCTGCGCCGCCCGGCGCTGCTGCCGATGCCCTCGTGGCTCGTGAACGCGGCGCTGGGCCGCGAGCGCGGCCTCCTGCTGCTGCGGGGGCAGCGAGTGAGCCCCCAGAGGACCCTGGCGAGCGGGTACCGCTTCAAGTTCCCCGAGCTCGCCGCGGCGCTACAGGAGGTTGTGTCGTGAAGCCCGCGGCTCCCTCGCCTCGGCTGCCTTCTCCAGCACGCTGCGCCCTCGCTATGCTCACTACACGTGCACACCACGTCCACACCACACTCCACGTCCACGCCACGTCTACACCACACTCCACGTGCACACCACACATCACGTCTACTCCACAGTCCACGCCACGTCTACACCACACTCCACGTCCACACCACACTCCACGTCTACACCACACTCCACGTCCACGCCACGTCTACACCACACACCACGTCTACACCACACACCACGTGGACACCACGTCTACACGTGGACATTTGCGTTGCGTATTCCTCCAGAAAAAATCGGGCCTCCGTGAGTCCTGCTTAAGTGTTTTCCTTGGCTGTAGAAGGGGTCCGTGTAAAAACAACAAGATCTCGTTCAACTGACGTGTTTATTGAAGCGTCAAGCTGCGTCTGTGTCTACCTTAAGTGTCATCATGCTTCTGGGTTGCCAGGTGTTAATGCATCCACCTACAATGTGCATAGCGCAGATGTCAAAGAACCGGGGTTGGTAACATTGCAAATCTGAAAGATTGCATTTTCTTGCTGTAAGGGACCCAAAGTTTGACCAATTATTTTCTTTCAACATCGCCATGACATGGTCTGCGTGGAGATTGTCTGTCTCTGGGTGGTGGTTGGCTCGGTGTAAACATTGGCGATAGAGGCATCCCACAACACAAACCTCGCCCTGCAGACCACTGGGATTCCGTGGCATCTGCGTCGGTTGTGCGATGTGTTGGGGACATGGCTACAAGGACAAACGCCACACTGTGTGGCAGATGAGGGTGATGTAATACGCATTGTCACGTGTGCAGTTCATCGTAATGTGTGTGACAGACGACGGAATTTGGACGTGGATAAAAGTCTTTACTTACTGGGGTGTGGTTTGTTTGGTTTGATGGTGATAATTTAAATAGTTGGTAAAGGGTAATTGAAGCTATTGCACAACATCGATCGTGGTTTTGTGTTGTCGTCAAGTCGCTCGAGGACTGGGCAGTCGGGAAATCGTTCAGACCCCTCGGGTCTGATGCCAGTTGTGATGTGCGAGTCGTCAACCTCTCGGCTTGTGACTAGCAGAACAGTTCTCATGGATTTAAAGTTCGTGAACTGACCTAAAGGGTATAAAACTGCTGCACTGCTGTAAAATCTGTAAATAAATAGTTTTTGCATTAATTAGTTATATTTGTGTGGGGTTGGCCCGATAACCACCTTCAAAATTGATGACTGGCTCCTAAAATCGGTAGACGGTAATCGATTCCAATTAAGCGAGGAATTAATGCCCCGATTGGCACCCCCACGTACAGCAACTGCATGTCGCGGCAAAAGTGCAGCTCTGCCATTGCTTCTTCACGGCACTTTGCGAAATGTCCTTCCGCTCGAGGATATGCGGTCTGCACATTGCTGGACGCCGTCTTGGGGCGGCGGTGGGTGTCGCCACACTCGACCCCACCACACTCGACCCCACCACACTTGACCCCACCACACTTGACCCCACCACACTTGACCCCACCACACTTGACCCCACCACACTCGACCCCACCACACTCGACCCCACCACACTTGACCCCACCACACTCGACCCCACCACACTTCGACCCCACCACACTCGACCCCACCACACTTGACCCCACCACACTTGACCCCACCACACTTGACCCCCACCACACTTCGACCCCACCACACTCGACCCCACCACACTCGACCCCACCACACTTGACCCCACCACACTTGACCCCACCACACTCGACCCACCACACTCGACCCCCACCACACTCGACCCCACCACACTTGACCCCACCACACTTGACCCCACCCACACTTGACCCCACCACACTTGACCCCACCACCACTGGCCCCACCACACTCGACCCCCACCCACAACTCGAACCCCACGCTACACTCTGACCCCACCACACTTGACCCCACCACACTCGACCCCACCACTACTAACCCCGACCACCTTGACCCACACCTCGAACACCCACCACACACTTGACCCACCACACTCGACCCCACCACACTCGACCCCACCACACTTGACCCCACCACACTCGACCCCCACCACACTTGACCCCACCACACTCGACCCCACCACACTCGACCCCACCACACTTGACCCCACCACACTCGACCCCACCACACTCGACCCCACCACACTCGACCCCACCACACTTGACCCCACCACACTCGACCCCACCACACTTGACCCCACCACACTCGACCCCACCACACTTGACCCCACCACACTTGACCCCACCACACTCGACCCCACCACACTCGACCCCACCACACTTGACCCCACCACACTCGACCCCACCACACTCGACCCCACCACACTCGACCCCACCACACTTGACCCCACCACACTCGACCCCACCACACTCGACCCCACCACACTTGACCCCACCACACTCGACCCCACCACACTTGACCCCACCACACTTGACCCCACCACACTTGACCCCACCACACTTGACCCCACCACACTTGACCCCACCACACTCGACCCCACCACACTTGACCCCACCACACTCGACCCCACCACACTTGACCCCACCACACGGAATCGGCAGATTGTGGGGTGGATCTGAGAACCGTGTCCGATTGCTTCAACAACCGCGCACCTTGGCAGATGGAAGTGGCGTGTGCTGCGCCTTCACTGCTCGAGTTAAAACAAGTCAACTTGCCACATCTGCTGCAGTGGGGGCTGCCCTTTGTCGAGACTTGCCACCGTGATGATTGTAGTAATATTGCCTCAAGCATTTTGGTCGTCGTAAATCCGCCCAACCACGACCCAAGCTCAATGCGGTTACCGGTAAACGCACAAAAATGTATAAACCATCCAACTTTTATAACCACGAATAGAATCTGGCACGGGCTCCATAGCCCCGTGTCGTTGGTTGGACGTTCCATCGACTTCACTTCGGCGAGCTGGAGGAGCGTCTCCCCCAGCTCGCGCGGTGGCTGATGAGCGGTGAGGGTGGACGCGCCTGACCAGGGGTCAACAACCACCACCACATTCACCACCACATTCACCACCACATTCACCACCAGCACATTCACCACCACATTCACCACCACCACCACATTCACCACCAGCACATTCACCACCACCACATTCACCACCAGGACAACTCGTGGTTATTCTGCGTTGTGTAATACTGCAGTGTACACCCACAGCACCGGCTCAAGCGAGCCTGGCTCTGCTGATGAGACGGTGGATGACGAACCCGCCCAGAGTTTGTGTCGAGCCAATGCTGCTGGAGGAGGGGTGCGCACTTGGGAGGCCTCGCGGCTGACGGGATGTGTCGAGGGGAGGCGGTGGTGTGGCAGGGGAGGCGGTGGTGTGGCAGGGGAGGCGGTGGTGTGGCTGGGGAGGGGCGGTGGTGGTGTGGCAGGGGAGGCGGTGGTGTGGCAGGGGAGGCGGTGGTGTGGCAGGGGAGGGGCGGTGGTGGTGTGGCAGGGGAGGCGGTGGTGTGGCAGGGGAGGCGGTGGTGTGGCAGGGGAGGCGGTGGTGTGGCAGGGGAGGCGGTGGTGTGGCAGGGGAGGGGCGGTGGTGGTGTGGCAGGGGAGGCGGTAGTGTGGCAGGGGAGGCGGTGGTGTGGCAGGGGAGGCGGTGGTGTGGCAGGGGAGGGGCGGTGGTGGTGTGGCAGGGGAGGCGGTGGTGTGGCAGGGGAGGCGGTGGTGTGGCAGGGGAGGCGGTGGTGTGGCAGGGGAGGGGCGGTGGTGGTGTGGCAGGGGAGGCGGTGGTGTGGCAGGGGAGGCGGTGGTGTGGCAGGGGAGGCGGTAGGTGTGGCAGGGGAGGCGGTGGTGTGGCAGGGGAGGCGGTGGTGTGGCAGGGGAGGGGCGGTGGTGGTGTGGCAGGGGAGGCGGTGGTGTGGCAGGGGAGGCGGTGGTGTGGCAGGGGAGGGCGGGTGGTGTGGCAGGGGAGGGCGGTGGTGTGTGGCAGGGGAGGCGGTGGTGTGGCAGGGGAGGCGGTGGTGTGGCAGGGGAGGCGGTGGTGTGGCAGGGAAGGCGGTGGTGTGGCAGGGGAGGGGCGGTGGTGGTGTGGCAGGGGAGGCGGTGGTGTGGCAGGGGAGGCGGTGTGTGGCTGGGGAGGGGCGGTGGTGTGGCAGAGGAGGGGCGGTGGTGGTGTGGCAGGGGAGGCGGTGGTGTGGCAGGGGAGGCGGTGGTGTGGCAGGGGAGGGGGCGGTGGTGTGTGTCGAGGGGAGGCGGTGGTGTGGCAGGGGAGGCGGTGGTGTGGCTGGGGAGGGGCGGTGGTGTGGCAGGGGAGGGGCGGTGGTGGTGTGGCAGAGGAGGCGGTGGTGTGGCAGGGGAGGCGGTGGTGTGGCAGGGAGGGGCGGTGGTGGTGTGGCAGGGGAGGCGGTGGTGTGGCAGGGGAGGCGGTGGTGTGGCAGGGGAGGGGCGGTGGTGGTGTGGCAGGGGAGGCGGTGGTGTGGCAGGGGAGGGGGCGGTGGTGGTGTGTCGAGGGGAGGCGGTGGTGTGGCAGGGGAGGCGGTGGTGTGGCTGGGGAGGGGCGGTGGTGTGGCAGGGGAGGGGCGGTGGTGGTGTGGCAGAGGAGGCGGTGGTGTGGCAGGGGAGGCGGTGGTGTGGCAGGGGAGGGGCGGTGGTGGTGTGGCAGGGGAGGCGGTGGTGTGGCAGGGGAGGCGGTGGTGTGGCAGGGGAGGGGCGGTGGTGGTGTGGCAGGGGAGGCGGTGGTGTGGCAGGGGAGGGGGCGGTGGTGGTGTGGCAGGGGAGGCGGTGGTGTGGCAGGGGAGGGGGCGGTGGTGGTGTGGCAGTGCCCGTGGGGAGTTCCCGCAGGGGGCGAGGGAGGGGCCAGGGGAGGGGGCGAGGGAGGGGGGAGGGGCCACGTGACGGCCCCGCCGTGATGCGGTTCCGGGTGAGCGAGGAGCGCGTGGTGGTGAGTGAGTGAGTGAGGGGTGGTGGTGGTGAGTGAGTGAGGGGTGGTGGTGGTGAGTGAGTGAGGGGTGGTGGTGGTGAGTGAGTGAGGGGTGGTGGTGGTGAGTGAGTGAGGAGTGGTGGTGACGGTGATGGCGCCGCGGAATGCCGCCGCCGCGCTGCCGCTGTTCGTGGCCGCGGGCTCCGCGTCGCTGCTTCTGGGACTCGCGGCGTGCGGGAGCCTCGCGCGGTTCCTCTACGCGGGGCCCCCCAACATCAACAACAACATCAACAACAACAACATCATCAACAACAACATCAACAACCCCAGCGCGGGTGAGAAGAGTGGGGGGGGGGGGGTGCTCTGGTCCATGTTTGACTGTGTGGTGAGTGGAGGGATGCGGTGGTGGTGAGTTTCTTTACTTGCTGTGTGCTGGTAAGTGGTTCGTTTCTGTGGTGTGCGTGGAGTGGTGAGTTGCTGTGGTGTGTGCTGGTGAATAGCTGTGGTGTGTGTATGGTGTGTGTGGTGTGTGTATGGTGTGTGTGGTGAGTGGTGTGTGGTGAGTGGTGTGTGTGTGGTGAGTTGTTGTGGTGTGTGTGGTGAGTGGTGTGTTGCTCTGGTGTGTGTGTGGTGTGTGTGGTGAGTGGTGTGTGTGGTGAGTGGTGTGTGGCGAGTTGCTCTGGTGTGTGTGTGGTGAGTGGTGTGTGTGTGGTGAGTGGTGTGTGTGTGTGGTGAGTGGTGTGTGTGTGGTGAGTAGCTGTGGTGAGTAGCTGTGGTGAGTGGTGTGGTGAGTGGTTTGTGTGTGGTGAGTATCTGTGGTGTGTGTGATGAGTGGTGTGTGGTCAGTAGCTGTGGTGTGTGTGGTGAGTAGCTGTGGTGTGTGTGGTGAGTGGTGTGTGGTGAGTTGCTCTGGTGTGTGTGTGGTGAGTGGTGTGTGGTGAGTTGCTCTGGTGTGTGTGTGGTGAGTGGTGTGTGGTGAGTTGCTCTGGTGTGTGTGTGTGGTGAGTGGTGTTTGTGGTGAGTAGCTGTGGTGAGTGGTGTGTGTGTGGTGAGTAGCTGTGGTGTGTGTGGTGAGTGGTGTGTGGTGAGTAGCTGTGGTGTGTGTGGTGAGTGGTGTGTGGTGAGTTGCTCTGGTGTGTGTGTGGTGAGTGGTGTGTGTGGTGAGTAGCTGTGGTGAGTGGTGTGTGGTGAGTAGCTGTGGTGAGTGGTGTGTGGTGAGTAGCTGTGGTGTGTGTGGTGAGTAGCTCTGGTGTGTGTGTGGTATGTGTGTGGTGTGTGTGTGGTGTGTGTGTGTGGTGAGTAGCTGTGGTGAGTAGCAGTGGTGAGTGGTGAGTTGCTACGCTGCGTTCTGGTGTCTTGCTTGACTGGCTGCCGCAAGCCGCAGCGGAGCCCCGGGGGCAGCACCACGTGGGTGTCTGAGTTGCGATGCAAGTTGGGGGCGATGTCGGCTCGGCCACCGCAGCACTTGGCAGCTGTGGGCAGCTGTGGGCACTGATGCTGGACACGGGGTTCTCCCTTGGGCTTCCAAAATCAAAGTGGACCTCAGTGGTTACGACTAGTGCAGCAGACCCAGCAGCCAGCCGCAAGAGAATGTGGAGTGAGCTGAGGGATGTTTGTGCTGAGCAATTTGTGTTTACACAGCAGTCTGTGAGGAAGAGATGGGGAGCTGCGACGTTGATGGGTTTTTAATGGACTTCACGAACTGCTATAACTAAGAAACTTGAGAAAGGTGTTGGAATTTAAATACAGGTGTACGCAGAACACGAGATAAGGTTGTGAATGTTCTTCATCCAACATGTGTCATGATCGTCAAGAGCAGGTCGAGGTGGGTGTCAGGGACGCGTGCGCAATGAAGGGGCGCCGAGAAGCCGGCGCGGAGCCAGAGGACGGGAGCGAGCGGCGACTTGCGGCTCGCGTGTGGCGGTGTTGGTGTGGAGCGTCTCTCTGTGCCGTGTTGGTGTGCAGCGTCTCTCTCTCTGTGCCGTGTCGGTGTGGAGCGTCTCTCTCTGTGTGCCGTGTTGGTGTGGAGCGTCTCTTTGTGCCGTGTCGGTGTGGAGCGTCTCTCTCTCTGTGCCGTGTTGGTGTGGAGCGTCTCTCTGTCTGTGCCGTGTCGGTGTGGAGCGTCTCTCTCTGTGTGCCGTGTCGGTGTAGAGCGTCTCTCTCTCTGTGCCGTGTTGGTGTGGAGCGTCTCTCTATCTGTGCCGTGTCGGTGTGGAGCGTCTCTCTCTGTGTGCCGTGTCGGTGTGGAGCGTCTCTCTCTGTGTGCCGTGTCGGTGTGGAGCGTCTCTCTCTCTCTGTGTGCCGCAGACGGCGACGTGGACGCCCTGCGCTGGCGAGATGTTCGCTGGGGGCTTGACTCGCTCTGGCCTCTGCTCTTCGACCTGGGCCTCGCCGCCTGCTTTCTGCTGCTGCACCGCGCCATGGCGTCACCGTGGGCCCAGCGCGTCCTCGCGGCCACCTGCGGCGTGTGCCGGCGCGCCGTGCACGTCATCTACACGGCCGTCACGGTGCAGGTGAAGCCAGAAGCTGGGTGACAGCACCGCCACTAATACACAGTGGTAACACCGTCAACTCGCTGACAGCACCGCCACTCATACCTCACGGCTGCCTCTCGTACTCCCACGCTGTCTATCCCTGATTTAATCGTGTGGGACTTCCAATATGTACGGCCTGCAGGTGGCCAGTGCATTACAGTACAGCGAGCGGATTGCTAACCCTCCTGCACATCTTTAGTGCGGAGCCGTTTCCTCTCCTGTAAGATAACGAGGGTTGTGGTCATACATCGGCGGCAGGACCCTCTGGGAGTGGTTGCGAGCGCGAGGCGAGCGTGGCCGTGCGTGGCCATGCGTGCGTGTGTGCGTCTCCGACCGTGCCCCCGCAGCTGCTCATCCACCTGTGGGAGCCGGGGAGGGCCTTGCCCCCGCTGTGGAGCGTGCGCGGCGAGCTGGCGCACAGCACGTGCTTCCTGGTGCACGTGCTCAGCTGGCTCGTAATGCTGAGCATCGCCATCATCTTCGACTTCCCCGAGCTGATGGGAATCAAGCAGGTGCCCGCCTCGCCACGCACACCAGTGTCTCGCGCAGTAACAATCCCCGCTCGCAGTCACAGCCAGCACACAGCCAGCACACGTGGCAACACAACACTTACACACACGCTCCCCTATGCACGTGGAGCCACACCCTGGACACATACCATACACACACACGCGTACCCTGCACAAATACGATATACAGGCACACCCGGCACGCACTCACCCGGCACGCACACACACCCTGCACACACACACACCCTGCACACACACACACCCTGGACACAAGTTATAAACTATGCCGGTGATACATTGCTCACAGTTCAGACGTTGCTCAAATCAGCAGCTGTGTACAAAACCTTCAATTGGTGAATGGGGATTTGAGAGGCTGTGTTTTACCGGGCCCAGACACTGCGAGTGACGGTGTCGGCGCTAACCGAGTCCACGTGCGCATGGCTGCGCCTCCTCTCCCGGCGCTGCCCACAGATGTACTATGAGGTGATGGGGCTGGGCGAGCCAATGCTGCTCAAGTCTCGGCGCGCCCAGCGCCTCTACGGGCACATGCGCGTGCCCGTGTTCGTGGAGGCGCTGCTCGTGCTGTGGGTGGTGCCGCGCATGAGCGCCGAGCGGGCGCTGCTCTCACTCCTCGCGTCCGCGTACCTGGCCACCGTGCACCGCCTGGACGGCTGTGACTACGAGTACCTGCGCGGGCAGCTCGCCAGGAAGTTCGAGGTGTTCCGTCACGAGGAGCGGCGCCTGGGCCGACTCGGGGACGGAGAGGGAGACTCCGGCTGACAGTACCTCCTCCCACCCTCGCGCTCACCCACGCAGCCCCCCCCCCCCCCCGCCTCATTTATCCACAGCCCTCCGCATTCACCCGCACTCCTCGCTCGCGACACGGGCTCTACCATCACACCGGCGTCTCCACGCAGCTCCGCCGCCTCCACTGCCAGCGTCTGCACGAGTGTCTCCCCCAAAACAACCTCAAAGTAGCAACCTCCGGCTCATGTGAACATTGAGGGGGTGCTCATCTCGTCACAGCATGGAGCCATTGGTGGAAATATCACATTCTTATGACTCCAGGAACAAGTATATCCACAGAACACCCACTGTTGACTTCCCAACTCATTTTATCGACTCGCAAATCTGATTGCGAGCCGCTCTGCCTACCACTGAGCCACCCAGGGAATCACAGGAGTATGAGGCGATTAGTGACCTTGGGCCCCAGGGTTTGAGTGGAGAATGATTGCAGATGAGTGGAGAGGGAGCGCTGTGTGCCGGCCCCAAAGCAGCCTGGCCATTCAGCGCTGCGCTTGCGGTTTTAAACTCGTGTGTGGGGTGGGTGCAATGTGTGGGCCCATGTGCTCCGTGCAGCAGCTGCATGTTCAAGTGTTAGCGATGATTTCCAGAGTTAGAGTTCTGCGTTATCAGAAATAACTGGTGTCGGTTTTGTATTTTGGTATAAACGTCCAACACTAATAAGTGTGTTGGCGTGGGTTAGGTATTTAATATGCATGTGTCAATGCTATTTACACAGTGGGAAGCAATGAGCTGGAGTTCAGAGAAGGGACATTTGCTATTGAACGAGGGGACGAGGCGGCTTGCATGGGGAGGAATCGAGTGGTCACCGATGGCTTTTGTGGCTGATATTTTGTTACATGTATCTATAGTCGGCAGCTTTTTAACTAATTCATTAATTTTAACGTAGCACTCTTTTAAATATCATAACTGCTAATTTTATATAAACTTTGAGTTTGCAATTCTTGGTACGCATACTGTTTTCAATTACGCGCAATTTTCAGTTTAAAAACACGACTGCACAGTTTGCCACGAGTTAACTGCACAGTTAACTGCAGAGTTAACTGCAGAGTTAACTCGTGTCAATGTCGCAATGTTCCTCGTCTCTCTCAGGTTCCCGCGCCCATCGCGTCCTTTCCTCTCGCCTCTTCGCTGCCAAATCCTTCTTGTCGCTCACTTACCGTTTTTGGCACAGCCCGCTGCGTCACCTTGCCCACCCGCCTTGCATTCTCACCCTTGCGGCGCGGTTGCCATCGGAGGCTGCCGTCCGATCTCTGCCCCATCTAACGCTTTCAAGAAGTGGTTCGTGGAAGTTATGTCGAAGCTGTGGGACATCCTGGATCTATGTAACTCTTCGGAAACAAGCGAGAGACCTCTTTCCGATGAGAGAGCGATGCATAACGTGGCTGAAGAAGTCATCAACTTGGAAGTGAAGGGGCGGGAACTGATGTTGTCGTCAGACGGCAGTGCAGCAACATGCATTATGATGCACCAAGCTTGGACGTCTCTCCTCCACTGCCTTCACTCGGCCACACTTACGGGCATGGTCAAGTGTGGTCAAATAACCGACGTGTGGGGAGGCCCTCATCCTGCAGTGGATTACAAAGAGGTCTGTACATGCATATTAGAGCTCAGCATTTACAAGTCAAGTCCAGAATCCAGATGGAATTCTCCCCCGAGGCAGCGTGGTATCGTGGGATTTGTGGAGTTGACTGCAGCTTCTAGGATAGCAGTCGCACTCATCCCCGCAGCAGCACTGCGAGGATCAGAATCTCCCCAAACGAGTCTCGTGAGCCAGGGGATCCCCCCCCCTGTGTGTAGAGAACAACATTGTCACCATCCTCACGTTAAGCATGGACTGTGAAACAAGCCGAGTGTAGAATAGTACAGACTAAAGCTTTATTGGAAAAGAAATAGTTAAAATGATTTTGAACTGCTAATTTGTCAAAGTAAGGCAATGTGCATATATCTAAAGAGGAACACAATGTTGCATAAACACAAAAAGATAAGAGGGGTATTCAACAGAAGTACAATGCCACAACAGCGTTTGCGAATGCCCCCAGCTCCACATTCCGTCATGACCACAGCTGCCGAGGATTCAGATCCTAACAGTTCAGAACAGCGCAAAATTGAACAGGAATTGTACAAAGACATACGACACATCTGCAATCCCACGCAACTCCAAACTACGTCAGCCGTGTGCATCTACAAGGTAACCGTACGATCGTGTGAATTTAGAGCGGGGGAAAGAGCCCACGGGTACGCCTTAGACCCCACCATCAGCACGGCCCAAACTTGTCACTCGCGAACGCGACGGAAATTCTCACAGCCAGTGACTTGCCCAGTTTCTCCAAAGATCCAAAATATTGGCTGCACGAATGTACTTACCAAATAAAGGTGACACCCTTGAATATCGTGGGTTCATTGTTCACGATTTCCACTTATCACGGGCAACCTCTGCACCAATTTAGCTATCGTGGGGGTTCGTTTTGGCATTTTGCGGGTACACTATACCCGGAAGTACTGTGTCATTGGCTGATAGCGTGGTGCGGGGCAGGCGAGGGATGCGAGGCAGTCAGTAGCACCTCAACTTTTGCCGCCCAACCATCTCGTGGAGAAACAAAGATGAAGACCCCTGATATAGCCTATTAACAGACTTGGGGCAAGTGCTGTTTGCAAGCACCTATGAAGGCCGGCACGCCACACGAGGGTGTGGGTGGCCAGAACCACGATCAGCCGCCTGTGTCTCCCCAGTGGAAATATGTACACACCACATCAGGTACTAATTTCAGGCTGAATCGACCTAGGGGAGGCCCAGAACCCATTCAGATAATCGTCATTGATGTTGGGCGTGTCCGAGAATCGAATTCGGGTCGCTGGATTCGTAGCACAGCTCGCAAACCATAGCACTACCACTCCCCACTCACGGACAAACACACACACACACCCGCTGTGGATCATCATCGGTAAGTACAGTATTCAGTATTTATACTACAAGGAATGTTTTTTAAATTTAGTTTTTACGTGTTATTTCAATTACTTAATTTTTAGTTAACTGGGCATAAAGTACAGTTTTCATTTCAATTGTGATGCGTCTATTTTTGGTTTCCGTGTACCTAACTCCATTATTTAGGTAAGGCTTAAGTATTGAATATCGCGGTTTCGGCTTTTGCGGAACTTTACAAGAATGTAACCTCCGTGATATTCAAAAGTCTCCTGTATATTTTGAAGTAATTGGGGTAAAATTTTCATGCTTTCGATAACTTATTTGGGATTATGTTATTGAACTAAATCACCGGCATGGCGAGTGCATGCTATGACCAGTGGCCACCGCGTACACGCACCCTTCACCATGCGCGTGCAAAACGGGCCGTCAGCCCTCGAAGATCTGGGCCTTGAGCTCCAGGTGCTCCAGGATGGCCTGGACCTCACGGATGGCCTGCTTGCGAGCCTGCCGCACTTCCTCATGCCCGCCCGTGTCCACCGTGTCCAGCTTGAGCACCTCCTTGGTCAGCATCTCCTCAAGTACCAGGTAGGCCTTGTCCGAGCGCCGGCCCTCGAAGGCGCGCACTTCAACCTCCAGGCTGCGCACCACCGCCATGATGGAATTCACCTCGCGCACGCCAGGCAGCGCCTCGGCACGCTGCTGGGCCGCGCGCTGCCGAGCGTCGGGCGGGATGAGCACGGGCTGGGCGCTACGCGAGGGCCCACTCCATGTCGCCGGGGCGGCAGCGGCGTCCCCGTCATCGGGCCGGCGGATGTGCCGGGCTGCTCGGTGTAGCTCGGAGCCCTCGCCGACTCCGTTCCTGCCGGGCTGCGGACGGCACAAGGCAACTGAACCTCCGGGCTAAGACAGCCTGCGGATCCATGTGAAACCGCGGTGAGCTGTTCGTCACGGTGGATCTTCGCCAGGAAAAATCTCAAGGCGGCTCCACCGACCGTGCACCACCATGACGTCACCTTACAGATGATTCTTTTAGAAAATAAACCCGCGACAATTCGTGACGCTTCACGATGGTACGCTATTACACAATTGCCGTAAGCTGGAGGCGACCTTTTAAAAAAGGTGACAACTTAGCGCAGCCCGAACCTCCGCCGACCTTGACGTCATCGTGGCATAAAGAAGGGCGCCAACCGACCGGCGCGAACGCGCACTCACCACGTGGCACGCCTGGGCCTGGGCAGCTCCTGCCACCTGCGAAGAAGGGGCGACGTGCGGCCGAGGGACGTGTGAGGCGGCGTGCGCATGCGACAAAGACTGCTGCGCCCCGGGCTGGGTGGTGTAGGGCGCCGCGCTGTGGGGATAAGGGTGGTAGGGAGACGGTTGAGCCGGTGCGAGGTGCGGGGTTGGGCCCACGCCGGGCACAGGCGCAGGCTGGGGACCCGCGTGGTAACCCATGGAGTACGGCGGTTGGTTCGCGTGGTTCGTGGCGTTTTGTCCGTGGACCGCGGGGCCGGCGGGGTAGGGGGCCGTGTGCTGTGCGTGGACCGCGGGGCCGGCGGGGTAGGGGGTGGAGTTGTGGTTAAGAGGCGGCTGGTGGAAGGCCGCTTGGTGTTGCGGGTATGAAACTCCGTTGTAGAAGGCTCCCTGTTGCCCAGCGAGGCTGTGATTGTCTACCATGGAAACCTGAAATGAAGCAAACAGAAACAGAGAATGTATTACAACTCGGACTAAATATTGTATTTGTGATTAGCATCATTCATGCAAATTGCATCTCAAAAAGGTTGTAGAATTTGCACAGCACTTGGCGGCACCGTGGCCTGACCATGGTCCAATGTAAAAACACGTGATAAAAAAGGGAATTTTAACCATATATATTACATCATCAAATATTACAACAATTTACGATGTTCTTGATTTGAATATCCTTGTTTCTTGTATGAACGTAAGGTGCAGGGCACTGTCTCCGTGCTCATGGATTGGAGTGACCGCATGGTGAATTCGGTGCCATCGGCACGACTCGGTGCCCACGAAGTAACCTTGCTCTTCCGAGGCCTGTGGGCTTCCTCAACCAATGCCTCCCAGCAATATTTACTTTGGACTGGGTTTAACTGCCAAGTTTCATCAGTAACGTGTGGCCTGTTAAGCACTGCTGCTGGGTTGCCTGGTGTTAGCGACAAAACCTTTCCACAAGCACCGCTTAATAATAATGTACATTTAATTGTAGGGCGCATTCCTCCAATATCTTAAGGCGCCTAGTGAGTGTTTCTCCTGGAAGTGACAACTAACGCGTGTATTTCATGTCCCATAGACCCCATTAAAAGTTAACAAGCATTGAGGCAGTGCTCATCTCCTGTTTACAACCCTGCACAAGTGGTGGAACGATTGACGCTATTCATAGCAACACCACCATGCCTGCCTGTGCACCGATACGAGGGGCAGCGTAACAGGCGTTATGATGGGTTGTGGAGTCATGCGAGTGTAATGAGGGCAGTGGAAATACTGCAGAGGACATCAACAACAAGCGCGCCATGCCTGTGCCTAATCATCCTTCGGCGGAGCTCCGCTGTTGTTTTAAGTTTGCGCTATGAACGCGCACGCCCCGTCGAAGTAAACGACCCTCGGTGGCCTCAGTCCCTCCAGTGCCATTGAGGCTCCACGTGCCGTGGAGGAGCTTCAATTAGCCGCGGGCAGCTTGCGCTGAAAATGAATTCTCTAAGCCGAGCTGAGCCGCCAGGCGGCCGGCTCCGGTGGCGACCGCGTCCCGACCTCCTCCTCGCCGCGAGCGCCTCCAGAGCCCGCACCTCCTGCTCGGAGTGGGGGGGGGGGTCCCTTGCCCCGAGCAGTGGCAGCAATCCGGGCATCGTCATCAGAGCTATCGTCGGCTGGGGTTCTGCCGCTGCGCCTGGGCACCTCCTCCACCACCACCACGCTGCCGGTGGCACCAAACCCAGCGACTCGCACACACAGGGGGGGCACGTGCCGCCAGCAGCAGCAGCAGCAGCGAACAATCACATTCAGTCGCCTCCACCCAGAATGGCCTCGTGTCGTCCTGGGGCCACAACACCACAGCCACCCCCATGCGTGGGACGCGGAACGGAAGTTCAAATCCTTGGATGCCTCCCCCACCCCGCTCGCCGCATCTGTCAATGGGTGCCTTTTGACCATACTTCACCACCCGTGGCCAGTGTGGGTTGGCGAGAAGTGGTGGCGGTGGCGATGTGGTGGTGGTGATGTGGTGGTGGTGATGTGGTGGTGGTGGTGGTGGTGGTGGTGTGGTGGTTGTGGTGGTGGTGATGTGGTGGTGGTGGTGGTGATGTGGTGGTGGTGATGTGGTGGTGGTGGTGGTGGTGGTGGTGATGTGGTGATGTGGTGGTGGTGGTGGTGATGTGGTGGTGATGTGGTGGTGGTGATGTGGTGGTGGTGATGTGGTGGTGATGTGGTGGTGGTGGTGATGTGGTGGTGGTGGTGATGTGGTGGTGGTGGTGATGTGGTGGTGGTGATGTGGTGGTGGTGGTGATGTGGTGGTGGTGATGGTGGTGGTGATGTGGTGGTGGTGATGTGGTGGTGGTGTGGTGGTGTGGTGGTCGTTACCCGGGGGTCGCTCCACGTGGTGGACTGCTCGTTGTGGTTGATGAAGTATGGCCACCCCGAGGTGGGCTCCATCTTCATCTCCCATCCCGGCGGCAGCGGCGCCTGATGCTGCATCCCGGTCTCCCCCTCCTCCTCTCCCCTCTCCCCTGCCCCTCTCCCCGTGCCTCTCCCCCTCTCCCCGTGCCTCTCCTCTCCCCTCTCCCCGTGCCTCTCCCCTCTCCCCGTGCCTCTCCCCTCTCCCCGTGCCTCTCCTCTCCCCTCTCCCCGTGCCTCTCCTCTCCCCTCTCCCCGTGCCTCTCCCCTCTCCCCGTGCCTCTCCTCTCCCCTCTCCCCGTGCCTCTCCTCTCCCCTCACCCAGTGCCTCTCCCCGTGCCTCTCCTCTCCCCTCACCCAGTGCCTCTCCCCGTGCCTCTCCTCTCCCCGTGCCTCTCCCCTCTCCCCTCACCCCGTGCCTCTCCTCTCCCCGTCTCCCCGTGCCTCTCCTCTCCCCTCTCCCCGTGCCTCTCCCCTCACCCCGTGCCTCTCCCCGTGCCTCTCCTCTCCCCTCTCCCCGTGCCTCTCCTCTCCCCTCTCCCCGTGCCTCTCCTCTCCCCTCTCCCCGTGCCTCTCCTCTCCCCTCTCCCCGTGCCTCTCCTCTCCCCTCTCCCCGTGCCTCTCCTCTCCCCTCTCCCCGTGCCTCTCCCCGTGCCGCTCGCCTCGTCTCCCGGTGTCTCCCCTCGTCTCACGCCGCTTCCTGGTCGCCGTGACGTCACGCGGCGGGACTTTCTTGATGACGTCACGCCCCGCGTGTCGTCACGTGGGTGGACACCGCTTGTGACGCATTGTTTGCAGTCGCATGGCCGCCGCTACCTCGTGACGTCATGTCAAGGTGCCGGAGTGTTCGGAAATCAACGGTGGTGATCCTGTGCAGGGACACGCCCTCGTCATAGGAATGTGGAATTTCCACCCGTGAAGGACTGTAAAGTTTAACTTGAATAATCACAGAACTCCTCTGCGGTGACATTAGGGGACGATCCACATCTCAGATCCACTTTGTGGGGTTATCCGCGACTTATTTTGCTGCTGACTCCGTGGTACGAGGAAGAGTTTGCCGCCTGACGGCGCTGTGCGGGAGACCCGCGAGGATGAGGACGCCGCCGCCTCACGATGCCTTGTGGGTCAAATTCGTGGATAATGGGAAGAGAGCTTTGGGGACCCTCCAGCTGGGAGTTCCAAACATGCATGAAGAGCATGAGACTACCTAAACCCTGGACACTGTCCGTGCAGCACGCCAAGGAGTCCGTGACAGCTGTCGAAGAAGAGGCTGTGATGCCGCCGCCACGAAGCCGTTCGGCAGGCGCCCCATCCCCGACCTCGCCACCACCAAGCAACGGAGCCAACCCCTCGCCCCCCGCACCTCACCTCACATGAACACACCCGCACGCATTTTCCCCCACCCATAGAGCTGGAAAGGGAGATCACCTGATCGACCGGTTTTTATCCGAGAAACCCTTATCGGGATTAACTCTCACGGTTTCCGGCGATCAGGGAATTGGACGACCTCCCCCGTGCTACGTTGCGCCGCGGCGCTGCGACCAGCCTAAATATGGTATGGTCGCAGCGTGGGGCATTCGGCCACCGCGGTTGAGGCGCATCCCCTCACACACACCCCCACGGGTCGACGAGACAGGCGGAGGAGGGAGGGGACAGCATGAATAGCGGGACCGCAGGGGCTCTTGCGCATAGTCATGGAGGGTTGGGATCATTACGCTTGAGCGCGCAGGCCCCATTGTTAGGAAGGGTAAGGGATTAGTTAGGATTTACGCCGCGCACGCCGCTCACTGATTAGCATATCAAAAGCGCCCGGAACCGCCGTGCGCGTGCTCGAGGTGCGCGAGCCCATTGTTCAGCGCAGCATCCTTTTGAGGTAGGGAGGATAAATAGGGGGCGCAAAGGGGAAATCAGTCTCTTCTCTCCAGCGCCAGGCGACAGGACGCTCTCCAGTCCAGCGACCCGAACGTCCGTGAGACGCATCGAGGCACGCTGCGAGTACAGGATCAACGAACCGCCGTGGGCATCTAACAGGGAGTAAGAAGGTGAAGTAGGATAATAGCCGATGGATAGGGAATAGGTACAGGTTTAGTGGAATAGGCCAGCCTCGTCGACTCACTGATTCAACATTAGTTACCAGGTAGCAGGTAATAAATCATTAATAGCGAAGCGTGGCCTCGCGTGATCTTGTCGAGCAGTGTGAGCATGTGGGTGAGCGTGTGTACACAGTGGTTCGCCACGTGAGTGAGTGCTGCGCGGAGCTGAGCGTGTGGGTGAGCGGGTGTACACAGTGGTTCGCCACGGGAGTGAGCGCTGCGCGTGTGGGTGAGCGTGTGTACACAGTGGTTCGCCAGGTGAGTGAGTGCCGCGGGGAGCTGTGTACGTGAGGGCAGCGTCATCCGCCCTCCGACCCCTGACCCCCGTTAAATAGCGCGTGATCCGTGGAGAGACAACGCAGCGTTTGCAGGTGAACGAGAGTGGGCGGCGAGCTATGCCTCTCACACGAGCTCGCGGAGGGACGGACCAGGGAGGGGAGCCGTCGGGCGATGAGCCCAGCGACAGCAGCAGCTACTCGCAGAGCAGCGAGGGGTCGGCGCACGGCGGAGCCCCTGCCATAAGCCCGGAGCACGGAGGGACTTCGGGGGCCAGCGACCCCGACAAGGCTGCCATTGTGTTCTGGCGTCAAAGCCCAAATTTGCCAAGTTTTAAAAGTAACTCACAAATTTACTCAATTGGGAAATGCGTAGCGGTTATTATCCGGCCCTACTGTAAACGCGAACGAGGCCCTCCTCAAAGGGGTTGAGAGTCTGCGAGGTTTCCCCGGGTCAGCAAGCAGCACACAACGCACGTTGACCTGCACTGCGCGGTTTGTTGAACGTCTTCCTCTCTCTCTGCACGTCGCCAGCCGCAGCTCAAACTTCTACCCCGTGGGGGGTTTGGCGGTGGCTCGCGTCGGGGACGCGCTCACGAAAGGTGCGACGACGACGACGAATATGGAAACGACGCAAATCAAAGCAATTCTCAGGGAAGATTGTGGAGGCGGCGGATACGAGAGAGCGAGAGAGAGAGGAGGCTGCCGTCAGCGGGTGGCGGTGTTCATGAGACAGTGACGAGGCGTTTGCGACACGACGCTAAAGGGGGAGACGTAGGCTGTGGTAGTCCCGTACGGTGTTTGATGGCGAGTACAGATCGCAGTCTTAACCAGGGATGCTGCTGGGCTTGATATTGATGAGCTGTGCTTGTAGACCCAGGGCTTCATGGTGGTGGTGGCACCCGCCGTTTGATTTGTCTCCACCGGCCCTGATCGTGCGCCGAGTGTTGCATGAGGTGGCAGTGCGCATTTGTACTCGTGGAGGATGCGGGATTCTAACTTCACCACCTGGAGATAGAGAGTCAGTGTGCGTCGCCTCGCGTTAACTTAAAGAGCCGCTTGACTCTGCCCGCGTGTGCACGTCACAGGCGCGGGTGTCGCCATCCTGTCCACGGCGATGCGTGAGGCATCGAGGCTGCGTTTTTGTGCAGCTGATCGAGCTTCTTGGCCACTCAATAAAGGCGCTGAGAAGAGACACACCACAGAGATGGAGACCGCACGGCAGGAGGCGTGCAGCGCGCCCTGGTGGACACATCGGGCGACCGAGTCGCTTGAGCACGAGGGCCGTCGCAAGTCCATGGCAGTGACGACGACTCATCATCGGGGCCACCATTCTCCTCCCCAGTGAGTCAAAGTGCATTGCTGACGAGGTAAGTCTCGTCAGCAATGCAGTGTTTGTGACTTTAACGAAAGAACCAAGAATATGAGCTAAGTCTCACCACGGCGTTCCCGATCTGTCATGAAACGCCCTGTCTCCGCCCACATTCACTCCGAGTTGTACGACACACCACTTTGAATTGATTTCACAAATGCATTTTCATATTTTAGTGTTTTTATTATTATTATGCGGTTTACAACAACGTGAATATTTACAAAAAAGTAATCAGGTTGATCCTGCATCTCACACCCTGGCTCGGCTATCCTCTTCCATGACCTGAAAACCACGGCGAGGTCATCCTCTGAGGACTGCCTGGAAGAAAACCAGCATGGAAGAGCCCAGGGTGGGGCTGGCTACTAGACATCACCACACTTAGTTCCTCCACTATTCTGCGGTGGGTGAATCAACGCAGTAGAAGAGAGCGCGGAAGATTGAGCGGACCACTCTGCACGCTCGAGCCAGGGACACGTGCTTCTTCTTCCTATTCTCCTCCTCCCCATTCTTCTGCTCCCGATTCTCCTCCTCCTCCTCGCTCTTCTTCTCCTCGTCTGCCCGCTGGAGCCCAGGCTCGTGCTGCTCCACCTGGAGCCCATCCTGGAGCCCAGGCACTTGCTGCTCCACCTGGGGCCCAGGCTCGTGCTGCTCCACCTGGGGCCCAGGCTCGTGCTGCTCCACCTGGGGCCCAGGCTCGTGCTGCTCCACCTGGAGCCCATCCTGGAGCCAAGGCTCGTGCTGCTCCACCTGGGGCCCATCCTGGGGCCCAGGCACGTGCTGCTCCACCTGGGGACCAGGCACGTGCTGCTCCACCTGGGGCCCAGGCTCGTGCTGCTCCACCTGGGGCCCAGGCTCGTGCTGCTCCACCTGGGGCCCAGGCTCGTGCTGCTCCACCTGGGGCCCAGCTTGGGGCCCAGGCACGTGCTGCTCCACCTGGGGCCCAGCTTGGAGCCCAGGCACGTGCTGCTCCACCTGGGGCCCAGGCTCGTGCTGCTCCACCTGGAGCCCAGGCTCGTGCTGCTCCACCTGGAGCCCATCCTGGAGCCCAGGCTCGTGCTGCTCCACCTGGGGCCCAGGCTCGTGCTGCTCCACCTGGGGCCCAGGCTCGTGCTGCTCCATCTGGGGCCCAGCTTGGGGCCCAGGCACGTGCTGCTCCACCTGGGGCCCAGCTTGGGGCCCAGGCTCGTGCTGCTCCACCGACGCGTCCTGTTGCATCTCATCCTCCTGGGCGGATGCCGCTGGCTGCCTGGGCACTCTCTCGTCCGGTGGCGTCCTTCCCAGCCAAGGGTGCACCAGCGCCTCGACAGGCGTCATGCGCAGAGTCGGATCCCATCTGGCAAGATGGGGGCACACATGGCGCACGAGGGAAGGGTGATTATGATTTCAGCGTTCACGTGCGTCTCCCCCTATCCGTAAACTTATAGCGGCCAGCAGCTGTCCTCCACTTTTAACAATCGTCGCCATCATCATCGTCACCGTTAACCATCTGCTGCTGGGATGACTGGCAGGTGCATCTCCTGTGCTCCCCATTGTGCCACCTCACTGAATTTTATCCACCCAGCGCTCCGCTCATTGTGAGCATCACTCCTCCAACCCTCCATTGTTGTTGCAGGGCGACCGCTTCCAAACGCTGAGTAGCCTCAGAGTGCGTGTAGCCCGGCGCTGCCTAGTAATACCCTCCTCCACGCACACGACGTGAGGGTATGGTTCGTGTAAGTTCACGTACGTCTATAGTTCTTTTATGTAAGTGCATGTACATCTATGGGTCTCTGTGTAAATGTATGTACATCTCCGCATCTCTATGTAAGTGTATGTGAGTCTATGTGTCTCTACGTAAGTCTATGGATCATGCAATAATGGGACATCCTCCGATCGCTGATCGCTTGGAGGAGAGTGGCCGATGGGGAAATCCTCGCCCAGGGGGTTGGTGGGGCTCTTACTCCAAGCAGCGGCTGATGAAGTCGTTGAACTCCGTGTCCTGACTCCCGAGGGCCACGCTGATTGGGTTACTGCCCGGTACCCTGTCTTGTCCGGACATCACAGGATTGCCCAAAGGGTCTGCAGGAACCGCGCGGAACAGGAGAAGCGTAGTCACAATGCACTCCGCCCTTGCGCACTCGCAGCGACCCAGTTCTGTGCCATGGGCCGGCAGTCGCGCGTTCACCGCTCGTTACAGAGCTTCGCGATTCGAATCCTTCTGGCCTACCTCGTTATCACGGCGGCCCCTATTCACTGCAAGCCGCAGTGCGCCAAAGTTGCTTCGCAGTGGAACGTTAAAGATCTTGAGTCATTGTAAACGTAGGCCATTGTGTGCCGGTGCCTTCATCCAGATTTCCCCAATTTGAAAATTATTCAATTGGCATCACACACAGCAGCAGCAATTTGTTTGCCTGTTGGCTGGTGGAGGGTCGTAACGACACAAACTAGGCCAGACCATTACGTGGCCTAACCCTAACACAAACATCTATTATGAGTTATATCGGCTATGACATAACACGTGGAAGTAATTGAAGTTACAAAGTGATACCCCACTAAACTAGAACAGCCCCAGGCTCCCCTCAAATTAAACCCAGTCCCTCCCCTCGCCCCCTCACCCCCTCACCCCCTCACCCCCTCACCCCCTCACCCCCTCACCCCCTCACCCCCTCACTCACCAAAGTATTTGTTCCTCTCGGGCGCGGCATTCACCAGACTCTCAGGAGGCATTCCCAGGACCTATACAGATCACACAGACAAAGATCACCCATATAGCATTAACATATTGTCGTAGCAAGTGCTGTTAGCGAGCAACTTTTAATGACGGTACATGGCACACAACTCCACACCAGCAACTTTACACACTGCAACGTTTACTTATTTAAGGCTGAGTCGACCCAGGAGAGGACCGGTTCAGATATTCATCACCAATGTTCGCCACAAGCGGGAATCGAACTCGGGTATCCGGGTTCGTAGAGCAGTGCGCAAACCACTAGACTATCACTCCCAATGGTCCACACACAGGCAGAGGGCAGTGTTTATGGCACACCCAGTGGCCGCCCTGGTTATTACTGCGGTATTCACCATAACATACAACACGTCATCTGCCTCATTTACAGTGGGCGCGAAAGGTCCCTTGACATTATTTGAAACAAGTAAGCCATTGTGCGCAGACATCATGATCCCGAACATGCTTGACATCGTTTCAAGCAAAAGCATCCAATTGATGAATGTGGTGATGAGAATTGTCCTCCAACTCCCTATCGGTTAAGCTGGACCAATAATAATCACTGCGATAAACGCTCGTACCGCCAGCAATCCGTTTTGTTTTACCGTGTTGGGTGGCGGAGGTTACAAGATTTGGCCAGGTCATTCTGTGGCCTAGCCCACAAATCATAGTGAAACTGCAAAGTGGGAATACCGTACCTCCATGTAACATGGAAGTTGGTCATATCGGCCGACGGCCGGAAACAGGACGCTCCCGGTAGCCAACTCGGCCACCGTACAGCCCAGCGCCCACATGTCAACCGGGAACGAGGCCGCGTGTCCCAGGAAAGCCTCTGGGGCAAGGTACGCACGAGTGCCGAAAATCTGTGAACCTGCCCAGGACAAACGACAAAGATCACCGACATAGCCTTGAATGGCACCATCATCACACGCACAGTGATATGCACAAGCAGAATCATAATCTTTATCTTGGAGAAATCCGATGAACAGTGCGGCTCTTTTTCACGAATGTTGGCCATTTGCCACGAAGTATAGGTGATGTCACCACCGTGCTTGTGCTCGGCTATGTGCCCATTGAGGCGACGTGAAGTGTCGAAGGCTCATTGGCAAGTCACAGGACACACCCAGGTTCCATGGGTTGACTGACTGAGATGACAGGCATATTCACCACCTGCGCCCCCTACTGTGCCACCTCGCTGTATTATAGCCGCCCGACGCTCCACTTGTTGTGAGCGTCGCTCCACTACCCTCTGCTGTTGCTGGCAGGCAACTGCCTCTTAACTGCCGAGTCGCGTCTTTCACGAACCTCCTCCTTGTTTCCCAAGTGGCGACATTTACTCATTGCACCAGGTACTCATTTAAGGCTGAGTCGACCTCGGGGAGGCCCAGGACCGGTGGAGATAATTGTCACTGGTGTTGGACATGAGCTGGAATTGAGCTCAGGTTTCCGGATTTGTTAATCAGCGCACTACCGCTCCTCACACACAAACTCTCTTACTCACACACAACACACTCACACACAAACTCTCTCACACACGACTCACATTGAGATCCGGGAAAAAAACTGCTCTCCACGTTTTTGATGCGGATGGTTCTTGCCAAGGCGTCCTTGAATGACAAGTTCCTCTAGAAGGGCGGCAGAAGGGATTCACACTCGAAGGTTAAGATTGTAACAATTTCAACTTGTCAAGCGCCACACTGTTCCTGCCGTCTTGAAGAGATGGCACGACTCAGAAACGGGAGGATCCACAAACAAGGCAGCAGCCAGGCACTGAGCTGGTGGCACAGTCCCCCCAAGGTCTGCAGTCCTCTGTATATGAAGGTGTTATCGGGCATTCAATGATTGTTTATAGCGTACATGTAGGAGAAAACCACCAGCCCGCAGCTCAGTGCCAGATTGTAGACAAGCATCTCCATTGCCCGACTGATCAGCATTCAGCCAGCAGTAGATTGGTCGTGTACCAAAATACCGCAAAACATTAAATGGGGAGTCGAAATAATAATACGGAATGTTTTCTGACAGCTGCCACTGGGGGTGCCCTTTCAAATATACGGATGTATGTTGAACTTCTTTTGCACCGTACATAGCCGACAATGCTAATGGGAGGTGTGGGGGAAGGATAACAAAGAAAGATGAGATGTGATGCCAGTCTCTTATGTCGTGTGTAAAGTGCTCTGAGACGTCCCGGTGTAAAGGAGAGTGCTCTTATCAAACGTGAATCACGATTGTTAAAGGAAACCCAAACGAAGCTCCTAGCTGTAAGTGAACGTTTTAGGAAAAACGTGCACACAGACGGTGTTGGTAACGCATCCTCACGCGCGTTTGTATCCCAAAGGTTTTTAGGAGCAGCATAGAAGCTGATGGGTGGCTGTCGGGCTTTATAAGTGTATCTGCATGTTTGCAAACAGTCCTTGTTACTTGCACTGGTTTGTGTCTTCACGTTCAGAGCGACGCTTTGATCAATGTGTCCGGTTTTCTCTCGGGCCAGTCCCCAATAGCGATGCGACGTCACGGTGGAGTTGCACTGAATGCGGAGTCCACTCACCGGCTTGATGTTCCCATGCACAATCCCCTTGGCGTGGAGCTGGTTCAGGATTCTGAGAATGGACTTGGTGATTAGTTTCACTATCGCCATCACGTCTCGCTGGGATTTCATCGATTTAATAGAATGGGAGACACTTGGACTGCAAAAGAGACAACAACAACAACACAGTTAGTGCCATCCTGTGAAAGGCTGAGTCAATTCATGATCATCGTTTATTATGATTATTTACCCAAGAAATGCTCTCAAAACCTTTTCAAGTGTTACTGTGTTTTTAATCTCAATTGGGTAATTGGAAGGTAATATATTAGCATTGAGATGTTTGGGCAAATACAGGTTACTTGTGGGGTTATGTTAGCTTTGGAAGGAAACCGGAGAACCCGAAGGGACCCATGTGGAACAGGGGGAAAGAATACAAACCCCACACTCACACTTTTGTAACACACACACTCACACTCTTGTAACACACACACACTCACAATCTCTGTGGAACAGAGAGAATACAAACCAACTTCACACAGAAAGACAACAGTCAGGGATTGAACCCAGGTGCTTCTTGTCGTGAGGCGTGAGCGTAAACACTCTGCCGACGACACCCTGCCAGTTGAGTGTGCCTGACCGTGTAAGAGTGTGCCTGACCGTGTAAGAGTGTACCTGACCGTGTAAGAGTGTGCCTGACCATGTAAGAGTGTGCCTGACCGTGTAAGAGTGTGCTTGACCGTGTAAGAGTGTGCCTGACCGTGTAAGAGTGTCCCAGACACGTGGCAGCTTCACAGTATTATCACGGCGCGTGGTGCCGTGAGATCATCAGATCTATGGCCCGAACAGACTGCGCGGTACGTACTTGCATAAGTCCTCCAGGACGAGGCAGTTGTGCCCTCTGAAGTAAAAATGGTCCAGAAGTTTTACATTGAAATCATTGGCCAGTTCCTGAAGTCTGATGAAGATCTTGAGCTGCATCGCCTGCATGTGGTTATCCTGGGGGCTGCACAGAGGAAATCCACAATTTCATGTGAACAGCAACAATAATTGACGTGTAATGTGCACATTGTGTTGCTCGCTCTCTGCAGAGAGCACGACTTGGAGGTGCTCGGAAGCACAGACAACCTGGAAGGCAGCAGCACGGTTGGCTACATACGGTGCGAACAAAGTTCAACGTATTCTTAGGTAAAGTCGCATAGATAGGTTCAAAGAAAATAACCTATCTACGTGACTTTACCAAAAGACCCAAGAATATGAATTCCTGCAGTCACGAAAGCTTTAAGTCAAAAGTTCAACGTACATACAGGTGGTCAGCTGGTCCTACCAACATTTTCCCAAGATCTGCGGTTCTCAATATTTGAAGATGATTTCAGCAAACAAATTCTTGTTGAAACAAGGGAGGAGACCAGAGCACAAGGAGAAAACCCGTGCATTCACGTTGGCGGGGGGGGGGGTAACACTATCACCATATGAATGGAAATCAACTCACTTCTTGTACTGCTTTCCTCTGGTGATCCAGGGTTAATAATATCAACCTCAAAATCGCACTTCCCATTGTGAAGACTTACCTCGTTGGCTGCCTCCACATCTTCACGTTCACCATGGTGTTGGTCTTGTGGTCTCGGCATCTAAAGAGCTGGCTTTGACCTTTGAGCACCAACCATTCCAGCACCTCGTAGCGGAAATTTAGATGCTCGTATTGGACCTACACAACAATCGAACCATAAGAACCGATTCAATCCACGCTCATTCCATCACTGCTGATTCAGTTCTTATTACACAAAGACAACAGAGACATAATCCATCCAGCGCCAAGAGCTCTGTCAATTCTAGTAAATGATGAAGAATGAGACGATGTGTACTCATCTGCTGTGCTCGGTAACTGAGTGTCGGATGCCATTTTGGCTAAAGGGTGGCGGCGATGCTAACAATTGTGGCTCACAGCAACAATGGGCTGGGTTCAATTCCAAACTAGAGTGCCTTTCTGAATAGAGTATGTGTACTCTGCCTGTTCTGCAGAGTGTGACAATGCGAGTGAGAGAACGTGTGGAGTTTATTCTTCACAGCAGGGGGGCAATGGTGCTACGCATAACCTCAATTCAGTAATTTGCAAGTAATACTTGAAATTTGGACCTTGACGCCAGGACCCAATGGCCTACTCGCTTTGAATGATGTAACGGGATCTTTAACGTCCACTGTAAAGCAGACGATGCGTCGTGTTTTACAATCAGCACACTCCGTCTTAACCAGGGTGGCCACTGGGCTTGATGATGTTTTGAGCAATGACCCTGTGCTTGATGATGATATTACTGTGTTTGACAAGAATGTGATTGATAGCCCTGTGCATGTGTGTGATGTTGGTGGTGATGATGGCCACAGTATTAACCAGGGCAGCGGACGCGTGGCCCATGTCGCCCACTCTGAAGCCGGCGTGTCTTACCGAGACGTAATGGTTATAGGCATCATCGTAGTCCAGGTTCACGGTGCCTAATCCTCTGTTGTGGAGTCCGAAATACCAGACACGGTCCACGGTGAAGAGTTCACTCCTCTCGACAGGGGTCAGGTTATCTCCAAAGAGCGTCAGGATTTCTTCACCAACACAAACGACAACGATTAGTATTTTACGATTGTTACTGTTCCACTTGCTACTGTCTACACAGGAAAGCACCACCAAGTCCCTCGACTCTTTGTTAGGAGCGATACTGCTGCTGTGTAATCCCATTTGAGTTATGTGCAGGTAATTTTTTAGCTTTGGATAGTTTTTTGGCCAATACAAGATGCATTTAATATATGTTTTCGCTATGGGAAGAGGTTGAAGAACCCAGAGAAACTCCAATGCTCAACAGGGGGAGAACATACTCTTAGGTTTTTTCGGTAAAGTCACGTAGGTAAAAAATAAAATTAAAATTAATAAAAGTAAAATAAAAAAAGGGGGAGAACATACAAACTCCACACTGAAAGGCACCCAGTTGGGAATGGAAACCAGGCACTTCTTGACTGTGAGGCGCGAATGTTACCACCTCGCCTCACAAGGTTTACAAGCCATAACAATGCATATGGTTGCTGTCAGGCTGTCAGGCTGTGGCCACCGTGACGTTCCCCACACAACACGGGCGTCGTGATGTCACACCGCGTGGATCACCTTGCGGGGTTTTGCCAAGGCCGGTGGTAATGGCGTTTGATGGAATCTGCGCGCTCCACTGCACGTCCCTGCTGCCACCCATCTTCTGATCTGTAACCGCGGCCATCTACACACACCGATACAAAGAAACCCACGGAGAGCCTTGGACAGTCTGCTGGGGCACGTGCAGTGAACGAGCACTGAGCCCGCCATGCGTCGCCGAGGGCCGGGATCCCTCATTCTGGGGTCCTGGCAAGTCGTGGCGGCAGCAGGGGGCGATGTCGCCACGTGGCGGAGACTGAGGACACCCCAGTGACACAGACCCACATCATCAACACGGACCCACATCATCAACACGGACCCACATCATCAACACGGACCCACATCATCAACACGGACCCACATAAATTTCGATTTAAAGCTTTCGTGACTGCAGGGATTCATCTTCTTGGTTCTTTCGGTAAAGTCACGTAGAAGGGAAGTAATAAAATAATAAAAATAAAACATAATAAAACAATTCTCACGACGTTTCGGCCACAACGCAAGCAGCCGTCCTCAGGTGAAAACCAGGTCCGTCGAGGCGACAGAGTCTGAATGAAACAGCACACGGGCTTGGAGCATATATATAAGCTGGGCGCATTAACAAAGGAATTTGCATATCAACAGGAATTTAGCATATTTATGGGAAATGCAGGAATGTAATTAGTACTGCATATGCATGTGCATTATGCAGGATTAACAGCATCAAAGGGAGCTGCAGTTACTGCTGCTGCAGTAGTTGCTGCTGCTGCTGCAGTTTCTGCTGCTGCTGCAGTTGCTGCTGCTGCTGCAGTTGCTGCTGCTGCTGCACTTGCTGCTGCTGCTGCACTTGCTGCTGCTGCTGCACTTGCTGCTGCTGCTGCACTTGCTGCTGCTGCTGCACTTGCTGCTGCTGCTGCACTTACTGCCTTATCCATTTTAATATAACACTATGTATTATTCTACCCACCCTAATGTGTATCATACTGCTATATGTTTACTGTACAATTACGACACCATACATTACTCTGCACACTGCACCATGCCAGTGAGTGGAACGCGGTCTGAAAGTCACCGTTAACGTGAACACAATCAGTTAAGATCCGAAATGGTTTATTACGTCCTTCCAATGATTGCTAAGCCAGAATCCATCTTCTCGGTTGAAATTGTCTCTGTGTTTGTATATGTGGATCGCCTCATGAACGAATCTCTCATGATAGCCAGATGGCTTGCAGAGAACCTCTGTCTTGGAGAAGTCAATGTCATGTGAGCCCACTGAATTGTAACAGTGATCTGCCACGGCTGAGGTGTTTGTCCTACCGTGTTTCAGGTCTGCCTTATGTTCACGGATGCGGTCCGAGACATGTCGTTTGGTTTCTCCAATGTAACTGCTACCACAGAGGAAACTTAGTTTGTAGACGCCAGGGTACTGTATGTCTGGAACCACATCTTTTACAGACGGGACCAGATCACGGATTTTATGTACTGTGTTGAATCGGACCTGGATCTTGTGTTTAATCAGGATTTTGGAGATCTTTTTTGTGACCCCAGCAATGTAGGGTAAGGTGATGGTCTTAAAAGGCTCCTCAACAGGATCCTTCTTGATGGTTGGAGTGATGGCTTTGCGGATTGTGTAGTCGGAGTAACCATTAGCCTTAAGAGCTTGGCGTACGTGTTTGAGTTCACTGGAAATGTGTTCATGGTCGGAGATGCATTGGGCTCTATGATATAGAGTCTTGATGAGGGAATTCTTCTGGGATGGATGGTGGTGGGAATCCGGTTTTAGATAAGCATCGGTGTGGGTGGCTTTCCTGTAGACAGAGTGGCTCATTGAACCATCAGGTCTCCTTTTGATTAGGACATCCAAAAAGGGTAGCTTGCCATCATTTTCGACTTCCATGGTGAATCTGATGGCTGGGTGTATGGAATTGATGTGGTCGAGAAATTGGTCTAGAGCAGGCCGGCCATGTGGCCAGATGACAAAAGTGTCGTCTACGTACCTCTTCCATAAGGTCGGGCGTAGAGTGGCAGTCTGGATGGCGTCCGTCTCAAATTTCTCCATGAAGATGTTGGCTACAACCGGAGATAGGGGGGAGCCCATTGGGGTGCCCTCAATTTGCTTGTAGAAGGTTCCATTCCAGGTGAAGTATGTATTGGTTAAGCAGTGTCTCACCAGGGGGGGTACCCCAGCATTCAGTCCTTGATGAACCAAGTCTTCAATGATTGCGATGGTGTCAGGCACAGGCACCTTGGTGAACAAGGAAACCACATCAAAACTGACAAGCAGGTCGTCTGGGGACAGGGCAATCCCCTTGATTGTCGATACCAGGTCAGTAGAGTTTAGTACTGCAGAGGTGGTTTTTCCAGTGAAAGGCCGTAGGATTTCGGACAAAAAACGAGCCAGTTTGTAAGTGGGGGAGTTGATAGTAGAGACAATGGGACGAAGAGGTGTATCTTCTTTATGTATCTTTGGCAAGCCGTACAATCTTGGTGGCCTGGCTGCAGAAGGTTTCAACGAGAACTGTTTGGTCTGATCAATTAATGCGGTTGAAGCAGAAATGATGTTGTTGGTTTTGGAGACGAGGCTGTTGGTGGGGTCTCTTTTTATTTTTGTATAGCTGCCATCTACTGACCTGGTATCGACAATCAAGGGGATTGCCCTGTCCCCAGACGACCTGCTTGTCAGTTTTGATGTGGTTTCCTTGTTCACCAAGGTGCCTGTGCCTGACACCATCGCAATCATTGAAGACTTGGTTCATCAAGGACTGAATGCTGGGGTACCCCCCTGGTGAGACACTGCTTAACCAATACATACTTCACCTGGAATGGAACCTTCTACAAGCAAATTGAGGGCACCCCAATGGGCTCCCCCCTATCTCCGGTTGTAGCCAACATCTTCATGGAGAAATTTGAGACGGACGCCATCCAGACTGCCACTCTACGCCCGACCTTATGGAAGAGGTACGTAGACGACACTTTTGTCATCTGGCCACATGGCCGGCCTGCTCTAGACCAATTTCTCGACCACATCAATTCCATACACCCAGCCATCAGATTCACCATGGAAGTCGAAAATGATGGCAAGCTACCCTTTTTGGATGTCCTAATCAAAAGGAGACCTGATGGTTCAATGAGCCACTCTGTCTACAGGAAAGCCACCCACACCGATGCTTATCTAAAACCGGATTCCCACCACCATCCATCCCAGAAGAATTCCCTCATCAAGACTCTATATCATAGAGCCCAATGCATCTCCGACCATGAACACATTTCCAGTGAACTCAAACACGTACGCCAAGCTCTTAAGGCTAATGGTTACTCCGACTACACAATCCGCAAAGCCATCACTCCAACCATCAAGAAGGATCCTGTTGAGGAGCCTTTTAAGACCATCACCTTACCCTACATTGCTGGGGTCACAAAAAAGATCTCCAAAATCCTGATTAAACACAAGATCCAGGTCCGATTCAACACAGTACATAAAATCCGTGATCTGGTCCCGTCTGTAAAAGATGTGGTTCCAGACATACAGTACCCTGGCGTCTACAAACTAAGTTGCCTCTGTGGTAGCAGTTACATTGGAGAAACCAAACGACATGTCTCGGACCGCATCCGTGAACATAAGGCAGACCTGAAACACGGTAGGACAAACACCTCAGCCGTGGCAGATCACTGTTACAATTCAGTGGGCTCACATGACATTGACTTCTCCAAGACAGAGGTTCTCTGCAAGCCATCTGGCTATCATGAGAGATTCGTTCATGAGGCGATCCACATATACAAACACAGAGACAATTTCAACCGAGAAGATGGATTCTGGCTTAGCAATCATTGGAAGGACGTAATAAACCATTTCGGATCTTAACTGATTGTGTTCACGTTAACGGTGACTTTCAGACCGCGTTCCACTCACTGGCATGGTGCAGTGTGCAGAGTAATGTATGGTGTCGTAATTGTACAGTAAACATATAGCAGTATGATACACATTAGGGTGGGTAGAATAATACATAGTGTTATATTAAAATGGATAAGGCAGCAAGTGCAGCAGCAGCAGCAAGTGCAGCAGCAGCAGCAAGTGCAGCAGCAGCAGCAGCAAGTGCAGCAGCAGCAGCAAGTGCAGCAGCAGCAGCAGCAAGTGCAGCAGCAGCAGCAAGTGCAGCAGCAGCAGCAACTGCAGCAGCAGCAGCAACTGCAGCAGCAGCAGCAACTACTGCAGCAGCAGTAACTGCAGCTCCCTTTGATGCTGTTAATCCTGCATAATGCACATGCATATGCAGTACTAATTACATTCCTGCATTTCCCATAAATATGCTAAATTCCTGTTGATATGCAAATTCCTTTGTTAATGCGCCCAGCTTATATATATGCTCCAAGCCCGTGTGCTGTTTCATTCAGACTCTGTCGCCTCGACGGACCTGGTTTTCACCTGAGGACGGCTGCTTGCGTTGTGGCCGAAACGTCGTGAGAATTGTTTTATTATGTTTTATTTTTATTATTTTATTACTTCCCTTCTACGTGACTTTACCGAAAGAACCAAGAAGACGGACCCACATCATCAACACGGACCCACATCATCAACACGGACCCACATCATCAACACGGACCCACATCATCACGAACACATCAACACCAACACATCATCACGAACACATCAACACTAACACATCATCAACACGGACCCACATCATCACGAACACATCAACACTAACACATCATCACTAACACATCAACACTAACACATCAACACTAACACATCAACACTAACACATCATCAACACGGACCCACATCATCACGAACACATCATCACTAACACATCAACACTAGCATCATCACTAACACATCAACACGGGCCCACATCATAACACACATCATCAACACTAAGGGGCCGTCCATAAATGACGTCACGCACCTGGGGGGGGGGGGTGAGAAATTTGACGTCACATAAAAATGCGCAACTTTAAATATAAACGACACGTTCTACTTAATTAAATATAATTGTTATAACACAAATTTTTATACATTTTCATTATTAACTATTTGATTATTTTATTTTACTAAGGTCATCTTTTATTTATTCCATGGAGCATTTTGCTTCTCCATCGGAGAATGGAGAAGCATAAATGTAGTTATTCAACATTTTTATTTTAATGATTCTCCCAGGGCTTTCCATTCTGTGGAATGAATATGATTGTTATAATTGTACTCTTGCATTTTACTTCATTTTACTACAAAGTTTCAAGTATTTCTTACAATTATAATTACTTTTAATATATGATAATTATAAGAGAATTTCAATATATTCTGAACATCTGAAGTTTTAGTTAGACGATTAATATTTTCAAGTGAATTTTTTGCTAAATTTCAGCTTTCCAACGCCTCCTTTGTAATAAATGTTTTCTCCTACAACATCAGAGTGCAGCGCCACATTAAATACGCACGACAATGACGATAGTTTAAAGCGATTTGAAGCATGTTTTGTTTTCAAAATGGAAATATGGTTTTGGGGGGGGGGGGGGCAGAGCTTTGGGGCCGTCCATAAATGACGTCACGCACCTAGGGGGGGGGGGTCAGACATTTGTGACGATGGGAGGTGGGGTTTGAGAAATGTGACGTCACATCAAAATGCGCAACTTTAAATAAATATAGACAACACGTTCTACTTAATTAAATAGACTTTTAATGTTTTCTCCTACACATCAGAGTGCAGCGCCACATTAAATACGCACTGCAATGACAATAGTTTAAAGCGATTTGAAGCATGTTTATTTTTTTAGGGGGGGGGCAAGCTTTGTGACGTCATATTTGAGGGGGGGCCTGACTTTTTGTGACGCCGTGTGACGAGGGGGGGGGGCGTAAAAAATCGTCCAAAATCGCGTGACGTCATTTATGGACGGCCCCGAACACGAAAGCACTGGTGTACCCACACTTTACCCCACCACGCCACGCGACTGAAAGCGTGCAAGGGACTCGCCCATGTGAGCGTGGATCGTATAGCTCAGTGGACCCTACCAGGCAGCAGAGTGACGTTTTGATAGTTTAGTATCGAGATGGGCGCCTCGTCTCCACCTCGCCGCCTCCACTCACCTCAAGGACTCGGGCTGCTTTGAGCACACGTGGGTGCATAGGTAGCCACGCCCCCATTTCACGTGACGTCACCGTAGTGATAGACGCGTCACCGCAGTGATAGACGCGTCACTCGACGTTGTCCACGTGATCTTGCAAGACACGCCCACACGCAGTCCTCCTCGTGGCCATATGACCCAATGGTTCGTGCAGATGTAATGTTGCTCAACTGTACACAAATATTGATTTAAAGCTTTCGTGACTGCAGGGATTCATATTCTTGGTTCTTTCGGTAAAGTCACTTAGAAAGAAAATAACTTAAATAATAGAATGCGACGTTTCGATTGCAACACAAGCAAAGCAACCATCATCAGGTAGGAATGAATGAAAAAACAAACCTAGTAAACTTAGAGATATAATGCAATACAACACAGAGAGTCGGCTAACACAACAGTCAACACCCTACCTGGTTGATTACGTTCTTCAAAAGATTGCTAAATTTGAGAGAGACACAAAACACAGACACGGAGACACATAGACACACAAGCAGAGAGAGACACAGAGAGAGACACACATAGACACACAAGCAGAGAGAGACACAGAGAGAGACACACATAGACACACAGACAGACACAAGCAGAGAGAGACACACATAGACACACAGACAGACACACAGACAGACACACACATAGACACACACAGAGAGACAGAGAGAGAGAGACACAGAGAGAGACACATACAGAGACACACACAGAGAGAGACACATACACAAACAGAAAGACACACAGACAGACACACACATAGACACACACAGAGAGACACAGAGAGAGACATACAGAGACACACAGAGAGAGAGACACATACACAAACAGAAAGACAACGCCTCTATGTCGAGGCCTTAAATAGAGAGGGGGGGGGGGGTTAGCCGACTCTCTGTGTTGTGTTGCATTATATCTCTAAGTTTATTAGATTTGTTTTTAAATCCTTTATATTAAGTTCGCTTGCTTGCTTACGACCGTGCAAATCTTTCGGTCGTTTTTTAACCCACTTCCCGTGATCCAATCGAGCTGACATTTTGCACACAGACTCGTTGTGCGTGACAATGAATGTTCGTGAAAAAATGTTTCCAAAATGTTACACTTTTTAGGACAAAAATATTATATTTAATTACCAATTGCTTAATGGTGCAATGCAATCATCTGACTCATAGGTGGCAGCCATCTCAAGCCAGAGGACGAGATGACTCGAGCCGCCACGCATATAAAGGATTTATAGTGAAAAACTTTGTTTTTACGGGTTATACTTGTTTCACTCATTCTTACCTAATGATGGTTGCTTGTGTTTCAATCGAAACGTCGTATTCTATTATTTATTTTATTTCTACGTTACTTTACCGAAAAAAACAAAGAGTAATTCCTGCAGTCACGAAAGCTTCAAATCAAATGATGTTACATGTTGTTGTTTACACTCGGATATTGATTCTATAACTTCCAATGGAGCTCACAATCCAGCCACTCCCTATCCTCTCCAGGCTTGGCTGAACTCCCACTGCTATTTCACCCCTTGTTGTATCTCTACTCCCTGAATTGCCCCAAGTGACAGCCCCACGGCGGTCTACCGATCCCACTGCGCCTCACAGCCACGAGCTGTAGGAGCGGGCCTCTGTCGACTCAGTGGTGCTGATCACATTCAGCACCATACGCTGGGAGTCTCATCCCTGCAGTTCCCAGTTGTGGGGTCACCTCCCTTTTCATAGAGCCTCTCGATTTCTTTATACACGAGGATTGCGTTTCACGACACTGAGAGCGTTGAGTGTGCTTCTTCTGCAGAGTGATAGTGTGGATGTTGTGTTCCTCCCCTGTTATGCAGTGGGTGAGGGCAGTGGTGAGCGCATTGCAATCCAAACCCAGCGACACGAGTTTGATGTGTGGTGTGTACGTGCCTGTGTGATGTGTTTGCGGTGTGTGTGCAGTGTGTATCTTGGCAGAGGTCGTCCTCTGGACGAGTTCGACAGCGTCTCACCAGGGTCAGGCTTGCTCAAAAACGTCGATACACGACCTCGATACAGTAAAACATTTGTGCTGCACTTGTTGGCCCTGCTGGAGGTTCCACCTGTGCCATTCTGTGCTCACCCCTCGGAACGAATACAGTACAAACTTCACACACGTGAGCGCCCAGACCTACATATGGCCGACTCAGCGCTGACACTGATGCAGCAGCAGTTGCCACCAGTTTGTAAAGGTGTGCGTTTTTCTAAAGCTGAGTTACTGTAAAGGTGATTGAGCTGGTTATCATTTGTCACAGGAATTCGGAATATTTGGGCTGTGCAGCCCCTTGCAGTGACTTTGTAAAACTCTCTATGAACTTGACACCTTTCGCAAGCTGATATTGCATTGGGTCATAATTTATTTTTGGGATAGGCCACGTCCTGTTCTGGACAAATACATGCTACAACACCCTCCACCACCTAACATCGCCAAGCAATTCCCACAACCAACTTAAGTTATTACATACAATGCATGGAATTTCCAAGCTAATCTGATTTAATTGCTACATTTTCATGAGAATTGTTCAACGTAGTAGTTAAACATGTCTATAATGACTTACCATTGTATGGTTCAATAAAAATTGAGCTTTGCTTTATTGCACGTGACCGTTTAATGTATTTGGCTATCGGGTGGTGGAGCGTCTTACCACACATTTGGCCAGATCATGACATGGCTTAACCATAAAATAAATTATAAACCAACTGTAATGTAGACCGTGGGCTGGTGTGCGTATATGTTAATCCATATGTACTCTGATAAAACTTGAATGCACGCTCTCTGCCTCATGTGTTGGGGTTCTGATTTATGTTGTAAAAAGCAATCTTGTAGGTTGGCTTGCTTACACCGTGCATGGCTGGCTCTGAAATGCTATGGTCCTTTGTTGGGCAGTGTGCATTTTGCACTTGGTGTTTATTGTCTGCCGAAAGAGATTAACAGTTGGGTGCTTGTGGGTGGGTACGTGTCTGCACCAAGCATGACAATGAACGTCACCGGATGTGGACGGTCAGGAACGAGTGATACATCCTTTATTATCCACCTTGCCAGCAGCATTTTGCAATACTTACAGAAGCATGAATACTCAGACTATGGTTCGTTGAAATGCATCCTAACTACACTCAAGATGCACGTGTTGTTTTGTGCAGATGCGAATCGATCGTTTTGAATTGGCATGTTTATATAAACTATATTCCAGTAGTTTTTGTAGTCCCACCACAATGTTCGACATATACCACAAATACACCAAAACAATTGTGAATCGATTTGCAACTGTAACGTGTCATCAAACTGTGGAGAGCTGCATTGTCACATTCCTAATAAATAATAATTTACTGTAACGCTTGTCAGTCGACTGCTGGATGAAGACCTCCTCTGGCTGTGGTGGTCACGTGAAGTTTGAGCAATTCTAATACCACTTTCCTTAGCAATACAGTATATTTGACACTATATTTAGTTAAAATACTAATACATCATATATTAGTGGTCCTAAACATAGGTCAGTCGAATTATTAGTTGTCTAATTTGATATTAGGCCGTTTAGAATAATATTTTTTGCATTTACTGCATTTATGCCATGGGCCTCTTGGGTTGAAGAATGCTGTTTTAAAATACAAAATTTGATATCAGGTCCAGACGAACTGAGAAATGTATGGCGCAACGTGTGGTATCCAACAGACTGATGCTAAACAAAAGATGCCTTCAGCATCGTTTCTTGTCGGGTTCTGCAAAGCGATTCGTCCCCCGCCCCCGCTGCCGCCGGCCCTGAGTGGCGGTAGATGGGCACGCGGGTGCGGCCTTGTCGCGCCGTCAGCTCGTGGGCGACCTGCTCCAGGCTACAGGAGGCCTGGGCGCCGCGCGTGGCGTCAGTGGCCTGTGCCCCGTGTTGCGTTTTTCTGGACAATGGGGGGCCCCGGGGTTTCGCAAAGTCCACGCTGTCGACGTCCAGCGCTTCCCGGTAAAGTGGCTTCTTCTCAGTGCCAAGAACGTCGGTGCGGCCTGGTGGCCTGTGGCTCCGCGTGGCACTGTGATCTGCAGCGCACAAATGAGAGTTTGCAGTCCTCGGGTGATACAATAAAGGTGGCCGCAGTTGCTATGTGGGGAATGGGTTTGCGACAAAGGAAGTCTGCGTGACAAAAATTCAATTCAGAATTATTTATCCGTTACATGGGAGACAAACGGTAACACTTATCAATCCACGTCTCTTATCAGGTAAAGCCTAACAGGCAGACATTCCTCCTATGAAGCAGTGTCATCAAGGCCTACCGCATCAATCAGTGTAGAGAAAACGTGCAGAGGTCAGCCGCTCACAAACAGCAACAAGTCACAACTCCCATCATGCCTTGTGTGCATTTCATGTAATCACATCGCATGTACAATGCTTTCAGCCTTCATTAGGAAGCCACTGGAGCCATGCACTTTTAAATGTAGATTAAAAAACAATTTGTTTACAACTGCGGATGATTACGTACGGTGTGAGAGAAGTTCAATATACATACATGCACCAGATCAAGGGATGTGTGGTCGTATTATTGTACTGATGAGTCCTTGAGAGGATGAAACTGGTCTACAGTTGTCTCTGTTGGAATGGCCACAATTTTCAACTCTGTGAGTTCATAGCCTTACGATAATAGGAATGTTGCAATATGGTACATCTAATCACGGCTTATTTTCATACAGCGGCGTCTTTAGCGATGTTTGCACAGAGGTGCAGTAGACAGCAGACAAGTGGGAATGCAGCCAGAAAAGGCTACCAACTATTGCCCAAGCTCTGTGGCCCTACATCGAGATGTTTGGCGAATTCCATTACGAATGATGCATGACGACGTTACGACGAGCACGCGCGCCGCTTAGAATGCGAGTTTCGCGAGCAGCAGGAAGCAGGCCGTGTTGCACGACGCGCTGTGTTACCGTGCGGAGGCGCAGACTGCGGAGGCACGCGCGACGGCCGAGACGCGACGCCACCGCCGTGCGGGTTGCAGTTAGGCAGCAGTGCGGTGTGGTTGGCCACTTTGGAGAGTCGCATGGCCGTGGCGTGGCTCGCCAAGTCCAATTCGGCCACCAGATTCCGCTTGGCTCCTTCGTTGCCATTCTCATCATCTAAGATCAAGAATTCAGGATGAATGCGGGCGCAGGTCATGATTTACACGGGAGATGTTTTTTGTAAATAATGTTCGTATATGGCAACATGAGTGGTGTGGGACGGTGCCTGTAGTCAGATAGACGTGCATTAGACACTCCGCCAACATCAAAATATCGCACAATCTTGTAATAATCATACTTGTTAGCGTGATGGACTAAAAAGAGACGTTACGCCCGATTCACGTATTTGTCTCCCCGCATAAAAAACAAAAGCACTTCCTACACATTTCATCAGCCACATGACTGCACAGAAGAGCACAACACAAGCAGGCTGGAGGAGTCCTGACATGAGGTGTCTCATCAGCATTGTGTCAGGCTCGCTTGAAGCAATGCTGGTGAGCTGACAGACGTTATAGGTAAGGACCATACGTGAAATATGGGTTCTAGATCGACACAAGATAATATCATAGATGACACAAAATAGTGATGAGTGTTGTGGAGAATTTCAGTAACAAAATAAATGTCCAAAGAATACACCTTCATATAGCTGTCCCTCCACATGAAACACTGAGTTACACATACGCTTGAAGTGGCCAAGACAGAATGTTGTAACCAGAAGCAGACACGTCTGGCACAACTTCACCTCGCATCCTGCTGTCCGCCACTCCACGGTGCTCTGTTGCCATCTCCCCTGTGCCCGCGCGGTAATCCTCGGCGCGCGACGTCTCCCAAGGGTGCAGAGTCTTTCCCGGGTCTCTCGTGCGCACAGACTGAGTCCTCTTACCCTGCGCCGCACTGGGCCGGACGCTGGGGCTGGGATGACGCGTGGCCCTGACATCTCTCGCACAAACCGCTACGCAGGCGGCCCTGGACTGGCGACTCCCCTCGGCGCCATTGGACTCGTGGTGCGTCGGGCCCAAGCGCGGGCGTTCAGAATAACCAGGGTCGGGTCTCTTGTGCTGTGAGGGAAGAGACTCGAGTCGAGAGTACTCATGGGTCCTGTGGTTCGCAGGAATACAACTTCCCCTGGACTCCTCAAGGGTGGCCCTGTTGGTCCTCTGCGCTCCTGGCTCTGTGGCCTTGTGATCGAGCGGGTTTCTGTGGAGTTCTCTCTTGTGGATGGCAGCGGAGGTGAATGTGTTGGTGGCTGCAGGCTGGTGGTGCCTGTGCTTGTGATGAGCAGAATTTGCCTTGAGGAAGTCTGGCAGGATCAGGTCCTCTTTGCAAAGCAGTCCCCGCTGATCGTTGACACGATTGCTCTGCGCCTTCACCAGGATTTCAAATAGTTCTGTCGAAACACAAAGCAATATCATCACAATTAGAATCTTTATTTAGACTGCAGCAATCCAATGAGCTATGAAGCTCTTCACAGATTTCCAGTCGGAGTAGGTCAGCAGGTTACAACAACAAACAATACAAAAAAACGATAGGAGCGTACAATAGAGAAAAGGTAAGCAAGTCACTACAATAAATAAATATAGATAAAGTATATAAGTACAAATTAGGATCATTTAGCATGGGGAATTAAATATTTTGAGTTCCGCAAGAAAAAAACGCGTGCTTTTCACAGCCTACCCGCTTCAGTGAGTTTTAAATCCGCTTACTGACTGGTTTGGAACAGAGCGCGCACACGACCCCGCGTACGTGAAACTGACGCGCGGCGATTCCGAGAGACATGGGGCACGCTCCACGCACGAGCCGTGGGCACAGGCAACGGGGCTGGCAACACCTCTGGCTATGCTCTTTTGTCTGCACAGGAGACGCAGAGAGCACGTCGTAGAGTAGCTCACGAATAAAGACAACGTTCTGTTTGTTGACATCTCGGCCGACATGGATTAGTGGACCCCAACGAGTAACATCTTTTAGAATGCACACAGTCCTAACCTTCAACATCATCCATCTTTGTCCCAGTTTTCTTTTTTCTTGATATATAAGTTTGTTTTGACGAGTTTTCACATTTTTCACCACTTCCAAAAATAGCTTTCGCAGTTGAAATATGTCTTGCATAGGACTTTTTTTCATTCCCCGAACGAACCTGCATTACACACAAAAGCATGTCGCCAATTAGCCACTCAGCGATCAAGCAATATCTGTTCACGAGCACCTATTACATTTGACAAAGTAGACTTGAAGGTGATTGTGCCAGGCTGCGTCTGAGTATCCTATGCTGATGTTGGTCAGGGGCGAGTGTACAGAAATCGCTCCTGAAATTTTTCTGGCAGGTTGCGATCACAGTTTGATTCTTAATGCCATCAGAGGTTACGGACCACCAGTCAAAGTAAATACATGGGTCTTAGTGAGATTGCAAAGCTGTGAGCGTTCAGTGGTTGCTAGGGATTACAACATCTCTCCCACTGCACCAGCCAATCAGAAGCTAAGATGACAACCCCCATGCAACATGGCTACCGTGAGCATCACGGGTGCGCTGCCACCCTGCTCACACTGGCCCATGCGTTCACGTGAGTGTGACGTGAGCGGCACTCACCTGGACCGGGCTGCTTGCGAGCACGTGGGCAGTTGCGGGCGGCGTGTGACCGCATTCCGTAGCGTCACCGCCTGGAATTTACACACCACCACGACCACCACGAGCTACGTTTCAGCTCCATCATCAGATTATTATCATAACACTTGTTTACCCAGGAAGCCTCATCGAGTCTCAGTGCTGTGGCTAAAAGCCATTGGGAACTTGGTTAGAATATTAGCTTCACGATAGCGTAACTACACATTCATATAAAATCTATAAAACAAAGTGACATTTGTATCAATGCTGACCGCACGGTCAGGATGTAATCAATAATAAATTCAGAAACAATCTCAAGACATTTGTGTAGAAAATTGAAACAAACTAATCCGGCGATTCTTAACGATCAGCGCGGCATGTGGTGGCGACGCAGCAGCCTCGGCGCGGGTTTACGCCGCTGCGGCCGGGACCTCACCCTGCTGGGTGCGTAGCTGCTGCCGCCGCGTGTCCAGCACCACGCGCTGCCCGTCCAGGCTGGACACGGCGATCCCGAGGTCGAGGGGGACGCTCTGCCCTTCCTGTGAAAGACGCGTGTTTGTGTCGCCGCATTGAAACGTTTGACCGTTACGGAGAATTCAGAGCGTAGCTGGGCATCATTATCGGTGTTAATGCGTTGGTTTAAACAGCATTGGCTTATGCAAGCCTGACTCTGTTTGTGAGACAATTAATGTGCAAACCGATCCAGAGTTTGCTTGTGATAAACCAATGGTACTGAACATTATTACTTCAAGAAGACCATGTGGCCAATGCGATGTTTAACCAGGTAAGAACTCAAGATAGTCTCAGTGATCCAGAGCAGTGGGGGGCAATGATTGCTGTGCGTAATCCCAATTGGGTAATCTGCAATGTTTTATTTTTATTTGGAAAATGTGGACCCCGACGTTGGCGCACGAAGGCCGAATCTTGCGAATCGCGTCGCGGGATCTTTAACATCCACTCTGAAGCAGATGGTGCACAGCAGAAGTATTATTATAATCGTTATCATGCACCTCAGTAATAAGCAGGGCGACTGCAGGATTCGATCCGTGAACCTCTGCAATGAGCAGCGAGCGCTGCTATCGCTGGGCCACGCCACCGCCCAATATTCTCCGTAACGAGGTGAATGATGCTCCCCTGCGAGCCGTGCGTCTTGCAGGCGGGACCCACCATGGTAGCCACGAGGTCCTCCAGCTTCATGCCGTACTTGGTGACGATCGGCTTCAGCACCTCGGTGACGGCTTTCGTGGGCTTGGCTTTCACGCCCACGGATCTGTTAATGGGAACCAGGTCCAGCCTACGCACAAAACAAAGAAAAGATCCCCCGTGTTGCCTTTTTAGCACGGGTGGCTACGTACGGTATGAAGGAAGTTCAACATACAACAGACTTTTGATTTAAAGCTTTCGTGACTGCAGGGATTCATCTTCTTGGTTCTTTTGGTAAAGTCACGTAGAAAGGAAATAATAAAATAATATAAATATATTTTTATATAATATATTGCTTTATATTAATATTATTTTATTATTTCCCTTCTACGTGACTTTACCGAAAGAACCAAGAATATACCACAGACTGTTTGGGCAAGTGCTGTTAGCGATCGCACACACATACCCAGCAGCCATGCACATGAAGCACCTTCTGAAGGAATTGTGGGAGAGACAGCGCTAACAGAAGAGATTGTTACGTAAATAAGGGGTCAGACTGGGTTCACATGACCACGTCTGAAATGTATATGCCTTGTATAATGCAAATCATCTAATTATATTATTTACGTGGCTGTTAGCATGTGTGATGATTTGATGCGACTGCTGTGCGAAAGCTATAATCAACACACAGCTCTCCAGGAGGTTGTGTCATTACCGTGGATTAAAACGGATGTTGTTCTACTACAAAACACTGAGATGAGATAGCCCATGAGGCGCCTTCCTCAAAACATTACGACGCTTCATGGACACTGGTAAACATGGGCGGATGAGTGCGAAGTGGTAACACTCATGCCTGGCAGCAAGAAGGACCTGTGTTTGATACCCAACTCAGTTGTCATTCTGTGTGCTGAGTTTGTACATTCTCCCCCTGTTCTATCGGGATTTTTCCCACGTTCTCCAGTTTCCTTCTCAAGATTAAACACATACAGTACATTGTATATTGTATTGGCCAAACATCTCAATGCTGAAAAGCTTCACTGCAAGCTAATGAATTGGGATTAGACAAAGCAATATCGTCCCCGACTGCAAAATCCAGTCGTCTTGTGTGCGAGAACTTGCCTGAACAGCGTCCTGGGCTCCAGTCGGATTTCGCGCATCGCCAGGGAAGAACTTTCTTGCTCCATGACCAAGGGCTAGGGAGATGAAAAGTCAAGCGATTATTGTAGCATGCACATGGGGCAGCTACGCGTGTATGTAGCCTTGCCTATAGCCTAGCGTACACGAGAATTTCCTTGACAGCAGCCGGCTAGGCCGTGCGCAGAGTAGCATGTGCAGAAGCGGCGTGGCACTGAGGCCATGCCAACGCCTGAACCCAGGTGAAGTGAAACACCTTTTCTCCGCCGAGCAGGAAGACGTCTGTGGCCGCGAGCGGGAGACCCCTCTGCTCGCAGAGCGACCGCAGAAGCTCCCGGATGGAGAGGCGTGGCCTCACGTGCAGAGTGGCGCTGTGCCCATCGGGCAACACCACACGGCACCAGTCCTCATCGGTCCCGGCCTACACATGCTCACGACAGCCCTCACCGTTGCACTTCCCATCTCTGCTTTGTTGCATGCACATTTGTAAACACAACATCGGGATTAATTTTTAATCGGTATAATAACGATGATGATATTTTCTTATTTACCCAGAAAAGTCGCATCGAGTCTGAAGACTCCTTTTCAGATGGGTGCTGTTACATTGGGACATTTTGACATAAGTTCCACTGTACGTTTTTGATTACTTACGCACGGAGAACCGAGTTCAATTCCTCCACTGGTTTATCATGACAATTGTATCGTGCTCGTTCACAGTTGCCCTGTTCAAGGCCAATGTCGTATTTGGTCCCAAAGCCGGTGCAAACGCCACTGAGACCGGGCGCAATGTCTGGTCACCTGGTCCGGAATGGCAGCCGAAGCTTGGTTGGCAGTGAGCTGTGAAGCTGCCGGGCTCACGGCGGGGGAGGCAAGGGAAGGCAGGGGATGTCCCCCGACCTCCGCCAGAAGGCAGTGCTGGTAGAGAGCCGACTTGAGGAAGCGTGCGTAGCTGTCAAACTTCATGAGGCTGAAAATCTGCACACGTCACCGCGACAGCAGCGCCACAGCGCCGTGAAGGGACGGGGGTCGTGGACGAGAGAATTCGTGAACGAGCGGAGTTGGACTAAAATCGTGGAAACGAACACGAGCGCGGTCACCTGTTAGCGTAGCAGCCTCATGGCGGGCTCCCCTCGTCGCACGCATTCTGCGACGCGGAGCGGTGAAAATTCGCGTGGCGTCTATGTCACGATCGCGTCCAGGAGGACGGCAGAGAGGCGGGCGACGACACTCGTACCTGCTGCTGCTGCTCCAGGAACATGTGGGCGTGAGGATCCTGCAGCATGCGCTCGCAGAGCTGCCCGTGGCTGTCGATGTTGACGGGGTTGGGCGCGCGGCGTGAAAGGAACGCGTGGAAGATCTCTCTCGCCTTCTCCCGCAGCTGTGAAAAAGTGACGCGAATGCCAATAAAGCCAACAACTCTTACAACAAATTCAACAAACTGACATGCTAAGTGATCACTTTCATATACAGCTGCTAATTGTCCTGTAACTTGTGTTATACTACCTATACAATGTTCCTAATTGCGTTCTGCCAAGGCATTCACCAAGATAATAAATACATGCGTCTCTTTTTAATTCGAATACATTTAATTGAAGACAAAACACGTGTGCTACGAGCACTGCAGTGCTGTGAGAACGACAGTGATTGTAAGAGTGACACTCACTGTGTATGGCAGTGCTGTGAGAGTGATACTCACGGTGTGTTTGTCGTGATAGGCAGTCTGCTTGAACTGTTCGCATGCGAGCCAGAACAGGATGTTCTCCTCACTGAACTCCTTCTTCAGGAACTCCTGTTCAATCAAAGGGGAGGCTGCTTCATTGAATAAACACAACTTACTTCACAGATGAATCCCAATACTTGCAATGTGCAACAACATAAATACCATTAATCTCTAACTCAAGTACAGACAGTACGTGTTGTATTTATTATCAATATTATTATTAAGCCAGGAAAACCTCACCGAGTCTCAAAACTAATTTTCAAGTTTCTGCAGTCGGGGGAGAAATCGGTATGTGTGATCCCAATTGAGTAATTTGCGGGTAATTTTTCAGCATTGGGATGTTTGGCCAACACCAGGTACATTGTACTTTTGGTTTCAGCTATGGGAGGAAACTGGAGGAAACCGATGCAGAACAAGGGAAGAACTCCGCACAGAAAGACAGCGCCCAAGTTGGGAATTGAACCCAGGCCCTTCTTGCAGCGAGGCACAGACTTGTGACTGCGCCAACCTGCCACCCGGCATGTGCAGCTCTGATGGTTCTACTGCACTGGGCGCTCTGCCGGCGTGAGGCCCGCGGGGCCGTGCGCTCACCGTGAAGTAGCGGAGGCCCAGCGGGTCGTGCAAAAGGCGCTCGAAGGAGAGGGCCCAACTGGCCACGCGGCCCTCGTAGGAGAGCTGCTGCTGGCGCCGCACGCCGAGCGCCGACGGCAGGCTCGCGTTGCTGCTCACACTCTGCTGACTGCTGCTGGAGTTCAGTTCTCCCCGATCTAACTCTGTCCAACACAATCATCAACATCCAGCTCCACATCCCACAAGGAAACCCAGGCAAGACAGTGTGAAAGTGGAAAGACAGCTAAATATACTAGTTTCAAAAACTAAAATAGACAAAGTGGTTTCCTGCACACATGAGCATTGAGGCAGTGCTCATCTCCCGTTTAGAGCGCTGGGTCCATCCATCACGACAGCCACTGTTGACTTCTCCACCACAAAGTGTCTGAGTGAGCTACGCTGACCTGGTGCTGAGAGCACTGCATGGGAGCAATGCCACTCAACCAGTCGTTGTGAACCGCAACAGACCGGCTTCCAGAGGTGAAGAAAAAAATACTTTGAAAAGTAAAGACAAAAAAGAATTACGATTGTTCACAGCAACAACACAGAAATGGTAGAGTTGGTACAAATACCAGTTACCAGACGTGTGTTGTGAGGGGTTTATCGCAGAATAAGGTTGGGGATGTCGTCAAGGTGATGGTGATGATGTGGAGGATGGCGTGTGAAATTAGGCACGCACCCGCTAAGGGAGACGACATCGCGTGTGAAGGGGAAGATGCGCGGCTGTCAGACCACGATGTTTGCGGTGTAACGCGGGCGCGGGATCACGGAAACTCCGCAGCCAACCCTAACCCAAAGCGGCTTCGTTAGTGCCTAGTATCCAGAGGCACTGCGATGGTGATGGATTCTAGGGAAGCAGTGGCTGAAAAGCGAGGGAGTGGCGGAAACCCAGAGGGCCGCTCGCCAGGTCTGCACACTGTTGGGCCGCGTGCGTTTTGGGCTCGCGAGGGCAAGCGTGCGCGCGGTCCGCGAGCGTGCGACGTGACGGGACCGGGGACGGCAGCGACTCGGGGAGTGGCCGAGACGCAGACAGAGCAGGGGCAGGGAGCGCGGAACAGCAGACGTCGTGCGGGGACAGGGAGAGCGGCGCGCGGGGCGCGGGACGGGAGAGCGAGAGTCGGGCCGACGGACGGGGTGACAGCGGTGGCGGGCCGCGAGGGGGAAAGAGGCCCTGGCGGTAGCGGCCGGTGAGAGCAGGGGGCGGGGGGGGGTCTGCAGCGGTGTTCACCCAGGCCGAGTGAGTGGACAGGCACACAGAGTCCGAGAAAAGGAGAGGAGTTTACCACATCTAAACAGAGTTATAGCAATAGAATTTGTTATGTTGGAACTGAAATATAATTGTCAGTGAATTGAGGATAGGATCCTATGAACCAGTGTTATGATCTGCATGTAATTTACTCTATTTTGTTATTTGTTTGTCATTTTGTAATCAGAGCTTGTAAATACGTTTAGAAAATAAAGTGAAAACAGCCAGGAGATCACCACATATTATAACGAATACCACGAGATGCATTCATTGTAATAGCACAACATTAAAATGTCTTACCGCATTCCATTATCCTGCACGCATGATGAGGGAGAAGTGAACGTGATTCCTGGCGGCTTAGGTCTAGAGTGAGTTTGCGAGACCGCCGGCCCGCCGCGGGGTCATCCCCATGACGGCTCCGGCAGCGGACACATCGTCCCCGGGACGGTGAGTGCCACTGCCACCAGCCGAGCCGGCACTGGAGCAACGCAGACTTCGCGCCACGCACACGCAGAGACGACTACGGCGCGACTGCGTCCCTACGCACTCGGCTCACACGTGGACGAACCTGCCAGGGACTGCACCTCACTCATTACACACTGCACCAGCCTCAAAGTGACATCTTACACTAAAACTGATCCATTGCTTTCAGACAAAATCATAATCGCGGGCTTTATTTGGTCAACGACTAATCCAACGGCCGAGACCATCCCTCTAAAGCGCGTCCCTTAGCAACGTGCTGACACACAACGTAAATTATGCACGTGCTATGCATTATGTATTAAACGCAATGAAACCGCATTTCGTGTAAGTATCCTAATTTGCCAGACACATAACCTCAACCACAACTTACGAGTTTTGTAATGACAACCCACATGATGCAAAACCATCTTTATATTTAAGATGTAAAGGATGTTGAAGAGGACTTCACAAGGGAGGCTCTGAGAGCGCTGGCCAATCTCCCAAAAGCAGCAGCAGTGTCCCCACTGCCGGTGCTGCCGCTGCTGCCGCTAAATCAACCGTCACGCGCTGACAGAACTAAGGCCGATGCATGCCGTGCCTGGGATTAAACTAAATATTGTGTGCTGAAAACACATTTGACAATTATGCACAAACAATGGAATGAAAATATATCTTACGACATTCACATCACCCCACGCCATCAATAGTGGGGTGCCATCGTGCCGAGATGTTAACTACCTTGTCTGGTATACGGGAGGTCGTGGGCTCGATCCCACCCCTGACGATGCCTGCTGCTGTATATTTGGAGTTTGCGTGTTTTTCCCGTGGTCGCGTGAATGTTTCTGCGTTTAGAGTATTTGGCTGCTATAAATTTACACGTGATAAGCCACTTCGTTGAGCTATCATTTGTGGCCAGGCCGCTTCTAAAAAATAGCTATATAGCTGAGTGGGCCTTACCTATTAAGGAAAAAAATAGTTTAGTTTAATTTTGTTTTTTAGTGGCAGTCATCGAAATACAATTTGAAATTTTACAAACAACCGTGTAAATTTATGACAGATAATAATTGTTTTTGGGTCAGCCCACGTAATGCATCTCATGAAGTTTTTTGTCGTGTAACCATCCACGACCTGACACAGCCAACCTAATTAAATTGTCATGTGCACGAGTTTTTAACATGTTCATTATTATCACATCAACTCACTGCAAAGTTGGAGAACAATAACCAAATTTAGCAATTGGATGTTAGATAATGTTGAAATAGAGTAATTGAGACAGAACAGAGTAAAATAAAGGCAAAAATGAAGAAGGAAAGCAATAGAGAGAAGACTACACGAAGCGACACCCCGCCGCCATCACCCCCCGGCTCTCGCTCTCCCATCCCGCGCCCCGCGTGCCGCGTGCCGCTCTCCCGGTCCCCGCACGACGTCTGCCGTTCCACGCTCCCTGCCCCTGCTCTGTCTGCGTCTCAGCCGGCCGAGGTCCCTCGACGTCGCCGGCTCCCCGTAACGTCGCACGCTCGCAGACCGCACGCACGCCGCCTTGCTTGCACCCGCGAGCCCAGAATGCACGCGGCCCGACAACCCAAGGGCCCCGGCGAGCGGCGCTCTGGGTTTCCACCGCAGCTCGCTCGTCAGCCACTGCTTCCATAGGATCCTTCTCCCTCACCGCTCCGTGCCCGCTTAACACCGCAAACATCGTGGTCTGACAGCCACGCATTTTCCCCTTCAGACGCGATGTCGTCTCCCTTAGCGGGCGTGTTCCTAATTTCACACGCCATCCTCCACATTATCACCATCACCCTCGCGACATCCCCAACCTGATATCGCCATAATGCCATCACAAACACATGGAAGTTATGAAAGTTAAAGTAAGGGCAGAACGCAGAACTTACCTCCATCTGATGCCACAGTGCCCTGTGGAACACAAACAGACAGCTTATTTACACACAATCCACAGAGCTACTGCCACTCGCCAATGCATTACATCATACCGTGGCACCCTTTAAGCTTGGAGTACATACACCCATATACATGGAGCACACCTACTAGATACCAATTGTACATATTTCTTGACTGATGTTAAACTGTGATGTATTTATTTTCTGTACGAATATTCAAAATGACACGTGACACAAGCCTACGTACTTGTTGTTAATTATGATTCATACCATTGATTTAGTTTCTGACTCTGAAAAATCTGAAATAAAATTAATCAAGACTATAATTACTCTTTGGTTCTTTCGGTAAAGTCACGTAGAAAGAAAATGCATTTTCTGTGTTTTGTCTCTCTCTCAAATTAGCAATCTTTGGAAGAACGTAATCAACCAGGTGGGGTGTTGACTTGTGTTAGCCGACTCTCTGTGTTATATTGCATTATATCTCTAAGTTTACTAGGTTTGTTTTCTCATTCATTCTTACCTGATGACGGTTGCTTGTCTTGCAATCGAAACGTCGTATTCTATTATTATTTAATTTATTTTCTTTCTACGTGACTTTACGTAAAGAACCAAAGAGTAATTCCTGCAGTCACGAAAGCTTCGAATGAAGACTATATTTTTGTGAATATTTGGATGAGAATGCGTTTCTAGGTGTAAACTTGAAAAAAATTTGGCAGTGGGTGACAATGAGGATAGGCAACTCCCAGCATCACTCGTCATGCGCAAGCGTTAAACACAGACCCAAAATATCAAGCGGTCAGCAACAAACAGCACCATCAAAGTTGAAATGGGTAAGAGTGGAAGGCCATTAGAAGAGCTTGAGAAAAGAGAAGGTGGAAGGGTTACCCAAAGTGGAGTAGTGCGAGGGACGAATCGAAATGAGAAATGAGGTGACCTGCAGTCTGGTGAGTGAGTGAGCGAGCGGGTGATTTATCGGGTGAGAGAGTGATTGAATGAATGAGTGAGTCGGTGAGTGGGAAGGTGAGCGTGTTGTTGTGTGTGCAGTGTGGTGGTTGAACACAGTTTTGATGAAATGAAAGAGTCTGGTTGATAGGCCGAGTCCTCAACATGGGTGGAGCAATCAATGAGTGAAGTTCACAGGACCAGTAACCATCACAGTTAAGTGCTCCTCGGGATTACAGAAGGTGACAACAGCCCTTGCCTGGGGCACAGCACCCACACCTACGAGCGATGACTCCCACACGTGTGTTGGTTATATTCGGCACGAGCATGCCGCCCACCATATCCTCCACGCTCGTGCAACACCACACACAATGTGACTGGCATTGGCCAAGCTTCCCAAAGCTGAAAATGTACCTGCTTTTCTCAATTGGCATTACATTGTCGGAATATCACCCCCTACTGAAAAACAATTGGTAGGACCCTCCTGAAACAGAGCCCTGAGACTCAATGAGGCCCTATAATAATAACGTGATTTTGCCTCTCTCCTTTTTATGGTGTTCACCGGCAGGTTCGTTCGACGTCACACATGGTAACCTGATGTGCAGCTGAATCATCTAGAATTATACATATTTTTTTTGAGGGGGAAAGCATGACTGTGAATATGGACACAGCCCACATGAATTGTACTACTAGGCACGCGACAGTGCTAGCCAGTGCAATAACAATGCACAACATTGATTGAAGGGTTGCAGGTGGATGCCCTGCTGCATGACCCCGATGACACAATCGGGATAAAAATACTCGCGCAGAGCTGACGGGCACCACACAGAGGCCAGCGGGATCTCCTTATTTGCCATGGGTGTCTGTGTGGGGTAAGGGCAACAGGCAAGCCGGCATCACACACACACACAGGGGAATGTGCCCCGCACAGCCACCCACATCCTGCACTGAGACCCACACGCCGCACCCTGCGCTGAGACCCACAGAAGGGCACAGCCAGTGGCAGGCTCAGAGTCAAGAGAAGGGCACAGCCAGTGACAGGCTCAGGGTCGATGCCCAGGAGATGTGACGCGAGGCAGTGCCCATGCGGTGGAAGTGAAGACCAACCAACACTCACATCCAGTGCGTCAGCCGATCGTGTGGATCTGTTTCCGTTGTGTCCTGTCCTTGTGATGGGATCTGTGAGCCTTCCAGATGACTCCAAGTCCTGCATGGAAACACACCGCACCAATTAAGCATGAGCGTGAATAAACAAGTATCTCTCACACTCGCTGGAGTTTCAGCTAACACCATACTTTAGCTTCACATTCTGCTTCATCACATTACACACAGTGACAAACACATTAAAACCTCTTCAAGCTGGCAGGTCTCAAGTAAGCCAGACAGGCTACGGAAATAAATATAATCCACAAATACTCCACGCAGAATACTGTGTGCACACTAATGAAGCGGTAAAATTATATGCTAATCATGTGCAGAAAATTCGAGATGTACGTTTCACCACGAAGAAATGTCAGATGCTCATCCCCCACCACTGCAATAAATAGAATTGTGTGTGTGCATGAGCAATTCTAAAGCCATAAATGTATTTGTTGTATGCATTTCGCCGAACATGTGCCCTTGGATGCCTCTGTGATCTAACGTTCTCCACTCGGCCTCCAGGAAACGTTTTGTAAAGCACCGATTCATTGGTACTTCTATTTGTGTTTGTTCGCAAATATTTTGTCGGCAAAATAAATATTTTATTAACAAAATGAGCACGATAATTACATGACAACTCTATTTTACAAAACAGACAATACGACTGTGGGGACCTTATACCGCACGATGCATCAAAGTGGAGCCACATCTCAACTTACTTTCAGGAGGGTCTTGCCAAATGTTCGCAGTCGGGAGGTGATGTTGCTGCTGTGTGTAATCCAATTTACGGGTCATTTTTCATTTTTGGACTGTTACGCTCGCACACAATGGCCAACTCTTGCGAATGACGTCACAGCATCTTTAATGTCACGTTCTCTAATTAGCGAAAACATTTGGTGATTTCACCTGTAGTTATCCCAATTGAGAAATTTGCAGGTAAATTTTCAGCATGAGGATGTTTGGCCATTACAAGATATATTGCACGTTTTTGTTAAACAAACCCTGGCGCTTCCTGACGTGAGGCACGAGCCTCACCACTGCGCACCACCCTGCTGTTTGTATAGGCATGAATACAGCTCCCTATGGAGCAGCCGTACAGTTTCTGTGTGTATTCAATAGAAGCTTTGATATCACACCACATTAAACTATATTCCATTAAACCGCACTGAATTGTACCTCTGGTTGACTGAGTGATGGCCGGGTGAGATCCTCATTGGTTTGAGAAAGCTGTTGAGTGAGTGAGCTTCTGTCGGACGTGTTGCCCTCAGCTCTTTGCTGTGGAGCGACGGCCTTCTTGTACTTGTTCATCTCAATGTGCATCATGGGAGGCGGCAGGTCGCGTGGGTAACTCGCTGACTCAGCGTGGTCGCGGCCCACTCCCTCCGCCACGCACAATGCTCCTTCTCCAGCACAGTACTCCTGGGTATCATTGTACTCCGCGACGGATGGCGATCCGCTCGCGGCTACGCCAGCGTCCTTGCTGCAAGAACAATCCTCTGTATTGCGTCGTTTGTCAAGGTAAACGTCATTGCGTCGAGATGCCCCTTGAGTATCGTTGTCGATCAGTGCAGTGAACCTCGCACCGTCTGTAGTCCGGTTATAATTACTGCCCACTGAGACGCTTGATGTGTAAAGAGACACATTCTCATCTAATAACAGAGTTTCTCCGGTAGGCTCTGCGCCGCCATTCCCATCCAACGGCAAGTCCTTCACCTCCATCCCAAAGCCTCCGATGCCACTGTCACTGTTCAGGCTGTAGACGCTTCTCTTGGCTTCCACTTCTATGTGTCCCACGTCAGCAAATGCCACTGCCCTGATCTTCTCAATTACTTCTCCCATTTCACGATAGAGCACAGACACAAACTGTAGCAGTGTCTGGCTCGAGTCTCCAAACTCGAGGCAGCCGTTTGTATCGGGGTCAGGTGTGCACTCGAAGAGAAACTGCTGGGCAACTGGAACATGGCAGCTGTGTGCGCTCAGAGTGGGATCAATAAAAAACACGTGACAAGACATCCTCAGTGCACCACCGCCGCCCTCACCCGCAGTGTCGTCGACGTGCGCTACGGTCACAATGCCAACTACATTTCTGTCATACGGACAGACGACACTGAAGGCCAGCTTGTCCGCTGGATACGTGGCGATCAGAGCGTGTTCTTCATTGTACAACTGAATGCAGTCCTGGAGGATTTTCATGAGCAGAAGGGAATGGATCCTGTGCTTGGTACGAAGGCGCTGTAAACACGACTGTATGGTGGACAACACTTCCACCTCTGCGTCCATGTCAAACGAAGGTAGCTCCACTGACCCCAAATAGCACACAATCATTTTAACGCTTAAGAGGTCAACATCCCCCGACAGTGAATCATCAGGGTCATCGGTCCCTTCCCACCGAGATGGCAGCTCGCAGCCTCCATCACCTGAGCCTGCGTGTGGGACCGCCACAATGGGATAAACCAGCGACTGGGCCCTGTGGGCAGGAGGCAGGCGCTCGTCTGTCATCAAGCCATGGTTGTTTTCCATCTTGTGCAATATGGGAGCACCTTTAATTACACCATCCATTTCAAATGATTCTCTGTATTTGCAAGGGGATGTCTCATTGTTTGAAAGAACATGTGGTTTGTTGTAATGTTGTGCCATCACTAACTTCAGAGTGTGGAGGGATTGCCCAATAAGGGCGACCACACCGTGATGGCTGGCGCAGGACACATCTTTGTCGTTTATGGCCACGATTTGGTCTCCGGCACGCAGGCCGGCCACGTCGGCGGGGCTTCCTGGTAGCACGCAGTTCACCAGGCACGGGGCACGCGCCACCACCGTGAAGCCGTAGCCGAGCGGGCCCCTGGCGAGCTCCACCGCGTGCAGATCCTCCCTCCTGTGCCCCGCCAGACCCACGGGCCTCGCCTGGGCCAGTGCCGAGTCCATTGCATCTTTGTTCTCCAGCACTTGTGGTGAGCAGAGGCCCTCATCTACAAATACCACAGCGCAAAGACCATCCTGTGCTCACAGTGCACAAACTCTCTCCTGAACCCCTCTCGTAGCTATCAGACCTCGATATTTCTATTTAGTTCCTGGACCTATTGCTGCTGTACACAACAACAGAATTGCAAAGTTATCCATACTCTACAGTCCGCGCTTACGGCACGTGACATGTCGCTTCTACGCACATGGAAAATATTCACCAGCATGTAAACTATTTTTTATGATTCATAATTGGTTTTTGAGTTAAGCCACGTAATTATTTGGTCAAATGTGTCATAAAAACTTTCCCCACCCAAAATAGCCAGACAAAATAGATTGTCACATGTACAAAGTTCAACGCCCCAGTTAGTATATTGTTTGAGTTCAGCGGTTAAGTTAAAAAACAATTATCATCATTAAATGTTGCAATTGGATGTAGTACATTATGTTTCGCTTGAAACTCTGCCAAGTATCTTCAGGACAGGACCCTGCAAGTTTGGTGGCGGCGGTTTCATGACACAAATTTGGCCAGATCATGACGTGGCCAAACCAAAACATTAATTTCGACGCATGAAATGTATTGCCTGCGAAAGTTCACACCCATTTTGAAATATGGTGCAATAAGGCACATTATTAAAATGCGGAAATTTTAATTAGATACAAAAACATCTATAACATAAAAGCCATGCTGTTTAATTAGAGTGGAGGCAAGCTTAGCTGCAGGATCCATCACAGCCACTACTGCTGACATTGCCACTTGTCTACATACACGTGCACCATTTGTTGGCGAGTGATAAGGCGGCAGTTATCTCTTGGTGGGCCGATGCCAGTGGTGAACATTCCACATTACAATGGGGGGAACCAGCCTTTGCCTCAATTGTTATTTAAACTTGTAGATTTGTTTTATTGCGTCCAGTGCTCTGACACAGTTGCACCTGTAGCTCCCAGACTTTGTAAGGGTATTCCCAATGATCTAGCTATTCCCCAGCCACATTTGTAAAATTTCCGATATTCCTGGGTGACTCTTTTCTGCACGAAAGTTCGAACTGGGAAAATGCAGAGCGCGGAGAGCATAACAGTGAAGAGTTCTTCGGTGTACGAGCGAAAAACAGCCTCGCACAATCAGTCCACTCGACGACAGCAGACGTCTGTGGAAGGAGCGTCAGCTGGGAAACCCGGCAGCGTGCGTGCACCTGGGCACGACATTGAAGGCGGCCTGGGACCAAAGCGATGAGACGGAGCGGCGGACGAGAGCAAGCGGCGGTGTGTTTGTAAAGTGCAGCTCGATCCTCGTGTAAAGCAACGTAGCAGTGGTCCCGAAGAGGAAGGGTGTAACCAACGTGTGTATACTACCTGCTATGCGCTATGTCGCATGCTTTAGAAACACGATCCTTCATTAACAAATGCTGAGAACACCCCGAGATGCACGCTGGGAATGAGACCGAGAGGCAGGGAGGATAACTCGCGGATTAGAGGACAGGCTGGGCGAATGGAGGAGTCATTGCGACTGTGAATCAAAGTGAGCGCGGGCTTTGGGGGGGGGGGGGGGGGGTTCGTCACGGCCAGAAGGGGCGGTGGGCGATGGTCGAGACGAACACCGGAACGGCAGCCACACGGCCGAGAGAGGACGCCCACCGGGGAGACGGAGCGATGAGATCGACTCGCGGGTTGATACATCGCGGGACCACGAGGGGTGGCTCGCGATGATGATTCTCAACCACGGAGCACAATCTCCACGGTGGTGTCAGCGGCGAGTCTCTGTGTGTGTGTGCTGTGCCGGGCTCGTGTCGAAGCGCCCAACAGTGGTCGTTGTGAGGCTTCACAGTGAGCGGTGTCTCATTGTTGTCGCAGTGGTGAGTGTGCTGTGGTGAGTCGTGAGTGGTGGGTGTGCTGTGGTGAGTGTAAATCAGTGAGTATTGTGTGAGTGGTGGGTGTGCTGTGTAAATCAGTGAGTATTGTGTGAGTGGTGGGTTTGAGTGTTAATCAGTGAGTGTTTGTGAGTGTTGTGTGAGTGTTGTGAGTGAGTCTGTGAGTGTTGTGAGTGAGTGTTGTGTGAGTGTGTGAGTGTTGTGTGTGAGTGTTGTGTGAGTGTTGTGAGTGTTGTGTGAGTGTTGTGCGAGTCTGAGTGTTGTGTGAGTGTTGTCTGTGAGTGTTGTGAGTGAGTGTTGTGAGTGAGTGTTGAGTGAGTGTTGCGTTAGTCTGTGAGTGTTGTGTGAGTGTTGTGTGAGTCTGCGAGTGTTGTGAGTGTTGTGTGAGTCTGAGTGTTGTGAGTGAGTGTTGTGTGAGTCTGTGAGTCTCAGTGTGAGTGTTGTGTGAGTATTGTGAGTGTTGTGTGAGTGCTGTGAGTGAGTGTTGTGTGTGAGTGTTGTGTGAGTGAGTCTTGTGAGTGTTGTGTGAGTCTCGGTTTGAGTGTTGTGTGAGTGTTGTGAGTGTTGTGTGTGTTGTATGAGTCTCAGTGTGAGTGTTGTATGAGTGTGTGAGTGTTGTGAGTGTTGTGTGAGTGTTGTGAGTGAGTGTTGTGTTAGTCTGTGAGTCTCAGTGTGAGTGGTGTGTGAGTGTTGTGAGTGAGTGTTGTGAGTGTTGTGAGTGAGTGTTGTGTTAGTCTGTGAGTCTCAGTGTGAGTGGTGTGAGTGTTGTGAGTGAGTGTTGTGAGTGAGTGTTGTGTTAGTCTGTGAGTCTCAGTGCGAGTGTTGTGTGAGTGTGTGAGTGAGTGTTGTGAGTGTTGTGTGTGAGTGTTGTGAGTGAGTGTTGAGTGTTGTGTGAGTGTTGTGTGTGTTGTGAGTGAGTGTTGTGTTAGTCTGTGAGTCTCAGTGTGAGTGGTGTGAGTGTTGTGTGTGTTGTGAGTGAGTGTTGTGTGAGTGTTGTGAGTGTTGCGTTAGTCTGTGAGTCTCAGTGTGAGTGTTGTGAGTATTGTGTGTGTTGTGAGTGTTGTGTGTGTTGTGAGTGAGTGTTGTGTGAGTGTTGTGAGTGTTGCGTTAGTCTGTGAGTCTCAGTATGAGTGTTGCGTGAGTGTTGTGTGAGTCTCAGTATGAGTGTTGTGTGAGTGTTGTGTGAGTGTTGTGAGTGTTGTGTGTGTTGTGAGTGAGTGTTGTGTGAGTGTTGTGAGTGTTGTGTTAGTCTGTGAGTCTCAGTATGAGTGTTGTGTGAGTGTTGTGTGAGTGAGTGTTGTGTGAGTGTTGTGAGTGTTGTGAGTGAGTGTTGTGTTAGTCTGTGAGTCTCAGTATGAGTGTTGTGAGTGTTGTGTGAGTGTTGTGAGTGAGTGTTGTGTTAGTCTGTGAGTCTCAGTGCGAGTGTTGTGTGAGTGAGTGTTGTGTGTGAGTGTTGTGTGAGTGTTGTGAGTGTTGCGTTAGTCTGTGAGTCTCAGTATGAGTGTTGTGAGTGTTGTGTGAGTGTTGTGAGTGAGTGTTGAGTGTTGTGAGTGAGTGTTGTGTTAGTCTGTGAGTCTCAGTATGAGTGTTGTGAGTGTTGTGTGAGTGTTGTGAGTGAGTGTTGTGTGAGTGTTGTGTGAATCTCATTGTGAGTGTTGTGTGAGTCTCATTGTGAGTGTTGTGTGAGTGTTGTGTGAGTCTCATTGTGAGTGTTGTGTGAGTCTCATTGTGAGTGTTGTGCGAGTGTTGTGTGAGTGTTGTGTGAGTCTCATTGTGAGTGTTGTGTGAGTCTCATTGTGAGTGTTGTGTGAGTGTTGTGTGAGTGTTGTGTGTGTTGTGTGTGTTGTGAGTGAGTGTTGTGTGAGTGTTGTGAGTGTTGTGTTAGTCTGTGAGTCTCAGTATGAGTGTTGTGTGAGTGTTGTGTGAGTGAGTGTTGTGTGAGTGTTGTGAGTGTTGTGAGTGTTGTGAGTGAGTGTTGTGTTAGTCTGTGAGTCTCAGTATGAGTGTTGTGAGTGTTGTGTGAGTGTTGTGAGTGAGTGTTGTGTTAGTCTGTGAGTCTCAGTGCGAGTGTTGTGTGAGTGAGTGTTGTGTGTGAGTGTTGTGTGAGTGTTGTGAGTGTTGCGTTAGTCTGTGAGTCTCAGTATGAGTGTTGTGAGTGTTGTGTGAGTGTTGTGAGTGAGTGTTGAGTGTTGTGAGTGAGTGTTGTGTTAGTCTGTGAGTCTCAGTATGAGTGTTGTGAGTGTTGTGTGAGTGTTGTGAGTGAGTGTTGTGTGAGTGTTGTGTGAGTCTCATTGTGAGTGTTGTGTGAGTCTCATTGTGAGTGTTGTGTGAGTGTTGTGTGAGTGTTGTGTGAGTGTTGTGTGAGTGTTGTGTGAGTCTCATTGTGAGTGTTGTGTGAGTCTCATTGTGAGTGTTGTGTGAGTGTTGTGTGAGTGTTGTGTGAGTCTCATTGTGAGTGTTGTGTGAGTCTCATTGTGAGTGTTGTGTGAGTGTTGTGTGAGTGTTGTGTGAGTCTCATTGTGAGTGTTGTGTGAGTCTCATTGTGAGTGTTGTGTGAGTCTCATTGTGAGTGTTGTGTGAGTGTTGTGTGAGTCTCATTGTGATTGTTGTGTGAGTCTCATTGTGAGTGTTGTGTGAGTGTTGTGTGAGTGTTGTGTGAGTCTCATTGTGAGTGTTGTGTGAGTCTCATTGTGAGTGTTGTGTGAGTGTTGTGTGAGTCTCATTGTGAGTGTTGTGTGAGTGTTGTGTGAGTGTTGTGTGAGTCTCATTGTGAGCGTTGTGTGAGTCTCATTGTGAGTGTTGTGTGAGTCTCATTGTGAGTGTTGTGTGAGTGTTGTGTGAGTCTCATTGTGAGTGTTGTGTGAGTCTCATTGTGAGTGTTGTGTGAGTGTTGTGTGAGTGTTGTGTGAGTCTCATTGTGAGTGTTGTGTGAGTCTCATTGTGAGTGTTGTGTGAGTGTTGTGTGAGTGTTGTGTGAGTCTCATTGTGAGTGTTGTGTGAGTCTCATTGTGAGTGTTGTGTGAGTGTTGTGTGAGTGTTGTGTGAGTCTCATTGTGAGTGTTGTGTGAGTCTCATTGTGAGTGTTGTGTGAGTGTTGTGTGAGTCTCATTGTGAGTGTTGTGTGAGTCTCATTGTGAGTGTTGTGTGAGTGTTGTGTGAGTCTCATTGTGAGTGTTGTGTGAGTCCTCATTGTGAGTGTTGTGTGAGTGTTGTGTGAGTGTTGTGTGAGTCTCATTGTGAGTGTTGTGTGAGTCTCATTGTGAGTGTTGTGTGAGTGTTGTGTGAGTCTCATTGTGAGTGTTGTGTGAGTCTCATTGTGAGTGTTGTGTGAGTGTTGTGTGAGTGTTGTGTGAGTCTCATTGTGAGTGTTGTGTGAGTCTCATTGTGAGTGTTGTGTGAGTGTTGTGTGAGTCTCATTGTGAGTGTTGTGTGAGTCTCATTGTGAGTGTTGTGTGAGTGTTGTGTGAGTGTTGTGTGAGTGTTGTGTGAGTCTCATTGTGAGTGTTGTGTGAGTCTCATTGTGAGTGTTGTGTGAGTGTTGTGTGAGTGTTGTGTGAGTCTCATTGTGAGTGTTGTGTGAGTCTCATTGTGAGTGTTGTGTGAGTGTTGTGTGAGTCTCATTGTGAGTGTTGTGTGAGTCTCATTGTGAGTGTTGTGTGAGTGTTGTGTGAGTCTCATTGTGAGTCTCATTGTGAGTGTTGTGTGAGTGTTGTGTGAGTGTTGTGTGAGTCTCATTGTGAGTGTTGTGTGAGTCTCATTGTGAGTGTTGTGTGAGTGTTGTGTGAGTCTCATTGTGAGTGTTGTGTGAGTCTCATTGTGAGTGTTGTGTGAGTGTTGTGTGAGTGTTGTGTGAGTCTCATTGTGAGTGTTGTGTGAGTCTCATTGTGAGTGTTGTGTGAGTGTTGTGTGAGTCTCATTGTGAGTGTTGTGTGAGTCTCATTGTGAGTGTTGTGTGAGTGTTGTGTGAGTGTTGTGTGAGTGTTGTGTGAGTCTCATTGTGAGTGTTGTGTGAGTCTCATTGTGAGTGTTGTGTGAGTGTTGTGTGAGTCTCATTGTGAGTGTTGTGTGAGTCTCATTGTGAGTGTTGTGTGAGTGTTGTGTGAGTCTCATTGTGAGTGTTGTGTGAGTCTCATTGTGAGTGTTGTGTGAGTGTTGTGTGAGTGTTGTGTGAGTCTCATTGTGAGTGTTGTGTGAGTCTCATTGTGAGTGTTGTGTGAGTGTTGTGTGAGTCTCATTGTGAGTGTTGTGTGAGTGTTGTGTGAGTCTCATTGTGAGTGTTGTGTGAGTGTTGTGTGAGTCTCATTGTGAGTGTTGTGTGAGTCTCATTGTGAGTGTTGTGTGAGTCTCATTGTGAGTGTTGTGTGAGTCTCATTGTGAGTGTTGTGTGAGTGTTGTGTGAGTCTCATTGTGAGTGTTGTGTGAGTCTCGGTGTTGCTCGAGTCGAGTTCACCCTCCAGCGCGGTCGCCATGGCGACGCGTCCCGTCCCCTCGCCCACGAGCCTCCCTCTCACCGCCCTCACATGGCCGCCAACTCCGCGCACTCCCTCAGTCGTCCACCCTCACCCACCCTCACCCACCCTCACTCACCCTCACCCTCACTCACCCACCCTCACCCTCACCCACCCTCACGCTCACCCACCCTCACTCACCCTCACCCTCACTCACCCACCCTCACTCACCCTCACAAACTTCACTTTTCTCACGCACACTTACACTCACCCCACAGTACACGGCGGAGCCCCGCGCACTCTCAGCCGCTGCAGCGATCTCGCGCCCCTCACCCGCAGGCCCCGCCCCTCACCCGCAGGCCCCGCCCCTCCCTCGCGGACTCCGCCCCTCACCCGCAGGCCCCGCCCCTCACCCGCAGGCCCCGCCCCTCCCTCGCGGACTCCGCCCCTCACCCGCAGGCCCAGCCCCTCACCCGCGGACTCCGCCCCTCACCCGCAGGCCCCGCCCCTCACCCGCAGGCCCCGCCCCTCCCTCGCGGACTCCGCCCCTCACCCGCAGGCCCCGCCCCTCACCCGCAGGCCCCGCCCCTCCCTCGCGGACTCCGCCCCTCCATCCGCGCCCCTCCACTTCCGGCGCCCTCCGTAGGCCCCGAGAGGCGCCGGGGTCGCGATGAGCGCCACCGCCGCGCTGCGCTTCTGGGAGCGGGGCCGCAAGGCGGTCTGCGTGGGCAGAAACTACGCGTGAGTAGCCCCCCCCCAGTCCACGGGGAGATGGGGGGGAAGAGAGGGGGGAGGGAGAGAGGGGGAGGGGGGGGGAGGCAGAGGGGGGAGGGGGGGAGGCAGAGGGGGGAGGGGGGGAGGCAGAGGGGGGAGGGGGGGAGGCAGAGGGGGGAGGGGGGGAGGCAGAGGGGGGAGGGGGGGAGGCAGAGGGGGGAGGGGGGGAGGCAGAGGGGGGAGGGGGGGAGGCAGAGGGGGGAGGGGGGGAGGCAGAGGGGGGAGGGGGGGAAACGGGGGGGAAGGGGGGGAGAGGGGGGGGAGGGGGAAGGGGGGGGAGAGAGGGGGGAGGGGGAGAGAGGGGGGAGGGGGGGAGGCAGAGAGGGAAGGGGGGGAGGGGGGGAGGCAGAGGGGGAAGGGGGGGAGGGGGAAACGGGGGGGAAGGGGGGGAGAGAGGGGGGAGGGGGAAGGGGGGGGAGAGAGGGGAGAGAGGGGGGAGGGGGGGGATGGAGGGGGAAGGGGGGGAGGGAGGGGGGGAGGAGAGGGGGGAGGGGGGGAGGAGATGGGGGAGGAGAGGGGGGAGGAGAGGGGGGAGGGGGGAGATGGCGGGCTGAGATGGCGGGGGGGTCACCTAACAAACATCTTAAAATTGTAGATCATTAAATGTGCGTCAATCCAGCGTACGTCGACAGCAGTAGCAGAGTTGGAGGCACAGTGCGCCGTGTAACAACTTAAAAGTACGTTAACAGTAATGGCCAATGTCTTCCATCCGTCCACATGGAGGTGACGTGGCGTGTGATGCACGAGGGCGCAGGGAGCACGCGAGGGAGCTGGGCAACCCCCTGCCCCAGGAGCCCGTGCTCTTCCTCAAGCCGCCCACGGCCTTCGTGCGGGAGCACGGCCCCCCTCTGCGGGTAGCCGCACCCAGCAGCACCACCAGCAGCACCAGCAGCAGCACCAGCACCACCAGCAGCACCAGCAGCAGCACCACCAGCAGCACCAGCAGCAGCAGCTTCGCCTTAGCTGACAGGACACCGGCTTCGTTTACATTCAGTTGAAGTATGGTCATAGAACCCCCACGAAGCGCACGGTGTGGGGAAGCCCTCATCCAGCAGTGGACTGATGAGAGGGGCTGGTATCTAAACCTTGAGTGCACGCTGGTTCGTGCGGCGCGCACCGGGATGGGCTGACACCAAAAGGCGTCGCCAATGACCCTCAATCGACGGGGAGCCCGTGGGAGACGCGGTCACTGAGCCACCGCGTGACGCTCCGTCTGCGTCTCCCGCCTCGTGCGTGGCGCTGCTGTTTGTTGCAGGCTCCGTGGTTCTGCTCGTCGCTGCACCACGAGGTGGAGCTGGGAGTGGTCGTGGGCCGAACCGGGAGCTGCATCTCTCAGGCGGCCGCCATGGAGCACGTGGCAGGCTACGCGTTATGCCTGGACATGACGGCGCGGGACGCGCAGGAGGCCTGCAAGAGCAAGGGCCTCCCCTGGACTCTCGCTAAAGGTCGGTGGTAGTGGTGTTGTTGTTGTTGGTGGTGTTGTTGTCACACGCGCCCCAAGTTCCCAGTTGGGCCCCGTGAGGTGAGCCGCTGCTCCACTCGATACCCTCCCCCGTTCACGACCTGGGGCGGTCCCTTGACCGAGCGGTTCGACATCCGGCGTCTGCCCTGATTAATGCCGCGGGTGAACTGGCAGCAAACGCGGCAAGCCGTCTGCTTCGCAGTGCTCGATACAGATCCAGTGATGTCGTTTTAAAAGAACAATAGGCCATTGTGTGCCAAGCGTCACGGTCTAATAAAAACAAATACCGGCAAACGACTTAATAGGGACCCCCGCCCCCGCGTGCTGCTGTTGTTGTTGTTGTAACTTGCTGACCCGCCCCTACCGGACATTTGTGAAAAAGCGCTTCAGTGCTCGCAGCTCCGATGAGCACGGTTGGCTCCATTAAACAGACAACACACGCACACAGCTTATTGGATTCCTCCAGTCTAAATATGCCGATTCTGAAAATGCCAACACTTAGTAGGACCCTCTTGAAAGTCTTGTGATTTGGTGAGGCTTTGCTGGGTAAGCAGGCGATACAACGTCAGGGCTATCCCTGCGACATTCAAGCGGTGGTACTTCTAGTAGCGAACCCTCGCACGCCCCACCGTCTTCTCCCTCCGGCGACGTGCAGCAGACATCGGTCCAGGGGATTCACCGCCGTGCTGCTAAAGTCCTGTCGATGGTGGCCGCCACGCGATACGCGTACACGGCCACCATAGGGGATGCCCCTCACGTGCCTGAGCCTCGCCTCCCTCGTGGGAGACACGCACCCTGATGCGATGTCCAGCAGCCACATTGGGAGCCTGCGAGGAGTCCGAGCCCTTGGGTGACTCATGATGTGAACGGGTTTCATTCGCAAGAACTGAAACTTTAACCGCAGCATTGTAAACCATTTCACTTATCAACTGTAAAACAATAAACTATATGGGCGACAAGGTGGCGCAGTTGTTAAACGTGCCCCGCAGTAAGAAAAATCTGGGTTCCATTCCTGACTTGGGCACCAGTTTGTGGAGTTTGTATTATTGTATCCCGCTCGGCACGGAGTTCCTCCAGCTTCTCGAGTTTCCAACCGTCCGTAACCAAAAGCACGGAGAATGTCATTGCCCAAACATCCCAAAGCAGCACCATTCTGAAAAGAGGCATCTTCAGACTTCATGTGGCTTTCCTGGGTAAATAAGTAACATTTACCACTTCGTTTAGATTCAGTAACAGAACCTGCTTGGGTGGAAGTAGCGGTGTGAGCTGCTCGGTCTGTGCCATTTATTTTTAACAACTAGATCGTAAATATATATTTAATCGTTGTGTAGAATCTTTCAAATTGTATGTTGAGTTTTAGTGTCCGTCTGATGATGGCGCTTTGAGTGGGAGATTTGTGCCACACGTATGTACGGTAAACAGCAATACTGATTACTTGACTTGCTGGTGCACGTGTGCCACAGCCTTCGACGGCTCGTGTCCCGTGAGTGACTTCATCCCCAAGGAGCGCATCCCCGACCCCCACGACCTTAACATCTGGCTTGAGGTGAGCTCCCCACTCACGCCGGTACTGGCGGCTAGCCCCCCTCCCTCGTCCCGTGGGGCTCTTAGGGGGGAGCGGCATGGATACCGTGTAGGAGAAATGTAACTGTGCTTGGGGAATATTGACGGTACGTTGCTGCGCCAGAACACCGATAAACAACGTGAAACAAGTGCCTAATGCACGACTTGCCAGCACATGAGGCAAACGCCTTGCACAAGGCACTCACATTTGTTGATTCAGGCTGATACGGGGGTTGGTGGTGTTGTTGTGTAGGTGAATGGGGAGCGGCGGCAAGATGGCCACACCTCCAACATGATCTTCAGCATTCCTTTCCTCATCAACTACATCAGTAGCTTCATGACTCTAGAGGAGGGGGACCTCATCCTGACAGGTATATCAATCCTTACAATACGAAGATGGTGCTGATGATGATGGTGATGCAAAGTCAGGACATACACACATGTCCACACCAATGGATTCAAGAATCCACTTGCATTTCTGGCCACCTCGCTGGCCAGCGGGTGTGGGAGTTTGGTAAATTCGTGTCCGTGTCCGTGCGCCAGGCACCCCCTCGGGGGTGGCGGCCGTGCAGGAGGGGGACGAGCTGGTGGCCGGTATCAGTGGCGTCATCACGATGCGCTTCAGAGTGGCGGCGCGTGCGCCGCGCCCCTGAAGACGCCACCTACAGAGGGGAGTGAAGCTATTTGGAGACATTGTTCAGCTCAATTGAAAATGTGGAATGTGAGAGTTAACTGTTAAACAATGACCATCTGTCCTCAGATTTCAAACTAATTTAAGAGTTGCCATGTTTATGAATTGTGCAATTATGAAAGAATACGATTAAATGCTTTTCGTTGATTATAGGTCCACTGGTGTGACGGTTGCATTTTTTGTCGCAGCACCTCTTTGGATTAAAATGTGTAGACTCATACAGGTTTTAATGCTTTACCAGCAATAACCACAACGGTGCAGGCAAAGCACCACGCTGGGTGACCTGGTATAGCCACCAGGATCCCTGGCGAGGCCACGCGGTGAAATACACCATATGGGCGATGTTTCGGGCAAATGACCATTTGTGTGAGAGTGCATGTGGCAATGCCGCCCGCGTTGTCCTCTTGTGTTAGCGGTGCCTCTGCACCAGCACCAACAAAGCGGTCTCTACTGTTCCATAAAGACAAACGCACATCGTGGGACGCAGGGCAAAGTGAGCAATGAAATCCAGTTACATTTTATTATTCAATTATATTGCCTTCAACTGTACATACAATTCAATATTTCCCAACAAATATACGTAGGGGTATATTCTTTAACAAATGCGTTATGTTACAAACCCATTTCCAATAAATCTAAGACCATTTTTATTACAAGTATAACCAGTGAGACACGACGGAGACGACGCCAACATGTAAGTAAATAAAAAAAAATCACGCAAAGGGAAATGTTGGAAGATGGGCGTTGTAGTGCGGGTCTTGCTATTCCTACCAACGGCTGCAAGGGTCGGCCAAACCATACCAACGTGAGCAGCAAGTGCCAACGAAGGTAGTAAGCTGTAAGAACAATAATTCAAACCTATGCTTCCTTCGTTGAGGGTTCATTGCGGTTAACACGTCGTGCACGACCGCGGAACGAAGTAGTGTTCCTTGATCCTTTGGTTATTCACGAGAGCCACACTGCATTCTCGTCCCCGTGAGGATGTGGAGAAGCGCCAAGCTGAGAGCGACACAAACGGGGCCAGCCACACGCTCAAGGTGCGCGGCCACACGCTCAAGGTGCGCGGTCACCCCCGTGCGATGATGCCGTCCACTCGTAATAAACCACCCAACTACATCGCTACGTTTCACTAACCCATTCACTTTATCAAGACGCAGAATCACAGAAGACGTGACGTTGACAAAAATCAATCCGAGGTCGGGTCCACAGAGCCACGTTGCGTGGCCATTCAAGGGCCACGCCAACTCCACGTCGAGACGCAAGCCGGGTGCGGCTGGACGGCTCGACGCGGCACTCCGACGGTGCCACCGCAGAAGCACTGTGCCGCCTTCGTCGCCCTGACCGGGGGTCCGAGGAGCGAGTTGGGCGAGTCGCCAGTTTAGTAGCATATTCTTAGGTTTTTTCGGTAAAGTCACGTAGGTAAAAACATCAAAATTAATGAAAATAAAAAACAAAAAATCACAACGTTTCGGAGGCAACACAAGTCTCCGTCATCAGTTGGGACCGTCACAGCCGAATTAGCTGTATCAAGTGAGGCAATGATTCAAGATGTAATCCCTTATAAGCAAGTTGAAGGGGGGGGGGAGGAGAGGGGGGGGGGAGCTCATCAGAATGTGGTAGCCAATGAATGGAAACGTATCGGGAGGGAGGGGGGCGGGGCTCAAAGACAGCACGGAGTGCTCAACACATGGGGCAGAGAGGGGGAGAGGGGAGGCCTGATACACATAGACAAAAGAAGGAAAATGCCCCTGTTTATACCAATGCTGGCTGAACAATGAAGAGAGTACTGTTAAAAAATAACTGGGGATGTTAATACTCGGTAAAGTAAAGTAAAATAGTGCCTGTCAGATAAGATGGTCCAAAATGATTACTAAGTTTGTACCCATCATCACGGAAAGATGTTATCAACCACGCAAAAAAGACTTAATTACACTTTTTTGGACCATCTTATCTGACAGGCACTATTTTACTTTACTTTACCGAGTGTTAACATCCCCAGTTATTTTTTAACAGTACTCTCTTCATTGTTCAGCCAGCATTGGTATAAACAGGGGCATTTTCGTTCTTTTGTCTATCATGTGTATCAGGCCTCCCCTCCCCCTCTCTGCCCCATGTGTTGAGCACTCCGTGCTGTCTTTGAGCCCCGCCCCCCTCCCTCCCGATACGTTTCCATTCATTGGCTACCACATTCTGATGAGCTTCCCCCCCCCCCCTCTTCTCCCCCCCCTTTAACTTGCTTATAAGGGATTACATCTTGAATCATTGCCTCACTTGATACAGCTAATTCGGCTGTGACGGTCCCACCTGATGACGGAGAATTGTGTTGCCTCCGAAACGTCGTGATTTTTTGTTTTATTTTATTTTCATTAATTTTGATGTTTTTACCTAGGTGACTTTACCGAAAAAACATAAGAATATGAATCCTTGCAGTCACGAAAGCTTCAAATCTAGTTTAGTAGCAGACACTGGATTCGACTCGGGCTTCACACTGTTGCCATTGGTAACTTGTGACTATTATTCCAGGTGACCCTCCGACGACCACAGACTACGCAACGTCACGGTGACACAAAGCGCAACCCGCGGGGGCTGCACCCGCGGGGGGGGTGGGGGGGGGCTGGCGGGGGGGGGGGCTGGCGGGGGGGGGGTGTACAGTGCACGTAGAGCCGATGTCAATTCACTGCTGGACGAGGGCCCCCTTACGCTGCGCGTTGGTTGTCAGGGTCTGTTTGACCATACTTCACCACGCTGGTCAGTGCGGGTTGGTGAGGTGGGGGAATGTGGACTACTGTGCAATTGCTGGACTGCTCCCTGTTGATGTAATAAACTCCGTATATAAGAGGCAACATTTTGGGCCATTGCCCAAAACGTTGCCTAGTATACATTTTTCCTTTCAAAGGGACGGTTTTGTTATTGACAAACGTGTTGACTTGTTTTGTTATTTGGACACCGCTGGCAATGCAGTATCACCACACAATCTGCTGATAGCTCAGTGCTAAACCACATTTGTAACCAAGTGTAAAACTAAATCGCGCCATTAAGCCAATGTTACAACTGGACGTGACTATGCACAAACCGTACGCGCAGGACACGCTGAAGATGTTTTATCAAGTATCCACCACTCTTTAACCAAACACCTTCAACACGGAGTTAAGTACTCGAGGGTTCAGGGCTCGTCGGACGCACGGCGCCGCCGCTACAGCGCCACGCTCGCCAGGCAGACGAGCAGCTGTGCGTACGGGTTCCCTGGGGCGGCCACCACCTCCAGCACCGACTGGAACGCCCGGCGATCCAGCTCCTCCTCCAGCTGGTTCCGATAGAAATCTAATCCAAGCACGCAAAACAGACGCCTGTCCGCTTTCTCAAACTTTCCAATGCGGCTGATCACGTATGGGAAACTGATGGACGCGGGGTTAAGGAAAAAGAAAAGCGTTTGGCCGATGACCGCGATTCACAACTTTTGTGGAACCATGGAGTACGGTGCAGTGAACAACTCGGCGCTCTGGGGGGAACATCGCATCATGGGGCCACTCGGCCACAGCACAGGCAATGACGATACACGCGGCTGCGTTACCATCTTCATCACGGCTTCCAAGCTTCTACTCTGGAAATCCTTGGCATGAATGGACATGAATGGAAGTCTCGCTCCCAGACAACGCGGAGAGGCGGCTATCTCAGGACAAAGTCTGATTAGATCATAGAGTAGCTCAGCGGTAGGGTGAGCGGCTCACAAACAAAAGGTCAAAAGTTCTAATCCCGGTTGGGGGTTGACTCAGCCCATCAATCCCTCCGGGGTAGACCCATATTGCAGGGAAGTCAACAGTCGTCCTTTGGAGAGACTCGCCCACGCCATAGGAATGTGGAATTTCACCACTGGCTGAGGGCTGTACACAATGACTCACACTAGCACAGAAATAGCTCAAGATTTGTTTCGTTTACCGCAACGAACGTGACAACCGTAGCAAGCGTTTGGCTCCGCTGCCAGGCGCGGGAAGGATACAGCGCAGAGATCCACTGGGTGTGCGACGCGCTCACGAAGAAGCAGCTGAGGCTCCACACGGCCATGCTCATGGGCGTCCGCTGGGTGAAGTTGGACAGCGACAGCATCACCCACTCGCGCACCATGGACGTGCGCCCACTGTCGTGTAGGCCTTGGAAAACCTGCGGCAGGTGGCAGTGAGAAGCCGTGAGTGGAGCCGTGCCGAGGGCGACCAAGATGGACCGCCACCAAAGCGGCCGTCCCCATTTGAATTGTTTGCTCAGAGCCGACGTTCATCTTATCGTTTAAACTTTCAACACGCCGCCGCTGCCGCCGCACAATACTCGCTCGCTCTGAACACGACAGAGAACGGCACGGAGGCGCGAGGAACCATGGACAAGCAGGACCCAAGTCACGCGGCGAGCTGGCGCAAACAATTGCCTGCACATGTGGGGGTGGAGACCAGAATACCCGGAGGAAACCCACGCGTGCGAGGGAGGAACACTATCCCATACATTGGGATCTTTGGATGAAATGGCCCTTACAAATGTAAATTATTATTATACAGAGGGAACAGGTGGAGTCCGCATTTTTGCTGCTACTGACTTTCTGGTTAGCCAGAGTATGGCTCCTCAACACCCACGGGGAGGGAGTTTCGCAACTTGTGTGCGGTGATCCACTAACCCTCGCTGCTGCCTCTACACACAGCGCTGGATTACGGCCACATGCAGTGTAGCCACCACCGGCTCTGCGGCGCCAGCCTCCACCGACCGCATCAGGCTCGGCCATTCACCGAGTTTGCGTCTCGCCGTCGCCACGAGCGCCACACCTCACCTTGTAAACCACGTAGGCCATGAACTGCGGGTACGGCTGCTGGCTCGAGAGGAACTCTCCGATGATTTTGTTCATGATGTCTTGCGGAGGGAAGAAGTCGTCGAGGAACTGGGGCAGGATTCGGGACACGACCCCGGCCTCGCACGGCACGCCCCTCCTCAGTCTGTCCGCGACAACGAGACGGGAAGTGTGGCGGCAATCACCGACGGGGGTCGTGGGGCACTCAAAAACGCCCCGGACTCACGTCCGCACAATCGTGGCCCGCACAATCGCCACACTACCACTGCGCTCGCCTGGCACCGTCAGGTGCGACGCTTACCTAGTCGCACCTGCCAGTGCTGGAGTCGCACCTGCCAGTGCTAGAGTCGCACCTGCGGCGAGAGGACCGCACCTGTAATTACCTGTCAAAGAGGACCGACACCCTCTCCATGGCCACGATGGTGGACTCGGTTTCGTCGGCCGCGTGGCCGCCGTCCATGGTATCGCCGCTGGAGGGGCCGCCCTTCTCACGTCCTGCACACGGGGGGGGGGGGGGCACAGCAATCGAACTTTGGCCAATCGCACCCCAACGCAGTCGTGGGACGAGCGTGTCAAGGCTTTGCTCTATAAACAGGATTCCCTCTTTCACCATCACCAGGGGCACGCGGAGGGGGGGCACGGTGAGCGTGCGGACGTGCGTGCGGACGCGCATACGTGCGTGTGGACGCGAGCGTGCGTGTTGTCGGTGCGGTGCCACTCACCTTTGTACATGCACGTGAGCATGAGGCCAAGGGCGGCCAGTGCGCGGTGCGGGCTCGACATGTTCAGACGCTCCACGCTCAGCTTCACCAGGGCGTCTCCATCCATCTTGGACAGCTTGCCGGACAGAGCGAGACGCTCCAGCCCCCGCAACACGCAGTGGTAGATGATGGAAGAGGTCGACTCTTCGTTGCCAGATATTACGACTCCGCAAATCTAACATGCGCACCAGGAGGAAAGACGACGATGCCGCGTCTTTGTGACCCCCCCGAGGTAGACGGCGGTCAACGGCACAACGACGGCTCGGGCAGCGAGTGAGTGGGCGGCGAGTGAGTGGGTGGTGAGTGAGCGGGCGGTGAGTGAGTGGGTGGTGAGTGAGCGGGCGGTGAGTGAGTGGGTGGTGAGTGAGCGGGCGGTGAGTGAGTGGGTGGTGAGTGAGTGGGTGGCGAGTGAGTGGGCGGCGTTCACCTCCGCGCGCCGATGGCGATGCCCGCGTGGGTTCTGCGGTGGTCACCTGTATGACGCGCGCGGTGAAGTCCTGCTCGATGTCGTCGGGGTAGTTCTCGATGAGGTAGAACGCAGCGGCGCACATGAGCAGCGCGTGCTGCTGGCTGTGCAGGTTCACGCAGCTGCAACACAATGGCCGCGGCGAGGTTACAGCGCGGGGAGGTTACCGCGCGGCGAGGTTACCTAGCGACGCGTTTACCACGCGACGCGACCCCGGCCGTGCCGTTCTAGCGCCTCCGACGGTCGCGTTTTGCGCACGGGCACCGACCGGCTCCGTCGCCGCGAACGTTGAACAGGACCCGACGGCCGATTGTGCAGCTCGAGGAATCGGTAATGAGTCGGGAGCCGATTGCCATCAATGGCACGACGGTCCGGCGACCGTGCGGACGTGCGGGGAGGGGCGTGGGGTGGTGGGCGCAAGAGACTCACTGCGCGATGCCCTCCAGGTTGCGCAGCAGGTAGTGCGACACGGCGGGGATGAGCTGGCGCGTCGTCTCCTCCAGCAGGTCGCACTCGAGCACGTAGAGCACGCCGTGCAGCGCGCCCACACGGCACGAGATGTGGGCGCTGCGCAGAGTCAGCTCCAGCAGCTGGCTCACGGGCTCTGCCATCGCACGGTCCTACTCACCGCACACACCACACACCACTCACCATACACCACTCACCATACACACACACACACCACTCACCTACTCACCACACACCACTCACCATACACACACACCTACTCACCGCACACACCACACACAGACACACCACTCACCATACACACCACTCACCACACACTCACCTACTCACCACACACACCACACACCACTCACCATACACACACACCTACTCACCACACACCATACACACACACACACCACTCACCTACTCACCACACCACACACCACTCACCATACACGGACACACCACTCACCATACACACACACACCACTCACCTACTCACCACACACACCACTCTGCTCCCCACACTCACCACACACACATACTAAGACACCACACGCCCCTACATGCCACGCTCGCCCCAGTGGGACGGTATGCGCGTGCCGGCTCGGCTGGCATGCGGGGGAGTCGTGGCGCGCCGCGAGGACTCACCATGCCCAGCACGGCCGCGGCCTTGCAGATCGCCGGGACCGAGTACTGGCTGAAGATTTCGTCCTCGGTGGGGTGAACCTTGAGCAGCTCCGTCAGGATGGCGAACATCGCCTCGTACTGGCTCCTCTCCGAGAACAAGTCGGAGATCATCAGCAGCTGTGGAGCAAACGGAGCGGCGCCATCATCCCACGGCGAGCGCGGCCAACGGCGAAAAAACCGCGGCGGGGACTTGCAGCCTCGCCGCTCCAGCGCGGCACAGGAGAGTTTCGGGAATTCACAGCGCGCACCTTGATCGTCACCACGGGCTGGTCACGCGTGTCATCTCACAGCGAGTTCGGTAACGATGCTCGAATGAGCCAGTGCGTGGGCGTGAGTGCGAGTGCGTGGGTGTGAGTGAGAGAGCGTGGGCGTGAGTGTGAGAGTGTGGGGGTGAGTGTGAGAGTGCGGGGGTGAGTGTGAGAGTGCGGGGGTGAGTGTGAGAGTGCGGGGGTGAGTGTGAGAGTGGGGGTGAGTGTGAGAGTGCGGGGGTGAGTGTGAGAGTGCGGGGGTGAGTGTGAGAGTGCGTGGGGGTGAGTGTGAGAGTGGGGGTGAGTGTGAGAGTGCGGGGGTGAGTGTGAGAGTGGGGGTGAGTGAGAGAGTGTGGGGGTGAGTGTGAGAGTGCGTGGGGGTGAGTGTGAGAGTGCGGGGGTGTGAGTGAGAGAGCGTGGGCGTGAGTGTGAGAGTGTGGGGGTGAGTGTGAGAGTGCGGGGGTGAGAGTGAGTGGGGGTGAGGTGAGTGCATGGGGGCGAGTGAGAGTGAGTGGGGGTGAGTGAGAGTGAGTGGGGGTGAGTGAGAGTGAGTGGGGGTGAGTGAGAGTGAGTGGGGGTGAGTGAGAGTGAGTGGGGGTGAGTGAGAGTGAGTGGGGGTGAGTGAGTGCATGGGGGTGAGTGTGAGAGTGCGTGGGGGTGAGTGAGAGTGAGTGGGGGTGAGTGTGAGAGTGTGGGGGTGAGTGTGAGAGTGGGGGTGAGTGTGAGAGTGTGGGGGTGAGTGTGAGAGTGCGGGGGTGAGTGTGAGAGTGTGTGGGGGTGAGTGTGAGAGTGTGGGGGTGAGTGTGAGAGTGTGTGGGGGTGAGTGTGAGAGTGCGGGGGTGAGTGTGAGGAGTGGGGGGTGAGTGTGAGAGTGAGTGGGGTGAGTGTGAGAGTGAGTGGGGTGAGTGTGAGAGTGTGTGGGGTGAGTGTGAGGAAGTGTGTGGGGGTGAGTGTGAGAGTGCGGGGGTGAGTGAGAGTGTGGGGGTGAGTGTGAGAGTGCGGGGGTGAGTGTGAGAGTGGGGGCGAGTGAGAGTGTGTGGGGGTGAGTGTGAGAGTGCGGGGGTGAGTGAGAGTGAGTGAGAGTGCGTGGGGGTGAGTGAGAGTGAGTGGGGGTGAGTGAGAGTGAGTGGGGGTGAGTGAGAGTGAGTGGGGGTGAGTGAGTGCATGGGGGCGAGTGAGAGTGAGTGGGGGTGAGTGAGAGTGAGTGGGGGTGAGTGAGTGCATGGGGGTGAGTGTGAGAGTGCGTGGGGGTGAGTGAGAGTGAGTGGGGGTGAGTGAGAGTGAGTGGGGGTGAGTGAGAGTGAGGGGGTGAGTGTGAGAGTGCGTGGGGGTGAGTGAGAGTGAGTGGGGGTGAGTGAGTGCATGGGGGTGAGTGTGAGAGTGCGTGGGGGTGAGTGAGAGTGAGTGGGGGTGAGTGAGTGCATGGGGGTGAGTGTGAGAGTGCGTGGGGGTGAGTGTGAGAGTGCGTGGGGGTGAGTGAGTGCATGGGGGTGAGTGTGAGAGTGAGTGGGGGTGAGTGTGAGAGTGCGTGAGGGTGAGTGAGAGTGAGTGGGGGTGAGTGAGTGCATGGGGGTGAGTGTGAGAGTGCGTGGGGGTGAGTGAGAGTGCATGGGGGCGAGTGAGAGTGAGTGGGGGTGAGTGAGTGCGTGGGATGAATGTGAGTGAGTGTGCGCAGTGAGCGAGGGAGCGAGCGAGTGGTGGAGTGGGGCACGCACCGACTTGACGACCTCGCTTGCCAGGCTGCAGGGCACCCTGCGGGAGGAGGGCCCCGCCAGCAGCCACTGCCCGTAGAGCTCGAGCAGGAACTGTGAGCACGAGTGCACGTCCACGCTCACGCGCTGCTTCCTGTGCACACCGCACACATCGCGACAACGATGACGGCGATCTCTGTGTACCGTGGACTCTCTTAAAGACGTCGGTGACCATGGCCTTTCTTCCACCTATTGCTAGCAGCAGCACCAGCAGCACCAGCAGCACCAGCAGCACCAGCAGCACCAGCAGCACCAGCAGCACCAGCAGCACCAGCAGCAGGGTGTAGCGCACCTGGAGTTGAGCGGGGACGATGGCAGCGACTCGGCCTGCAGCTCCACGTCCTCCTCCTCCTCGCCCTCCAGCTCCTCGGCGCGCAGCGGCGTGATCTTGGTGCTGAGCCAGATGGAGTGCACCGAGATCTGGACACGGACGGTAAATGGGCTGAGCGGCGACAGGGCGGCAGCGCGGCCGCTCAGTGGTGATACTGACGCCTCACAGCACCCAGTTCCTGCGTTAGATTCCTGCCTCGGGCACCTGACTGTGCTGAGTTTGTAGGTTCTCCCCCTGTTCTGCACGGGGTTCCTCCGGATTCTTCCAATGGATAAAAACACGCGATGTAAAACATCTCAATAATTAAATATCTCCAAATTACTCAATTGGGATTCAGCAGAGCAACATCACCCCCCCCCCCCCCCCGAGTAAAGAAGCAGAAGCCTAATAATAATAATATTTATTTTGTTACTCAGATTATACCACATCTCTCTCCACCTCGGAACAGCACTGCCAGTTTCCCTTGCCGGGTCAAGTCCAAACCGAGTCCTGAGGTTTCCCATCAAAAGCTACACAAAGCAAGCCTACGTGTTAAACTAAGCTGTCGCCCGACGGACACTCGCCCACTTCTCAACGAAACGGCCCCCAGGTCCCCGGCGGCGAGCGACAAAACCAACGGGCGGCGCGACGTGCGCGACGTGCGCGACGTGCGCGGGAGGCGTGCGCCGCCGTGCGCCGCCCCGCGGGTCGAGGCTGCCGACGCGTGGCGAGAGCGGTGGGGGCGCACCTGGCCGTGCTTGTAGTCCGTGTTGCCCAGGTCGCGCTCCACGTTCGCCTGCAGCAGCAGCCGCCTGTGGTTGACGAGGCACCCTGAGAGGAGGGGCACGCGCGCCGCCGCGTCGGCCCGTCAGCGCTCGCGACTATCGGCAACTCCGAATCGCTCGGCCAGTCGGCGAGCACCGCTCGCCTCTGCGGCGGCGCAGAACCAGACGTGGGAATTCCACGTTCCTACGTCGTGAGCCAACGCACACTCGGGTCGCTTTGCAAAAGAGGCACTGTCGTTTCACGGGTCTCGGTGCGTTTATTGCATCTCCTGGTTAAATAAAGGAGACGACAACCCACCGAGAGATCGATGACCACTTACAAGCAGTTAAGAGCCACTACCAATTTCCTGCAAAGCGGTGTTCACTTTAGAGAGATGACGAGCCGGGTAAAACACTTCCCGAGTATGGCACCTCAACGCGCACAGGAAGGGAGTTTCGCCGCATTTGTGCGATCCACCATCTTCGCGACGCCCAGTCGCTACGTTCTTACCAGACCCCGAAGGCGTGAGCGAGAAAATAGGCTCCTTCTCCTGGTAGGGGTAGTGAGTGGCGCAGCCATCGCGCTTTGAGGCCAGCGCCCAGATCTCTCGCTCCACAATGCAGCGCACCGCGTACAGCTTTCTCCCGATTCTGACCGACAGAAGGAAGCAAATTGTCGAAGATAATTTAGATATTTGGCAGTGACGTCCATGCTAAGACAAGCATGATGACCCATTTCAATAACCAAGGATGCCTCTCCAAACATATTTATCGCAATGCTCATAGCATGCCGAGTAAGTGAGAGTGGGCCGACTGAGTGAGTGAGGGGGGGGCTGAATGAGGGGGGGCTGAGTGATTGAGTGAGGGGGGGGGTGCGGGTGAGTGAGTGAGGGGGGGCCGGGTGAGTGAGGGGGGGCCGGGTGAGTCAGAGAGGGGGGCTGGGTGAGTGAGTGAGGGGCCCTGCCTGGTATTGAGGGCCTCGATCGCTTTATTCCGGGGCTGCTGCTCCATGCAGCCGCCCGCGGGGCTCCCCGCCGTGGGCAGCAGCATGGCGCTCAGCACCAGTGCCGTGATGCTGCGCACCGACAGCACGGACAGCTGCGTGCGCTCGCTCTCCTCCTGCACCACCGCACAGCGAGCCGTGGCGAGTCACGGCGAGCCATAGTGAGCGCACGTGGCGTCAAACGCAACGCTCCTCTCCCCAGACACTCAAACAATCACGCGGGAGGTGCACGGTCCGCCCAGACAGTGGCACCCGCTTCAATGCCTCGGCGCCTCGGAGTGCCGTACTGCGCTGCTCGTCTCAACCGTGCCCTGGCCCCGAGGTAGCCGAGCCAAGGGGACGTCTGCGGTGAAAGCTACGCGGCACGAGTGGAACGCGGACACCGGCCCTCGAACTGGTACGGTCCACCAGCGGAGGTCGATGTTGCTATGTCGTTTTCCCAATTAAAGTGATTTTCATGCAATTCTTTAAATTTGTCTCATTTGAACCGGCACACGCGGCCGACTGCTGCTTGAGCAGCAGGCTCCAGTTGAGCTATCGTACTGCGGGCCTCACTGGGACCACAGGGAAACCTGCATTACGTAAATGTTGTTCTCCTGGATTCAGTTTCTGAACTAAACCCAAGTCAGGTTGCTCTGCATTCCACATCATCCGTGTAACGCGGCGCGAGCAGCACCGCGGACGTCAAGAACCGCGACGAGGTGTCAGCATGGGAGGCGTGAACCCGGCGCGATGTCCCGGGGGGCGGCGCTGGCGCCGCGCAGCAGCGAGCATCACCTCAGCGGACAGCGCTCCCTCAGGCTCCAGGCCCAGCGGCTGCATGACGAGCACCCCGAGCAGCGTCGCCCACGACTCCTCAAACTGAGTGCGCGACGTCCAGCCTGCACACCACGACGCACGCGGCGTCACGCACCGGGCCTCCGGCGGCGCTGCCGAACGGCGTAAACGATCTCTGTTCTCCTCTTGCTCCAGGAGTCCCACAGACAACGAGACTCACTGCGAGAAGCGACATCGGCATGGCCGAGCCTTCATCTTACAGTGGATGGAAATTTCTATATATACATCACAGTTGCTGAGCACAGACCCAGAGGCCCAAAAGGTCAAGCGGCCAGCAGCAAGCAGCAATGTTATCAAAGTTGTAAAGGAAGGGTGTTAACTCTCAAAGTGGTTGTCTCTTAAAGTGGTGACAAGAGCTTGGGAGAAGAGACGGTGGGAGGGACTCGACCGTGGATGGAGGGAGTGCACTCACTCGGCGTGCATTCCTCCAGCGCTGCACTTGCCTATAGTGTTGAGCCGGCACACAAACTCCTTGAGGACGTCTTTGTCTCGCAGGAATTCAATGGGAATTTCCGAGAGGGTCGTTCCAAACACGCCCCCAGCTGTGGGCATCCAGCCCATCTTCCACACCTCCACAGACACGCGGACACACGGACACAGGAGAATCATTTTCAGAAGGGTCCTGCAACATTTTGTTTGGAAGCTGGAAGACACCCATGCAGCGCACGGAGACAACACAAACCCCACAGGGCAAGGTGCCCAAGCCCAGGCACTTGTTGCTGCGATTTCCATCGCGGGACCCTGTAGCCCACAAGATGCGACACGTCTGACGTGGAAATCCACGCCGTTTCCAGAGGCGAAGACGTACACATGGAGCGGGCTCACAGAGAAACCTATCGATGTGAATTCATCGACGTGGTGACTGCTTGCACGCGGTGCGGACGAGAGTCAGCACAGTCGGCCCGGCCGGACGCCTCCTTCAGTTGGCCGTGCAGTCCCCGTGCGGTCCCCGTGCGGTCCCCGTGCGGTCCCCGCGAGGCATCGCCAACACGAGCGCAGGGGGACTCGCGGCACGAGGCGCACGGAGGAACCGGCACTCACGATGGGAGGGGTCCTGGCGAAGCTGTTCACCAGCGGCAGCCTGGCCAGGTTCACCACCAGCTGCTTGATGGGAGCGACGAGGAAGGGTGGCACTTTGGCGCAGTCGCCCGCCGAAAGGGGCCCCAGCACGGCCTGCAGCAGCGCCGCGATCGTCTCGCACGCCTGCGAGCTCGTTTCTACGCCAACGATAAACCACCCACAGAGCAACTCTCGAATCGAATACGTCGCGTGCGCAATTCACCCTCCACGGTCATTAATAACGTTTTGCTTGTTCTATGTAGCTGGAATAAATCTATACAAATTAGAAGCAGAAACGGAGAGTTAATCTGGAATAAAAAATGAGGTGCCGTGCCCATTCGTAAACGCGCCGGCTAGGAGAGATGGCGCTGCTCACCCGCCATTGCAGCCACGTGGCCGCCCGCGGCGTCCTGAGGCCGGGGGATGTTCTGAGGAACCGGCACCGCGTACTTCTCCATCGGGAAGGAGAAAACTAGAGCCGCACACACGTCGCACACAATCACATGTCACGCACGCACACACACACACACGTCGTACACACACACGTCGTGCACACACTCACAACATACATTCACACACAGACACACAAGTGTGGATGAAGACAACACACGACTTGAAAGTAACTGCAACAACACTTGAGGGGGATCGACGTAGTGCGGAAGCTCCATGCACGGCGGCAATGCCACCGACGGCATCCTGAGCGCACACAGCCCCCGGCGTGAAGGCGGCGCCGCGGCCTGGCGACGAGTGAAGGGCGACCGCACGAGTGGGCAGTTTGGTTAGAGCCGCCCTCCTCTACGCCGGGGCGACTCGATAAGCGACTTGCATCTCATCTCATCTGAAGCGTATGAAAGGGCTCCCCCAGTGGTCGCTCTCGTTGCAGTGCAAGATGGCCCAGCGCCTGGCCTGCAGGTGCTGGGCATGAGTCTGCTACCAGGAGGGGGGCCACGACTACTGCCGTGCCTCATCCCAATCTAGTAATTTGCGGTGTAAAGATTTGGACCGTGACACCGGCACGTAATGGTCTGCCCGCTTTGAAATGACGCCCGGGGATCTTTGACGTCCGCTATGAAGCGGGCGACGCGTAGTATTTGTACGGTCAACACATCCACTGCAGTGACAACCAGGGCGGCCTGCCATATTCGAACCGCGAATCTTTACAACGAGCGGCGACCGCGCTACCGCCAGGCCGCGCGGAGGCGGCCCCCGGGGCCCACCCTGCCGGAGGACGAAGCGCAGGCAGTTGAGCAGCGAGCAGGCCCAGGTGACGTGCCGTGCGGAGGCGTAGAGTTCCCACAGGCGCGGCTGCTGCATCGCCAGGCAGCAGCACTCGAGCGCCGCCTGCACGTCGCCCACGGCGGCGCGGCGGCCGCGTGCCGCCTGGCAGCAGATCACCTGCGCTCACGCAAAGACAAAGGTCCCCCGTGGAGCCCGAACTGACGGCGAGGAAAAGCGTTCCGACACGGCGCACTCATTTAAGGCCGAGTCGACCATAGAGGGGCCCACAACTGATTAATCACCGATGTCGGTGCGAAAGGTGTGAGATGCGAAAGGTGTGAGCTTGAGGCGCGAGGTGGCAGTGCTCTCACCTCCAGGGTGAGGAGGGCAAAGTGGCAGACGTCCGCCTCCCTCTCGGGGGGCACCACGGCCCCTCCCAGCGCGGGCGCCGCCCCCGGCATGGCGGGGGCCGCCGAGAGCAGGGCCTCTCCGGCCAGGAGGGCCTGCACCACGCACTCTGCCAGCCGCATCAGCCGGCCGCAGCTCGCCTCGTCCTCTACCACCACCGTCCCAACGCAACAGAGAGGCGCTTAACGCAACACGCAGGCGCATAAGACGCTTGTGGCGCGTAGAGATCCACAGTTTCGTCACGTAATGGCTGCATTTGGTGTTAGTGCTATGAGCTGCCCGATGCGTGCGGTTACCGGCGATGGCCGACACGAAGGCCCAGTAGGGGTTGGGGAGGGGCGCGGTAGCCGGGCGGAAGACGTGGGCGCTGACAGGCAGGCGCGCCACTGCGTCGGCTACCAACTCCATGGTAGCGGCGACGGCGCTGCGTAGCAAGGCCGTCCCCTCCCCCGCACCCAGGCCAAGCTGGAACGCGCCCAGCGACACGCAGGCCCGCAGCACGGCCAAGTTGCACTCCTGCAGCACGCGGCACGCGGCACGCAGCACGCAGCACGCGGTGAACAAGCTGCACAACACATGGTGAATAAGCCACACACGGTGAACAAGCCGCACATGGCACATGGTGAACAAGCCGCACATGGCACATGGTGAACAAGCCGCACACAGCGAGCTGCACGCAGCACCACGGCGAACGTACCGCGCACAGCACACGTTGCACAGCAATGACAGCAAGTCAACACAGTGAGCACAGGGAACTATGAACTTTTATCAGTCACTCAGTTGTTGTGGATGTCAGCTTGTGGATGTCAGCCTGTGACTGTCCATTTCACACACGAGCCAAGAATAGGATGAGCAGCAGCTCTGTGCGCGTCTATCGGGAAGGCTCACGCGTGGCACCGTCACGCGCGGGGCACAACGCTCGACGGGGTCACGGCGACGGGAACCGTACCCGGGCACGCAAGATGGAGAGCAGCTCCGTGCTGTCCGGTAGCTGGCCGAGAAGCTCTGCGCACTTAGCGGCGGAGCAGCTCTGCTGGAAACACTGGCCTCTCACCAGCGACACGAACCAGGCCTGGGACAAACGCAGCCCAGGGTTAGACTCCGGAGCGGCAGGGCTGGCACGCCGCCGCGAGGCCCGGTGTCACGCGCACAGGCAACCACCCCCCATCCCGTCTCACGTGGAGGAAATCCCTCGGCGATGCGTTCGTCCGGATCGTAGTTAAACCGAGAGGTTCGTGAAACTGCTGCTCTATGCAGTACGACTACAAACAATACTGCACCCGATTGCTGATAAAAGGTAGGAGCTTTAACAAGTTATGTTAATTACACATGTATTTACACACCGATAAATGCCATCCCCCTGGGCCTGACAATCGCTAAGCGATACAACAATGCCGTTACTTGTAGTGTCCGTGTGTTTTGCAAATAAAACCGACAAACGTCTCACTCTCAAGGCAACCGCAGCCGCTACCACTAAGGAGCGTCAGTACGACCCAGAAGTGTGCACCACTTAATTACGTAAGTATTTATTGTGTTTTGATTGATGGCAACGTCTATTTATTGTATTGATGCTTACTGTATAAGTTGTATATTTACAATGTGAGTATGTATGTCATTATGTGCCAGCTATGCACTTTGTGTGTGTGTGTGTGTGGGCAGAGGTGGTGTAGCGGTTAGTGTGCTGCGCTATGAACCCGGCAACCAGGGTTTGATTCCCGCTCATGGCCAACACCAGTGACAATTATTTGAACTGGTGCTACTCGCTATAAACACGTCACAGCATGTTTGCTACGTGTCACTGGACGCCCTTGCCAGTGAGAGAAGTCCCATCTCAAGGGATTGTCCAGGTGACATTTTGACTGAAAAATGGAGCGGCAACTCGCGTGAGCGTGAGGGTAGCATCACCTTGTTGGGTGTCACGTTCTGCGGGGCGACCTCCCCCTCCTCCTCCTCCTCCGTGAGGGGGTGCGCCGCGAGGCGAGCGCGCGGGGAGACGCCGCACTCGGCCGCCATCACCTCTTGCAGCCTGTCCAGGAGGGACGCCAGGCGCTTGTGCCTGCGGACACCAGCAGTTGTGCGGCAGCGGACGGTGGGGGGGGGGGGGGGGTGCACTCGTCATCCGAGCTGTCGATGATCGCGGCCCCGGCCAGGTTCCGGGGTCGAGGGTTCTTGCCGATGACCGGCGAATTACCCACGACCGAGATACCGTTCGCGCGAGCGGGCCACCATGTGCCCGGCTGCTCAAATTACCCAGCGGCGGTGAAAAATGCAACCATCCCGACATAACTCCCACAGGCCAGGGATCGTGGGCAAGCTGTATGAGCTGGCACACGTGTGCAGGCATTCTGTCCTCCACAGTTCAACGCATGCTGGTTGCCGCTAAAGGTGCAGAACTTCTAAGCCGGCTGGCGGACAGCCAGCTGCCTGCATGCGCCAGTACCCTCGTAACGGCTTGCCATGTCATGGCGCTACACAAACCGTCGTTATTTATTACGCCACAGAAATGGCACAGGTCAGCAGTGAGTACACGTCGAGTTCTAGAACACGCTGCTGCTGCTGCAATGCGTGAGGGATACACCGAGAGTAGGGAGTCGCGTGACGAGGGATTTGCGTCACCGGTGACCGTATAGAAAAACGCGTAGGTGGCCGGTTTGCCATGCGTGCAGACACGTCGCGAGCGGCCAAGAGCTCCCTCGAGTGGAGGCCCTTCAGCCGCGATGCCGTGAGCAAGCTATTGCAGGGCTGCTCCTTTACCTTTTGACCGAGAGACAAGGGCAACTGTACCACGCGATGACTTGGGCTGCCGTGCCGTGTGTGCGTGCCAATCGGTGCGTTCATCCAACATTCCACTGCAATCAGCTGCTGGTTCACGACTGGTAACCGCCTGTGTTTGTGAAAGCGGTCGCCACTCTCCCGGTCGCCGGTGTAACAGCCCTGGTGGTGTCGGCCGTTCTCTCAGTGAGGCACTGCACCTGTTAGAAAGCCCCGTCTGCTGCAGGTGGCTTTGAATTCTCTCCAGATCTTCAATGGGAAGTTGGCTGCTGCTATCCTGTGGACAAACCCACACAATGCTTAGCACCACGAAAGACAAACAAAAGCGCCACACGATACGGCCGACATGCTGTGGTGGGCGAAATATTTAATTTAGCAGCAGATCTGTACAGTTCAGACGTGCAGGACTTCACTTTCATGTCACTTTCATGCCAGATGTTTAGAGGCAAGGACTCGCTCCGTTCGAGATGGCTGCTAGCTCGAAGCACAACTCTGTCATGCGTAAAGTACAAGAGGCGACGTACGAGCCGTGGCCCGACTGATCAGCACGCCACGTGTCCATATAATCTATTATACACAAATATATTTATTTTTAAGACCACAATGTTATTGATGACTGCGTTGCATTTATTGCTATGTGTGCTTGGGCACCACTGCCAATAAAGCAGCAGCAACAGCATCGCCCTATCATCTGTTTACTATATAACGGGAGGAGTTCCACTGCGATAGATTATCAACACCGCGATGGGAGCATGCGGGGCCGAGGAGGGAGGGAGGGACTGAGGGAGGGAGGGACTGAGGGAGGGAGGGACTGAGGGAGGGAGGGAGGCGTCCGCACCTCCAGGTTCTCGGCGAGCAGCATCTCGACGCGGCGGCACGCCAGCGTGTCCACCATGTGGCCCAGCACGCGAAGCGGCGTCGCCAGGAACGACTCGACAAGCAGAGAGAGGACGGCGCCCGACTGACTCAGGTGGATGCCCTCCAGGCGCTGCAGCGTCCGGCGCAGCACCACCGGCTGCGACACAAAGCGCAGGCTCGGCTCATCGCCGGGCACCGTAATCAGCGCCACCGCGGTGTGGCCGGTGCGTGCGCGCTCGCAGTCAGCGCCCCTGGGCGAACAACTCGGGTGCGATTTGTGGTTGAGTTTTGAGTCGGTCCACCGGCCACATTGGTGTCCCACAACCCTCGCCACCCGACGCAGGCCAACAAATTAAATTGCCATGAGGTGTACAGGCGCTTAATGTGCCATTCATCGCTGGTTCGGCTAACCTGTAAGTTGAAATACAATTATCACAATAATATTCAGAAATCATAAATAACGTTTCGCTTGAAGCTGCATCAAGCATCTTCAGGTCGGAAACCAGGAAGTCGAATGGCCACATCATCACGTGGCCGAACCCAAAAGTCACCAATGTCTGTGACGGTGGCAACAAAAAACCGACGTGTTGGGCCGAGAGAAAAGGTCACGAGGTGAACCACGCCGCCACCTTGGTGAGGTCGAGTCCCCGCGACTGGATGGCCTGGATGAAGAGACCGCTGGCGGCCGCGTTGCGATGCACGGCGCTCACGCAGTCCTGCACGGGTGGCTCGGACGCCAGGGCCACCAGGTCGCGCACGTGGTTGACGATCAGCCACGTCATGTGCTCCGAGTCGTGCAGGTTCTGACACTGAACGCAACAACGACAGTGCCACGCGGCGACGCCGCATCAGCCGGGCGGAGACCGCTCCCGGACACGTGTTGCGATCGGAACTCGAGCTGATTGTTGTGCAAAGCACGCACCACGCTGTCAACACAGCCCCTCCACGCTCGCCGCTCTGCGGTGCCATCCGCTCCACGCCGCACCGCATTGTGGAGCGGTGAATATCGCACTTGGCGCACGTGCCAAGCCAGCCACCCAGACACCTCAGGATGTGTTTATCACTGAGCTCATCTGCTCTGCTGAGACTGCGGATTACAGCCACAATGTAACACCGGATTTGTTCAGACTCGAGGCCACGTCATATTGTCTCGGCGTCTCACGCAACGCAGTGCAGACTCGAGTGAGAACCTCAGAGACGCAAGCCCAAGAGAGAGACCACTGGCGCATTGTTTGCGACGATCCGAGATGACTCTCCTCTTCCCTGCGAATTCCATTCGCAGTAACTCTCTCTTTATCTTTAACTAAAACACACGCTTATTGAACAAGACTGAAATAGAATATCAGACATTAACCGTCACAGCTTGAGAGGCTGGAAAGGGTTTGCCAGGGTCTCAAAATGTAATTGAAGGGGACTCTCATGGGATCGACATTGGGAGAGGGTGGCCCAGAGATCGACTCAAGGAATTATGGCACAGAGCAGAGTTCTGTGCCTGGGAGCAGAGCCATGCCCGGGAGTGCCAGGCAAGGCAGGCTGCAGGAGGCGCCAAGCCTCACCACGTAGTCTGCGAAGAGGATGAAGCTGCCGCGGCGCACCATCTCGGCGCCACACAGCAGCTGGCTCTCCGGCGCCGACTCGTGCGGCTGCTCCGGGTGTGGTGCGGCGCCGGACAGCACCGGTCTCCTGCGGGTTGAAGTGCAGAACAGCAGCAACGTTAGCGACGGCGATGGCCCCGACACTGCGGCCCCAATACCCACCAGCCCACCTGGCGTGCGCGGTCCACTTTTTAATTTCAAGTCTCTTTTTTATTCTTGCTTTTAATAATGACAAGAGCGTTCTCCAGCACAGTGGCAGCTGTCCCTGTAGGCACAAGATGCATCAGCACCTGGCCTGCAATTGGCCAACAGACTGCCAGTAGGGGGCGCTGATGATCGACTCGCAGTGGACACGAGTTCACACGGAGACGCGTAGACTCACACAGAGACCCATACACTCACACAGACACCAGTACTCACACAGAGATCCGTACACCCACACAGAGACCCGTACACTCACATGGAGACCCATAGACTCACACGGAGACCCATACACATACTCGGAGGCCTGTACACACATACAGATCCGAACACTCATACAGTCGCATAGGGCGAGTTTTATTTTTACGTATGTGCAGAACTTGACTGCATCGTCATGCGCAGTGCGGATGATGGGGGAGGGGCAAACACAGAGTTTGAGGTGGGCGCGAGGGACTCTGTACCGCTGAGTGCGCAGCACGGCCTCCCACCAGCTGCGCTCCGTGAAATCCATGAGCAGCAGCAGCTGACACCAGAGTAGCACGGAGCAGGGCTGCGTGGGGATGAGTGCTCCGGCCAGCTCGTTGAGCTCGCCCAGCGAGTACTGCCCGGCCTGCTTCTCCTGCCGCAGATGCCGCACAGTCGCCCCCGACGTGCGCCGGAACGTCCCTGTTGGGTGTGAGGAAACACGGGCGTGGAGACACGGGCGCGGAGACACGGGCGCGGAGACACGGGCGGAGGGAAACACGAACACGATGGGGCTTCACGCCGAGTCGACGTGGTGGCGGAAAAGGGTGCGGCTCCCGTGCGGTGCCACGCCAGACGGGCCTCGAACGGGAGGCGTCGGCGTACCAGCTCCTATCGGCGCTTGGAGACGCCGTGCCCTGTGCGTTGTGCTGTGAGGAAGGCCCGTTTGCGGAAACGTCGCCTACTGTACGTGCGTACGTTGCTCTTTATATATCGCCGAACGTGTTTGAGTTTTTGTTACTTGCGCACCACTGCCCTAAGCAGCAGCATCACAGCACAGGCTGTTGAGCGGCGTGCGTGGCTTACGGTGGCACGGGTGCGTGCGGAGTCGGAGATCGCACAAAAGGGCACACGGCGAGGAGTGCCGTGGCGTGGTAAGAGAGAAGACTGTGGCGACTGTGGCGAGTGTGGCGAGCGTGGAAGGTGTGCCGCACCGGACTTGAACATGTGGATGAGACACATGAGCAGGGCGCCGAGCTGCTGGGCAGACAGCGCGTGCTGCGGTGGCGTCACCCCAACGCCACCGCCACCGTTCTCCGTGCGCTCAAATAGGATGCCCACCAGCTGGATCATGAACCTACAGCGCACACACGCATCATCCGATGTGTGTATTGTGAACAATAGAATAAATTCCAATAAATAAAAAAATACATTTCTGACATGCCAACTAATGATGCCCAAGCTTGCAATACAGCAGTAGCAAGCAGCAGCAGTAGTGACAACAACAGTGGCAGCAGGAGTATCAATAGCAGCAACGGTAGTTACAACAGCTGCAGCAGTACAAGGCAAGTGGGCCCCAAGTAGGCAAATGGCACCCGCGACAGGGCAGTGGAGAACCCGGGTGCCGAGCCAGTAACATATTATGAAAACGTTGTTCACGGTTAACTTTGCCGGGTATCAGGCGCTTGTTTGAAAGCAATGAGACCGGACGCAAGTGGGGTGGTGTCGGGTACCTTGCAAACCTCTCCTCGGCCGGCTGTGCATCTGGCTGCTGCTGCGCATTAAGAGGGGATCCCTCTAGAGGCCCGGGAGCGGGAGGCGTGGCGCAGGCCGCAAGCTCGGGCGATTGAGCAGCCCGGCCCCTCGCGCCATCCCCTGCCTCCGGTCCCTCCGCGTTGCCCGGCGGGAGAGCCTTCTCCTCCTCCTCCTCCTCTCCCCGGGTGTCGAGCGTCTCGTCCCCGCTCCCCGGGATGCGCAACCCGCACGGGGGCATGGCCACCACGGGGGGGCCGGCGAGCTCCTGCATGCGCGATAAGATGATGTCCTCCGACGACTGGGAGATGAGCACGCGGAGGATCGCCAGGATTCCTGAAATCCACTTCTGCACCGTCGTGACGCACTCCTGCGGGCGGCGCACGGGGTTCACGGAGAGGCCGAGCGGCACAACAGCAATTCTGCGTTATTATTTCCACGCGCGCACGTAGAGATTCCCCATATTGCCTTTAACGGACTGTGGGGCAGGTGCCGTTAGTGAGCATTTACAAAGGCCGACACGGCACGCGAGCGAGTGGCGGGGCCCGCACCGCGCCCGGCCGCAGCGGTGCCGACGAGGGAGCCCCCCCCCCCCCCGCTAGGTTCGGGGCGAACGCGCCGCAAGCCTCTCACCACGTCGCAGGGCAGCACGAACATGCTCTTGAGCAGCATGTCGACGGGGCGCAGGGCAGAGGGAGACACCTCCTCAAACAGGGTGTTGAGCACCCGCAGCGCCTCCCGCGAGTCCGTGTTGATCTGCGACACCGCACGGGGGACCGGTGAGGCATTTCGGCAACAAACCCACGGAGGCGCGTCGCAACGAACGTTTCTGGTCAGTCACACGGGACGAGGTGAAGCTGTCAACACCACCGTCCCCCCTCTCCGGGCCCCGCTCCTCTGAGCCCACGTCACAGACTCTTCACGTAGTCGGTCTACTTCTTCGTCGACGACGGAATCTAACTTTCACGAGGGATATTTTAGCAAAACACTTTGCGGGATTGCCCACGACGCTGCCGTGCGTGCGAGCGAGCTGTGCCCCGAGGGACGATGCGGACCAATAGCATCGACGTTTGAGGACATTGAAAAGCCAGCAAGACTCGAGAAACGATGCACGCTCTCAGAGGAGCCATGTCGATCACTGCAGAGAACAGACCACAAAATCATTTTGGCCATTTTCCCATATATGGGAAAAAGATACGGTGGCGTTTTCCGTAGGGGTGTGTCTCTGCCCATATATGGTATTGTGAAACCTGAATAGAGGCGTCTATTGTATTGATTCTGCTCACAATCGACCCAAAAAACACTTAAGTATCGATTTGGGATTAATCGTTGTGTCGATTCACTGGCAAGAAATTCGTGGATGGAGTAAACCCATTGGTTAGAAAAGCGTGGTATGAAACGCCCCCTGTTTTTGATTGGCCAGTATCCGCGCGATCGTTGCTTAGCTCGCAATGCGTTTGTACCGCACGACACAGCGCCCCGCTACCTGTTGCTTGGCCAGCATGGGCAGCACAAGGTCGGTGACCTGGCGGGAGAGCTTCTTCCACTTGTCTTCACTCTCCTTGCGGCACTGCTGCAGCACCAGCACCAGCAGCTCCAGCACCTGCACGCTCCACGGCCACCGCCACCGGGGGGCACTCGCGGGTGTGAGCTCACCCATCCTCACCCGCACCCGCTCGCTCCACCCGCTCCCTCCACCCGCTCGCTCTCATTCGCACTCACTCTCTCGCTCTTACCCACGTTCACCCACACCTGTGATAGTGGCTGGATACCCGTGGTAGTGACTGTGGGACCTGTGGTAGTGACTGTGGTACCTGTGGTAGTGACTGTGGGACCTGTGGTAGTGACTGTGGTACCTGTGGTAGTGACTGTGGGACCTGTGGTACCTGTGTTAGTGACTGGGACCTGTGGTAGTGACTGTGGGACCTGTGGTAGTGACTGTGGTACCTGTGGTAGTGACTGTGTACCTGGTGGTAATGGATGAGGCGGAGCAGCATGGACACCACCACCTCCTTCTGCGTCTCGAGCTCCTTCCCCACGTCGGCCTTGTTGGCGCCGCGCACTACGAACAGGTCGTGCACAATGGGCTGCAGGGCGGGAATGGCTGCGCCGCACGCAACAATGGGGAGTGAGCGGAGGGGAACAAAACGGCGCTCGTCAAAACCACGCGGCTGAGATCCACGAGAGATCATTTCTACGGCCAGTCCACGTGTCGCGTCGCACAGCACGCCACTCTCCGGCGACCGATCGGCCACAGCCGTGACGATGCACGGTCCGGTCTGCCGGGTCGTCTCCGCTCGAGTGCTCCATCAGGAAGCGACGTCAAAGGAAGTAGTCACACCGTTGTCATCCGCCAGGGCTAGACGTGTCAAACGCCAAATGCGTACGGCGCCCCCACTGCACATCTGTGAACAAGAGCTTCACAGCTCAACGGATTCCTCCTCCAGTCTAAATAAAGATTCTGAGAGCCAAACGCTATTTGAATAATGACACGTCATGCACAACTCACTCCATTTACTGCTCCGGTGAGTTCAAGAACAATTCTCACAGTAATATCTGATTGTGTCTGATAACGGCGACACTTATCGTGTGGATTACACCTTCAGCTTACCGGTGAGCCGAGACAACAAACGTTTGGCTCATTATAGTCTTGCACACCACCTGACTATTTCATTTGTTCAGCTAGGTTGGCTAGTGGAGGGTTTCACGATCCAACGTTGGCCGGATCATTAGGTCGCCTAACCCAAAAATCACTTACAAATCGTAATATGGGCTGCAAATATAAATGAGAAGTACCGACTCCACGTGTCAGGGTGGAGGGAGTGCAACATTTAGCGTTCGTGGTGTTCCACGTCCAACTCGCTGTACGACGCTGCATGCTATCCGTGCCGTGAGTGATGGCTTTGCGTCCGCTGGCCATGAGCCCATCACACAGCTGGATGATCTTGGGCATTCCGATGATGGACTTGGAGTGATAGCGCTCGTAGGAGAGCAACACCAGGAAGTAGAAGATGTAAGGGATCAGAGTCTCCGAGTCCCTGTGAACGACAAGGCAACGTTACTCCGGTGAGAGCAGACGGCAGGCCAGGGCGATTCACGTGCATTGATCGACCAGTAGGCGATAGATACGGTACTCACTTGATCTGTCCCTCTTCTATGAACTCAAATTGCTTTATCACAAAGCCAATGAAAACCTGCGTGGAAAAGTCACAATTAGCAAAGGCACGATCTCGATTGCCATAGAGTAATTTTTTTATTGTTTTAGGTTGATCAATGGATCCGCACCGAACACCAGGTGAGAAAGCACATTGAGAAGAAATTAAATTTGAAAAGGGGAGTCTGGGATAAGAGAGGAGACGCTAATCCAGGGCAACGACATTCACTGCAGAAAACTAAAAAATTAACCCGTAAAAACAAAGTTTTTCACTATAAATCCTTTATATGCGTGTTCAATGGGCCACAACCCAGCCCACATTGGTCTTTGAAACGGGCGGCTAGAGTCCTCTCGTCCTCTGGCTTGAGATGGCTGCCACCTATGGGTCAGATGATTGCCTGCCACCATTAAGCAATTGGTAATTAAATAAATAAAAATTTGACCTAAAAAGTGTTACATTTTGGAAACAAATTTTCACGAAAAGAAATTGTCACGCACAACGAGTCTGTGTGCATAATGTCAGCTCGATTGGATCACGGGAAGTGGGTTAAAAAACGACCGAAAGATTTGCACGGTCGTAAGCGCGCAAGCAAGCAAGCAAGTGAACTTAATATAAAGAATTTAAAAAGTAAACAACGCAAACGCATGCTGGCGCTCACCTGGTCGGAGTCGAGGAGGCAGTAGTTGACCCGAAGCTGCACGAGCTGCACCAGCAGGCTGAGCACCTGCTTCTGCAGTGCCACTGATGTCGTGATGGTGTACTGTTTCAGCGCCTTGATCACGAGCGGCTCGAACAGGCGGATGTAGTTGTGAATGGCGCCCTGTAGGCACGGGGAGGGGGCGGCAATGCAGGAAGCGTGCCCACCAGGCACCGCCAGTCACCGTCAGTCACCGCCAGTCACCGTCAGTCACCGTCAGCCAACGCCGGTACCACGGTTGCTGTCATACGGACGTTTAAGATCCCGTGATGTCATTTAAAAAGAATAGGCCATTGTGGGTCGGCGTCACGGTCCAAATTAGAAAAATTACACCGCAAATTACTTAAATGGGATGACACACACAGCAATATCGCCCCCCACTGTGCAGCAACTGCAGACTGTCTTCCCTGGTGCTAGCCCTGCACCCTAAGAAAGGCGCGAATAACAAATGTACAAAGTATCTTATTACTGTTATTATAATCACCGCTGCACGAGTCATCGTACCTTGTCGGCCTTCTGCTTGGTGGCACTCATGGGGCTGGATTTTACTTGGGAGGCTTTTCTCTTGAGGATATCGAACCACCTACACGAAAAAAAACGCTTAGAACGCTTCCCATTGACAGATACGTCGATTTTCTACGCAACCGGAGTGGATACATTACGCCGTATTGTGTTTACACGCCGGTGCAACAGTAACCCGAAAACTATGTCGACGTTTCGGTAACTGGCCAAGACGCCGAATCGTCCCGCGGCCCGTGATGAAGCCATTGGCCGAGCCGCGACTCGAGGCCCAAACCCCGCCCCCCACCCGATCTGCGCGCAGCAAACTGCCAACGCTGCCGCTGCCGCACTCGCGGCTCCCAAGAGAGGGATTGTTGCCATGGCGTCCCACGCCCGCTGCGCTTACCCCAACGTGTCGGACTCCACCTCCGTCTGCGCCATGTTGCGCAGGCTGGCCGAGGCAAGGGCCTGCGTGAACTGAGTGTAGGGAGCCATGAAGCAGTAGTGGTAGAGGCCCGGCTGGAGGCCCGAGGAGCCCAGCTGCTGGCCGCGGCCCTGGCCGCGTGGGTCCACGCCAGCCCCGTCCAGCGCGTTCACCAGGTTCGTTCCAAACAGGGCCTTCAATAGCTGCAATGGTGGCACAAACACTGCCGCTTAATTCACTCCTTTCCTTACAGCTGAGAGCACATTGAGGTGAAGAGTGTCTCTTGCAGTGGAGCTGCCACTATTAGTTTACTCGGGAATACCTCACCCAGTCTCAATACTCTTTTTCAGGAGGGGATTGGTCTCCTGAATGACTCAATTGCACTCCCAATTGAGTAATTTGTGGATAATTTTTCAGCATTGGCATGTTTTGTACTGTACTGTATGTGTTTTTAGCTACCAGAAAACCCGGAGGAAACCCGTTCAGAACAGGGGGAGAACAAACATACTCCACACAGAGGTGCTCTAGTCAGGAGTCGAACCCAGGTGTCTTGCTGTGAGGCGCGAGCGTCACCACTGCAATGCCTTCCTGCCATCCACCATGAGGGTAGCGTATCGCTGTTATTAACGTTGCTCATAGGATTGCAACTCTTCGACACGTGCCGCGTACGGGCGAGGATTTACACTGCACGAGTGACTCGACTGCTTGTGAGAGGAGTCGTGTGGTGGTGGTGGTGGTGCATCACTCCGCGCATACCTGCTGCACACACAGTGTGGTGACTGTCGGTTCACGGTTGAAGCAGGATTTTAAATATCCCAGAACCTCTTCGGCGTACTGTAATGAAATCATAACACCAAACTGAACACAGGTTGTGCTGAAGGCAAGGTGCCCGACGAAGTCAAATGTCTCTCGCTCTGTGCGGGTTACGTGCTCATCACAAATGTAACCTGTGGTGGCTGCTGTGCCCCGATTGTACGTGAGAGAGAGTGTGCGGCGGTGGTGGCGCATTTGTAAGGACGCCGTGCACAAACCCGGAGAGTTTGATACCCACTCAAGGTCAATAACGGTGGCGAATATTTTAATCGGTCCTGGGCCTCCCCTAGGTTGGCTCAGCCTTAAATCAGTACCTGGTGTGGTGCGTTAACATCAGCACTGGGGAGACAAGGTAGCCGGGCGTGGTGTGGGCCACTCACCCCCTTGTGTGCCGTGCTGCCCTTACCCCAACAGCCTGCTATGCCTACACGGAGGGTACCTGCTGCTGTGTTTGTATTTCTTTTGTTCCAGCCTCATATCTTCTGGATACTGTTGTCAGATTCTTGGAGATGCTAATACATATAAGAGGTGAATAAATGCAAAAGTTTACTTATGCTTAACAGTGAAGAATTAATTAATAGATCCTAATGTTTTTACTCTAGTATCAGGAATAATGTTGAGGACAATGTTTCCAAAGCCTTTAGCGGGACCTGCATCGTCGTTAACTACTTGTTGGAGTTACCTTCCCCACGTCCTGAAGCGTCGCAATCTCCAAGAGCTGGGCCAGCACGTCGAGTGCCGTGCCCAGAAATCCACCAAACTTCTCACTCAGACTCAGCATGTCCAGCGACATCTGGCAAAGGGCACGACAGCACGGGCCGGGGTTAGGGTTTCACGTCCACAAAAGATGACGTATGTGACACTCCGATTTGTAATTGATTTTTGGGTTTGGCCACGGAACGATGTGACCAAACGCGTGTCGTGAAACCCTCCGCCGCGTGGAATGAGAGAGCAGGAAATGGCGTGATGAGCACGGCCTACGAGGTGCCGCACAGTGCCGCGTGTCCTGGCACCTTGTAGTTGGTGTAGGTGGCCTTGAGGATGTCGTGCAGACGGACGTAGTGGGGCAGGTGGTAGAAGCCACCCAGCAGCGGCACGCTGCGGCCCACTCCGCCACCGCTGCCCTCGCCCGCCTTGCCTGCGGCGACGCAGCGTTCTACTCAGCGCATCATCTCTGCCGGTGCCATTTCTTAATTTGTTTATTAATTTTAGATTTTGCTTGGTAGGGTTTTCATTTCCTTGGTAGTGGTCCTGTTCTATACACAATTAATGTACAGCAGCGTGGGATGCTATATACAATTACATTATTATTACCTTTATTACGCAATGTAAATTAGTGAAAGGAGACGCGGGAGGTTTTAAAACCAGAACTAATCTTTTATAAATGTTTAATGGGGGGGGGGGAACCTGAGGAGAAACAAGGCTGGGTCTAATTTGCGAGAGTGCCTTGCGTTGTACGAACAAACGATCTCCGTGGTGCGTTCAGCTTAAACGTTGATCGGTCGCAGGTTAACTCGGACCACCGTCCCCTCACTGGGCGACGAAGCAAACGTTACCACGTAAGAATTTGCGAGCGGTCAACGCGTACGGAGACTGACCGCCATAATGGGAACGTGGAATTTCCACCACCGACTTTGTCCCGACAGCGCAGGCATGCGGTGCCCGGTCGCTCGCTCGCGCGAGCGGGGAGCCCCCGAGTGCGGTTTGTCAAAACGCGAGCAGCGCGGCGTTCTCACCGGCGCCCGGCTCGCCGGGCTTGCGGGGGCTCGCGGGAGCCGGGGGGAACTCCACGGCATCCCTCTCTTTGGTCTTCTTGCGGATGGGACTCAGGGAAGGGGCGCTCGGCAGCGTTGGCAATGTGGGCTGCACTCCAGAGCAGACGGTGGTGATTGAGTCAAATCACAAGTCGCGCACGCGGTGTTCGTGCCTTTCTTAAAGCGCGAGGCTCTTGCGAAGGCAGGCGCTACGTTTGGCAGACACGGTCTGCAGTAGGTTCGCAGCAAGTCTACTCTTTTTGAATGACGCCAGATTTTGAATGTCCACGGCGAAGCAAACGGCACGTAGTATTTTTACGACTAATATACCCGCAGTATTAACCGGGGTGGCCTGCCGAGTGGCGACCGTGGTACGTCACCGGCCGATGTGCCCGGTTCCCGACGACAAAGTGGAGACAAAATATCCACCATACCACCCCCAGCAGCATCCTTAGGGGGGGTGCTTATGCGAGATAGATGGAGAGAGTGCGAGCGTTGCCTTGAGAGTGGGCTGGACGGGAGGGACGTCATCCAGCACGTGCGTGCAGATGTTGAGCAGCTTGAGCAGGTGGGAGAAGAGCTGCTCCACCATGGGCACCAGCGAGCGGTCGGCTAGCGCGGCCCACGGCTCCTCCACCTTGGGCATCGCTGCGTCGTCCTCGGACACGCATGGCCTGCGCAGCGACCTGCATGCCACCGCTACGTGCACAGGACACGCGCTCGCCACCCGGCACTCCTCGCCTGGCACTCGCCGCACCACACTCGCCACCCGGCACTCACCACCAATCATATGGTAGGGGCGAGTGTGTCCCTAGGACAACCACCGTTAACTTCCGCACAACGTTGTACTCAATTTATCCATCCCATTAGGATGATGAGCCGTGTCAACACCCAACTAGGATTTGAACTCGCAACTTTTTGACTGCGCCCGGCAGTCGGCCGGAAAATTTAACGAGCAGGAACGACGGCAATTCTCGTTGGTCGCTCGGTGTGCTCCTACCGGCGATGAGGTTCCCCGTGAGCAGGAGGGCGTCCTGGTGGGCCGGCAGGTCCAGGGGGAACCACGACGATGAGAGCAGCGTCAGCAAGATGGGCAGCACCGACACGCGGCCACCCCCCTCCACACCCGTCCTGCACACGCGCACATGCACACAACAACAACCGCCATTCGCCACTAAGTGGCGGTGACGCCACCACGATGCTTGTGCCAGGCTATGTGCACGTTGAGGCCACGTGAAGTGTCGAAGGCTCGCTGACAGGTCACGGGATAGATCCAGGTGTAATGGATTCGCTGACTAAGATTTAGCAGATGCACAATGTGTGCCCGCTTGCTGCACTTTAACTGCAGGGCACTCCACTCACTGTGGGGAGCTTCTAATTGCCCAGTAGCGTGCTTCAAAATCTTGACACCGCTCGTACCGGTCTTTGGCAAGTCAACTCAGGCCCACATCCTCCTGTAACGGATCAGCCCATCTCTTCTCTATCCTGTGCCGTGCCCATTTAGTCCTCTCAATCCGGCCAGACAGAAGCTGCTTGGGCATGCAGTGGCTGGGCACAGACAATTCTGCACTGCGGGGATGACGCCTTGCTTGGCGTCCCATACCTGGGTATGTTTGTCAAGGGCAGCTGTGGCCTCGCATGTGCTGGCGGTGGGGCTGGTGCAGGCACAAAGCCACAGTGCCAGCCATTGCTCCACATGCTCACGGGGTACGCAGCTGAGAGCAGGTACAGGGCTTCACAGCAACCAAACTGAAACACAAGACAGCCACACGGTATTAGATGGGCAGGCAAACACAAAGATCCCCCGGATAGCCTTAACAGACTGTTGGGGCAAGTGCTGTTCGCGAGCGCCTATGAAGGCCGGTATGGCACCATGCCCGGCCGCCTTTGTCTCTACATCATAGACTGCCAATACGCTCACCAGCTTAATAACCATTGCTGCAGTCTACATCATAGACTGCCAATACGCTCACCAGCTTCATAACCAGGCTACAGTCTACATTATAAACTGCCAGTACACTCACCCAGCTTAAAAATCAGGCTACAATTTACATTATAGACTGCCAGTACACTCACCAAACTTAATAACCAGGCTAGTCTACATTATAGACTGCCAGTACACTCACCCATCTTAATAACCAGGCTAGTCTACATTAGTGGTTTTTCGTTTTTATTATTTTATTTTATTTGTATTTATTTACTTATATTTTTATATCTACGTAACTTTACCGAAAGAACCAAATAATGTAATGTGTAACAATGCTGAACTTACACTGCAGATTACGCAATGTGGTTTCCACTTAACAGCAACATCGCCACCTACTGTATGACATTTGGTATTTCATAAATGATTGTAATTATTATTCACGATTCAAGTAAAGATGGCCAGAACTTACTTTTAAATGTCGCGATTTGGATCGGTTGAGCGCCGTGGAGATGGCTGTGATAATTCTGGACAAATTGTTTTCCAAAGTTGCGTCGGTCGTGCAGGATGTCTCGTAGCCACGATAGGGACTGCGAGAGACAAGTTTCACATTTGTTTTGCGTGTGTGTATGTGTGTGTACGCGTGTACGTACGTGTGCGTGTGTGTGTGTACGTGTGTGTACATGCATGTACGTGCGTGTGTGTGTGCGCGCGTGTGTGTACGTGTGCGTGCGCGTGTGCGTGTCTCTCACCACGCAGCAGCCGTGGCTGCCCCGGGCGCGTAGTACCGCGGTGGTGCGGAGTTCTCGTGCACGAGCAGCTCGAGGCAGGAGGCCGTGTGGGCCCTCGCGATAGCCACCACGGGGTCGCTCTGGGCTTGGTCGCACTCGAAGAACAAATTCGGCACCAACCTGTGCAGGGACGCGGCACGAACGGATTATCCCGTGCGTGCGCCGCGCGCTCCAACGACCTTCTCGTACCCGGCCCGCCCGGACCGCGCGGTCCCTGGCGGAGTCCGCCAGGGTTCATCTCCGGGCTCGACACCGTCCCCCGCGGGGCCTCCGGCGTGGAGGGCCGTGCGCCGAGTGGTGGCAGAGCTCACCTGGAAAGCGAGGCGGCAGCCGCGTGGCGCACCCTGCCGTCCTCGTCGCTCAGCAGGCGCAGGATGCTGGCGACGGCGCGATCTTGCAGGCGCTCCTGGTAACAGCACACAGCGCACGCACCGGCACGCAGCCGGTCAGGGGGGCGTGGAGGTTGCAGCATGGATACCGTGCAGGTAACGTCTGCGCGACATCGCGGCGACAAAATGAAGTGATGCAAAACACGAAAAATATGCCTTGGTGAGCCCGGGTTGAGTAGTGGCGTGGGCACATGGTGTCTCTGTGTATTGTGGGCTTAGGACACGGGGGCTCGAGAGGGGGCCGGGACCAGTGGTCTGGATTTGGGGGCTGCCATACCCCATAGGGGGTGAGAACCACCGCTCTGCACAGTGTCAGCAACATTTTAATACAACATAAAAAATATACAGTAAAGTATATTTTACTAATGTATAAACAGTTGCCATATTACTTTGCTTGAATTTCAGGTTGTCCAAGTTATTCAAGCGAATTGGTAATGTTCGTTTTTCCAACTTGCATCTCTAAGCCAGCACAGTGGATGGAGAGGAGTGATGGGGATGTGGTGGCAGTGTTACGTTGGGATGTAAATCCATGAGGCCAAGTGGCTTCCTGCTCAAATGTGCATCGAGGGGGGTGAATCTCTACAGAAGACAACGACTGTTGACTTCTCCACAAAGTGGTGCCTATTTTAAACACCCTGGAGGGATGATGGGCCAAGTCAACCACCCCCGCCCTCCCCCCTCAACCAGGATGTGAACTCGCAACCTTGAAATTGTGAGCCACTCGCTCTTCCGCCGAGCAGCCCGGCTGTCGAGCTTAGACAGCCAGAAAGTCTGACGTGATGCCACAGCAAGCAGTGCATCAGCCTGCACCAGGCACCCTGCACTGAGCACCCTGCACTAGGCACCCTGCACCAGACACCCTGCAGCAGACACCCTGCACAACTGTCCTTGGTGGACAACGGGGGCAGCGCGGGTGAACGTACCTCGCTCTTCTCATCGCATCCAGAGTGACAGCCGACATTCTTTTCCAGAAAAGCAATCAACCTGAAATAGATGAACAATCACAGTCTCTTAGCACAGAGATCAATCACAACCTCTTACAACAGTGATCAATGCCTAGACAGAAGTAAATTAACCTACTTGTTTTGCTGCCATCATACCCTGGCCAGTCGGGTGTGTGCGATCCGCCAACCCTCGCCGCCTGCTCCACGGTGCCACGGCCAGTGGCCGAGCCAGGGAGGCCGTGGGGGGCTTCCGGCGTGCGGCACGAGCCTCGCAGGGGGGGGCCGCTACCTGAAGTCAATGTCGGCCACGGTGTCCATGAGCTCCGTGCGGACCAGCCAGTACGAGTTGTCGTGCAGGTGCAGCAGGGCGGAGAGCAGCGTCAGGCCCAGTCCACTCTGCTTGCTGTTGCACAGCTGCATCACGCAGTGCTGCACACGCACAGACACGGGTCCCACACGCGGCCCGCTTCGAATGCTGTTGGGAAAACCACTGTCGGCGAGAGCCACCTGACCCGGACCCTAACCTATAACGGCCGGCAGAGCGCACAAGGAGTTGATGAGGACAGCTCCATCTCGGACACCTGTCCCTCCCCAGTGCTGATGTTGACACACTGCACCAGGCATTCATTGTAGGCCAAGACGACCAAGGAGTGTCCCCCAGGACCGCTTCAAAACACATTCGCACACACGAGTCCACCTCGTAGGGAGTTGCTGGTGGTTACCCCATCGGGAGGGTGTGGAATTTCCATCATTGGCTCGGATCCTCTTACCCACACCCACACACAGGCCACGCAGCCTCACCCACACAAACACACAGGCCACGCAGCCTTACCAGCACCCACACACAGGCCACGCAGCCTTACCCGCACCCCCACACAGGCCAGCCGGCAGGTGACGGACGACGAGTCCTTCAGGGCCAAGTGCAGAGGACGGACGACATCTGGAAATAAATAACGCCCGGGATACCTTCACACCCGAGGGCCAGCCACACATCACTCGTAAGTATAGCCCAGGGCTCGGAAACCTACGGCTGCGGAGCCGCATGCATGGCTATTTCATTCCTGCTTCATGACAATATTTATTCTGGCACACGGTCTCAAATTCAAATGCATTGCGGCTATTGACGTAGGATTTTTTTTTTACCAAAAACCCAATAAAATGGCACTTCTGGTCATTGTGCTAGCCGACCCCTGGTACAGACAGTCCCAACCTGCTGAGTATTATTACGAAGCTTGTTCACCTACGACACTTCAAGAATCATTTTCAGGAGGGTCCTGCCAAGCTTTCGCAGGAGGGGATGATGTTGCTGCTTCTGTGCGATCCAAATTGAGTCATTTGCAGGAAAATTTTTCAGCATTGGGATGTTTGGAGAATATCGGTTACATTGTGTGTGTGTGTTTTTAGCATTAAAGTGAGATGAAAACACTGCTTGCTCTAGCGGAGGTAGTTGCTACTGCAGCGCAGCACTGCGCCGGCACGCGTGCATACGTGTGCGTACACATGCGTGCGTATGTGCGTGTATGCGTGCGTACGTACGTGTGTGCATACGTACGTATGCGCGTGTGTATGCGCCTGTGTATTTGCTTGCCTACGTTTGTGTTCGAGTTCGATTCCCGCTCACGGCCAACGCCACTGGGGAGACAAAGGCGGCTGGGCGTGGTGTAGGCCACCCACCCCCTCGTGTGCCGTGCTGGCCTTTATAGGGTCTTGCTAACAGCACTTGCCCCAACAGTCTGTTTAGGCTATACTGGGGATCTTTGTATTTGTGCACGTGCGTACCCTCCAGTTCCGCTGGGCTCAGGATCGCGCTGTGTGGCGTTGCCAGCACCGCGCTCACGATGACGCCGCACAACACGGCCACGTTTCCACGCAGCTGCGGGTCGGGGTGCGAGATGAACTGCAGGAGGTCGCTCAGCTGCTGCTCCTCTGGGGACGGCACAGGGAACGCAGTCGCAACGGCGCCACGGTCAGCCGATGCGGAAATACAAACCGCGCGTGCGTAGCGGGCGGCGTGGTGGTGTTACGCGCCCACGCCGTCTGGCGGTCACGCCGGGACCGCACTGTTATGCTCTCGCGCACGTGTGTGGTGCTGTCCATGGGCGTGGTGCTGGCCACACACCTCCTCGTGTGCCGTGCAGGCCTTTGTAGGTGCTCGCCAAAAGCTCTTGCCCCAACAGCCTCGTAAAGGCGACAGGGGCGACTTTTGCCTTCACCCGTGCGAGTCCACACGTGCGAGCCGCATGCGGCCGCTAACGCAGGTGCGCTTGTCTGCGCGCGGTGCACAAGGAGCGGGGGAACGCGACGGCGTGGGGGATGGGAGAACGTACGTGGCTCCGGGTGGAGCGCGCGCCGGTAGAGAGGCAGGAAGAAGGCCGAGGGCAGCATGGAGACGGCAGAAGCCACGCAGCCCACGGCCAGCGCCTTCATGCTCACCCGGACACACCGGTCCGACACCAGGCCTGAATTCACATACACGCACACAAAGATCCCCCGTATAGCCTTTCCAGACTGTTGGGACAAGTGCTGTTAGCGAGTAGCACCTATGAAGGCTGGCACGGTACGTCAGGGGTTGGGTGGCCAGCACCATGCCTGGCCGCCTTTGTCTCTCCAGTGGTGAAGTTTACACGTTGCACTGGGTCCTCATACGAGGCTGATTTAACATAAGAGAAGCCCAGGACCGGTTCAGTTAATCATCAGTGGCGTTGGCCGTGAGCGAGAATCGAATTCGGGTCGCCAGGTTTGTAGCGGAATGTACTAACCACTGCGCCACCTCTCGTCATACGCACGCATGCACACACACACAAGCACTGAGACCAAAGTAGTCACTTTTGAAAGCGTGATTGACCTGGGTTACACCATGGAAGCAAACAAAAAATCAGAGCAAAGACAACCAAATAGAAATCAGAGCAAAAAAAAAGGAAAGAGTGCCCAGAGAAATTCTCACAAAAATGGGGAGAACTTTCACCAGGGGAGAGGTCATACACGCCTATTTGTTATGCTGCCTCAAACAGCAACCACACTGCTCGGCACACAGGCGTGTAGCAGGAATAACGGTTCCATCTCGGCGCCATGCGGGCGCTGGATTGCGAGTCAGTGCCCCGGCCTGGGCTCACGGTGCTCGTGAGCGAGCCGAGCACACTGACCGTTGGGGGTGCCTGTGAGCAGGAAGGAGGCCGAGATGAGGCGGACGCAGTGGATGATGGGTGGCGTGTCTTCGTCCGTCATCTCCCCCACAATGCCCTTTATCACAAGCGGCTGAGATGCACGGCACATACGAGGAGGAGCAGCTCGTAAGCTTCACAACGCGCACAACGTCCGTCTGCACGAGAAGCGTTGCGCCGCCTTGTGTGCAAGTCAAATCGACCACGCAGGAGCAGCGAATCAAGACACAACGTAACTGGTCATGGCCAAACATCCCAATCGCCCCCACTTTGAAACTACTGCTGTAAAACACAGTGGCACATTTACCAAATGTAAAAAATCACAAGTTACTGTTTTTATTTAACCAGGAGGGTCCCTTGAGATTAACTTCTCACTTCAGATGTACCTAACATTTACAGCACAATCAGCAGACAGTAGCAGGTAACATACGACACATTTCCTAAGAACTGCATTTTGTGTTTATTTTGTTGTCCTTCCCCCACATCTCTGATGAGCACGGTTGGCCACGTATGGTGCAAAAGAAGTCCAACATACATAAACCAGTACATCCATACTGGAAATAATAAAAATAAGCACATAATTAATATAAATTATGAATAAAGGAATACTATAAATTGACAAGTGGTATAAAATATTATAAAATGTTGTAAAAATTAAGCTCGTGGAAAGAAGTAGCCAAATTGGACCGTAGTGGGTACATCTTGAACGTTACGAGAACAATATTCAAGCTCTGTTCAAAGCCACGAGCTGAGACGCCCAGCCTCGTTCTGGGCGCTGAGTGGGTCGAGTGGGGGATGCTGCTCAGCAGAGAGAGCGCTGAGCAGCCCAACGCAGAGCTGGGGGGAACTGGGCGTGGGGGAGCTGAGCGTGCGAGAAGCCTGGCGGCCCAGAGGGGGGCCGCTTCCACAGGAGACGCCAGTCGGAGGAATTCACGATGACTTCCCAGATGAACGCAGGAAAGGCTCTCACACGCACATGGTCAGCGTGTTCTTAAGACGGATGGTCAAATTCGTCATCCGGGGAATCCACAGCGAGCCTCAACACCCTCTTTCCTGGAGGATTCTGCATTGGGATGTTTGCCCAATTCCTCAAGTAATATTTCACACGTTGGAGGAAAATTAGAATAACCCATTCATACACCGGGATGGAATTGCCGCGGGCTCCCCGCATTGCGACCACGGCCTCTTTCGCCCTCACCTTGCTTCCCTCCGCGCCCGAGCCGTCAAAGTCCTCGTCGGCGCCCTCGGGCGGCGGAGCCAGACGCGAGCGCGGCTGGAGGAGTGCGGCCACTCCGGGGGCTGCCGGGGGAGAAGGTGGGTAGCCAAACGGCGGGCAAAACGATTGGCTTAGCCGAGATGGCGCGAGCCCAGGGAGCGGAACACAAACGGATGACTCCGCAGGCCAATGTGGACGCAGCAGTGATGGTTCAACAAAGACAAACTATGGACCGGTTTCAAAATTCAGTTTCTCATCAGCAGAATCAGTCTCTGCTTGAACCGATGCTGGTGAACTGCCAGATGTTTCGAGGCAAGGACTGGTTTTGACATTCAGCGTCTCATCAGCAGAGTCAGGCTTGAACGGATGCTGGCGATTGAAGCCGTGTACCGTGACGCGGGGTCCGGTCTCGGGGCAACGCGTTCCTGGACTCCTCCTCCTCCTCGTCGCCGCCGCCGCCGTCGGGCTCCTGCAGTGCGCCCATGGGTAAGGCCGTGTACTGCAGGTCCCCGCAGTCCAGCACCTCACAGCAACACACGCAGCATCCAGCTTCGAGACGACATTCAAGTCGGATCACAAACACCATGTGGCAAGAAAAGGGATTAAATCCACAACAGGCAACGTTTCAGGCAAGGGGCCTTCTCCGTAGCACAAGAGGCCCATTACCTGAAACGTTGCCTATTATGTACTTATTGACGGATGTGTTGAGTTGTTGTTTTTGTGCTTGTGCACCGCTAAAAATGCAGTACCGGCCAATTTTTGTTCAAGTTTCAACAACGCATAAATATATACATCGCAGCATATAATTACATGTTTTTATGTTACTGTTTTTTTCAAGAGAGTCCGAGTCTCAAGACTCTTATTCAGGAGAGTCCTGCAAGTTTCCAAAGTCGGGGGCAATGTTGCTGCTCTGTGTAATCCCAATGGAGTAATTTGACAGTAAATTTTCAGCATTGGGATGTTTGGCCTATCCCAGTTACATCGTGTTTTTTTTCTTAAATTCTGTTCAGCATTGGGAGGACACCAGAGAACCCGGAGGAAACCCATGAAGAACAGGGGGAGAACATACAAACTTCTAATTGAAAGGTGCCCAAGCTGGCAACCAAACTTGGGACCTTGCATTGAGGCACGAGTGTTACCACGGGGCGGCCTGCCGCATTCCAACCGCCAACCTTGACAACAAGCGGCCACCGCGGGGCCACCGCGGGGCCGCGTCACCGGCCCGAACGGACGTTGTGAAACGGACTCGTTGAACGCAACGGCAAACCCCACGCAGGAGAATGAACGGGGACGGCGGTCGCTTACGGGTTCCGAGTTGTCGGACGGAGTCACGGCAGAGTCGGGGCCCTCGGTGGTCTGGGAGCTCTCGCTCACGGGGGAGGTGGGGGCGGGCCGTAGGGATGCGCAGCCCACGGCCCCCAGCGCCTCCAGCGAGGTGGCGCTCAGCTGGCTGGAGCTCTCGGCCGGCTCGGTGCTCAGGCTGGTGGAGTCGGACTCCTCGGCGTTGAGGTCAATGGAGTCGGAGGAGTCGAGCGCGTGGAGCAGGCACGGACGCTCGGCGGCGCCGGGCTCTGGCCCGGCGCCGCCCGCGCCGCCCGACAGCGTCGACAGCGCCGATAGCACCTCGCCACTCTCGCTCAGCGCCGACACTGACACCGACGGCGGCAGCGGCAGCACAACAGCGGCACATCCGGCGAGTGAACACAACGCGCCACCTTCACACGCCTGTCCCATCAGCCACACGGCCGTCTACGAGAGTATCCATTCCGCAGCACTGGCCCAACACAAGCAAACTCTGGTCCGGTTTCAACATATAGTGTCTCATCAGCAGAGTCAGTATGTTTTCCATCGTCCCATATTTCAATAGCTTTTACTGGACATGTTTACTTTTACAATCACTCACAGCATTCATATCTCAGTAGTGCTGTTTGTTGGTGGCCGTTCCTGTTTTTGGGCCTTTAGGCCTGCGATTTACAAGCGCGATTAAAACATTACGTAAACATTTTGGTAAAAACAAAACATAGTGGCAGCAATCGTAGCCCTGGACGAATTAACGATGAAGGAAATGAGAGAATTACTGACGGCGGAACAGAGGAGGCCTGCATCACCCGACCCGTAATGCCCCGAGAGTTGCAACTCACGCAAGGCCGTGTCGGGAGAGGGGGTCGGGGTGCCGTCACTCCCTCTAGCCTCCACATCATCCTCCAGCACGTCCTCCTCTTCCTCCTCCTCCGCTGACAGTAACTTGGCTGTGTAACCCACACACACACACAGCATCATCTACACTACTGCGTAACCCACACACACACAGCACCATCTACACTGCTGTGTAACCCCCACACACACAGCATCATCTACACCGCTGTGTAACCCCCCCACACACACACCATGCAAAATGCTGACAGAATACAAATGAAAGTGGTGGAGCCCATATGTTTCCAGACACGATGACAATGATGACGACGATGATGACGACGATGATGACGCTAATTAATCTACACTCCAAATAGCAATGGCCACGGTGGTTGAAGGCCCGAACGGGGCGGTGTTGCCTACACCCGCGCAGGACACGCACACACGTGGTGACACGGCACATGGGGACATCACACACAGATCATCTACAGCACTCGCGAAACAATCGATTACCTTGTGCTTTTGGTAAAACAGGACTAGCCATTTTACGCCACCCTCCTGAGGCCAGCACAAGAAGGAAACAAAGACTGTAGTAAAATGTGGGTTAAAGCAGAATAGTACAAGAGGGTTCCAGTGATCGTTGCCTGTATTGATTTCTGTAAAAGGGCAGAGCGACACACGGACAGCCAAAGGCACACACAGTTACACACATGGAGAAAGAATGGAGGGCTAAAGTGAATCACGTCCTCTGAACTTTGAAGAAAATAAGATTGATTTAAGCAAATCAATCGCCTCAACGACTAAATTTGGTTTGACTATTTTTGGAAATTATTTATGAACATAAACTATGTTGGTTCTTTTGGTAAAGTCACGTAGAAGGGAAATAATAAAATAATATAAAAACAACAATATCTTTATATTACTTTATTATTTCCCTTCTACGTTACTTTACCGATAGAACAAAGAATATGAATCCCTGCAGTCACGAAAGCTTTAAATAAAAAAATTAACTATGTTGCTCATTTTGTACAGACCATGTGGGTGCAATCGGCATAAATTATGTTAACGAATGCGAGGGAGGGTGTGGGTTGGGATTCCAGAGGCGCGCGGCGGCGAGGGTTTGCCCAGGGTTGGGTGGAGGCGCCGTGCAGGGTTTTACACGGGAGGCAGCTGCTGTGCCCATTTGCTGACCTACCCGTTCATCCCATTCATCTCTCAGCGGCGCTGTGACAAAATGTGACCTTAACAGATCAGACGCTCTGTCCTTGACGCTGGGGATTTGGGCCCCTTTATCTACAGTAAAAAAAACACATTGGAGACCAGCAGGGCAGCCTAGGTAATATCAATATTTTATGAGATTCTTTTTTAATTTTGGTGACTCGTATACATACACTCTAACTGGTATTGGCCAACATCCCAATGCTGAAAAACAATTACCTGCAAATTCAACCAACGGGAGACTAACGAGGACAAAAACGATTGAATTTTACCGAAGACGTCACGAGACACAGTGGGAGCATGAGAGCTGCAGAAAAACAGCGTCTATCAGCACTGGCTTCTGGAGGGTTTCCAAACGAGCTCAAGAGTAGCTGCTGCCGATCATTCCCGGCCAGAGGTCGTCTCTCACGCACAATGCTACGTCGCCCAACCCCTGCTGTGGCTTCGTCTTCAATTTGAGTATTTCACTTTCCACAAGATTCTAAAGTTATGGTGAACGCCTATGGCCAGAGTGAATGGGGTTGTTATCGGTCACTACCAGATGCATGCGATCGGCAATGTGATTTGATTTTACGTTTCAAAAGCAGACTTCCGTTTGGAGCAGGAATAGAGAGGGCCGCAGCCTGCCAAGAGGCCGCAGCGTGCAAAAGTCGCCACTGCGGGACGCTCCGGGGGGGAAGCGGCAACACCGGCAGCAGACCGGCCCCGGCGTCCCGCGACAGACAAACAACGTGAAACCGCGCGACGACCGTCGCTAAAACCAGATGCCGACTCCGACCGCGGCCGAACGACGCTGGCGGTACCGACGAGGCTGGACGCGCTGGCGGAGCGACGGGCACAGGGCAGGGGGTGGCGGATGCCGCCGGCCGTGGTCAGCGCCAGCTGCAGGGCGCTCGGTGGCATCCGCAGCAGCTGCTGCAGCATCTCGAGCGCCGTGGTGGCCACGTTGTGCTCCGGGTGCTGCGTGTAGAACAGCGTCACCTCGTACACCTGTGGGGAAACGCGCACCTCTTCCTCGTCAGGGTGAGCCGAGCAGAGACAGTGACACTGTCATGAAGACAAGCAGGATTGACGCTGATGTAACGTTACGAGAATGCCACAGACACAGAGTGCAAACAATTTCCTGCTCAAATGAGCATTGCAGTAGTGGTCCTTTATAGCCCCGAGTTATTGGAATGTTCACATTCGTACGGCGAGAGCGGCGCATAGCGGCTGCGCTGTTGCACGCCGAGGGCTACTTGCCTGCACGAGGACGTGAGGAGCGACGCCGGCGTCGGCCTCGCGCTGCGTCACGCCGAAGCTGCCCTTGAGGCCCGCGTCGGCCGCGGGCTGCTGCACGTGGGGCACAATCGCCCGCAGGCAGTGCAGCACACCGAGCAGCAGCGACGACAGGCGCGCCTCCCCCAGCGGCGTCACCAGCCCTACGCCGCCGCGTAGCACCGCTCGTCACTACGCCACACGGCGCAATTGGACGCGGGGCGGTGGCGCTCCGCTCGCGGTGAGGAGCGAGGTGGACACAGTGATGAGCGAGGAAGGGGGACGCGGTGAGGAGCGAGAGAGGGGGATGCGGTGACGAGCGAGGTGGATGTGGTGATGAGCGAGAGAGGGGGATGCGGTGACGAGCGAGAGGTGGACGCGGCGAGGAGCGAGGCTCACCCAGCAGCACGGAGAGCAGCCAGGCGTAGAATGCGTGCGGGCGGCGTGAGTGCTGGCACACGGCCACGGCGCACGTGGAGGCCGCGCGCCGCATGGCCGCCGAGCCCGACTTGAGGTTCAGCACAAACGCACGCAGCAGTGTCTGCATGGGGCAGAGGCAGTGAGTTCACGACGCGGCACTCATCAGCACCATCGTCACCACTCCTCACTCCGTCGCCACCACACCATCATTCCTCACAGCACCATCATTCCTCACAGCACCACCATCACTCCTCACACCATCACGACCACCACCACTTCTAACACCACCACCATCACTGCCACAAAATACACTCTAACACACTGCATCCACTCACTGCATTTTCAAAGACAAAGTAAAGTGTCATCTTGAAACACCGCAGCCAACAGCAATGCCGTAAAGTTGAGGCCTGAAGGCCGCTGCACAGCGCTGACCGCAACCCAGTCGCACCTTGATCTCGCCGTCGTTGGTGAAGCTGCCCAGCACGCTGACCATCTTGGGCACGGCACCCGCCAGCGTCTCCTGCACTGGCTCCTCCAGCCGGCGGCTTACGTGCACCAGGCATGGCAGCAGGTTCAACATGTAGGGCCTGTGTAGCAGCAGCCGTAGCGGGGACACAAGCAACGGTGGTACCACAACGCAGAGCTCAACACCGCGCAAAACTAGACAACGCCGCAACACAAAGCACTCCGCCGTGCCGCGCACCCTAGCGACAACGGTGCCTACATCGCATTTGACGAACCTGTGAAACGTTACGTCCCTCTCGGTCAGCGAACAAGGCGCTCGCTCCAGTGTACTTCCCCACGGCCCATAGGCGGGCACCACAGGGGATCGAAATGGGAACAAGAGACGCCGTCTCTCCGCGAGGCGGGCGCTGGAGATGTCAGCATGCGGATGCAACCGTTACCTGCACTTCTGAGGTCGGATGAGATGCGCCAGCTCAGCAAAGCGCCAGAGGGCAGCACGGAGACTGCGAGAAGCCCCGTTCTGCAGCCCAACACAACGCACAAGGCCCCCCGTGTAGCCCTTAACAGACTGCTTTGTGGCAAGTGCTGTTAGCGAGCACCTATTAAGGCCGACACGGCACACGGTGGGGTGTGTGGCCAGCACGGTGCCTGGTCACCTTTGCCTCTCCAGTGCTGATGTTTACACACTGCATCAGGTATTCATGTAAGACTGAGTCAACCGAGGGGAGGCCTACGTCCAGTTCAGATAAACGTCAATGATGTTGGCCGTGAGGCGGAATCGAATTCAGACGGCCGTGCTCGTTCAAAAGTACGCTAACCACTACGTCACCGCTCCCGACACATGTCCACACCCACAAATTGCTGCAGTGCTTTCGCCTGGCATGTTATCTTTGTCAAATGTGCGGCAGAATACTCCAAAACAGCAGATAATTCCCCTCCGATTATCAAATGTATTTTACAATGCAGCTCAGAACATGAAGTATTCAAGAGATAATGTCCCTGCAGCTGTAACTGATGAGATGAATGCTCCAAGACAGCAGATAATTCCCCTCTGATTATCAAATGTATTTTACAATGCAGCTCTGTAACTGATGAGATGAATGCTCCAAGACATCACCTTCTTTATTTCCTTGTAGAGCTCAAGCTGGAGCCTTGCCACGTGCGTGTCCATGAGGGCCTACGCCACACGTACCGGGGCAGATAGCCACCGCTGTTAGACAAGGCGGCACAGAATCGACGAAGGCGTCCAGCAGAAGGAAGGGCACGTGCAGGAAAAGTAAAAGGCCGGCTCGACAACCGGCGTCTGCAGCGACAAACGCGCGGCGCATTGCGAGCTCACGCACGTGCACCCAGAGCGCTCCGCGAGGGGGGACATATGGTGCAGACAGCAGCCGCATCCACAGCTCGGACGTCGAGTCACAGCCACCACTCAACTCATACCCACGCGAGACAACCCCGTAATTCCAAGGCCGTCACCTTGATGACCTTGTTGAGACACTCATCGGCCACCATCCTCACATCGGCCTCCGTGTCATCGCAGCACAGCAGGAAGGTCTCCACAGCGATACCAAGAAACTTTGGGAAGTCCGAGGAATTCCTGAACGAGTGGAAACACGCACAGGTGTGCAGCATTGTGTGCACAAAAGCTCGTGGTCTTATCCAGACCACCAACGCAAAAGAACCAAATGCGTGGCCAAAGACTTGTGGCTGTCCCAACGGGCAGTAGTGAGAAAAAGACCCAACCAATGACGACTGCAAGGCTTCACACGCTCCTTGGCAGTGCGTGGCAAGCGTCCGGTGGTGCACACTCAAATTGGAGCCTGTTGACATGGGCACCCACAGAGCTTCCTAAAGGATACGTGCAGCGTTAAGTGGTTGAAACGCTGCATGGAAATCCGAGAGAAGCACTGTCATAGCTCACCTCACATTCGACGAAATGATGGTCTCCGCAATGGTCTGGCAGTACGAGATTCTCTCCTTTTTATTGGCAGGACCTTCCTTTTTCCTACACAATGAATGAAACAAGAATAGAATATTAATAAACAGTAGACTCCTCGAGCCCACTTCTGGCAAGGTAATAAAGCGTACAGATATCATCCCAGCTGCAACACAGATTCTATAGTTACACAAATGCTTCTTCATACGGCCCATGTTGATGCAGAGCAACAACTGTAATTTTACGATGAAGTGGTGGAGCCAAATAACTGTATCAGGAGTAGCAGAGTGGTGAATCATCACTGCTATGATGACGCCTCCTCCTTCGTGTTTGTGAATTGGACGTGGAATCGTTCTTAGTTCCATCGTTTTGTTCTGGGTGAACACAGTCACCGCACAACTGAAAGTTTTGAATTTTGCATTCGTGCTCAATGTAGTAATAATCCTGAACGCAGGACAGATTCAAAATGCAATTTCTCTCTTCAATAAAAAAAATTTGAATTAAAATATGAATTGCAAACATTGAGTTCGTCAGTTAAAGCAGAAGAGAAGAGAAATCACGGAAGGTGTTTTCTGCAATTGGCCACACCACTCCTCGTCCGGTGTCCTTCTTCTGTGCAAGTGGCTTGCAATTGGTAGGTTGCGAGTTGTATTTTGAACTTCTTTCGCACTGTACATAGCCAACCATGCTAATAGGAGTTGACTCAACCCATCATCCCTACGGGGTCAATACAATTATTACTGCTTTGTCGGAAGTCATAGTACTGGGGAATTTCCACCACTGGCTCAGGGCTGTAAATGGGATATTCATAAATAGGTCGTTCTTGGCAAGGATCTTGCTTTAATTTAATTCCCCCTCCCAAAATCGATCTTATAAATACCAATGTCTGTGACCTTGGTGCCATCAAAGCACCCTTCCTCTCTCTCACATCCCCCCAACCCTGCAACGCCATTTACCTCCCCCTGGTAACATCTCGTGCACCCGTGATTTCCTTACTCAGTCTGCCGCTGTGAGCTGAATGGATGTGCATTCCGCTTCCTGACTAAAGAACTCTCCCGCATCCCTCGGCAACACAACTTCAAAATCCCAGCACCAGGCTTTTCACTCGCACTTGTAAATGTGAGTGTCACTCCAATCCCAATTCTATATTAGATCGATCATGAGATTGTCCTTAACATGTTCGAGATCCTAAATGGTCTTGCTTCTCCCTCTCCGCTCCCCTAATGGTACACTGCTCTCCAGCAACCAACGCCTCTTGGTGAAACTCTAATGTGAAGTTTAACTTTATTTTGTGTAACTGTGTGGGAATTCAAGAGACCATGATAGTCTCATTATGCAAGAGTGACCTGGGTTACCAACATGACAAAATCAATACAAACATAAAACTAATTACAACACAGAAGCAAACAAATCAGAGCAAAAACAACCGAATATAAATCACAGGGGATACAACCGCATTGCAGAAGAAATCGAAAAGAGTGCACAAACATAATCAACATTAAATAAAATATATTTCCTTTAAAGTTGGCTTGAACAAAATTATTTAGAAAATCAAAGCTAGATTCTTAAAATATGAAATAGATTGTCTGATTATTGCACGAGTATTTGCAGAGAAAATGATATCAACTAGAGCTGCAAGTGAAATTATCAACCAGAATCAGACAGCTCCGCATCACATTGAGATTTAGATGGAAGAGTAACCGAGGGCATTTAGGAAGCGATGAGATCGCAGGCGTTTGAGGCACGAGGAGAATCGGTGGAGGTCGCTGCTTTTCCTCTGCTGCCGTGACTGTCGCCTGCAATCCCCCCCTTCCTGCTGCTGGTCCGCAACGTGGACTCCTCTCCCCCACATCGCACAGGGAGCAAGGCTCCTCTCGGCCCCAGTCACGGCCCCCCGGCCCTCACGTTCATCGGCCCTCTCTGCTCACCCCGTGCATGCGCTAGCGCACGTGGTCGTGCACGCGCTAGCGCACGTGGGCCGTGCACGCGTTAGCGCACGTGGCCGTGCACGTGCCGCGTGCAGCAACGTCAGCCAGCCCCGTCAACCAGCCCCTGTGCGATTACGTCCTCCCCTCACTGCTGGCGGAAGGGCTCCACTAGAGAGGGCGCGCTAGAGAGGGAGCCCTAGAGAAGACCCTCCAGTCACGTTGGGACAGATGATTGCACAGTTGTGTCGTCCTCGATCGACTGTGCAATCATTGCCTCTGCTTTAAGCCCGAGGCATTACACATTTCTTGCGATGGTTTTCCATTCTGCTACTGCCTCGCTGCCAGGTTTTGCAAACTAAAGGTCACCGTGTGAATCATCTATACACATAAAGAGTGATTTTGGAGACTTAAGAAACCATCAGTCAGTAATTGACTATTTTCCTCTAGCAAGCGGCACCACAAACTTCACTCAGGAAGCCACTGAGACGCGACACGCGCTCCGAAGGGCAATTCCCTGAAACGTCACCGATTCTGATTTCCTTCCATGACCACGGTGCTACCAACGAACGTGGCGAGTTGCTGTAATGTCCCCGTGCTGCTTGTGTGCCACTGCCAACGCAGCGTCCCCAAGTAACCTGCGCAGAGCAGAGGCGCCACACAGAGCGGGGAGTCGCCGGAATAATGGGGACATCCGAGCCCAGTTTGATTGTACAGCACAAATGTAGCGTCGCCTATGGTGTACTATGTAATGTACATAAACAGTAAGAGCGGCCTCCTGCACGAGTGTACGGTTGAACCCATATGGGTAAAACGATTTAATAAATAATAAAATATCCCGTTACACACTTGGAACAATCGGTAGCGTGTCTACTTGCACTGTACCACTTATATTATTGTTATTATTCAACTACAAGCGGAGCTCTCACAACCTAGCCGCTCTCTCGTCTTCTCCAGGCTGAACTCACTCTCACTGCCCTTCAACTCCATGAACTCCCTTCACCGAGAAGAGCTCGTCCTGTCCGCCCATCACACTCCACGTCACCCTCACGAGCTGTCTGTCGGTCCCGGGGCTCTGTCCACTCCGTGGCGCTGTTGGCGTTCACATTCAGCACGAGTCGGGCGTCTCGTCCCTCAAGTTCCCTGTTGTGGTGCCACATCCCTCACCATACCTCCACCCTCAATCCCCTCGAACACGAGAGGCAATATCTCCATGTGTTCCACTACATAAACACAGGTGGCACGCACGGCGCCTGCTCGTGTACTCAAGTACATGGCACGCAGCCGATTGTACATGGCACGCAATGTATACGGCATGTGCTGTACATGGCAAATGGCCATTGAAAGTATCACAATCTGCCAAACTCAGCGTCACCCCCACGGATTTAACAACAACACAGGGTGCAATAAAAACATGGAGAGAGTACAAGTGAGAGCGAGTGGACGGCGAGGAGGAGGCGTGGGGAGACGGGGAGCGAGCAAAGGGCCACGAGGCGATGAGAACCCCGAGATTTCGGTTGCCACCTGTCCGGAATTTTCCCGAACAGTCTTGGAATGGGGTATCCGTGTTCGTGTGCCAGGAATGTGTTTGTGCCGAGACCTGCTACCAGGATTGTGTCTGCACGGCTGTGACAGCTGCCCTCGGCTAAAGAATATATCCTGGGTTGGTCTACAGGGTCATTGGTGGCCACAGAGTGGCCATTACTGAGCCTCGTTAGCAAGCACGCACAGCGCCCCCCCCACTTAGTGCCGTGGCGAGCACGAGGCCGTGTTGGCAGTGCGGTTAATACTACTACTGCTGCTGCTGGTGGTGGTGGTGCTGGGGGTGGTGTCCCATGCCAGCCTAACCGCGCCGTGTCAGGAGGAAACGGAATTGAGTTTCTTGGCCAATTTCGGAAGTCAGAGAACGCGGGAAACACACGTAGATTGGGGGTGCCAATCAAAGGCTCCCACAGATGGATTCAAATAATCAATTATCTTCACTGCCATCTCCGGGCCACTTCGCTGCCCATCTGTGTCGTGGTGTGCCAGACGGGAGACGAGACGGGAGACGAGACGGGCTCGTGTCCGCGAGGTTGATATCACATCGCGTCAGAGGCGGCTGGGAGAGGCCCTCATCCAGCAGTCGACTGACCATGGCAGCTGCTGCTGCTGCTGCTGCCGCCTGAGAGTGCGTGGTGCATGCAGGAAGCACGGCGCCGGTTCACACAGCGCGATAACACAGAGTACAGTGGGGGGGGCGCGCAGCGCCAATGTTTATAGTGCGCGCAGCGAGTGGCGTGCCCATGTGCACAGCGCACACGGTGCACATGGGCACGGTGCGTCCACAATGCGTGTACAGTGCGCGTACAGTGCGTGTTGTGCGTGTACAGTGCGCGTACAGTGCGAGTGCAGTGCGTGTACAGTGCGCGTACAGTGCGAGTGCAGTGCGTCCACAGTGCGTGTACAGTGCGCGTACAGTGCGTGTTGTGCGTGTACAGTGCGCGTACAGTGCGAGTGCAGTGCGTGTACAGTGCGCGTACAGTGCGAGTGCAGTGCGTCCACAGTGCGTGTACAGTGCGCGTACAGTGCGTGGTGTGCGTGTTGTGCGAGTACAGTGTGTGTACAGTGCGTGTACAGTGCGAGTACAGTGCGTGTGTGGTTGTCGGTGTGTAGTGCGAGGTGCAGGCGGCTCGCGGGGCTCGCGGGTCTCACGTCTTGCCCGGCCCGGGCTGCTGCTCGTCCGCGTCCCACGCGGGGCCAGCGCCCTGCGAGGCCTTGAGCGTCTCGAACGCCTTCACGAGGCGCTCCATCGGGGTCATGGCGGTGCCGCGACACCGGCCCCGTGCCTCGCGCGTCACCGAACACAAACACGGGCGGCCCGCGTGACGTCACCCGCGAATGACGTTCCCGACGCGGTGACGTGTGACCCGATATAAATAAATGACGTCATCGCTCAGCGATCACGGCGCTACCAACATACTGTTAACCGTTTGCGTGACGTCATCGCGCTCCACACGATGACGTCACTCACGGTGGGGCCGCCATGTTGCGGCGCCATGGAGGAGAGGGTAGAGCGTGGTTCGTTCCGCTCTCCCCAAATCCTCACCCCGCTCTCTCCCGACACACTCACACGCTACTCTGCAGTGCGCACAGACACTCGCTCGCCAGCCACACTCACACGCTACTCTGCAGTGCGCACAGACACTCGCCCCGCACACTCGCACGCCCCAACACTCCACTGTCTAATACGCACAAACACCACGCACGCGACGGGGCTCTGTCTCGGCTGGAGGCCGCTGCGATGAGCCCCGAGGTACGCGGGGAGCCCGACTGAGGTACGGCATCGTGAGTGGCATTGCGCCGGGTGTGACGAGTTGTTGGCCATACTTCCCCCTGCTGGTTCGCGCGACTTTGTGAAGGGGGCGGCCACGTGTGCGTGTACAGTGTGCACGTGCGTGTACAGTACTAATGGAAACGCGCTGTGTAATCTTGACTTTAAAGCTTTCGTGACTGCAGCAAATCATATTCTTTGGGTATTTCGGTAAAGCCACGTAGATAGAACAAATATCACGACGGTTTTTTTTTCACTTGATGACGATTGCGTTGTGATCGAAACATGATCGTTTTTAATTTTTTCTATCTACGTGGCTTTATCGAAATACCCAAAGAATGAGTTGTGTAATGTCTGGTACGTGTGTGGGACCTATGTCTCACATTCCTAGCCCATAAACATCTCGAAGCTCACCTGTAAACCTAACTTTGTTGCCGAGACTGTCAAAACGGAAGTGTTTAATTGTATTGAACTTAACCAATGCGTCCTAAACGATGGCACTCCCCAGTCGGCCGTGCGGCTGATTTGATGTGCACGATGGACACGCTCTCTCTTTGTTTAGAATCCTGCCCCAAATGTCAGAACTCTTCGAGAATGCAGTTAACATAACGCTTTTATTCTTGCGTTAAGTGTGAATCGTGTGCCCTGGTTCCACTCGCCCACTAACTTTATCTGCAACCTGGAGGAGAGGTTTTCTACAATCGCTGTGCTTCCATGATGCCTAAAATGTCTGACCTGAATATTTGTGTAGACATCCTTCATCTGAGTTGCAGCACAGCCATTGAGACATTCTTGCGAGATTTAATTTACATTTTTGTCTGACTTGAAGTTTTGAAATTATTATTTTTCAAGATTCTGGAGTCGTCGTCGGTTGCAATCGCCTGAAGGTTGCAGGTTCCAAGGTGAGGTTTTGCCCAAGCGGTCAAAACGCGTTTTCCTTTACTTAGTTCTGATTTATTTTTAATTACATCCCCTGCACGTGACAAGCCATAGTTAGTTTCATGAGATGAGTGGTATATAAATAAATAAAGCCCCGTTACAAAATGTAGATGCTCCCAGGCTCGGTCTCATTTAACCATAATATGAACCCGTTGAAACACGTGGAGTCACTTTGCCTCTTGAGCAAGGGTGACGGACCTTGGTTACAGCCAAACGTGGCATGTACACTTTGTTTTAAAACATTTCAATGCAACAAATCTAGTTACAGCTAAATAAACATCTGAATACGCTGAATCATATCTTCTACATATACAATTTCTCGAAATGAATTTTAGGCATGGATTGCTGTACTGGAGTATTGTGTAATTATTGAAAAGTCAACCTCCGTTGCTAAACTAAAACAAGTTAGGACAATTGCCATACATTTAAATCATGTGCTTGTGTTGAATTACTGTTAAACACCCTGTAATAAAGGTGTTCCTCCAAACTCTGCTTCGATGATGCCTAAAATGTCTGACCTGAATATTTGTGTAGACGTCTTCTATCTGAGTTGAAGCAGAGACGTGAAGGCGTGTCTGCGAAATTACATTTCAACTGTAATATCTAACGAGGTTTTTAAATTATTTTCAGATCCTGGAGCTTCAAAGATTTTAATCACACGAAGTTTCACATTCCAAGGTGAGGCTTTAGCCAAGCAGTCAACATGCCCTTCTATCTGCTTATTTTTTGTATTGATTTTGAAGTACATCCTTGAAAATATGGATTGCTGCAGTAGTGGAACGTTTAGCATATCTGATTATATTTCATTTTCCAGGGGGACAGTTGAAACAATGGTGAGAGTTCCTTAAAGTCCTTACACCTCTGTCGGCCCAGCAATATGTATGGGTCCACCACAGTTGATGGCCAGGTCGCGTGCTGGGGAAATGTCACCTCTTCCAGACTTAGGGCCAGCGTGAAATACCCCCCAGAGCTCCCTCTACTGAGGCCATTGCCACCAGTGGCAGAACTTTCAGTGGCAGCCTTGCACATGAGCCCTAATTTCACCACAGCAGCGGTAGAATACAAATGGTGCCGTTTCAATGACTCGCCATATTACATGTGCTTTGCATTTCATGGATTTGTGATTGTTTTGGATTTTTAAGTATTCAAACTGTGTTGTATTGCAGGTGATATCCACGTCTTGAAGATGAAAGAAAATGCATCCAAGCCTTGTCATTGGTGAACATGGAGTCAACACAATTCCTCTACTGAAGTCTTAACACGGGGTCAATTACAGGCATAAACATACATATAGGGAAGTGAAAAGCAAAACTAGGAAACACGAGGCGTTTACAAAAGATGGCATTGGTGGTAGGAATGTATACAATGAAACGGATGCATAACAATGAGTTGAGATAAATTCAAGGCCCTTAAATATACAAGTTATACAAATATACAAGTATATAAAATGACCGGTCATTCCACTTTGAATAAACTGATTCAATGTTCGAGGTGAACATTTTAACTTAGCTTAACCCTAACTTAATACAGATATTAGAATGGCCTTGACAAGAATGAAATATTTAAACTATTACATCTCATGGGTCTCAAAAGAGAACCATTGTTAAAGGGGTAAACAATGAAGTGAGAAACCTGGCGCCATCCTAAAGACAGTAAGAGAAGATGCACCTTTGTCATGGTAAAACACAGAGAAGCTGCACCTTTGTCATGGTGATCGGCAGCGCTGCACCATTGCGATGTACAATCGGTATACACTGTTACGTTGTTTTCAATAAATGCTCCTTTTGCAAGTATTTTGTAATTGTTCAAACACCAGCACCTGTTTCGCACAGCTGAGCTCGGGCCCAGTGTCATGGCCAGCAACAAACGACACTATGTGTGGGACTAGGGATGGATTTTGCAAGTACTGTAAATGTAATCGCAGAGAGGGTCGGGGTGGGTGTCGGCTAATCCGAGGGGGGGGGGTGAAATTTACAGAGGCCGACTGAGTTGCATTACATTTCTAAGTTTGATAGCTATTGCCTTTTACTCTGTAGATTTCACTCCTGTCCGTTGCGCCCGTTGTGACAGCTCCCCTCTCGGATGAGCCGACTCACCCCGACCCTCTCTGCGATTACATTTACAGTACTTGCAAAATCCATCCCTAGTCCCGTCCACTACCCTTAGGTGGTACCCACTACAAAGTCTTATCACCCTTGGTTGTAGCAGCGCTCTCGCTACATTTCCTCAGCAGCAGTCTACCTGCTGTATCTAATTTTTCACCTGAAGACGATGGCTTGTGTTGCTATCGAAACGTGATTTATTAGTTATTTTTCCTATCGACATGACTTTATTGAAAGAACAAAAGTATGAATTCCTGCAGTCACGAAAGCTTCACATCAATATTGACACTATCGGAGTTGTTATCGATATCCCCTGCACTGAATACCAAGATTTGGCGCTGTAGTGGAACTTTCTTAAAAGTATGAATCAAAAATCACCATTTGGGTTCCATCGTCCAATTCTAGGATCCTTTAAAAAAAGATACCTGCTTGCTGGTGCGGCCCAATGACCCTCTTAACAACACCACTGATCCTCGGTGGTTAACACTCAAACCCACTGAGCCTCGGTGGTTAACACTCAAACCCAATGAGCCTCGGTGGTTAACACTCAAACCCAATGACCCTCTTAACAACACCACTGAGCTTCGGTGGTTAACACTCAAACCCAATGAGCCTCGGTGGTTAACACTCAAACCCAATGACCCTCTTAACAACACCACTGAGCTTCGGTGGTTAACACTCAAACCCAATGAGCCTCGGTGGTTAACACTCAAACCCACTGATCCTCGATGGTTAACACTCAAACCCAATGATCCTCGGTGGTTAACACTCAAACCCAATGAGCCTCGGTGGTTAACACTCAAACCCAATGATCCTCGGTTAACACTCAAACCCAATGAGCCTCGGTGGTTAACACTCAAACCCACTGATCCTCGGTGGTTAACACTCAAACCCAATGAGCCTCGGTGGTTAACACTCAAACCCACTGATCCTCGGTGGTTAACACTCAAACCCAATGATCCTCGGTGGTTAACACTCAAACCCAATGAGCCTCGGTGGTTAACACTCAAACCCAATGAGCCTCGGTGGTTAACACTCAAACCCAATGATCCTCGGTGGTTAACACTCAAACCCACTGATCCTCGGTGGTTAACACTCAAACCCAATGAGCCTCGGTGGTTAACACGGAACCCGAAGGGAGGAGACATCGTCTGGCCTCATTACGATCTATGACAACTGGTAAAGATCCGTAGCGCTAAGCTGCAAACGAACGCATTTTCAACAGCTACACATCACACGTTTTATTCAGCGCATGTACGGAGAACAAACGTGTTTTGGGTATTATTGCAGAACTCTCCGTATGCAGGAGTTGAACATTTCCTCTGAATTCAGTAAGCACGTGTTGGGGGGCTGTGCCACGTGGGCGCGTCCCACCGCTGGTTGCGGCTGATTGGCAGGCGCGCTCGTCACGTGGGGGGCGGGGCTCTTGTCGGGCATCTGTTGGTGACGTCTCTCGGCGTGGGTCCTCGTTAAATTTTGTATCCGCGCCGCTGATTGGCCCAATGTAATACGTGGGCGGGGCGAGTGCTGTGATTGGCTGTGGCTTGGGGTTTGTGGGCGTGGCGAGCGCTGTGATTGGCTGGGGCTGGGCGGGTGACCCGGCGTTGTTTGAATGCGGGAAGCGACGCGACAGCTGCGCGTCTTTGTAACGAAGCGGGGGCTGAGAGATGGGTGAGTGGGGGTGAGTGGGTGAGTGGTGAGTGGGTGAGTGTGTGGGGGTGAGTGGGTGAGTGTGTGGGGGTGAGTGGGTGAGTGTGTGGAGGTGAATGTGTGGGTGAGTGTGGGGTGGTGAGTGGGGGTGAGTGTGGGGTGGTGAGTGTGGGGGTGAGTGAGTGTGGGGGTGAGTGAGTGTGGGGGTGAGTGGTGAGTCGGTGTGGGGTGGTGTGTGTGTGTGAGTGGGGGTGAGTGTGTGTGGGGGTGAGTGTGTGTGGGGGTGATTGAGGAGTGGAGAGTGTCGGGTGGAGTGATGATTGGGTGAGTGTGGAAGTGAAGTGGTGAGTGAGGGGATGATTGAGGGAGTGAGTGAAGGGTGGAGTGGTGAGTGAAGGGTGGAGTGGTGAGTGAGGTGGGTGAATTAGTGAGGGGGGTGGAATGCTGAGTGAGGGTATTTGTGTACTTTTTTTATTTATAGTGTATAGTAGTGTGTAGTGTACAGTGTAAGGCGGTGTACAGTATAGCGTATGTTGCGGTAGTAAATAATGTCGTGTATATAGTGTGAGGTTGAGGTGGACGTGAGTAGGGGTGAGTAGGTGGTGAGGTGAGGCTGAGGTGAGTGAGGCGGCTTTGCACCTCCCAGGCCCCCCCCCCCCCCCATGGGCTGTGAGGCGCTGCAGTGCGCCATGCAGAGCGCTTAATTTGGGTATCGGTACCGATTATTATAAAACAAATTCATCCGAAATTCCCCCACAATATCTCATTTAACAACGTTTCACGTCACTTTAGTATGCCTCTGTATCCTCTTTCGGGCCACATCTGTTTCATGCCCTGCAGAGGGTGTATCAACATGTCGATCTAAACTGCCTCTTCTTCTCGGAGCTGTCACCTGCTGAATGAATGAACAAAGCGACCACCCGGTCGCTGCGCGGATTGCGTGTGGGCGGTGTGTCGCCTTGCTGCTGCCTTTGTATTGTGACCTTCCTGTGGCCCTCTGAGCCCCAACCAGCCACCTCGGCAGCGCAGTCGGTGTGTGTCCGAGGTGTGTGTGTCTGTGTGCCATGGCGGGTGTGGAGCTCCAGTGAGACCCGCCACCCCGGCAGGTTGAGCGCAGGCGAGGAGGAGGAGGTGCCCCCCAACTCGTCTGGCTCGGCAGGCGAGAGCGCCAGGCTCGCGGTCGTCTGGGTTCCACTTCAGGGGCTCGTGCTCAGAGCCAGCCGCATCTGTCGCCGATATTAGCGACATGCTTCTCTTTAGTCCATCAGCCAATTGGCTTACATCCAGACGCAATATTCAGAAACAATTGTCGTGTTTGTTAAATCAGAATCTTTATTTAAAACACCGAGAGCGTAAAGGGCGCTCTTTCAAAAACATTAATTTTAGGCACAGATACAGAGCCCCCGATTAGCACGTTTGGTGACATGGCGCGAAAGAAGTTCAACATACATATAGAACAGTTGCACCACATATATCGTGGACTGTTCGGCCCAGCTTGGCTCGTGTATGCTCCTGGACGGCTTTGTTACCGAGGACAATTACCAGCAACTCCGGTTACAAAGAAACAGACGTAACGCTGCTCACACAGATGATAATGACGTCGGGACGTCTCGCAGCGTTTTACATTCGATCTCAACCTTTTGAAAGGGCACTTTTAGTGGCAACTGTTCCTCTGTGACTCAAGAGGACTCGGCACCTGACCTGTAAGTGGGCATTAGTCTTCTAGTAGGGGGCGATTATTGCTGCTGTATGTTATCCCAAGTGAATAATTTGCGGGTAATTTTTAAAATTTGCAGCATGATACTGATGCACAATAATCTACTCTTCTTGAATAACATCTTGGGATCTTTCATATGAAATGTGAAGTAGACGGAGTAGCCACTGCAGTTGGACTTGTGAACGAGCGGTGAACTCCTCGCCACCCTTGACAGCCGTGTCTGTCGTACGGTTGTGCCACGGCGGCTCATTGCTGGGACTGCTCGTCTCTATTCCCACAGAATGGAGAGTCCTCAGTCGAGCAGAGATGTGTGTGGCAGTGCGGGTGCCGGAGCTGGTGATGATCTGCACGAGACGGTTGTCAACCCATTTGAGTTCCCGGGGTTTCTCGCTAATCATGCGCTCAGTCCAAATACGTGCACCTTCAAAATCAGCACTCCATCAACCAACTCTGCAAAAAAGGTTTGGATATACACACACGGTGGAACTCGGTGGAAACCCTTGCACAACAGGGTAGAGAACACTCAAACTCCACAAGGAAAGGCGCCCAAGTCGGGAATCGACCCCAGGCCCTTGCTGTGAGGCACCAGTGTTATGACTGCGCCACCCAGAAAACACGTTTTTTTCTGTTGCATATTTAAAAGCTGTCACTCTTTTTCCTCATTGCTAGAGGATACGTAGCAAACTTGTTACTTTTGTCAATTGTAATTCAAAATGCAGTCTATCCTTGTTTTAAAGTGCCATGAAAAAATAACATTGCCCTACTTGCACTTAAGCATCTTAAAAACTTGATAATGCTCAGATTATATTGTAACTTAATGTAACGTGTCACATTGTGTAACTACTGGCAGATTGGTGGTTACTTGTTTGCGTGCGGGTGTGTGTAGACACCACACTGTTACAAACCCGGCTATGACCCAGGTTCGATTACAGCTCACGGCCAACACTAGTGGACGAATATTTGAACTGGTTCTGGGCCTCCCCTAGGTAGACTCAGCCTCAAATGAGTACTTGGTGTGGTGTGTAAACATCGTCACTTGGGAGACAAAGGCAGTTGGGCATAGTGCTGGCCACCCACGCTCTCGTTTACCGTGCCAACCTTCATAGGTGCTTGCTAAAAGCACTTGCCACAACAGTCTGTTAAGGCTATATCGGGTATCTTTGTTTTTGTCTTCGTAGACACCGGCACGATTTCGATGGTCCATAGACCAAATGGCCAATCTTAAACCAGCTGACATCCATCCTGAGGAAATACAACGACAAGCTCTGTACCTAAGCACGGTCAGGTGGGTATTGCCGTGCACTTTTGTTGCTGTGTGCTTCTTGGAAAATGTCTATGCACGGTCGTGTAATTGGGTTATCACGTTTATTGTTTAATTGTGAAATTCCTGTTCACTATGGGGTGACGTTCTGTAAATCTAAATGAAAGTTACCGTAAAACCCTGGCTAGCTGGATCCACACTGAGCTGGATCAGTCCTGCAGGTAGACTGAATACATGTGGACGGACGCGGTGCGAGGCTGCATTGCACGCACGGCGGTGTGCCGTGCATTCTGTAGCTCCCTGTCGCTCGCTATGGCCCTGTCTCTCTATGGATATTCCTTGATCTCTGGCCCCGTCTCTTTGGCTCTGACATCATTCCTGTCTCTACATGGCCCGGTTGTCTTGGTTTCTTTAATTTCCTTGTTGTGTCAATTGCTTTCTGACATGATGTGTACTGAATTATAATTTGTTTTTCATGTATTCAGCTTGGATCAAGAACTTGAAGAAAAAACCCAGCTGGAAATTGAGCAGGTTTGTATAATTGTGCATTGTATGCACTTCCCATGCTATGAAACCTGTTGTATCCACACGTGCTGTTAGCGCTCTATCTCTCTAGTTACATTTTTCTTCTTTACGCGCCAGTCCATCTCCAGTCTCACCCCTCACCTATCACTGTGCTACTCACGTTGGGCTCTGTTTAAGCCTGCGGAATTTCCTCAGTGGTCAATAACATGCAACTCATTTATGTTTGTTCCATATAAGTGCGTTCCTCTTTCAGTCTCGGAGTGCTATTCCATTTCTCCATGCTGCTTTATGCAATCTTTATCTTTTTTCTATTTTCTTATTGAATGTCCACGTTACGATTGATGCCATAGCTGGCAGTGTGCATCGATTGAGAAATGTGGAAGTATGACATATTTTACTCAAAATGTTATCACACTTATGAGTAGAAATTGTTATGTTGTTATTTATTGGTGTTTACGATGATGAGTGGTTGGTTTCCTGGTGCCATGCGAGACATGTTTGTGGAAATGCCATGAACAGGCGACGTGTGCTCGTGTAGTTTTTCTCCAGAGGAACAATCGTCCCATCGCCATGGACGCAGAGTGACAACAAACCGCCGGCACGCAAGCAATACGCAAACTCACGTGAGGCAGTAGCACACACCACACCGCTCGGCGCCTTCTCCTTCACCAGTCTCTGCAAAGCTCGACCATCACATTTTCTTTTGTGCTGTGCCTTAGCGGCAGGTCCTTGGCTGACATCGTCCCCATCCCCCTCTGCCCTCTGACCTTCGCTTCATTTCTACAAACGGCCCCTTCACCTTCTCCAGCGTCCCAATCCTTGGCCTTCCTCTCGTTCTCAGTGACCGCGTTTCCGCCCACACATCTCTGCGCCATAGTCTGTTGTTGAGCTATCGCATTACAACACATTAGGGAGAGCATACTGTTGGTTTAGAACTGTTTAAAACTTCTTCCTAGCGTTGTTCCCGCTGTGGCGCAGGGTCCGCTTTTCGGCATTGTCTTCTCCATTTGGCTCGGTCCAGGGCATCTTCAGGGGATGCGTTGACCGTCTTCATGTCTTCCTTTATTCGGTCCAGAACTGTTTAAAACAACAATGTTAAATCTTTTTTTTTCAATAACCTGCGAACCCATTTCAAAAAAAGCCAACAGCTGTTGTCAATATGTTGAATGTTTACAGTTGACATTTTCAAACTCCATCCGTATCATCACCATTATTATAATATGTATTTTGTTGAGGTGAGGTGGAGAGAATTATGGCATGGGGTAATGGTTGACTCAGCAGTATAAATAACGGTGCAGATTTCTTAAATCCACCTGACCGCCTCAGTCCACCCAGTAGTATACATTTGTGCACCACGGTCCATCGGCAGGTCGCGTGCAGAGGAGTAAAGTGTGGGTACTCTCTTCTCTCACAGGATTTGTGGCCAGCATAGAAGGAGTAAGGCCAAATACCCTGTAGAGGGGCTCTCTATAGCTCCCTCTAGTGGAGGCCCTTCCGCCGGTACTGGCATGTCAGCAAGCAGATGCAATGCTGCACCGTTAACTTTTTATATTCTCTATTCAGTTTTCAGAAAATCTATTGCAACATTGCTGTCTGACAGAGAAATTGGAGAGTCACCTGTGTTGTTACTGTGCTGCCATTTTCCATATCCTCTTTACTTTTCAACCGATTATGTAAAACTTGAAACTTTGAATTATGTTTTCGTGTTTAGAGGCCCCTCATAATGTGAGGCCCTAAGCTGTAGCTTACTTGGTGTATGCCTAAATCTTGTCCTGGGCCTCTCCCACTGCAACCTCCTCCGCCCAGTCTTAATTCCTCATCGTCGCCCACCATGCCCGGATGTTTCCATTGCTATTTCTGTCGTTTCGGAGTGTTATTTGCTTATTTTTTTTACTTGGAGTCTTCACATCGATGCTCACGGTTATGTTGTGTTAAGATTTACGTGTCACCGAATTTGTACGCGTTTGGTTTATGATGGCGTGTTTCTTTCTCAAAGCCATGGATCCGCTGAAGGAGTCACCTACCGCAAAATCCTCAACAAACCTTAGCAAAACATGCGACGGTAATGCACACAAACGCACACGCAAGCTCAAACACAGTGACGTGCCTCTTGGCCATCACTCTCTTGGCTAAAAATCAAAGTGATTTCTTGCTCAAATGAGCAAATGAGTGCACATCTCCTTTTTACAGTCCAGAGCCAGTGGTGGAAATTCCCTGTTCTTATGGTGAGGGCGAGTCTATCCATAGGCCAACCACTGTTGACTTCCCAGAAAAGTTGTATCTATTTTATCGACCCTCACAGGTATGATGGGCTGAATCAACCTCCAATCAGGATTTGAACTCAGAATCTTGCGATTGTGATCCGCTCCTTTGCACAGCCGCTAAGCCACTGGGTCGCATTATCTCATAACCGTTCATATATTCAGTGAGCTGTGATTGAGAGCTCAGCCATAATCTAAAAAAATGTTGCGGCTGTCCTTAGGAGTGTTTTTATTTATCTTATTACGTCGTGAATGAATGAGTGTGTTTGTAGTGCTAATAACTTTGTTTGAAACTGTGTGTGTGTGCAGTGGCATGCCAAACATCAATTTCCCTGCCAGTGGGGTTTGACCTGGAAGCGCTGTTGGGTGAGTGGACGCACGCACGCATCACAAACACGCACATAGCTACTGCAGTGAACTGCGAGGTCTTATATTAATAATTTTCTTTATTATGTATTTGTGTTAATTTACACATGCTGAGCACAGGCCAAAGGGTCCAATAACCCCAAGAGGCTAGTAACAAATGGCATCGTTCAAGTTGTAATAGATAATAGTAAACACGTTTATCGACATTAGGAATGTTATAAGAACGGTGTGGTGTTTGAGTGGTGAGCAAGTGAGTGGGTTAATGAGTGTCAATGAATGAGCCTGTGGATGAGTGCGCGAGTGTATTGTTGTGGGGAGCGGTAGTGTAGTGGTAAGCGCGTTGTGCTACGATGCTGGCGACCCAAGTTAGATTCCCGTTCGGGGCCAATGCAGGTCAATGTCAACAAGAATCTGTTGTGTATTTGTGTGCAGCGGACTTTCGGCGCCGTGAGGACAGCGTTTGTAGTGATGGCAGTGGACTCTCCTTGCGGAGGAAGCTCTTTGTGGACAATTCAGAAGAAAACTCATGCGACAGTTCAGCCCAGTCTGTCTACACCCCGCCGCACTTTCAAACAAACCGCTGGAGCTCCTCTCCATCAGCTATAGAGCAAACAAAGGATCGTTCATCTGAACAGGGGACTACACACAGCACGGTATGTGATTTCATAATCAGCATCTTTATTTAGACTGGAAAAGGAATCCGATGAGCTATGAAAATTTTTTCCACACATGTCCAGAAATTGTGTCTGTGTCTATATATCTGGATGGCTTCATGAACGAATCTTTGTTGATAGCCAGTGGGCTTGTAAAGTACCTTCGTCTTAGATAAATCAATTTCGTGTGAGCCCACCTCATTAAAACAATGATCAGCCACGGCCGAGGTATTGGTCCTACCGTGTTTCAGATCTGATTTATGTTCATGAACACGGTCCAAGACATGTCACTTAGTTTCCCATCCGTATGCGTAGTTTTCCTGTAGACATTGTGTCCCATTGAGCCATCTGGTATCTTTTCAATTAAAACATCCAAGAATGGTAACTTGCCATCCTTTTCCACCTCCATGGTGAATTTGATGGCTGGGTGTATGGAATTGGTGTGGTTGAGGAATTGGTTCAGAGCTGGTCAGCCATGTGGCCAGATGACGAACGTGTCGTCTACGTACCTCTTCCACAAGGACGGACGTAGATTGGATGCCTGGATGGCATCTGTCTCAAATTTTTCCATGAAAACATTGGCTACAACTGGAGATAATGGAGAACCCATTGGGGTACCTTCAACTTGTTTGTAGAATGTTCCATTCCAGGTGAAGTAAGTGTTGGTGAGGCAGTGTCTCACCAGGGCCGGTACATCAGAATTCAGTCCTTGTTGGACCAAATCTTCAATGATTGCAATGGTGTCAATCACAGGAACTTTCGTAAACAAAGAGACCATATCGAAACTAACGAGCAAATCACCTGGAGATGGTGAGATGTGGTGTGTAGAAAACCACCACTGGGAAGACAAAGGAGGGCGGGTGGGCAAGTCAAGTTTTCTTTGTTTACACACACGTGGTGTTGCCATTCGGGCACAAATCTGCCACTCAAAGGGCCATCGTCAACATTATAACTGAAACTCAACATAACATTTGAAAGATTCTTAACAACGAGAAAAAAATAATACAAGGGCTTTTGCATTTCAGAAACAGCTTTCATCGAGCCCCATCCAGGCCAGCGACGCCCCACGGTGCGTGTGCACGCCAGACTCGCCTGGCGCTAGGAATGGAGAGGCCTCCAGCCTCCCCTCTCCCATTCGCATCCACGGTACCGGCACAGCTCTTCAGCACCCCACACAATTTTATAGCCATTGACGTGACCCAGTGGTAGTGCGTTCGCCTCTGATGGCAGAGGTTTGTGGTTCGAATCCGACAACCCGCCCTGGATTATACCGTGAGTGTATGGATATACACGTAATGTATAGCTAGTCCCTGCTTAACCCTGGGGGGTTGCTTTCCTGAAAATTGCCGCGTTAAGCGGGAGTCATTTTCCCTTAATAATGGTAAAGGTGGGGATGCTGTCCCTTTCCGTAATTTTATATAGTATTTTCCAGAGGTGTGGACTCGAGTCATGTGACTTGGACTCGAGTCAGACTCGAGTCATGAATTTGATGACTTCAGACTCGACTTGGACTTGCATAACAATGACTTTGTCCCACCTCTGGTATTTTCTATAAATATGTTAGGTGTGACAGTAATTAAAATCAATAAAAAGTGTGTGAGAGATGTGGCGAGTGAAGAAGATGAGGGAGTCAGATGATGCTCCACACAAAGATGCCGGAACAAAGACTGAGGAAGAGGCAGGCATGCCGTGTATCACAGCACCCATCACTCCTACAGCACCACTCCTACAGCACCACTCCTACAGCACCACTCCTATAGTATCACTCCTACAACACCACTCCTACAGCACCACTCCTATAGTATCACTCCTACAACACCACTCATACAGTATCAGTGCTACAGTACCACTCCTACAGTATCACTGCTACAGTACCACTCCTACAGTATCAGTGCTACAGTACCAACATCACCGAACAATGCTGCCAACACCCACGCTGCTCAGAAAAGTAGTCCGTCACGCGCTAGACTCCTTGCGTTATAGCAGCGCGCCCCGCGTTAAGCTAAAAACGTTCTGTAAAAGAACCGCGTGGAAGCGAAAACGCGTAGTGTGAACGCGCACTTGACGTTGTAAAACGGCGATAATCGGGATCATGATAATACATCTGACCGTTTATTATAGTTAAATGCTTTTCATCAAATTCATGCCGAGAGACGAAACGTGACGTGTGTTTTCTTTCCCCACAACCTTCTTGTTTTTAGAGGAAATGGCAGCTGCTCTATCTCCCTTTGAGGAGAAGTGGACTCACCATCTCTCGCCATCACCTACAAATTCTCGCCTTGACAACCCCCACTGGAACGCTCCAAATTCCCAAATTGTCACCAAGTACCCTTCTTTACGAAAACCAGAATGGACCAGTCCAGAACCTCTCCAGCAGACACAACAGTGGGACAGTCCATCTTCGCCACGCTCACAGTCTCCTCCTCATGCCACTGCGGCATGTCCTCAGATGTTGGAAATTATCTCGCCTATTGCTTCAGTAAAATTGCAAAAATTGTCGAGTGAGCATGTCACTGATGATGCCGGGGACAATGAAGCTCACGGGCTTAAAGATTTGAGCTTTTCAACAATAAATGTTCACAAGAGCAATGGAGATCCATTCTCTTCCCAGAAGTACGCGTGTGCGGATTTCTCTCAAGGAAACAGAACTGTAAATGTGCAAGAAGCTGAATTCAGCATAGAAGCACAACTGACCGGAGAGCTGAAGTTGCCTGAAATAATGAGCAGCACGTACAACGCCGGGACACACTTACTGGATGTTGCTTCCAACGCTTCCGGAGCACGCTTTGAAAACGAACCGGAACTAAAAAAAAAAGTAAAATCTTGTCCGCTGACTGAAACCGATGACTTGGGCTGCAATGGAGGACGTTGTAACGATGGCAGGGCTCCACTGCTGTGGGATTTGAGCACCCGGAAAAGGTTGTGCGACGATGATGACGATGCTTTTGGCGTCCCCATGGAGGTGACCGGAGCGGACGACTGGCCACCACCTCCGAGTGCCGCCAGGGCGCTTGTGCTCCTCCAACCCCAGGCTGAGAGCAGTTGTCTTCCCAACGAGGTGGTACCTCAACGCAAAACATCCACACGGTTGACTTTAACCACCGGCGTCGCATTATCGTTGAGAATTGTGTGCGAGGCGGCAGGGTGTTGCTGCAGTGGCGACACTTGTGCCTCACAGCAGGGGAAGCGTCTCTGGTAGCCTCCAATAACCGCTATGAATTGTCACACTTCACCTCTCATGCAACTTCACTGTCTCCTATTCTTTGGTTCTTTCGGTAAAGTCACGTAGATAGAAAATAATAAAAAGGTAAAAAAAAAACACGACGTTTCGATCGCAACACAAGCGATCATCCTCGGGTAAAGAAATACAGCCGGCGGACCGTTGAGAGAAATATAGCGAGAGAGCTGCTTGAGCCAAATGCAGAGCCGCAAGATTACATATGCTTGGAGGAGGCGGGCTAGAGATGGAATTTGCAAGTAAATGCAAGATCACAGAGCTAAGAATACCTCGGCTAATTATGTCTGTATTCACCACAACACTTGTGGTCAGAATGCAAACAGAAATAAGGCGATCGGTATTACCTCGGTGTCGCGGCATCTCCTCAGAGAAGTGAGCGGCTCGATCAGATGAGCCCTCCTGTCTCGGAGTCTGTTAACAGATCTAATGGTTGTGTGGAAACCCTCCCCGTAGAGGCGGTTAAATCTTGACTGTCTCTGGTGTACCGCTGTCTTTTCAAATACCTTACTCATCATTAATCTCTCCCCATGGCTTTGCCATAGAGAAAGAATTGCTGCAAATTACTCAACTGGGATCACATGTAGCACCACCTCCGCCTTGCGTGCTGCCAGCACCACAGTCGTACGTTTGTCCAGTATCTGGCACTTAGTGGTGGTGTGGCCCGGTCTGTAGCCCTGGCGAGGTCCTTCAGGGTGCACGGCTCCTCCAGGAGCCGACAGGACAGTCGATGCTCCACGATCCGTGTCTCACCGCAGTGTTGCTAGAGTAGCCCCACTCCCGCACGTTGACTCTTGATCTGTCCACTCCTGTTCAAAGCCCATTAAAACATATCCACGTTGAGCCGATCTTTCTCTGTGCCGGCAGAGAGGTGTTGGGCAGCATTATGGCGTCTGTAGTCATTATGTATCCTGTTGTGTTCATATTTCCAGTCGTGTGCAGCCAGGGGTAATTTTTTAAGCAAATCTGTTGTGGCTAGGAAGCACACTTCCCTCAATTCAGGCAGCTTACAGCTGCAGTGTGGCCACCTAGCGGATGTCTAACGTCCTCAGTCCCGTCTTGATCATTCCATGTTGCTTGCGACTGCTCTGTATATCATCTGTTGGGGCTGTTCCGGCGAGCACATACAGACCGTTCACAAGCATTGGTGTTCAGGTGTCCGGTCGTGCATTGGTAGCTGTTAAGCACAAGACATAGCTCTTCCTTTTCGTGAGGCGATCTTTTTCACGCTTTGATCTCCTCGGTGCGAATGCCAATACCAACAGCTCGGCCATTCTCTTAAAGGGAGTTGATTCTGGAAATTAGTTCCGCCGCCGTGGATAGTGTCTCGGAATAGTTCATCTATGTAGCAGCATCACACTCTTGTGAAAACTTTGGCAAGACCCTCCTGACAAAAGAGTTTTGAGACTGAAGTTTTCCTGGATAAACAAGCATAGTAGTAATGATAATAATAATAGTTGTTCTTATGGTAATAATTACGCAGAATGTATAACATGCACAGTCTTTATTTGCTTCGAGAGCATGATTCAGATTGCCCAAGCTCTGTGGTCCTATATTGGGATGTTTGTCCAACTAAAACTCGAATTACCATTTGCTTTGATTTTTGTCCAGGTTGACAGTGGATACTCTACCTACCACATGACTGAGGAGGAGATTAAAGTCAAGGTAAGCACTGTGAAAGTGTTTAGGCCTGTGGATCTTTGGGTTCAACCATCTTAGGCTGTATTCACACCGAACCCTGTACAGTAAATTCCTGTTTAACGAGTAGCGTTCAAACTACACGGTTTCGTTTTAACGCGTTTTTTTTCTTACGGAATATCTTCTGCTAAACGTGCACACCATGGTATTATCCAGGGCGGGTTGCCGGAATCTAACCACGAACCTCTGCCACTGGGCCACGTCACCGGCATTCCACGTTAGGCGGGGATTTGCTGTACTCATACTTGTTGACCTAAGTGAAGACCAGAACAAGTTCGAATTCCTATCTTCGCTGGTGTTGTCCGTGGTCATGAATTGGACTTGGGCCGTAGAGCAGTGCACGGTCTCCACCGTTCCCAAGGCTGCAGTGTGCTAACCACTATTGCCCATCACCACATGCATGCAGTCACTTTCCTGCTGAATGTGATGTAAATCACTACTCATGGCCCCGTTTCACTTTGTGCTTCTTGCAAGGATGTGTCCAACATGGAAGTGGACCTGTGCTGCGCGTGTGCCACTGCGGACGGCAAGAGCAATCCATGCCACTGACTGCACCGGATGCCTCGGCTACAGCACGATGCAATCCCCATCAAGATGGGCCATCAACGTTTTGCCTCGACTACTTGATTATGGTGTTATGAAATCCTGAACTTGAACACGAATCGTTTATTTGTATAAAACCACTCGCTCACTCCTGATTATTACTGCACGAGTGAAATATATTGTTGATTTTAAGTTTATTTTAAAACAATAAACATTCATTTTAAGTAACTGACCAACTTGCCCAGATTTTAATTAAGTGTATGAATAGGCACGGTTCGTTAATCTATAGTTAATGTGTTTTACTGTGGTCTCATGTTCGTTGTATTTACGGTCCTGTGTGTATAGGTGCGAGGTTTAAGATATATAGATTTCCCTCGCTTCATGCTGGTTCGGTTTGTGTGATTGCACTTATTTGCGGCTTGAATCCACTCTTATGTCGCTGTGCGGTCGGACGTGGAACAAAACTGTACCGTGTGTACTGTGTCTACCATGTATACTGTGTGTGTACTGTGTGTGTGTACCATGTATACTGTGTGTGTGTGTGTGTGTACCGTGTATACTGTGTGTGTGTGGTCTGTGTGTGGTGTGTACCGTGTATACTGTGTGTGTGTACCATGTGTACTGTGTGTGTGTACCATGTATACTGTGTGTGTGAGTACTGTGTGTGTACCGTGTGTGTGTGTGTACCGTGTATACTGTGTGTACCGTGTGTACTGTGTGTGTACCGTGTGTACCGTGTGTACTGTGTGTGAGTACCGTGTGTACTGTGTGTGTGTGTACCATGTATACTGTGTGTGTGTGTACCGTGTATACTGTGTGTGTGTGTGTACCATGTATACTGTGTGTGTGTGTACCATGTATACTGTGTGTGTGTACTGTGTGTGTGTACCATGTATACTGTGTGTGTGTACCGTGTATACTGTGTGTGTGTACCGTGTATACTGTGTGTGTGTGTGAGTACCATGTGTACTGTGTGTGTGTGTGTACCGTGTATACTGTGTGTGTGTACTGTGTATACTGTGTGTGTACTGTGTGTATACTGTGCGTGTGTGTGCCGTGTGTACTGTGTGTACCATGTATACTGTGTGTGTGTACTATGTATACTGTGTGTATACTGTGCGTGTGTGTGCCGTGTATATTGTGTGTGTGTACCGTGTGTACTGTGTGTGTGTACCGTGTGTGTGTGTGTGTACCATGTGTACTGTGTGCACGACTCGGAAGGCAGCTGTCTCGTGCGGTTTCGCTTTGTGCACGCTTTTTTGAAATCCATCTCCCGCATAAAGCGAAGTAAACCTGTACACGTGTCGTCGTGTTATGCATGAGTCATTTGACGCCCTGCACACCGCTGCACATGGGATGTTCCATCTCGATAGATTATACAGGTGAAATCTTTTTAACGAACAACTTGTTTTGCCACTGACCTACCTATTAGCCCTCTTTCAGACGCGACCTGCTCAAGTCTCGTAATCCGCAGTCTTCTTCAATTACTCCATGTCCCCCTCCCCTCTCGGTGTCGGTGCTCTGCAGGGTGTGTTCTGGGTCAACTACTATTCTCTCGATATTTCACCCCTCGAATCTGGTATTTGCTCTTTCTGCTTTCCTCACCAGTTCTTTGTTGACGACACAAATATTTCAATATTGCACCCACCGTGACCTTTCCTCTCGCATCTCCTCCTCCTGCCTGGCTGGCATCCAATCCTGGATGGTAATTCACTTTCTCTCAATTCGTCCCAAACTTTATTCATTTACTTTCCGGCCTCTTGCTCCCCCGTTCCCACCATCTCCCTCCCTCCTTCTGCCTCTGCCCATCAACCTTGGTGCCACTTTTGGCTCCGCTAATTTCTCCAGCCGCATCACCGCCACTGCCCGCATCTGTAGCCTTCGTCTGTCTACTCGATATCAGGACTCTGCCCTTTCATTTCACTTTATGATGCCAAACTCCTGGTGGATGCTCCGATCTTTACCAGTTTTAGATGACTGCAATTATCCTCCTTTCGGTCTCCCTGCCTACACTCTCACTCCCCTCCAACAAATAAATCTCGACCCTGACGCCTGCTGCTGCGTATTAGGAGTGTGTATGTCTCTCTCCCCGTGCTCGCGTGGATTTTTCTCCGGGTTTTCCCTTCACATGAAGAAACACGCGGTTAGAGTATGTGTCTGCTGCAATACATTTCTACATGATAAGCCACTTCACCCTTGTTATCTTGCGCAACAGGTGAGGGAGTTCGTTCTTATCGGACTTGCTCTGTTTCGTGTTGCCTTTTAGCTGCGAATGCTGTCTCGAGTCCGGCGTGGCGGGGTCACGGGGTCACGCCTGACTCCCGTGACCCCGCCACGGAGGCGGGGTCACGGGGTCACGCCTGACTCCCGTGACCCCGCCACGGAGGCGGGGGAGTGGGAATATCGCCCTCGCCGGCCGAATCGATTCCTCTTCCCGCGATCCACGACCGACTCCAATGGGCCACAGCGGATCGTTCGTCACCGATTCCAGACTCGTTAGTGGTCGTGGTAACTCGATTCGATCCACAGAGGTCAACAATGGCGGAGTACGCGGGAGTGAGGAGCAGTCGCCTCGTCTTGAAGGGAGCGCGGAGCCACGGCGGGTGAGGGGGTCGGGGCGAGAGCGGCGAGAGTAGGGAGAAGGGTGAGGGAGGTTAGCGAGGGGTGAGGGAGGCAGGGTGGTGAGGGTGGGGGGGGGTGAGACGACTCGTGCTGAAGGGGCTGGCGGGGCAGGCGAGAGTTGGAGACTGTCCATGTCGGGGTGTGCTGACACGACGGGCTTGAGGAGGCAGAGTTCGCGATGTCTGCTCTTCCTCCTCCGTCGAAGGAGCGCACACTGCGGCGGGTCACTTTGTGGTCCACAGTCTGGGTTCTGTGGCCGCACGCGCACTGTGGCTTGTCTCTTTAATAAGCAGATGTTGCTCATCCCACTGTTGGTGTTCCGATGTTTGCTGCGTGTTTAGTGGCGCCTGGTTTATACAGAAGAAGACTTTGTACTGATTCTTGGTGGCTTGGGTTGTTTTGTTAACAGCCACAAGAAGAAAAAACAGAAGAAGAGAAAGGGGGACGAGGAGGAGGTGGACATCGTCGGTGCGTCGGGCGCTGATGCGGTGGGGGGCACGCTGACGCCTCGCAGCGAGAATGCCTGGGGTTGATGCCTGGGTTTCATTCCTGGGTTTCATTCCTGGGTTTGATGCCTGGGGTTGATGCCTGGGTTTCATTCCTGGGTTTCATTCCTGGGGTTGATGCCTGGGTTTCATTCCTGGGTTTCATTCCTGGGGTTGATGCCTGGGTTTCATTCCTGGGTTTGATTCCTGGGTTTCATTCCTGGGTTTGATGCCTGGGTTTCATTCCTCGGTTTGATGCCTGGGTTTGATGCCTGGGTTTCATTCCTCGGTTTGATGCCTGGGTTTCATTCCTGGGTTTCATTCCTCGGTTTGATGCCTGGGTTTCATTCCTGGGTTTCATTCCTCGGTTTGATGCCTGGGTTTCATTCCTGGGTTTCATTCCTCGGTTTGATGCCTGGGTTTCATTCCTGGGTTTGATTCCTGGGTTTGATTCCTGGGTTTGATGCCTGGGTTTCATTCCTCGGTTTGATGCCTGAGTTTCATTCCTGGGTTTGATTCCTGGGTTTCATTCCTGGGTTTCATTCCTCGGTTTGATGCCTGGGGTTGATGCCTGGGTTTCATTCCTGCGTTTCATTCCTGGGTCTGATGCCTGGGTTTTATGCCTGGGTTTCATTCCTGAGTTTCATTCCTGAGTTTGATGCCTGGGTTTCATTCCTCGGTTTGATGCCTGGGTTTCATTCCTCGGTTTGATGCCTGGGTTTCATTCCTGGGTTTCATTCCTCGGTTTGATGCCTGGGTTTCATTCCTGGGTTTCATTCCTCGGTTTGATGCCTGGGTTTCATTCCTGGGTTTGATTCCTGGGTTTCATTCCTGGGTTTGATGCCTGGGTTTCATTCCTCGGTTTGATGCCTGGGTTTCATTCCTGGGTTTGATTCCTGGGTTTCATTCCTCGGTTTGATGCCTGGGGTTGATGCCTGGGTTTCATTCCTGCGTTTCATTCCTGGGTCTGATGCCTGGGTTTTATGCCTGGGTTTCATTCCTGAGTTTCATTCCTGAGTTTGATGCCTGGGTTTCATTCCTGGGTTTCATTCCTGGGTTTGATGCTTGGGTTTAATGCCTGGGTTTCATTCTTCGGTTTCATTCCTGGGTTTCATTCCTGGGTTTGATGCCTGGGGTTGATGCATGGGTTTCATTCCTGGGTTTGATTCCTGGGTCTGATGCCTGGGTTTTATGCCTGGGTTTCATTCCTGGGTTTCATTCCTGGGTTTGATGCCTGGGTTTCATTCCTGGGTTTCATTCCTGGGCTTGATGCCTGGGTTTCATTCCAGGGTTTCATTCCTGGGTTTGATGCCTGGGTTTCATTCCTGGGGTTGATGCCTGGGTTTCATTCCTGGGTTTGATTCCTGGCGCGGGTGCCTTTCTGTGTGGAATTTGAATGTTCTCCACCTGTTGTGCATGGGCACACACACCGTAGCTGGTATTGGCCAATCATCCTAGTGCTGAAAATTACCTACAAATTACACTCGGGATTACACACAGCGGTCGCAACATCTCTCCCAACTGCGACCACTTGCCAGGACCCTGATCAAAACGATTATTGAGACTTGGTGAGGCTTTCCTGGACGAATTCAGAATAAAAATGTGTCGTGCTTGTTAGAACACAGCCACTCTGCTGTGTTCATCAGTGTTGATCTTGCCGTATTCTGCCGATTGTAAGACACTTCCCTGCGTATTTCAAAGCAGATGTGTGGATGCGTCTTATGCTCTGTTGGTGTTTGTGACAATATTTGTCTAACTTTATTATTTACAATAATGTTATAATCTGGGGGATATGGTATGGTTTGAACCAAGGATAATTTTTTCATAAAATATGTGCATGACAGACATGTAATGTTCTGGATGTTATATCGTCAACCACGACCTCTCCACTGCTGGATGAAGGCCTAACCAAGCTGTCGGAATTTCTCAGTTTTTCAATACAACAATCCACGTAGCTCCTGCACCCTGCTGCTGCTGATGATCTCATCGTTCCCACCCCGTGGTGGTTACCCTTTTGGGTGGGTTCCCTTCTAATTCCACTCCTCGGCGAGTTTCGATCATCAACGATCACGAGCGGGATTTGAAACCGATTGAAAGTTCTAAGACCGAGTGACGTTTACTTAAAATGTGTGTGCACACAGACGGCTGGTGGACTGTTTCCTGCGTCTCCCAAATCACGGGTTCCGTCTGTATTGAGATGGGGTCTGGGACGTACATCCAAGCCCTGGACAATGGGCTCTTCACACTTGGAGCACCGCACACAGGTACGTCGTGATATTTATTTCTACGTGAAAAGATATCTTTGTATTTGCCTGGGAGAATAAAGACTCTATAATGGATCGAAGTTGCCGCTCGACCCCTGCGCTTTCTGCAAAAGGAGAAAGTGGTTCCGTGCTACGGTAATACAGGACAGCATATTCTGTGGCTTTCATCGTACAAGCCCTCGTTAGACATATCAATAATAATCGGTCATTGTCTATCCATTGTTGGATGAAGGACTAGTCACGCCATCACCATCCCTCTCGGTCCAATCTTTTTCTGATTTTGTGGAGCTAAACGAGCAGCTACCCACCCACAAAGACCCATTGACTCGCATGTATGTATAATGTTGAACATCTTTCAGACCATACATAGCCAACCGTTCTTATCGGATGTGCATGAAGACCAATACACCCAACTGGAGACCCGCAGACTTGTATCGCTAACAGAGTCGGGGTGGTTTGGGTTGTGGAGGAGGAGGAAGGTGCAATGGTGTGTGTGGAGTGGCTGCTTGTGGGTGGGAAGCCAGTGCAGTGAGGCCAGCACTGGGAGGACCTGTGGAAGAGCGAGATTTCTCTGTTGTATATCGAATTTAGGGCTGCAGGGTGTGGCACAGTGGTAACACTTGTGCCTCACAGCTCGATGGACCTGGGTTTGATTCCATGTCTTGAGCACCTTTCTGTGTCGAGTTTGTATGTTTGTCCTCTGTGCTGAATGGTTTCCTCTGGGATCCCCAATTTCCTGCCACTGCAAGAAAATCCTCATCCAATGGAACTTATATTGGTAAAGCAACCTAATACTGACAAATGACCTGCAAATTACTCAATTGGATTACACCTAGCAAGCAACATTTCCCCTTACTGTGAAAACTTGGCAGGGCCCTCCTGAAAAAGTGTTTAGTTTTCCTGAGTGAACAGAAATAACAAAAAAGACAAGTGGTTTTAAGGATGTGCTGCGTTCACCTTGATGTGCTTCCCATGTCGGTTGTTTTGTTGCCCCTGGGCACCCGTCAATGAGTGGTGTGCATCTGCGAATGTTTCAGACGATGGCCCATCACCCCCTGAGCAGTTCACAGCCGTCAAGCTGTCTGACACCAGGTGATCTGTCCATCATTGCTCTGCAGCACTCGCATACACTTTATGGTGGTGGCTACGCTGCACGTGACTGTCGTCCAACGATGTGGAGGCAGCTGCAAGGGTTGTTGGATCACCACACCAATGTTGTCAAGCTCCCATCCTGTGGGCGTCAAGGAGAAGCCGTACCTTGGCTCTGCCAGGAGAAGGCGGTACAGCGAATTTTGGACTCCACGTGTTGTGGGATGGAGTGTTCCCCCTTGCATGCATGAGGTTTTTCCGGGTGTTCGGATTTCCTCAACACATTAATTGGCCGATAATACCATAATATATGTAGAGGAGTGCAGAGCTTCGGGGGGGCTACTTTGGTGCCGACCCAGTGTTCGCAAGTTTGCCGCTTGTTGCAGAGCTTTGTGGTTCGAATTTAGCAGGCCCCCCTGGTTATTACTGCAGTGTATTAACCATATAATACGACATGCTGTCTGCTTCACAGTGGCCGTTAGAGATCCAGTGATGCCATTCAAAAAGAGTACGCCGTTGTGTGCTGGCGTCGTCCAGATTTACCTTTTTTTAATAACCCGCAAATTACTCAATTGGGATTTCACGCTGCAACTTGTCACCCCCCTGCTCGCAGACAAATGCCCACTTGCAAACCATGCGCTGTCGCCCTGCGCCACACGGGGACAGCTGCCACTGGGGGGGATCCCCTTGGAACGGTTAAGATGAGACGTGACGTATCGCCCTTTGTGATCCTGAGGCATTTAAGCAACACTCTATATATGCAATGGTTATAATGACTTAATGTGTTGTCGCTGCAGGATAGCGTTGAAGTCTGGCTACGGGAAGTACCTGGGAGTGAGCGATGGTGTGGTGGTGGGGCGAGCTGACGCCATCGGTTCCCGCGAGCAGTGGGAGCCCATCTTTCAAGACGTATGGGCGTTGCACACACACACACACACGCGCGCGTGTCCACATGTACTGTGTGTACTGGATCATGCGCATCAAGAGCCGTATGGTACTCAGCCGAGGGGGCCCTTGTGGTGCTGGACTTCATTGGCGCTACTCGCTAACAGCACTTTCGCTGACAGCCCTGTGAAATCTTTTAGGGGAAGTTGGCCTTGCTTGCGGCGAACGGCAGCTTCGTTGGTGTGAATGACGTTGGAGACATCGTCGCTGCGAGCTGCACGGCCTCCGATGAGCACATCATCAAGGTAAGCCGCCCGCGTGGTGTGTATGTATCTTAAATCTACCAGTGGGGACATGAAAAACGCTTTTCTTTACCATTGGAAATTATTATTAAGGCTTGGTGTCCTATCCGGACCATGAAGAATGATTATCTTATTTCATATCAGTCATAACGTTTTTTGGGGTAGATTGCGTAAATGTGAATGGTGTAAACCCACCTCTACCCAACATGGCCAATTAAGGTTTGTCACGTGAACAAAACATGCCAATTGGTGAGTACTTGAGCACACCGGCGTGTTATAGAGTAAACCTACAACATCTACAATGAGAGGAAACAACGTTTCGCTGGTGATTACAACCAGCTTCAGGCGGTTGCCATAGTTGTGAGGAAGTATGTTTCCGGTCTTAAACAGAGGAAGGTCATCCCATCACTGTGCACCTACCAAGTGTGAAGAACCCAGGAGGGTTAAAAGCCGACGTTACATTATTTAATATCGCCATTGAAGCCGGGACACAATAACAGCCGAGTAGTTCCCACTCGAGTCACAGGCTGGCTTAAACCCTACAAAGGGAATCCAAAGGTCCTACCCCATACTCCAGGCTCTTCTCTATAAGCTGTCTTGACTTAAAGGTCGAATTACTCGAGCTACTCCGTGGTCTCAAGCCACAACTTAATTTCCTTTCTCTTTTCTGTCTAGTTATTTAACATATTCAGCAATCTACTGGCAAATACCTTAACTGGACTGCTCAACAGACGCATCCCCATCCTTGCTTGCTCTATCTATGTGCTATACAGGAGGGCCATTTCACAAAACGTAGCCTATTATGGCATTTTCTATTAATGCCCACAGTGTTAGATATTGTGCTTTTGCACCACTACCAATGCAGCAGCTTCACTTATTTTGTTCCCTAATCTGTCATCCAAATCTATTTGGTGAGGAACTGTAGGTGATAGAAAGATTTGTGGACATCACCTTACCCCTGAGAGGTTGTTGGATTCGTGGACAAAAATTATTTGAGTTTAATAAATGAAGCAAACTCCTCTTCTCTCTCGCAGGTTTAGCTATTGCGGTTTTATAGTTTGGCACCAAATCTATTGAGGTGCAGTTCACATCGTAACTGCACTGCTCGCGATGATGATGCTGCTGCTGCGGAACAACACACGTGTGCCGTCTTGTCTCCCAAGCGGCCCATCACGGGTCCTAGGTCACGTGGTGTTCCCAGCCTCCAATAGGGAGGCAGTGGGGGTCAGCCGCCGGCGATTTTCTTCTTCTAGTGTAATGTTCTGGAAACGGATACTTGTACAGTATTGTACACTACATAAAACATAGGTATATAAATACATTTACCATACAAGTTATATTTAACACTAGAAATTAATAAAAATGTATATTCAAAATACGTGTTTAATGTTTGGGTTGTTGTAGGATAACATTAAACAAGAGGGGTGCCTTTTGAGTTTGCACATCGTGGATTTGCTGATTGTGGCTATTTCAAGAATGTAACCAGACCCGTGATGGGCAAGCGTTTGGTGTACCCATATCATTGGAGCAAGTGTAGATGCCCAATATTGATAACTACCTCAAGTATCTTGCACACCGTATCATACGGCTACGTTTCACGTAGGTGCGTTCGAGTGCAGAGAGACAGACTGCTCCAAAGGACGGCCTCACGGCTGAAGACCGGGGAAACCTGAAGCACTGTGAAGTCAACTATGTGTAAGTGACCGCTGCCTGCCTGCTGCACCGCTGACCAGGCCACGTGGGGCAATGTTAGTATCCTCATTCCCTTGTTTGTTACGCTTCTGAGCCAGCTGGCCAAGATTGGGCAAAACCTAGCCCACTCTTTACCCAGCTAGTTGGAGAGCAGCACATCTTGTGATTTTAACATAACATAAAACGAACAATAACATATTTAAGAATCACATAGACAAACGTTATATATACTATTAAAAACATTAATTAAAAAAAAAAGTCCAACTTAAAATCTCGTCAAAGGTCCTCAAACTATCCGCGACACTGTCCCAGTGCCCAACCAAGCGATTATTTAATTTACAACCGCGAGCCAGCACCGCTACATGCGTGGTGCTGAGCTGGTGTGGATGTTCCTTAATCGTAGCAAATAATTCTACAGGCAAATATTTAGTGAAAATATTTGGATGACAGGGTGGCAACGTGCAGTAGGTGGCAGTCGACCCTCACGGCAATAAGGGCCTTGGTTGGATTCCCGACTGGTGTCTTTCTGCGTGGAGTTTGGGAGTGTTCTCCCTCTGCTCAGCATGGGTTTCCACTGGGTTCTCTGATTTCCTGCCATAGCTAAAACACAAAATGTTTTTGTGTGTTGCATTCCCATCAGTGAGCTCCTCCGGCAGCTAAAGCTGCGTTGGCTGGCCTACATAGCCCGCATGTCCAGCCATCGTATGCCCAAGCAGCTTATATTTGGCCGGATAGAGGGGGGTAAACGGGCATGGCACGGGCCGGAGAAGGGATGGAATGATGCTGCACAGGAGGATGTGGAGCTGAGTGGACTTGCCGAAGACTGGTAGCGCCAGTGTCAAGATCGGCCTCTGTGTAAGAGGCTCGTGAAGGAAGCTACTAGGAAGTTGTAGGCAGTCGCCCTCCAACAACAGCGTAGGGCAGAGGAGTGACGTTCATAACGAGCGGCGCGCCAGGCAGCTAAAACGCAGCAAGTTGGTACAGCAGGGGGCACAGGTGGTGCATCTGCCAGTCGTCTCAGTCAAGCATGGCACCTGAGTCTGTTCCGTGACTTCCTGTCAGCGGACCTTCGACACTTCACGTGGCTTCAGAGTTCATATTATGAACCGTGAACCAAACCCTAGTTTTCCCTGCAACGCTTTTGAGTTTGTGGAGCGCAGATTTGTCGATTACGGCTATTTTCCAGAATGCAACCCCCACGATGGGCAATTTGCTGTATTTTCACATCCGAGGAGATTAAATGACAGTTGTGATTTCCGTGTGCGTGGACACATTTTTCCAGAAAGAAATTTCAGAGTTTTCAAGACCGCAGATTGCGTGTAAGCGAGGAAGACAAGGAGGGCCTCAAACGTGCCCGCAAAGACGGCTCCTTGCACGAGACGCTACTGGACCGGTGAGGAAACGCAACTTGGGTATTAACTCGGATAGCCGCTTGGACATGGAACAATCTCCCAGTCACACTATGGCATGCCGCCAGTCTCACCTTCAGTAAACATTAATTGAAACAGCACATTTGCAATTGTAAAAGCTAGAGAGCATTTATATATGAGCTAGCTGTGTGCATATTTAAAATAATGGAGTGTTACGTCTTTGGCTGGGTATGATGTTCAATGTATAATGGGTGCAAGAATACAGGTGTTAAGATGTTTAAACGCCAAGTAGACACCTATTGCAAGGCTGCATCAATTCTGCATTCACTACACATGCTTGTGGTAAAACATGCAAACAACCATGCGTTCAGGATAATGTACACATCGTCCTACAAACTGGCTGACCTACACCAGAGGCAGCCTCCTCCTTATGGCCTTACCTCACCAATGTTAGACTGGTGTTTTTAATCATTTTCATACCAGCAAAAAGGGTTCCATAGATATAATAGGTGTGATGTTCAATGTAGAAATTCTTACTGTGTAAGTTATAGATCTGAAGAGTGTTATACACATGTCATTATGTGCCGTATACTATGTGTATATGTGTGAGTGTATGTGGGGAGTGGTAGGGCAATGGTGAGTGCGCTGTGCTACAACTCCGGTGACCCGAGATTGATTGCTGCTCATGGCCAACATCAGTGACGATTATCTGAACCGGTCCCTGGCCTCCGAGGTCAACTCTGCCTCAAATGAGTACCTGGTGCAGTCTGTAAACATCGCCAGTATGGAGACAAAAGCGGGCGGGCGTGGTACAAGCCACCCACCCCTCGCTACCAGCAATTGCCCCAAAAGTCTGGAAGCTATAGGGGGGGATCTTTGTGTTTGTGTATGTCGTTGTATAAGCGCCATTACATACATGTTGTCTATGCATCTATTAGGTGATACACTGGATACCCTTGCAAAGTGAATTTAAAGCTGGCACCGCAGCACCCATGGATTCTACTCGTAAAGAGAATCAACTAAAGTTGACGTTTCTTTTCCTTTGCAGACGCTCCAAGATGAAGGCGGATCGTTACTGCAAGATGTAGCGTGTGGAGGCTGGCGCTGCACCTGTGCCCAGGGGATGTGCGTTTAAAAGGGAGTCTTTGTCATTGCCTGTGCCGTACCCGACGCGCGATAGGGAAACGTTGTTCCGTACACACGCCCACATTACGATGATTGCCATTCATTGTCACCATTGCGCCGGTGATTTAACAATGTTTATTAAAACAAGTTTTAGATGGAGCTCTTATTGTTCATTACACTTCCAAATATTAACTTGTTACATATTCTCACTTCCACGCGAACACGAAGTGTAAATGCTATTTTTAACTCCAGCAATTGGCACTGAACCACCACCGCCACCACCTTATCTTATCGAGTAATATATCAGTGCCTGAATTCAAGGCGCTTTACAACAATGATAAAATTGTATGTAAAATTATAGTGGTTGAACTAAAAAGTGGGGTTATTGAAAGTGGTGTTGTGGTGATATGACACGTCGGAGTGGTTAAGGAGGGGTTGGGGTAGTGATAGGCCTGTCGTAGCTTGGGGGCTGAGACGGGGGGTAGCAGGAGCAGGATGGGCGAGGGGACAAGAGATGGAGGAGGTTGTTGTAAGGGAGGAACGGAAGCTGCAGGTTGTGATGGTGGTGAAGATGGTTGCTGTGTGCTGCAGGGGGTTCAGGAAGGAGAGTGAGACTAGGTGCTTTCCCCATGTCCTACAATTGGACGGTGAATTCAAACAATTATGAGAATGATCACACATCAAAGGCATCATTGTTAGCAGAATCATGACAAACAGGAATTGTATTTTCTAAAGTAAAAATCAAAGTGATGAGGTCATGGTATATCATCTTCATGGCTCTGAGAGCAGTGAAGTTGCGTTTTTTCTCCTGCGCCGTCTTGACTTGTCTTGGCCGTCAACTGTAGAGTTGCTCTCCCCCTCTGCACACCGCACTGACGCATGAACATTGGTCAAGACTGCTGTAACCATTACGCGTGCATCTCACATCCGCCTTGTGCCTTGGCGGCACTAGGTGACTCCACACCAGCACTTAAGTCGGGACATTAATCTGCGAGTAGTGGGCGATGATTGCTGCTCTGTGTACTATAATCCCAATTGAGTCCAGCATGATAATCAGTGAAACTGGAACTTCAGTTGAATTCAAACAATTGCTCTATCATTGTTATTTTATCTATGGGACCCTTTTTCTGGTATTAAGATGATAAAAAAATAGGCTTTACCCTTTCCGCCAATATGTTCACACACCAAATAGACACCTTTCACAAGGCATCAAGTCTGCATTAGCCACGCATCATGCTCGTGGTAAACATGGAAATATGCTTAGATAATGTATGCATTGTCTTTGAAACCGATTGGCCTACACCAGAGATATAACTGCTCGACCAGAGCCATTCATGCTTTGATATTTGCATTCTCTTTGTGCTGTCCACATTTTGACATTCTCAGGTCTCACACTGGTGAGACAAGGCCAGAAAGGAGGCTGACTGGTGTAGGCCCGTCAGTTTGAAGGATAATGCGTACATGTTTATGAAATAATGTTTGCATATTTTACAACAAGCATGTGTGGTGAATACAGACTTGATGCAGCCTGGCATTAGGTCTACTTGGTGTTTGAACATCTTAACACCTATATTCTTGCAAGAAGGGGTAAAGCCGATTGTAATGTTTACATACAGTATTTTGGTTGCACGATACATCATACACAAGAATATCCTCTGAGACATTCAGAGCTACTGCCACGAAGGCAATAGCTTTGAAAAGTTATTGATTTACCACCTCTGCTGCTTCACGACCGGACAGGAAGAGGCTTGATCGGCAGAGCGAGTGGCTCACAATCTGCAAGGTTGCGAGGTCAAATCCTGATTTGAGGTGGACTTGTCCCATCATCCCTCTAGGGTCATTAAAAAGAGTACCACTTTGTGGGGAAATCAACAGCGGTTATCCTAGGGAATAGACCCCCCCCTCCTGTCGTGGCAATGTGGAATTTCCCTCTGCTGTAAACCAGAGATGATTGAGCAATAGGAGGATATTGCTCTGCCCCATCAGTGGAGGTACGTATCTGCGTGGGGAGGGCCGTGCCACCTTCCTGCGTGCCCGTGGCTCTGAGCCCCCCCCCCCCCCCCTGTGCCACCCACGCTGTGCCACCACCCACCGTGTTCATGTGGCTCTTTGCGCCACCCACCGCGCCACCCACCGCGCCACCCACCGCGCCACCCCGCGTGCACGTGGCTCTGTGGGCGCCACACAACGGGATGCACATGCGGCCCGCCTGGCGACACGGGCACGCTCGCACGCACGCGCCGCTACATACGCAGGGCGACACCTCCAGGCAGCCTGCGTGGAGCCACGTGCAGCACGGACACACGGGGATGGGGGCAGACTTCTGAGGCTCCGGATGCAGTCGGTTACAGCTCCACGAACGGCACACGAGGGGCTGTGGCCAGGACCACATCCGCCCGGCCGCCTTTGTCTCCTCGGTGGTGATGTTTACGCACCACCGCACCAGGTACTCATTTGAGGCTGAGTCAACTTCTAGGGGAGGTCCAAGACCGGTTCAGATAATCGCTATCACAGGTGTTGATGGTGGTGGTCGTGTGTGGGAATCGAACTCGGGTCGCCAGGTTCGTAGCGCGCTAACCACTCCACGACTGCTCATGTGAGACCTGTGAGACAGTGACACGCTGGAGATTGACAGACGTGTGTATTATGGGACGTGTGTATTATGAGACGTGTGTATGTTAATCTTCGTTCACACCATACGTAGCCCACCGTGATAATTAGTGCAGGAAAATACTGAGACATGCAAAGCTGTCGGCGTTCCAGTTCACCGGTCAACCCGTGTCCTGCCCGCGGACAGAATGGCGTTTCCCTGTCTCTCGCTCTCCGTTGCTCTGTCGCCATCCGTCTCTGATCAAAGCAAGTGCCATCCATGAACTTGCTTTGATCAGTCCGTTTTGCTTTTATTAATCGGAACGATAATAAAAACCCATGGGTGATGTGTGGAATGTACAACATTTATAGGGGACCTTGATAGTCGTGTTTCCTCATCACAGCGATCAGATCGCGCTTGATCTCTTCTCGATCGGCTTCTCGTGACACTAGTGAGCACACACAACACGCACAAAACACACGACACAACACGCGCGCACACAAAACACACGACAGCGCTCATGGGATTCATTCCGTCACTCGGGTGCTCTCAAAGCCACGACTTGGATACCGTGGCCACTGTTCCCGTGAACCGAACTCATTGATTCCCCCCCAAGAAGATGAATCCCCCTCCCGTGTTGAGGACTTCGTCTTCTAGAGACTGCCTCGTCCTGCCCACACCGAGTTCACCGCCGTCAATACAACGGCCCCAATTCGCCACTAAGTGGCTTGTGACGTCACCACCGCGCTTGTGCCAGGGCAGGTGCACCCCGAGGCCTCTGCGTGAAGTGTCGAAGGGTCGCTCATCGGAGGGACAGACCCCCCCCCCATGTGCCATGGGTTGACTGAGATGACTGTGAGATGCACCACCTGTGCCCCTGACTGGCAACTTGCTCCATGACGGCGCTCTGCTCGTTGTGAGCGTTGCTCCTCTGCCCTCTGCTGCTGTTGTTTGAGGGCGACTGCCTCCAACTACCCCCAACATACCGGTCAAATTAACAAAATCGCACCACTTAACCACTCGCCCACCAACTCAGACAAAAATTCACGTTACAGCCTTCACATACTTTTGGGGCAAGTGCTGTAAGCGAACGCCTGTGTTGCGATCGAAACATATTTTTTTGTTATTTGCTATGAACCTATCTACGTGACTTTGCCGAAAGTCCCAAAGAATATGAATTCCTGCAGTCACGAAAGCTTTAAGTCAAGATGTAGCTACCGTACTCACCGATTCGAGGGTGTAGGAACAGACCGTAGGCACCCAGAGCTCGTTCAAAGTCCGCGGGCCTCTGTCGGCCGATCCCCGGCCCACGTGACGAGGCTCCTCTGGGCCTGCCCCGGGCCCCTCTCGGCGTGCCGCTCGGCTCCACGGACGTCTGGGCCAGGAAGTCGGCCAGGAAGGGGAATTTGTCCTGGAGAATCGGGACACCAAGTGCATCTTAGTCGTGCCCCCCAGTGCCACCGCACATCGACCGTTGTCAACACTTCGGAAGCGGCATCGTGGCGAATATAAGCAACAAATCAAGACCGTAATTATAATATATATTGGGGGGGGGACACATCCCCCCCCATATTTAAATTTGTAAAAAAATGCCCCCCCCCCGCAATATATTGCTATAAAAATATTTAAAAGGTATAATACTTGCTATGCTATGTAAATAAAAACAACAATGAAACAAGAAATGTTAAAAAAGTTAAATCAGAGCAATGTAATGCAATACACTATTAGACATAAAAAAAGTCCATCCCATGTGTTAGTGATTTTTTTTTATATTTTAGGCAGGAAACGAGTTTTCAAATTTAGATTTTTTTTTGTCTGGGTTGGGACCTCCAGACCCCCTGGAAGATTTGACTCCATGGCTACGGCCTTGCAACAAAGGCAGACAATCTTCCACTTAACTGTCTCCACATGAAACGCCCTGTATATTTTACCCATAATTAATATTATCATCAAATATGTTTTACACATCCCAGCAGCCGTATGACCTGCAGTGCTGTTTGTTGCTGGTGCTTGACGTTTCAGGCCTTTGGTGCCTAACTGTGCTCAGCAACTGAGCCAAGAAAACCTCTGCAAGGGCAATAACTTGGCGATCTGATGGCCCCTGCAGATAGCTCGGCTTGTGTGGAGGACAAGTGGCAGACGGAAGTCAGCCGACTGGCTGTACCAGAGCTGGTGTACAATGCTGTTTGTCACTGGCTGCACACCGCACCCTGTGCAATAATGAAGCGCGCACCCACGGACTTAGCAGCGGCATCAGCGGCATCAGCGGCATCAGCGGCATCAGCGGCATCAGCGGCATCAGCGGCATCAGCGGCATCAGCGGCATCAGCGGCATCAGCGGCGGCTTACCGGGTCCACATGGAGCTCGCCCAGCACGAGAGACACGGCGCCCGCGTATCTCGCGTACGCCTCCACGATCTGCCTGTTCCTCTGCACCTGCGCATGTAACTGCTCGTCCCCGAACCCCGCCATCTCCACCAAGGGCTCGGCGTCCCCCCCACTCGCCCCGCTCTCCCCGTCGGCGAGGCGCCCTCCCAGGAGCAGGGCGATGGCGTCCCGTGGCCCCATGAGCCGAAAGTCGCGTCCCAGGCTGCTCAGCGACCGCAGGACGCCCTCTGCTTCAGGGCGCCTCCTGGTCACGTCCAGCTCGTACAGGCGGCAGCAGCGCATGGCCACTCGCACGCCCGTGCTGGCCACGAACTCCTGGTGCGTGCGCGGCGTGGGGCGAGGGGCGCACGGAGGAGACATTGCCAGTGGAGGCTGCAGAGTTGGTCTCGTGTTGCAGGACCGGTCAATGAACCTGGTGTTGGCTAAACATCCCAATGCTGGGAGATTGCCAGCAAATCACTCAATTGGGATTACACAGCAACGTCGCAAACTTTCTGAGAAAACTTGGCTGGACCCTCCTGAAAATGAGTCTTGAGACTCGGGCTGAATGGGTAAAGAGTTAAATAACAACACGGACGTGAGCAGAGCCCTGAAGGTTGTGACTTTCTGCTGGAGGGACGAACTTGAACAATTGCGAAACGTGAATGATCACAAAGTTTGCCCTGGCAACTTGATATTCTGAGTAAAGTATACGACGGCGATGATGACGATCGGTAAGGGGTTAAAAATACTAGTTTAGTGGGAACCTATTGAGACCCTGCAGATCAATCTTGCGAATGGAAGTCATACTTGTATGTTGAGTTCTCTCCTTCGCGGTCCGACAAAACGAACGTGGATCACGCCCCTTCACCTGGATGTAGTCGACGCAGTCGCGGCACGGGCTGTACGTGGAGTAGCAGTGCACGGTGCAGTCGCGCGGTGCCTCCTCCGCGTCCCCCTCGCACCGCCGCGGCAGCGCGGCTCTCACGGCGCTCAGCAGCAGCACCTCGGCGTGGATGGACGTGCCCTGCTTGTTGTAGTTCACCACGTGGCCGCCGCTGAGCCCTCGCCCGGCGCCGTCGACGTCGAAGAGGATGACGGTGCCCCGCGGCTTCCGCGAGGGGGCGGCGAAGCAGCGCAGGAAGGCGGCGCGGCCGAGCGGCTCGTGGCGCACGCAGCTGCCCAGGGCGCAGTCCACCACCTCCCGCAGCTCCATCGCGAGCCGGGGGGAGGGGGGGGTCTCCTGCGCTGACGAAGGACGCTCGACCCGGTGGTGGTGGCGCTTCACTGCTCCTTGGCAGGATGTGGTTCGAACCCAGGAGGCGACCCTGGTTAATTGTAAAGTGCCATTTTTACGAGGGACTGTGTGTTGTCTTGGTGTGGTCTGGTAATGTGTTTGTTGTTGCGTTGGTGCCGAGTGACTCGTCTACATTTTCCCCTATTTTGCACTCGGGACATCTTTGAAAAAGAGCTTCATAGCTCTTCGGATTCCTCCAATCTAAACAACGATTCTGGTACTGCTGCGGGTTGTATGGTATGATGCGCCGTCACCTTCACTCACAGTGGACGTTAAGCTTCTATTTTATATTTGCAGGGCGCCTTAGATCACGGCGGTTTGCATGGAATTGCCGTTTGTGTTGTTCTTCCAACGCACCTCCGATTAGCATGGTTGGCTACGTACAGTGCAAAAGAAGTTCAAGATACAGTAAGTGCATAACAGCAGTAACAAAAATTGAGTGGTTTCGTTGGCAAGAGCAGAGAGCAAGTGGGAGTCGCGAGAGGGTAGGGGAGGGGAGAGAATGGGCAATGGAGAAGAGGTGGGGCTTGAAGAGATGCACTGCTTAATGTCCAGGGGAAGTTGATTCCCTGGTAGGGTGCAAGGAGGGAAAAGATCGCAAACAGAATTTGGCATGGGGGGGAGGAGGGACAGAGAGAAGATTTGGGACGAAGAGCATGAGGGGGGACAACATCAGCAACTCAACTCCAGTCTGACTCATCCTTTCTCTGTCTGACTCGGATTAAACTGTGCGGCAAGTCCTCATTTAACACGTGATGTCCTCACGACGCGTTTCCGCTCTAACGCAGTTCTCCCACGAGGGAACGCGTGAGACAACGAACTACTTTATTGGGCTGAGCGGAGTGATACAGTACGTGGGATGCCGGTATCAAGGTGATCACAAGAGACAACATTTATCTTTATACATGTGTAGTGGCATAGTGTTGGCTGCTGGCGACGAAGGGGAACTGCGGTTTACGGCAGTATTGAAGTCAGTAGGCCACGATAGACACGAGTGGGGGACACCTAAGGGGAAGGTCACAGAGGGGGGCCCATCGGGAAGCCTCGGGAACCCGCTAGTAGGTTCCAGAGAGGAGGCCGGGGCAGAGCGAGGCCACGATGAGAGTATAAGAAGGACCCCTGTGAGGGACCTCGGGGCTGTTGTTGGAGTGGGATCCCCGTCGTGCTGTTGAAGTCCATCGTCGCCATTCTTCTCGTCGTCGTCGTCGTCTCCATCTCTACCATCTCAGGGCACCGCTAGTCAGACAGCCTACCAACTATTTTTTGGGTCTTTCGGTGAAGTCACGTAGATAGGTTGAACCTATCTACCAGGCTAGGCGAGGCCGGGGGCTCTGCGCGGGACTAGGCCTCACCACGGCAATTTTAAGCACTATTTCCTTGCTTCTTTCGCTCAACTCATAGAGATAGAAACCTATTTAAATAATCACCTTGCAATTAATAAAACGTTTGTGTGCAGACAACTAATATTTAAAAATAAAAGTTTTTAAATATTAATGTGTTTTTATGAAGCTGCGCCAGTGTACTGGCAGTCTGTAATGTGGCTTGTTGCCCTGCTTATTAAAGTCAGTGCACTGGCAGTCTATTATCTACACTACAAATATTGCTATTGGGCAGGGTGAGTGTATGCCAGTCCATAATCTGTTGTCCGCTTCTTTACCTCGGTCAGTGTACTGCCAGTCTTTCATGTAGACAGTAGCCTGCTTTTTAAGCTGATGACCGTATTGCCAGCTTATGTCGACTGTAGCAATGTTTATTTAATTGAGTCAGCGTACTGGCAGTCTATAATCTAGACTGTAGCCTGCTTCTTAACTTAAGTGTGCGTACTGCTGCTCTATAATGTAGACTTATTCTAGCTTCTTCAATGCATTTCTATTGTTCCGTTTGCTCACGTCACGCTATTTACTGATATGTAGCACTGCGATGCCGATTTCTATGTTATACTGCCAAATACGTTGGACTTAACTACAGCCGATTACATTTCGTCTATCATTTTGTTACAATGGTGGGAAAATCAACCATTTTAAATTCGCCGTACTGCACCTTTTCTTTCGACCCAAGTGGGGAGCACGCAGGGAGGTTCAATGCCCCAACTTGTGTTGAGGTTGCTGTTCTCATGGTGGGTGAGGAACATGGTAAGAGAGACATTGTGCTTCGATACCAAGACAACACCATCAAACGATTTCCTGAGACAAACAGAGCATATGATGCCCTACAATACCTCATTTGACTCTGGCAAGGCCAAGATGGGTACCACGTCCAGATTCCTCAAATTATGAAAGCTACAGGACAAAGACATCCTCACAAAACTGTCTCCTCTAAAGACTTCTATTCCTTCATGATCATGGATGGAGAAGGGGGAAACCACATATTACGGTGCGCCAACCTCTTTCACCAGTATGTTGTCGATGATTATGCCAAAATTGAGAGTGCCTTCTTTACATTCAAATGAATAAAAAACGCCTGCATGTAGACCAGTATGCTCATCTCGGGGACGCTATCAATGCCGACGGAGATGCAAACGCTCAGAATGTGGGCAGATTCGTTATTTTGCCTTCATCCTTCACAGCTAGACCAAGATACAAGCATGAGAAGACTCAGGATGCCATGATGTACATCAGCCAATATGGCAGGCATGATCTCTTTATCACCTTCACTTGCAATCGTAAATGGAAGGAGATCCAGGTTGAGCGTTATCCAAACAAAAAGCCAACAGACAGACATGACATTGCAAGGGTCTTTAAACTCAACGTTGATGACCTCATGAGGCATATTACGACTAATGAAGGCGGCGTCTTTGGAAAGACAAGATGTAACTTGCACACCATTGAGTGGCAAAAACGTCGTCTTCCTCATGCTCACATTTTGCTATGGATGAGGGAAAAAAAATCATGCAAATGACATTGACACATTTCTCAGTGCTGAGCTACCTGACCCCCATCAAGGCCCTGCCCTATTCGATGTGTTCTGCAAGCAAATGGTCCATGGCCTATGTGGGGAGTTCAATCCTAATGCGCCATCTATGCAAGGCCGCAGGTGCACCAACAAGTATCCACGAAACTTCTTCAAAGACACTCAGTCAGGGCATGATGGCTATCCTCTATATCGTCGCAGAAATACTGATGGTGGTGGATTTGAAACAACGCTCAGACCAGGCACTAACTCTGAAATTAAGGTTGACAACCTGTGGATCGTTCACTACTGCCCTCTTCGGTGCAATTCTATGTATGTGTGAGTCCATGTGTGTGTATGGGTCGATGTCTGTGTGTAAGTCGAGGTGTGTGTGCCTTTTTCGTCCGGGCAACGCAGAGTACTTCCCGCCAGTACTATATAAACACAACGTGTAAACATAAACATTTAAAATAGTGTACTGCATTGCAAAATAAAAACAATACAATTATGGGAACAGCACCCCCACCTTTTCAATTATGAAGGGAAAATGACTCCCGCTTAACGTGAATTCGCTTGACGTGGCAGTTTTCAGGAAAGCAACTCCCAGAGTTGAGCGAGGACTTGCTGTTCTCAAACCACACACGACGAGTCAAACCTGCAGCCACTGCACAACTCGGCAAACAAATACAAAGATTCCCCGTGTAGCCTGAAAAGACTGTTGGGGCAAGTGCTGTTAGCGAGTACCTATGAAGGCCTGAACAGTACTGTGGCCAGCACCACGCCCGATCGCCATTGTCTCCCCAGTGGCAATGTTTACAGACTGCACCAGGTACTCATTTGAGGCAGAGTTGACCTAGAGGAGGCCCAGTTCAGATATCACTGGTGTTGGCCGCAAGCGGGAATCGAACTTGGATCGCCGAGTTCGTAGTGCAGCGCGTCAACAGGTACGCCATTGCTCCCCACAACGTGTCACACGCGGGAGCACATTCATGGTCCAGACAACGCAAGTCATTGAGATGAATGCACAGGATGTGCGCCTCATGGTCAACGATTAGAAATACCCCTTGATCAGTGCCGGATTATCCGAGTAGCAAAAGTCACATACTGCGGGCCCCGCACTTTCAAGGGCCCCACGCTAAATGCTTTCTCAAGCTATCAATTCCGGTTCAGTGATTCTGCACTTGCTCTATTACTATAGTACTATACTGCCTTCAACTTTAATGAACGACTGGGTGTTTAAGATTAGCGATTTGTCGAATTTGTATAGAAAATTTAAAAATACAATTACTTTACTATGCGACTTAAACATTTATGTGTTTTAATATTTATTTTAGGGCCCCTTTATAACATATGCTACAGGCCCCACACTAGCTTAATCCGGCACTGCCCTTGATACAAAACAGGCGTCAACTCACCAGCGTTTGTGCCACTTGGACTGCACAGTAACTACGCTGTTTGCTGTGTCGTTGATTGAGGAAACGAGACTCCAAATATATACAGAACCCCCACATTTATTTTTTTTAAAAATACGTTTGAAAGAAACCACAAAGGGGAAGAAGGGGACTGCAATGTGGAGGAGTGGTGTGTGGGGAGCAGCGATAGGGGTTGGAGGGACATCGGCAGGCGAATTGGCTGAAACAAAGTAAACAATATATAAGCGAAATTATTCAATGCTCCACCAACAAATTTTACAATGTTGACATTAGCTTGCTCTAAATGACAAGTGCAGTCATAGCATGATAATATACGTTTATCTTGATACATATTCTCAAGTATACTCTCGGTTGTATGGTACTTTAATATTTGTAATAAACTCTGCTTGAGGGAGGACACCAGACACTGACCCCATCATTGGCTGAACTAAACAAGTAGAGCCAGACAGCGCTCGAGTGAAATACCTCTCATATCCACAGATGCTTTTACTTAAGTTTATTTTCGAAAACAATATTTCACGTGGAAAACCCGTTGAGATGGAGCATCTAACTTTCAAGGGTGTGGACGGTGTCCACGGCCGTGCAGGTCACGAGAGGCAGATTCCGTGACCCACGGGGTTCCCTGCGTTAGCCGTTTCAAGAAGCGCAGACGGGCACTGAGAGCACGGCAGCGTCCACGGGCCGCCGGGCGGTACGGGCCGTAGAGACAGTAACCCCCTCGGCCAGTCGCCCACGTGGCTTCACACACGGCCACCGCCAAGAGGTCACCCCCTTCGTGATGAAAGGCAACGTTGTGAGTTACGCGACGGCGTTCCCGCGCTCCCACCTCTAACTCCCGTACCGTGTGGACAAAGGGAACGAGTGAGCGTCCAGCTCCCTGTCCTACCACCGCCCTGAGCATTCTCGCAGTCGTATGGGCACCAACGACAGTGGCGGTGACATTGCCACGGTGCTTGTGCCAGGCTAGGGGCACTCCGAGGCGTTCACGTGAAAAGTCAAAGGCTCGCTCGCTAGCAGGAGGTCACGGGACAGATCCAGGTGCCATGGGTTGACTAAGACGCCTGACAGATGCACCACCCGTGCCCCCTACTGTGCCAACTTGTTGCGTTTTAGCCGCCCGGTGCACCGCTGCTTGTTCTTGGAGAACAACTGCCGGGTTTTGACAACAGACCGAGGCTGACTGAGAAATGTGTCCGGGTTTTGTCTGTGGAGCAGGTGACGACCCGAAATTATGCTCTCGAAAGCGATCAGAAGAGTGATTAAAAAATAGGTTTTACCCAAAATAATGAAGATGTTTAAATGTTCAAACACCAAATAGACACATACTGGCAGGCTGCATCAGGTCTGCATTAACCACACGTCATCCTTGTGGTAAAACATTCCCACAAACATGCTTTGATAATAATATACACATTATCCCTGAAACTGATTGGCCTACACCAAAAACAGGTCCCACAGGTATAAGTGCTCAACCTGAGCAATGAATGCTTTGATACTTACACTTACACTGCCTTTTTGCTGTTGGCATTGTTCTCTGGTCTAACACTGATGCAGAGACAAGGCCATGAAGGAAACTGTAGCTCTGGTATGATAATAATAATAATGGTATAGGCCAATCAGCTCTAAGGACAATGCATACATATCAAAGCAGTTTGTTTGTATTCTTCACCTTTTGGAATTTTCTGGTCTCACACTGGAGGGACAAGGCCATGAAAGAGGCTGGGTAAAGAGTCAAGCTTATTATGTTGTAGATATAATCAGAAGAGTTGTTGGACTCCTCTGGCAACACTGCACTGAGTCTCACGTGCTCCATATCAGTCGGCACCTTCTCACATGGCCGCATCGTAGAGGTGTAAGTCTGCCTCTTGTCTGATGCAGTGCTGCAGCACCACAGCATACATTGTGCCGGGCTGCTGCTGCTGATGACCCAGCGTGCCTTCTGGACTATGTGAATCGTAAGAGTCCACACAAACATCATAGTCACTGGAGACCTGTACAAAAGATGGAGAGACAATTAGTTTCGTACAACAATTGGCTGCTGCTCTGCATTACCGCCCAATGTGGCATGAGCTCAGAATCTCTTTATCAATGGGGCGACTCGGCCAGCAGAAAACATCAAAGCACTTCACAATTACACCCATTCACACTCACTGGCTCACACACTCACCCACATGCACTCGCCCAATCACTCATTCATCCACCTACTCAACCACTCACCCACCTGCTCTCCCAATCGCCGATTCACCCACGCACTCAGTCAAGCACATCCTAATCAGAATTGTATTTCCCGTTGAATAAAGGCCACTGGGCTAAGAATATCTTTTTTCAAGGGCGACTCAACCGGCAGACAACATGAAAACATTCCACAATTTCAGATTTAAACAAAAAAGCAAACACTAATAGCAATATATAATTGTATTGTTTATGTTTGTGCACTGTTTTCGATTTTCTTTTGTAATGTGGTGGTTAATTTTGCTGTAATTTGTATTTGTTGATAATACTTAAAAGGAAGTGTCTAATAGGCAACGTTTCAGGCAGTTGCCCTTCTTCATAGAAGAGAGAGGCCAGCGAGACTTAGTGGAGATTTGGAGACTGCACTTTACATCGTGGAACATGACAATTACATTTAAAATGTGAGATTTGGGCGGTCTGTGTGCTATTCGCAGTTCATCTGAGGTATCACACAGCAGTAGGTTTCAGAATTGAAAATGAGTAAAGTAGGCATTTAATTATGATAATAATTGATGAGATTTGAGCACAGTTGGACTTGAGTACAGTTGATATAGTGCAATGTTGTCACAGACGGCACTGCTATATTTTACAATCTGCAGTAGTTTAGCAGTAGTTGTTGTGTTGTAATCCCAGTTGAGTGATTTGTATTTTTTTGAGTACATGGAAAACTTGGAACCTTGACACCGGCACAGAAACTTACATCGTCATCTGTAGGTCTCACGGGGTCGTAGTTGTCGTAAACGGCGTCTGCGTTGCCATCTGAACGAAATCGAAACAAACATCGGTGCATTCCACTTAAACCAGTGGCGTAGTAACTACATTGTCAGCTCAGGGGTGCAGCAGTTGATCAGGTGGGGCCCAAATATTTGATTTGTCCTAATTGCGGAAGCCAAATGTTACTGCTGTAATTAGATTAAAATAAAACTTGGAAAGTAAATGAAAACATTTTCATTAAAAATAATTAATGTTGCGTTTTAAATACGTTTTAGTTATTTTACACACGATAGAAAACACATTTCATGGGGGTGGTTAAGGGGGCCCCAACGCGTAGCTTTGGCCACCAGGGGGGGCCAAGGCACCCTCTGCCTGCCCCATACTCGTGACACCGCGACTCAAACCCGTTACTCCTCCTTATCCTCCATCAGTCTTTGTCAGAATCCGATTGGTCATCTCTGGTGGATGGTATAAAAAGCTATCCTAAATCCAGCTTGCTCATGTGGTTGTTTGACCTCTAAATTGTCCATTATTCTGTCCTCAATTATATTTGTGAATAATTTGTTTGTATGTAAATATTCATATTTATTTGTGATAGGATGCTCACGAGTTCATATACATTTTTAAGGCTGTTTTGTCTCCCTTTTTGAATAGAATACTGATTGAGGCATCATTCCATGATTGAGGCACTGTACTTAATTTATGTGTAAAAATTTAGTAAATAGTTTAATCAAAATCTGTATTTAGACTGGAGGGATCTGATGAGCTATGAAACTCTTTGTCACAGATGTCCAGTAGGGACTAGGGGTCAGCAAGTTGCAACAAACAATTCAAACACCGATAGGAGTAGAATATAGAGAAAAGGTAAGCAAGTGACTATAAATATGAAGTATATCCAGTAAATACAAATTGCTACGTTTGAGCTAACAGCTTATCCTGCTTCTGTGCTGATGTCCACAAGTATTGCATCTGCCCAAGGGAGGCTGCTTGTATATCCCTAATGGCTGCGTGTATGCCAGTCGAGGCCCGGTTTAGTTTATTAAAAAATGAGGATTGCCTGCGGGCAGCCGCTACATTGATATTGGTGTGGATGAGATGCGTTCCCTACCGTGCCGGCAGCCTTTCAGTCTCCTGACCTCTGCGTACACAACTCCGTGGCGTGGACTTGCAGCTGCTGTAGATGCTTCTGAAATGGGAAAACGTGCATTGATCACTGCGATTCCCGTCTCTCCGGCCTCATCATAAACACGTTGCTAACTGCCCTCAGATTGCTCTGGAACGCCCCACACTGTGTGTTTCAGACTTGCTTGGTTCAGGTGCGGGAGATGAATGATTGAGCTCGTGGAACTGCGCTGCGTATCAGGGACACCGGCAACTCGCCGACTCGCCGAAGGGGCTGTGATGCTGCTACAGCACAGCTCGTGTGCCGTTTTAACGACAGCGATGGTAACGATGATGATTCTGACAGTGATGGTAACGATGATGATGCTGACAGCGATGGTAACGATGATGATTAAAACCGCAGTGATGATAATGGTGAAGGGAAGTACATTTCTGTGCTGGGGAGAGCTGCAGTTATGGCTGTCTAATGGCCAAGGTCGTGCCGGGATGTCCTTAATTACGGTAGGATCACGTCAAGCCGCTGGAATATTGTTAATTTATTACGGCAGGATCACGTCAAGCCGCTGAAATATTGTCGGAATGAAGGAGAGAAGGGCATCGCGGTCTAGTGTGGTGCAGAAAGCACCGGGCATTGGGGATTCTAAACCACCAGGGTAGTCACTTTGGTGGCACATGCTGAATTGACATACGGATGTGACGAGGCCCTGGAACATTTCGGATGTGGGTGATTGGCTCCCGGACCAGATGAACTGGTGCCTTGACCGCCTGCAGCTGATGGGTGCGTGCCAGCCGTGCGGCTGTAACAGAAGACAGGGTTAGATGGAACCTACTGGAAAATCACAGACCTGAGAGTGAGGGGCAGGTGCTTGGTAGGACCACCTTGACAAATTAGCTTGTGTTTTGCAAAAGCAAAACATTAAAGTGAGATTTGGTACAGTACACAAAATTAAAAAAACTAGTGTCTTGTACTAAAGATTAATCACAGAAGTTATCAACAGAAGGTGTATATCGGATCAATTGCTTATGCGGTGTTAAATTGGACAGACGGGACGTAACATCAGCGTAAGACTAAAAGAACACCAAAGGAACATTAAATTCTCTCAAACACAGCTGTCAGCAGTGGCACAGCATGCTTGCCAACAAGGACATTCAATTGATTTGATAACGTTGAAGTGTTATGCAGAACGAATTATTACTGGCCAAGATTAGTTAGAGAATCAATTGAAATTGAGAAGAATTTAAATAATTTGAATCGCTGTGATAGCTATAGACTCAGCGCAGCCTGGAAGAATATTAAGTAATACACAACACACATTGCAATTCCTTACAGGTGAGGCACATGCTAATTGGCTGCTTACTGATCTATTACATAATTGCATACACCCCCACCTCCTCCTCTGATCTCAAATCCTGATGGGGTTCAACAACGATGACGTCGTCCTGCACTATTTAAGACCGGAATGGCAAATCGCCCGAAGATGCTGGATGTAATTATCAGCGAAACGTCGTACTACTCAAATTGTAAATGTTATGGATCCACTCTTCAACACACCGGTGGGCTAAAGTAGTGAAATATTTGTGTTTTGTCAACGTGACACATTTTTTTACTGATTGGCCGTGTCGGGTGGTGGAGGGTTGCGACACATACTCTTATATAAGTGCACAACGTTATCTATCTGTGATTAACGCTGCACTTTCCGTCGTTTTCATGCAGGGAGCGCTGCAAACCTACACGCCCCCTGCATGAACGACGGAGGCGCAGGGACAGACGTTCGATTACGTTGGAATGGATCTGCAGACGGCGGTCTTCTCGCACGGCCAGCAGCTCCGTGTCGCCTTGTCTCGATCCCGCAATCCCAAACAGGTGAAAGTCCGCATCGAACCGAACCCCCGGCAAGGCCATCTACTTAACGACGAGAGGAAATTCACACGAAATGTCGTTTTCAATTAAGTCTTCCAGATGTAACATGATATAAGCTTTTAATGAATAAATACAATTATATAATTCAAAACATAACACAATTCAAAGAAGTTTCATTTTAAAACTTTAAAACGCAGTATCGGGTGCTTGCGTGAATGCGTCGTTCGTGACTTTCCTGGCCGAAGGCCGTAAATGGTTGTGAGGGGCGCCACAGGCCCCCCGAACAAGCCCCAGTTTATAAATAACGCGATCTCACCCAAAAACCTTCATTATGAATGATACTGGCCGCGAAGGCCTCCGTGTTAAACTGATCAGCGGTGTCCTTGGCGTACCCTCGGGAGCAATCACGGAGGGCGCTTGCTGCTGGAGGCGGCGTGGGGGTACCTCGCGCGCGGCGTGAGAAGACGAAGCACGCGACCCCCCCCAGCAGCGCGGCCAGGAGGAGGGCGGTCGAGAGGAGGCCCACCGCTGCCACCAACGCCGCGGGGACGCGGTCGGAGACGGGGGGAGGCGGCGTGCTGCTGCTGCTGCTGGGAGGGGAGGTGAAGAGCGAGGAGGAGGCAGGCGTGGTGGTGGAAGGAGCCTCGTGTGTTGCTTTCCAGATGCTTGCATCAACAGGTGTATTCATGGTCATTGGTGGATCTGAGAAATACAGTTTACAAAATATTTGTATTATCGTCTTCATTTGCCATCATAATCCTGGCCCAAAATAATGCAGAGCAGCAGTTTGGAAACCCCGTATAAGTGTGGTCTTCCCAGCAGTCAAACTCCTGTTATGTTTCAGACTCGGTAGGAGTTATTCTTTGGGGTTTTCGGTAAAGTCACGTAGATAGATTGAAATAACAAAAAACGACGTTTCGATTACAACACAAGCGATCCTCTCCTGCTGATGACGATCGCTTGTGTTCTGACCGAAACGTTGTAGTTCTTTGTTATTTTATTTCAAACTATCGACGTGACTTTGCCAAAAAAGCCAAAGAATATGAATTATTGCAGTCACGAAGGCTTTAAGTCAAGATGCGGTAGGAGTTGTTGATATTTGCAATGCCTTTGTATTGTTCGCGTTTTGTGGTTATCCTCTGGTCCAACCCTCGTGCAGGTACGAGGCCAGGAAGGAGACTGTAGCTCTGTTGCAGGTCCATCAGTTCTCAGGGCAATGCATGCGTCATTATCGAAGCGTGTATCTTTGCAAGTCTAAACATAAGCATGGTGGTTAATGCAGACTTGATGAGGCCTCGCGAAAGGTGTCTATTTGGTCCTTTAACATCTTAACACTTGCAGTATCATTGCCGGGTAAAGCCTCTTCATGAATGGATGGAATGCACTGGCTGCGTGTGACTTACCGTACACGTCAAGATAATGTCCAAAAGATGCGACTTCTGCGCTGCCTCTGACGCGCGGCGCGCAGGTCCAAGAGCCCGAGTTGTGTTTGAGACACGCGAGCCGGTTGCTTCTCTTCGTCATGGAGGATTGCACGGTGCCATCGAGATACCAATAAACGCCATCACGATACCTGGAGTAAATACGTCCACGTGGCTTTGTGGATATTTCACAGATCAAAGTAATGGTGGAGCCCGCACGGACAGGGTTTGTTGCCCTGGTGGTGACTGCAGAGAGACAGAATTGTGCATTTGCAAGTCATCCTCAGCAGTAGCCCCCCCCCCCCCCCCGTTTAACTCATGGAGTTCACACAACGCAGTTTCGCTTCAACGCGGTGTTTCTTCTCTGGCACGATTTTCGATTAACGCGCACCACTCCCACTATAACGCAAGGAGTCGAGCGGGTGACGGACGACTTTCTCTGAGCGTCGTGGGTGTTGGAAGCATTGTTTGGTTAATTTGGGAGCTGGTCGTGTAGTCCTGGTACTCAGATTGTAAATATTGTGGCTTGGCTCTCCAACACACCGCTTAGTGCTGTCCTAGTGACGAGTTGGCGTGTTCTGTTGACGTGACAACCCTCACTAGTTGGTGGTGGCGGGTGGTGGCGGGTTTAACGACACATTTATATATTTACGCGATCTAACCCCAAAAAAACCTCTTATGGATATTGGTCGCAAAAGTATACGTGTTAAACAGCACTGCTGCTGTAGCACTGCTGCTGTAGGGGTGATGCTGTAGGAGTGATACTATAGGAGTGGTGCTGTAGCACTGGTGCTGTAGGAGTGGTGCTATAGCAGTCGTGCTGTAGGAGTGGTACTGTAGGAGTGGTGCTGTAGGAGTGATACTATAGGAGTGGTGCTGTAGGAGTGGTGTTGTAGGAGTGATACTATAGGAGTGGTGCTGTAGGAGTGGTGCTGTAGGGGTGGTGCTGTAGGAGTGATGGGTGCTGTGATACACGGCATGCCTGCCTCTTCCTCAGTCTTTGTTCCGGCATCTTTGTGTGGAGCATCATCTGACTCCCTCATCTTCTTCACTCGCCACATCTCTCACACACTTTTTATTGATTTTAATTACTGTCACACCTAACATATTTATATAAATACAACACGTGTAAACAGAAACATGTCAGTATATTGCACTGTTTTGGATTGAGCAGCTGTAGAGATATAACTGCTCAGCCCGAGCTATCAATGCTTTGATATTTAAATTCTCTTTGTGATTTTCGCCTTTTGGCGCTGTTCTCTGGTCTCACGCTGGTCAAGCCCATGAAGGAGGCTGAGGCTCTCATGGAGGCCAATCACTTTCAGAGACAATGCACATATTATTACTAAAGCATGGTTGTGCATGTTTTACCACAAGTCCACAAGTATGATGTGTGGGGAATGCAGACTTGATGCAGCCTTGCAGTGGGTGTCTACATGGTGTTTGAACATCTCCTGTATTCTTGCCAGGTTAAAGGTAAAGTATATTCTTTTTTTACTACGTAGCCTAAACCCAAAAAACGAACACGGATGCGTTAGCTATGAAATCGCGCCGTATTACGTGAACACAACTCTCTGGTTTTGTCCGTCGGTATTGACATTTGACCACATCTCTCACCTCAACGCGAGTTGGATGTGAAAAAAGAGCTTCATAGTTAATCGGATTCCTCCAGTCTAAAGATTCTGATTTGTTGATCTGATCTGATGTATCATTGCGTTGCAAAGCACGCTCATACCATACCTTTGCTGGCCAACAAAGCAACTTCACGAGTAAATTTGTCGTTCACATAGCAAGTATATCTCCCCGCATCTTCAAACTTAGCCGATGAGAGCAACAGCGAAAAGTTGCCGGTTTCGAATGCACGCTCTGGCACGGATGCCCTGTCTGTGAATGGAGAATACACAAACGCAGTGCTGCTGCTTGTTTGGTACAACACGTTACATCTGTCTTGGTCATTTGTAAAACGCCAGCACACTGAATGTTGATGAATGGCACGGCTTATACACGGTAGCCAGACACTGTGAGTCTCTCCTGCTCCCAATCACGCACAGACAAGGGGTGAGAGAAGAGAGAAATAGTCCCCATCAATACAATCACAACATGGCTGACATTGCAAATACAATCACATGGCTGACATTGCAAATACAATCACATTCATGGCTGACATTGCAAATGTGCTACGAAGAATGAAAAGTTATTCATCTTTAATCTCTACATGGTCTTGCCCCACCTTATCTTGCCTCTCATTTCTTATGCCCCCTCTCGTGTTCACAATGAATGCCCTACCATCTGCAACAACCGGCCTCAGAATCCTCATACTCGGACTACGAACCATACACCTGATTTAACCACATAATAAACCCGGACCCACGAGACCATAAACACAGCCTTGGAACCCACAGCGAGCGTGAGAGTTCCAGACGGAACGCAAAAGAACGCGTGAGAGCAGTGTAAATGCCCGTCGCATGGCATCCAAACCAGGGCGGCCAAACTCACCAGCGGGCTGGTGCGGGTGGACCCTGGTAACCACCAGCACCAGCAGCACCAGCGCAATGAACACCACCATCTCGCTGGACCTCATGGCTGTAGAGATGAGAGCGCAAACGCTAATCAAGTGGACGCTTCCTCTTAATTGTAGCTGGACAACTAAAAAAAACCCACCCACCACTCAAACATTTGCATATTTACTCAACATTGCCCTACAAGCTGCACCATCAACACCCTACCAACACCGCCCATAGAGAAAATGCCTATAAACCCTACAATGCCCATAGCCCGCAGACCAAACACTGCCCATAGACTCAAAACTGCCCTTAGACCAAACAACCACTGCACAAAGGCCTAACACTTGCCTTCAGCCATTTGGATTTTACAATGTTTTTCCTGCGCACGCAGATTGAATTGAGGAAGTGAATTGAAATCAAGTCCCTAAATTATCATTTGTGACGTCCACTGAACATCTGTGCAGGAAGTGATACGAGACTTCATGCAGATGTCCACCCACTGGGCAAGTGGATCCAGGCAGCGCAGGGCGCTACACAGCACGGAGTCTCTACGAGTCTGACTCTCTCTGAGTCTCGATGTATCTCCGAGTCTCTATTTTAGTTTATTACATTTGGTGGTTACGACCTGCAGGGCGAGTTGTAATCCGCAGTGTGGTGATTGAACTTGGTGTGGATGAGTTGGTCTCCAGCGTAGTTTTGCCGTTTGATAAAACCACCTTTCAAAACCACGTGAATGCGTTTTTGTGCCCCAAGATTTGAATCAAGTGGCCATGAATGAATAAAAACATTTTAATTAACAAAAATAACAATATCATTCCAGAAACCCACTCACATCATAGAAACACATCTCAAAGTTTTTAGGGATGTAAAGATACATCTATTAATATCAACTCCACAGAATACGCACGCATCAGATCATGCACGCTAGGAATGGTTATGTACAAGGTGTTAATGACGATGCACGAAATGAAAAGTACAGCACACAAAAGTGAATGCTGTGGCTGATTGGCCCAAAAAACATCTCTTAGTTGAACCTGTAGCTATATCCCCCGCAGGCAAATTATAATTGCCTTGTATTTTTTTTGCATTTTCTGTTATTGAACAAGGTTCATCATTTGGGTGAGTGGGTAGGCAAGTGGGTGGGTTCGTGGATGGGTGGGTGAATGGGTGAGTGGGTGAGTGGCACGGGCTAGAGAAGAGATGAACTGATGTGGTACAGGATGTGGAGCTTAATGGACTTGCCGGAAACTGGTACCAGCAGTGTCTAGATCGGCCTCTATGAAGGAGGCTCGTGAATGACGCTACCAGGCAGTTAGAGATTGTCACCTTCCAGCAGCGATGCGAGGCCAAGGAGAAACGCTCACAATGAGCGGAGCGCCGGTAAGCTGGTACAGCAAGGGGCACAGGTGGTGATGCATCTGCCAGTCATCTCACTTAACCACCCCTCACACCTGGGTCTGTACGTATGTTTAACTTCTTTTGCACCGTACATAGCCAACTGTGCTAATTGGAGATGCAGGACCGCCTGCCAGCAAGTCTGAGACTTCTATGTGTACCTAGCCTGTAATAAGCACTGTGGGGACATCACCAATTAGTGACGTGAGGCAGCTTGTACGTGTGTATCGGGGTATTAATATCATGAGGAATGGTGGTGTAGTGGTGAGTGCACTGAGACCCGAGTTATATTCCTGCTCATGTTCTCAACACCGGTAATGATTATTTGAACAAGTCCTGGGCCTCCCCTACGTCGACTCAACCTCAAATGAAGGCCTGGTGCTGTATAAACATGACTGGGGAGACAAAAACAGCCGGGTGGGCGTGGTTATGGCCACTCACCCCCTCGTGTGTCGTGCTGGCCTTCATAATTTCTCCTTAACAGCACTCGCCCCAACAGTCTACGAAAAGCTATGCCGGGCACCTTTGTATTTATATCAGAGAAGACTCCGAGAAATGAGCCAATGGATGAAAAATAATTAGCATTTATTTTGGAGAGATGGACTTTGTGTCTTTTTATTATTTACATATACCGTAAATGTACATGTGCGTATATACACGTGCGCGCGTCTATACACACTTGCACGCGAGTATACACGTGCACGTGTGTCTACACGTGCACGCGTGTGTCTACACGCGCACACGCGTGTGTATACGTTCTCCCCCTCAAGAGTTCTTCTGCCTCTTCCAGAACCTCTTGACGTCCGTGTGCCCGGCGGGAGTGACCACCATGAGCCTGCGAGCGGCACACTCCCACTGCAGCACCCCCAGCTCCCTCGCCCGCACGCACAGCACCTCGTAGTCCGCCTGGGACAGGAACTGGCTGTACAGCACGCCTGAAGTACAGCGTACACACAAACAGGACATGTACAGAACACACACACACGCACGGCATGTGTACAGATAAGACAAAATATTCCCCGAATAGCCTTAGGAAACTTTTAGAGAAAGTGCTCTTAGTGAGCACTTATGAAGGCCAGCATGGCACACGAGGAGGTGGGTGGCCAGCACCAAGCCCAGTGCCTTTGTCTTCCCAGTGGCTATGTTCTCAAAGACACTCATTTGAGTCTGAGTCGACCTAGGGGAGGCCCAGAACCAGTTCAGAAATCTTGACTGGTGCTGGCCATGAGTGTTAATCACACTCGGGTCGCTGGGTTGGTAGTGCAGCACGCTACCTGCTACACATACAGCATGCACATTGCACAAGTGTCAGGACCGATTCGTACAATGAAAGTCCATGAGTAGCAATGTACATGTGGCAATTTGCATTCGTAATCTATAAGTGGTATGTATTTTGTGTGCAGTGATCTGGGAGTAGTAATGCACAGGTAGCAATCTATGAGTAGTGATTGGTGTACAATAATCCGTGTGTAGTGAGTGGTGAACAGCAATCCGTGTGTAGCAAACATCAGTAGTTGGGAGGGCATTACCCTCGGTGAAGACGAGTCGGTCTCGTTCCATCTCCCACAGTCTGATCTGGTCTGTGATGGTTGGTGGCAGCACAGGCGTCTACAAAGACAACGACAACTCTGGTGCTCATGTTCTAGGTGGCCATCGATGTAAATTCCACATTTCAATGACAAGAATCTAATTTTCTATGCTAGATGACCACCATTGACTATGTGATGATGATACTCATTTCATTGACCCTGGATAGAAGATGATTGGAGTGCTAATTATGGTGATGGTGGTAATTGTGATGATAATCATAACAACGATGATAGCAACACTGATGAGATGATAAAAGTCAAAGCGATTTCCTGCTCAATCGAGCATCGAGGTGGTGCTCGTCTCCTGTTTGGTAATTCCACATTCCTATGGCAGGGGCGAGACTCTCTATAGGACAACAGCTGTTCACTTCTCCACAACACACAAAGTTGATACCCATTTTATCAAACCCCGGAGGGTGATGGGCTGAGTCAACCTCCAACCGGAATTAGAACTTGCAACCTTGCGATTATAAGCCGCTTGCTCTACCGCTGAGTCACCGGGCCAGTTGATGATGATGGTGGTGGTGGTGGTATGTGGTGGTGGTGGTATGTGGTGGTGGTGTTGGTGGTGGTATGTGGTGGAAATGCTGATGCTGGGTGGAGTCGCAGTGGATGCTCCATACAGGAGGAGGCATGGCTGTAACCTCCTCTGTGCCATGGCTGGGAAAATATCCTTGGACGTGAGAAGACATTTTCACTGCAGGGATATTTTTATTTATGAGGTTATTGCTCTTTATTTGTCTGACCTGTTGTTATTACCGTTAGGAAATCTTAAAAACTTGTGACGAATGTAATGTTACAACAATTACTATTAAGTTTGTTTTTTAAATCTGCAACTGTAGAAACCTTTGATGGTGTCTGCCAGCTAAGTCGCCCCTTTGAAAGAGAGCTTCTTAGCTTAATAAGCTTTACTCTTGGTTCTCATGAAGAGGCGATCCCTCTACCACGGTGCTGTACCCATCCCCCCCCCCCCCCCCGTGTGCACTCACCTGCTTCATCATTTCTGGGTGGGCATGCGTCCTCAAGAAGTGGATAATCTGCATTGACAGAGATTCATGGAAGGTTGCATTATCACTCTGTGTGTGTGTGCATTAGGCTTCTTCGTGTTAAAAGTTTTATGGGTTCAAAATGAATTTGAGATTTCGGGATAGCATTGGCTATATGGCTAGTGCTGCGGTTAGACGAAAGGCTTGTTGTTAGAGATAAGGATGCGGATAGGCTGAGGATTAATGTTAGGCTTAGTGTTAAGAAAAATAATCTACTGTCGAATTATACATCTATAATAATGGACGATATCTTTACAAAGACGAAGTTATAAACAAATATCAATATATGCAATAATACAAAGTTAGCCAGACTAAGCCGCCTTAGGGTTAAAGTCAAAAACTCAAGAGAGCAAGTTAAGAGGCAAATCCGCGAGTAACCACATTGAATGTGCACGCGTCTGAATGCGTGAACAGTAATTCCCCATTTGACGCGTGTCGTTCACACTGTGTTTCTGCGTACTGCTGGGAGCTGTTAGTGTAGTACTGGTACTGTAGTACTGATGCGCGCTGCGTGCGTGTAACCGTGTCTCTGTGTGTGCGTGTCTCTGTGTGTGCGTGTACCCGTGTCTCTGTGTGCCCGTGTCTCTGTGTGTGCGTGTACCCGTGTCTCTGTGTGTGCGTGTGCCCGTGTCTCTGTGTGTGCGTGTCTCTGTGTGTGCGTGTACCTGTGTACCCGTGTCTCTGTGTGCCCGTGTCTCTATGTGTGCGTGTGCCCGTGTCTCTGTGTGCGCGTGTGCCCGTGTCTCTGTGTGCGCGTGTGCCCGTGTCTCTGTGTGTGCGTGTACCCGTGTCTCTGTGTGCGCGTGTGCCCGTGTCTCTGTGTGCGCGTGTGCCCGTGTCTCTGTGTGCGCGTGTGCCCGTGTCTCTGTGTGCGCGTGTGCCCGTGTCTCTGTGTGCGCGTGTGCCCGTGTCTCTGTGTGCGCGTGTGCCCGTGTCTCTGTGTGCGCGTGTGCCCGTGTCTCTGTGTGTGCGTGTACCCGTGTCTCTGTGTGTGCGTGTACCCGTGTCTCTGTGTGTGCGTGTGCCCGTGTCTCTGTGTGTGCGTGTACCCGTGTCTCTGTGTGCGCGTGTACCCGTGTCTCTGTGTGTGCGTGTGCCCGTGTCTCTGTGTGCGCGTGTGCCCGTGTCTCTGTGTGTGCGTGTACCCGTGTCTCTGTGTGCGCGTGTGCCCGTGTCTCTGTGTGTGCGTGTACCCGTGTCTCTGTGTGCGCGTGTACCCGTGTCTCTGTGTGTGCGTGTGCCCGTGTCTCTGTGTGCGCGTGTGCCCGTGTCTCTGTGTGTGCGTGTACCCGTGTCTCTGTGTGCGCGTGTGCCCGTGTCTCTGTGTGTGCGTGTACCCGTGTCTCTGTGTGCGCGTGTGCCCGTGTCTCTGTGTGCGCGTGTGCCCGTGTCTCTGTGTGCGCGTGTGCCCGTGTCTCTGTGTGCGCGTGTGCCCGTGTCTCTGTGTGTGCGTGTACCCGTGTCTCTGTGTGTGCGTGTGCCCGTGTCTCTGTGTGTGCGTGTGCCTGGTCTCACCTGTTCAGCCGTGATGCCGTTAGCGATGGCCTGCTGCACGCTCTCCCTCGTCACCTGCGCCACCACGAGGTTGGGGAAGCGGTAGAGCATCTCACAGAATAGAGCCACCAGGGCCACCTGTAGCTCCGAGTCTAAGACAGCCACACACAAAGATAAGATCACCCCTATTAGCATTTATAGCAGACTCATGTGGATGGTGCTGTTAGCGAGTCGTGCCTATGAAGGCCGCCATGGCACACAACGGGGTGGGTGGCAAGTACCATGTCCGCCCGGCCACTTTTGTCTTCCTAGTGGCGAATTTTACACACAGCACAAGTAACTCCCTCGTTGCAGTGTGTAAACCTTCGCCACTCGGGAGGCAAATGCGAACAGGCGTGGTGTTGGCCACCCACCCCCTCGTGTGCCGTGCCGGCCTTGAAAGGTGCTGCTACTCGCGAACAGCACTTGCCCAAACATAAACCACACACACCCAGCAAACAAAACGGTTACAACAGTGGTCACCATTCACCACCGAGTGACGGCGCTGTCACCGCGGCTCGTGCCAGACTAGGTGCGTGCTCTGTACCCGTGTAAGCGTAGACTCGGTAGTTGGTTTCCACGACGAGGTATCCTTGCTGGTGAACGTCCGTGCTGCCCTGGGAGATTCCTGAGGCGAGGTTGATTGCGAGACGGGTTGGGTAGTAGCGGCGAGACTTGCGCTGTAAGGAACAGCACGGCCTCAAACTACAGCAGAGTAGTGGCAGCAACGGCAGCGGCAACAGTCATAGCGGCAGGTGACGAGACCACGTGGAGAGGTTCAAGAGGGACGTACATTTGGCACACCGTGCGAGCAGAGGATGCTACACAAGACAAAGATACCCACCCCCCGCCCCCGTATACCCTTAACAGGCTGTTGGAGCAAGTGCTGTTCGCGAGCAGCACCTATGAAGGCCGGCACGCCACACGAGGGGGTAGGTGGCCAGCACCAAGCCTGACCGCCTTTGTCTCCCTAGTGGCAAGGTTTACACATCCCACCAAGGCCCACACCTTTTAAAACACTTTACTCTCATCTATATATCTCTCCACAGCCTTTCCCTGCCTTGTTTCGACTATCTCACCCCTTTTTATGTTCAAGCTCGTGATCTTCGTTCACAATCTTCCATCTCTCTGTCCCTCCTCCTCCTCCCTGTGCCAAATCCCGTTTTGGTCCTTCTCCCTCCTTGCACCCTCCACTGGAATCATCTTCCCCTGCACATTGAGCAGTTCCCCTCCTTAACCTCCTTCTGCTCCTCTCTCAAAGCCTCACCGCTTCTCCATTCCCCATTTCCTTCCTCTTCCCTCCACTTGCCTCTCCACTCCGTCCCATCACTCCCCAAGAGCCCTTTTGTCACCCCATATTCCCTCTGATATGGTCACTCGGCCCTTGTACACCCTTGCCACCTAAATCACTCTATTTTAGTTGCCGCTTCTAAACTCTGTCATAGAGCTCCTAAGCTAAGGCGCTATATAAATATAAAATAATATCATTATTGACAGAGGGGGGACCCACTACCCCACGTCAAGTATAATTTGCGCAACACCCTTTGTGTGATAAAGACTGACACAAACCCTTTAACGATGTTACCACTAATAATGTTGTACCTCCTCCCACAATTCTCACACTTCTGCTCTACTTTCCCAACTCCACTGGATTCCTGTTAACTATCGCTGTCTTCTTAAATATCTCACTCGTCTACAAACACCACCACAGTCTTGCCCCGCCCATTATTCTGCTTCTCTCATCTCTTACTACTCCTCTACGCTCCCAGTCTCCACCGTCCCTCTCTCTCTGTCTCCTTCGCCCTGTGCCCAGTTTCGCTCTCTCTCCTGCTCCCTTCTTGCTGCTCTCCACTGAAACCAACTACTGCTGCAGCACACAGAGCAACCATCTTAACTAGAACAACCTGCTTCCGCTCCTCCCTTACGACAGTCCCCATCTCTTCTCCCCTAACCCATCCTGCTACTGTCACTTCCTACCCCCCAGCTAGGACCAGGCCTATCAACCCATATCACTTCCCCAACCCCTATCACTATTGCTACTCCCTGCCCCCAGCTACGACCAGGCATACCCCAACCCTGATCACTACCCCTACCACTGTCACTACCCGAACCCCTATCACTTCCCCAACCCCTATCACTACCCAAACCCATCCTTCACCACTCCCGGCTGTCCTCCTGTCACCATAACTACACCACCACTTTTAATATCAACCCCACTCTTTATTTTAACCACTATGTTACATACAATTGCATCATTGTTGTAAAACACCTTGGATTAAGGCACTGCTATATAAATATATAAGATAAGAGCACTAAAGCTTCAATTGCACCTTTCTCTGGAACACCATCCCAAACTCGCGAAGGTGTTGAAGGAAGTTGAGCAATGACTCGCTCATCCCCTCCACAGAGTAGTCCTGCAAAATGTAAGGACAGAGAAACGGCGACATGCACGGAAACACGGTGAGACAAAAAATAAAAACCAACAGCGATGCAGTGAGACACAAAGACAAAGATCCCCTGTATAGCCTTTAACAGCGAGTTGGGGCAAGTGCTGAAAGTGAGCTCCTATGAAGCCTGACACAGCACACGAGGGGGTGGGTGGCCAGCACCACGCCTGGCCGCCTTTATCTCCCGTGTAGGGACGTTTACACATTGCACCAGGTACTCATTTGAGGCAAAGTCGACCTAGGGGAGGCCCAGGACAGGTACAGATAATCACTATCACTGGTGTTCGTGTTGGCCGTGAGAGGGAATCTAAATCAGGTCGCCAGGTTTATAGAGCAGTGCGCTAACCAATACGCTATCGCTCATGTGAGCTCAGTGTCTCTGTCACGACCATTACGAAGCTTCTGAGAGCAAGAGACATGCAAACCCAGGGCTTGGACCTGAAATCCAGGATCTTAGAGCAGCACCAATTGAATGTTTCTAACCTTGAGCTACCGGACAACCTCAACTGCCATATTTCTCAATGTAAAGTCCAATGCATGGTAAGTCCTCACTTAACGCATGGTGTTTATAACATGTTTTCGCTATCACGTGGTTTTTCCATCAAAAAACACTTTTTGGATGACGCAAAATGCACACCGTTATAATGTGGAACGCGTACCGTTATAACACGAATTCTGAGCGGGCAACGATGGGACTACTTTTTTGAGCTGCGTGGCTGAGCGGTAGTGATACAGTACATGGAATGATGCAGTAACGCAGCCGCGTACCCTCAGTTATGTGTCCCTCCATCTTGCTGTGTGTGTGTACAGTGTATCTTGCCAAATGTTACCGTTACATTGAGGATAAATTGTTTTTGCTTAACGCGGCTTTTTCAGGAACACATCTCCCACGTTAAATGAGGACATACTCTACATCCACTCGTTGCTTCCACAAAGGAGCTTTCAATTTGTCTACAAGAACAGCAGTGCTACTCGGGCCACCATATAATCATTAGTAAATAATTATTTACTGTCGGTACAATCGGCGAACGATAGCTCAATACATTTGGCACGAAACCGCAAAACCACAATAGCTAAACCCGTGAGAGGGGTTTGCCGTATGATAGAACAAATGAGACAGACCATAGAAACAAGACAGATTTGTACAGACAAAACTGTGCAAAATAATGTTCTTATATGGAATTGTGACCCCCGAAACGTGAGGATTCATCCGATCGCTGGGGGGGCTGTGCGAGTGTTGGTGGGGTGGGTCTGCCCTCTACCTCCAAGTCAATGTATGGGACTCACTTTCCCAAGGGTGGAGAAGCTCAGTTGAAACAGGAAGGACAATATTTCCACCAAATCCATGCCTCTGGTCTAGAGACAACGGGAACAAGACAAGATTAAACAACAACAGCAGCTGCTATTCCAAATAAGTGAAGTCATTGCGGTGCTTGTGCCAGGTTACGTGCACTTTTGAGCCCACGTGAAGTGTGGAATGCCGGGCGCTGTTTGCGAGTAGCACCTATGAAGTCCGGCACAACACACAAGGGGGTGGGGTGGCCAGCACCACGCCCCGCCACCTTTGTCTCCCCAGTGGCAATGTTTACATATCACACCAGCTACTCATTTGAGCTGACCTACGGGAACCCAATTCCGGTTGAAATATCACTCGTCATTGATGTTAGCCACCATTAGTAATTCAACTATGGTAGCTATGTTTATAGTGCAGTGCACATCCCACCGGCCCCACGCATGCACACCAACAAAGCCAAATATTCATCGTATAGCCTTCACAGACTGTAGGAGCAAGTACTGTTAGCAAGCACCTACAATGGCCGGCATGGCACATGAGGGGGTGGGTGGCCAGCACCATGGCCGGCCACCTTTGTCTCCCAAATGACAATATTTACAGAGTACCAGGTACTTATTTGAAGCTGAGTCGACCTAGGGGAGGCCCAGGATCGGTTCAGATAATAGTCACTGGTGTTGACTGTGAGCAGAATTGGAACCTGCATTGTATGTATGTTGAACTTATTTCGCACCGTCCGTAGCCAGCCGTGCTAATCGGAGAGTTGGCGGGTTCATATCGCAGCACACTAACCACGACCACTCCCCACCATGCACACACAGACACCCTCTCTCCCACGCACATGGACACTCACCTCCGTGGAGTTCAGGTACTGCAACATGAAGTACCAAACTTGTGAGGCTGTGTCGAGCAGCAGGAACTGAAACCCCGCCGAGGTGATGCATGGTGGCTCCCCGGTTTCACTACACGGGGACGCACCACCCGGGGGGGAGGGGGAGGGGCATAGGTGACGGCATGCATCTCACGGCGATGGTCAATATGAAATTACACATACAGCAAACCCTTGCCCACCGTGGGTCTGGTTATGTTTTTAAAATAACTGCAATCGGAAAATCAGCGATCCGCAAACTCAAAGGCATTGTATGGAAAACTAGGGTTTGGTTGACGGTTAATAATTTGAAACCTCCTCCTTTTGTTTTACGTTACCCTACATCAACCCAAACATTAAACAGGAAATATGTGGAATGTAAAATATGATTAAAATCTTCCCGTATTCAATATAACGTGTATGGTAAATGTATAAAATTTAAAACAATGATGTAGTGTACAGTACAGTACACATATCCGAATATAGTACTGTACATTACAGGAAGAAAAATCATGGATGGCTGAACCTCACTGGAGGCTGGGAACACCACGTGACCTGGGACCCGCGATGGGCCGCGTGGGAGACGAGACGGCACGTGTGTTGTTCCGCAACAGCATCATCGCCAACAGTGCAGTAACGATGCGAACAGGAGATTCGCGTTCAACCGTGAATGGTCAAACTGCCACAGGGGGCGTGATCGGTCAACTTCACTTCAATTGATTTGGCGTGAAACTGCAAAACCGTGAAAGCTAAACCCGCGAAAAGGAAGGGTTTGCTTTACTCAACAGCCTCCAGTCCGTTCGTGCATCGCTGTAGTGGCGAGATGCTAACTACCTCTCCTGGCATTTAGGAGGTCGTGGTTTTGATCCCTGACACCTGTACATGTGGAGTTTACATGTTCTCCCTGTGGTTGGATAGATTTTGTCCTGGTTCTCCGATTTTCCCCTCCACATTTAGAAACATGTGTTCAGAGTACAGGCGACCCTCGAACCTACGACCTAGTTAGGTCCTGGATGACGGTCGCAAGTCGAGCTGTCCCAAGTTGAACCCTCATCTCTCATAGGTGCAATGGTATAAGTTGGGGTTCCGTTCCTGGAAATGCGTTACGTACAAATACCAACATTTACCACGAAAATACATGAAAATAACCCTAACAAAAATGTATTGTACCTTAACGTAATTTTTATAAACATTTATGAAGTAAAAACACTTACAATTGAACATCCTCAAGTACTTTTCGGCATGTGCATCACAAAAAAGTGAAGAGCGTTGCAAAAGAGATGCGGTTGATCTAAGTGCAGCACTAGTAGTAGTCGTTAGGCGGTCGTAGATACGAGTTTTGGCCATGACTGTGAGGGTCTTCATTATTATGAGAAAGGTCGCAAAAGCGGAGGGGCGCAAGTCGAGCCGTCGTAAGTTGGGAGTCACCTGTATTTGGCTGCTATAAATTTCCACATACGCCACTACGTTGAGCTATCATTTGTGGCCGTGTTGCTTCTGAAAAAGAGCTACATAGCTCAGTGGGCTTTACCTGGTAAAATAAAAACTGTTTAGTTGAATTTTAGCATCATTTCTAAATGACAGGGTTCCGTTAGTCAAAATATCTATACTGTATTTAAACATACTTCTGTGCTGTAGTGGAGCTTCGTGGGTAATTAAATCAATCTAATTCCATTCTGTATCTCTACTCCCTTCTTGGCCATTGTCCATAGATCTGATCTTTATTTAACTGATGTGTGATTACCATTTGGACAATCATATAAATTTGCGAAGCGCATCTATTTATAGTTCCCAGATTTCCCAAGCAATTTGGATAACAAGCATTTAATGTAGCTGCCCCAAAGTTTTGGAACCTCTTGGCATCTCCATTATGCCATCTCTCTCTTCATTTAAACTATCATTAACATGACTAAAGCTTAAGTGTGAATGTAATTTTAGAACATAATTGCTTTTAATAAGTTTACTTGTTTTTTTAATCTGTAAATTGTGGAATATTTTGATATTGTCTGCTGACTGAGTCACCTTTAAACAAGAGCTTCCTAGCTCAATGGGGTTTACTCAATGGGAAATACACTCCTGATTCTTAACTTCTCATTACCAACTGCAGTGATACAAAATGCTTTAGATAAGGGATGATGATGAAGATGATAACGATGGTGGCACTCACCTGCGCATGAGTCCAGCTTTGATGAGCAGCTGGGCAACATCTGCACTCACCTCGGCTCCGGGTGACCCCACCATGAAGTGGAGGATCACCTATGGGGGGAGGCAACGGAACCCACCATGTGCATCACAACAACAACAACCGCCCTTCCCCACACAGTGACGGTGACGTCACAACCGTGTTTGTGCCACTTTTAGACCATCATGTGAAGTGTCAAACGCCCGCTGGCGAGAGGTCACAGAACAGACCCAGGTGCCATGGATTGACATGCACCACCTGTGCACCCACTGTGCCAATCTTCTGCGTTTTAGCCGCCCGGGTGCGCCGCTCATTGTTGTGAGCATTGCCCATTGGCCCTCCGCCGTTGTTGGAGGGCGACTGCCTCCAACTGCCCAGTAGCATTCTTCACAAGCCTCCTCCATTATAGCATTACAGCATCGAGCCCACATTGCCCAGTTTCAAAGACAATGCATACATTATTATCAAAGTGTTTGTTGGCATGGTTTACCACAAGCATGATGTGCGGCTAATGCAGACTTGATGCCTTGCAATAGGTGTCTATTTGGTGTTTGAACATCTTTACACCTTCTGTATTATTGCCGGGAAAGGGTAAAGCCTATTCCTGTTTTTATCATATTGATATACCAGCAAAAAGGATCCCGTAGATACATATAACATGGGTTTAAGACATTATTTTAATCATAAATCAATCAATGTATCGTTACACGACTCGTGTTTATGCTATTGGCACTGACACTGCTGATTATGATAATGCTGCTGCTGTTATTGCTGCTGCTATTGCTGCTGCTCCTGCTAATGCTGCTCCTGCTATTGCTGCTGCTGCTATTGCTGCTGCTATTGCTGCTGCTGCTATTGCTGCTGTTGCTGCAATTGCTGCTGCTGCTGCTATTGCTGCTGCTGCTATTGCTGCTGCTATTGCTGCTTCTGTTGCTACTGCTGCTTCTGTTGCTACTGCTGCTGCTATTGCTGCTGCTATTGCTGCTGCTGATGATGTTGCTGCAGCTACTGATGGTGAGACAATACCTCCCATCGCTCCAGGGCGTAGCGGCCTAACGATGTCACATCGCGAGCGTGCTTGTCTGGGCCCAGTCCAGTCGTGTCGTCGGACCAAGGGTTACCACTGTGTGCACATAGGGGAGCACAAAGACAAAGATCCCCCAGAGAGCCTTAACAGACTGTTGGGGCAAGTGCTACTAGCAAGCACCTATGAAGGCTGGCATGGCACACGAGGGGGTGGGTGGCCAGCACCATGCCCGGCTGCCTGTCTCCAAAGTGGCGATATTTACACACCGCACCAGGTACTCATTTCAGGCCAAGTCGACCTAGGAGAGGCCCAGGACCAGTTCAAATATCCACCACTGTTATTGGTCATGGAGCGGGAATCGAATTCGGGTGGCAGGGTTCGTGGCGCAGTGCACTATTGTGCCACCTCTCCCCCCATTGGGGAGCACACCGACATTAGCATGGTTGGCTATGTACAGTGGCACAGAAGTTCAACATACATACACGACAGAACTAAAGATGCACACGTATAAACAGATGTAGTGGTGTGCAAGTTTGTGTGTTGTGTGCAAGTTAGGTTGGTGCGTTTGAGAGTCAGTGTGGTGGTGTATTTGTTAGCATGGTAGTTTGTGTATGAATCTGTGTGGTGGCGAGCCAGTGTGGTGGTGTGTGAGCTAGTGTGGTTGTATGTTTGTTATTGTGGAGGTGTGTGTGTTAGTGCGGTGGTTTGAGTGTTATTGTGTGGTGTGTGTGTTAGTGTGGTATGTGTGTGTTAGTGTGGTGGTATGAGTGTTATTGTGTGGTGTGTGTGTTATTGTGGTTATGTGTGTGTTAGTGTGGTGGTATGAGTGTTATTGTGGTGATGTGTGTGTTAGTGTGGTGGTGTGTAAGTGTTAGTGTGGTGGTATGAGTGTTATTGTGTGGTGTGTAAGTGTTATTGTAATGTGTGTGTTAGTGTGGTTGTGTGTTAGTGTGGTTGTGTGTAAGTGTTATTGTGGTGTGTGCGTGTTAGTGTGGTGGTAAAAGTGTTAGTGTAGTAGTGTGTAAGTGTTATTGTGATGATGTGTGTGTTAGTGTGGTGGTGTGTAAGTGTTATTGTGGTGATGTGTGTGTTAGTGTGGTGGTATAAGTGTACCCGCCCAGTAGGGCAGTACGCAGGTTGGCTCTGAAGACCGGGTTGAGCACCAGGCCTGGCAGCCCCCCGGGGATCACGTGGTCCTGCCACACGCGCAGCTCTCGTAGCAACTGAGCACTCTCCTCATGGGCCCTAACAAAAAGACAAAGATCCCCCATATAGCCATAACAGACTTTTGGGGCAAGTTCTGTTAGCGAGTAGCACCGATGATGGCCAGCACAGCATACGAGGGGGTGGGTGGCCAGCAACACGCCCTGCCACCTTGTCTCCCCACTGGTGTGATGTTTACATACTGCACCGGGTACTAATATGAGGCTGAGTCGATGTAGAGGAGGCTTAGAACCGGTTCAGATCATCGTCACTGGTATTGGTGGCCGGGAGTGGGAATTGAACTCTGGTCGCCGGGTTTGTAGCACAGTTAAATAATCGCTATCACTCCCCACACAAAGAAGATAACCCCCACCCCCCATAAAGCCTTTAACAGACTTAGGGCAAATGCTGTTAGTAAGCACCACATACACAGACATATGCATATAGGATGCACAAAGATAAAGATCCCCATATATCCTGAACAGACTTGGGGAAAATGCTGTTAGCGGGCACCTATGAAGGCAAGTACGGCACAAGAGGAAGTGGGTGGCCACCACCATGCCCAACGGCCTTTGTCTTTGCAGTGGCATTGGCGATGTTTTAACACACTGCACCAGATTTTCATTTAAGGCTGAGTCGATCTAGGGGAAGCCCAGGACTGGTTCAGATAATCATCACTGGTGTTCACCATGAGTGGGAATAAAACTCGAGATGGAGGGCTCATAACGCAGCATGCTAACCGCTACGCTACCACTCCCCACAAGAGGACGCGCACACAAAAAAACAAAGAAACAGACACCTTACCATGTGTCGACATGTTTCCATCTATCCCTTTTTTCCAGTATCTAAATTATGAAAAAAGAACATGCTTTACTCTTTCTGGCAATAATACAGGTGTTTAAACACCAAATAGAAACCTATTGCAATGGATTATCAAGGGACAATACATACACTATTATCAAAGCATGTTTGTTTGCATGTTTTATCACAAGCATGTGTGGTTAATGGGGACTTGGTGCAGCTTTGCAATAGGTGTCTACTTGGTGTTTGAACATCTTAACACCTTCATTATTGCCGGGTAAAGGGTAAAGCCGATTATTTTTTCATCATGTTCCCATGTCCCTCCTGTGTTCCAATGTGTATCCCCATGACTCTGATGTGTCCCCACGTGTTCTCATGCATTCCCATCCCTGGATGTCACCACGTGTCCCCATGTGTCTCCATGTCTCTGTAGGTCCTCGAGTGTTCCCCATATCCATGTCGTGTCCCCCTTGTCTCCCTGCTCCGTGTCGTCCAGTCTGTTCCCCGTGTCCCCCACACGCACTCATGTGTCTACATCACATCCGTATGTTCCTCCCACGTCCCCCCCTCGTATTCCCTGTGTCCCAGTGGGTAGGAGAAGGTACTTCTGTGCATCCTTGCAGACCCAGGAGTCGATGGCGGCTGTGGGGAGTGGCGTCTCTAGGAAGAGCATTCGCATAACGTAGTTCCTGGCCAGTGGTGACAGCTCTCTGCTCTCTCACACGGGCGTGGGGTCACGAGTAAAATATTCGGAGTTCAGGAGTGAGCGCTTACGGGGTGCGCGCTCGACCATTCACGGTTGATCGCAAGGTTCCTGTTCGCATCGTAACTGCGCTGCTGTGTTGAATCGAATCTGGTTCATAAAATTCGTGATCTGATCCCATATGTGAAGGATGTGATCCCTGACATGCAATACCCCGGTGCCTACAAACTAAGCTGTGTCTGCGGCAGTAGTTACATTGGGGAAACTAAGCGACATGTCTCGGACCGTGTTCGTGAACATAAAGCAGATCTGAAACACAGTAGGACCAATACCTCGGCCGTGGCTGATCATTGTTTTCATGCTGTGGGCACACACGAAATATTTTTCCAAGACGAATGTACTCTGCAAACCCATTGGCTATCAACAAAGCTTTGTTCATGAAGCCATCCAGATATATAAACACAGACACAATTTCAACCGAGAAGATGAGTACAAACTGAGCAATCATTGGAAGGACGTTATTAACCAGTTCAAGTCATAACTGGCTGTGATGCTTCCATCCTACCTGCCGTTGTTAGCAGTTATTTCCGACTCTCTGAGTTACATTACCAGGTTAAATGTCTTTACATTAACAGGCTAAATGTCTCATTAACACAGCCACCGTTGTGGTGGTTTTCTTACATTGACATGCTAATCTTACATTAACAGATTGATATGCTAATCTCTCACAATACAATGGCCACCTCCACAGGTTCGTAGTCGTGGAGGTATATCAGCTCTCCAATCTTAAATTTATATCTCTAGCCCCGCCCACTTACCCTTGGGCTACACCCATCTCACACCTTTATAACATCCTGCCTTAGCAGCTCTTCCGCTATATTTTTTCCTGCCTTAGCAGCTCTCCTGCTATATTTTTTCACCTGATGACAATTGCTTGTGTTGCGATCGAAACGTCGTAATATTTTTATTATTTTATTATTTTCCCATCTATGTGGCTTTACCAAAATACCCAAAGAATATAACTTGTCCAGTAAATGCAAAAGTTATATTTAACATTCGAAAATATTAATCATATTTTACATTATAAATACTTCCTCTTTAATGTTTGGATTGATGTAGTGCAACATAAAACAAAAGGAGGGTGTTGTCGTATTACGAACCATCAACCAAACTCTCATGTTTCCATTTGAGTTTGTGGATCACGGATTTTCCGATTGTGCCTATTTTCGAGAATGTAAGCCCCGCGATGGGCAGGGGTTTGCTCTGTTTGGAGTTCAGGGGTGCGTGCGTCAATGACCGGGGTAGAATATTTGAAAGACTCAAGTTCAATGGGCTGGGGGTATGTATTGACTCTTCTGCTTGTTTAGCCTGCAGGAGAGTCTCGCAGAGACTCGAGACTTTTTCCAGGAGGGTCCTGCCAAGTTTTCTCATTTGGAGACGATGCTGCTGCTGTATAATCCCTCAATGGCGTCATTTGCAGGTAATTTATCTGCATTGGGATGTTTGGCCAATACCAGTTACAGTGTATATATGTTTTAAGCTATGGAAGGAAATCAGAGAATACTGAGGAATCCCATGCAAAACATGGGAGAATATTCAAACTGCACGTAGAAAAGAGCTCTGGTCAGGAATCCAACCGTCGTGCTTCTTCCTGAGGTCACAGTACAGGACTGGGTTCAGCAGTAACCTTTAACACAAATGATATAAGACACGATGTAAAAAAATCACGAACATACTGTGCGTAAATCATATATTGTACTCGACAGTAGGGTACATTTGTTTATACGCGACGCAAAGTTGTTCGTGAAGAGGGTTAAGGCTGAGGCGACGGAGACAGGACGACGCTGACGATGTCGTTAGTGACGTGTGAGTTGAGGTGACGTGAGTGTGGGTTGAGGTGACGTGAGTGTGGGTTGAGGTGAGTGTGAGTTGAGGTGACGTGAGTGTGGGTTGAGGTGACGTGAGTGTGGGTTGAGGTGACGTGTGTGTGGGTTGAGGTGAGTGTGAGTTGAGGTGACGTGAGTGTGGGTTGAGGTGACGTGAGTGTGGGTTGAGGTGAGTGTGAGTTGAGGTGACGTGAGTGTGAGTTGAGGTGACGTGAGTGTGGGTTGAGGTGAGTGTGGGTTGAGGTGACGTGAGTGTGGGTTGAGGTGAGTGTGGGTTGAGGTGACGTGAGTGTGAGTTGAGGTGACGTGAGTGTGGGTTGAGGCGACGTGAGTGTGGGTTGAGGTGAGTGTGAGTTGAGGCGACGTGAGTGTGAGTTGAGGTGAGTGTGGGTTGAGGTGACGTGAGTGTGGGTTGAGGTGAGTGTGGGTTGAAGTGACGTGAGTGTGAGTTGAGGTGACGTGAGTGTGGGTTGAGGCGACGTGAGTGTGGGTTGAGGTGAGTGTGAGTTGAGGCGACGTGAGTGTGGGTTGAGGTGACGTGAGTGTGGGTTGAGGCGACGTGAGTGTGGGTTGAGGTGAGTGTGAGTTGAGGCGACGTGAGTGTGAGTTGAGGTGACGTGAGTGTGAGTTGAGGTGACGTGAGTGTGGGTTGAGGTGAGTGTGGGTTGAGGTGACGTGAGTGTGGGTTGAGGTGACGTGAGTGTGGGTTGAGGTGACGTGAGTGTGGGTTGAGGCGACGTGAGTGTGGGTTGAGGTGACGTGAGTGTGGGTTGAGGCGACGTGAGTGTGGGTTGAGGTGAGTGTGGGTTGAGGTGACGTGAGTGTGAGTTGAGGCGACGTGAGTGTGAGTTGAGGTGACGTGAGTGTGAGTTGAGGTGAGTGTGGGTTGAGGTGAGTGTGAGTTGAGGTGACGTGAGTGTGGGTTGAGGTGAGTGTGGGTTGAGGTGAGTGTGAGTTGAGGTGACGTGAGTGTGGGTTGAGGCGACGTGAGTGTGGGTTGAGGCGACGTGAGTGTGGGTTGAGGTGAGTGTGGGTTGAGGTGACGTGAGTGTGGGTTGAGGTGAGTGTGGGTTGAGGTGACGTGAGTGTGAGTTGAGGCGACGTGAGTGTGAGTTGAGGTGAGTGTGGGTTGAGGTGACGTGAGTGTGGGTTGAGGTGAGTGTGGGTTGAGGTGACGTGAGTGTGAGTTGAGGTGACGTGAGTGTGGGTTGAGGCGACGTGAGTGTGGGTTGAGGTGAGTGTGAGTTGAGGCGACGTGAGTGTGGGTTGAGGTGACGTGAGTGTGGGTTGAGGCGACGTGAGTGTGGGTTGAGGTGAGTGTGAGTTGAGGCGACGTGAGTGTGAGTTGAGGTGACGTGAGTGTGAGTTGAGGTGACGTGAGTGTGAGTTGAGGTGACGTGAGTGTGGGTTGAGGTGAGTGTGGGTTGAGGTGACGTGAGTGTGGGTTGAGGTGACGTGAGTGTGGGTTGAGGTGACGTGAGTGTGGGTTGAGGCGACGTGAGTGTGGGTTGAGGTGACGTGAGTGTGGGTTGAGGCGACGTGAGTGTGGGTTGAGGTGAGTGTGGGTTGAGGTGACGTGAGTGTGAGTTGAGGCGACGTGAGTGTGAGTTGAGGTGACGTGAGTGTGAGTTGAGGTGAGTGTGGGTTGAGGTGAGTGTGAGTTGAGGTGACGTGAGTGTGGGTTGAGGTGAGTGTGGGTTGAGGTGAGTGTGAGTTGAGGTGACGTGAGTGTGGGTTGAGGCGACGTGAGTGTGGGTTGAGGCGACGTGAGTGTGGGTTGAGGTGAGTGTGGGTTGAGGTGACGTGAGTGTGAGTTGAGGCGACGTGAGTGTGAGTTGAGGTGAGTGTGGGTTGAGGTGACGTGAGTGTGGGTTGAGGTGAGTGTGGGTTGAGGTGACGTGAGTGTGAGTTGAGGTGACGTGAGTGTGGGTTGAGGCGACGTGAGTGTGGGTTGAGGTGACGTGAGTGTGGGTTGAGGCGACGTGAGTGTGGGTTGAGGTGAGTGTGAGTTGAGGCGACGTGAGTGTGGGTTGAGGTGACGTGAGTGTGGGTTGAGGCGACGTGAGTGTGGGTTGAGGTGACGTGAGTGTGGGTTGAGGTGACGTGAGTGTGGGTTGAGGTGACGTGAGTGTGGGTTGAGGTGACGTGAGTGTGGGTTGAGGTGACGTGAGTGTGGGTTGAGGCGACGTGAGTGTGGGTTGAGGTGACGTGAGTGTGGGTTGAGGTGACGTGAGTGTGGGTTGAGGTGACGTGAGTGTGGGTTGAGGTGACGTGAGTGTGGGTTGAGGTGACGTGAGTGTGGGTTGAGGTGACGTGAGTGTGGGTTGAGGTGACGTGAGTGTGGGTTGAGGTGACGTGAGTGTGGGTTGAGGCGACGTGAGTGTGGGTTGAGGTGAGTGTGAGTTGAGGCGACGTGAGTGTGAGTTGAGGTGACGTGAGTGTGAGTTGAGGTGACGTGAGTGTGGGTTGAGGTGAGTGTGGGTTGAGGTGACGTGAGTGTGGGTTGAGGTGACGTGAGTGTGGGTTGAGGCGACGTGAGTGTGGGTTGAGGTGACGTGAGTGTGGGTTGAGGTGACGTGAGTGTGGGTTGAGGTGACGTGAGTGTGGGTTGAGGCGACGTGAGTGTGAGTTGAGGCGACGTGAGTGTGGGTTGAGGTGAGTGTGGGTTGAGGTGACGTGAGTGTGAGTTGAGGCGACGTGAGTGTGAGTTGAGGTGAGTGTGAGTTGAGGCGACGTGAGTGTGAGTTGAGGTGACGTGAGTGTGGGTTGAGGTGAGTGTGGGTTGAGGTGACGTGAGTGTGAGTTGAGGCGACGTGAGTGTGGGTTGAGGTGAGTGTGGGTTGAGGTGACGTGAGTGTGAGTTGAGGCGACGTGAGTGTGGGTTGAGGTGAGTGTGGGTTGAGGTGACGTGAGTGTGGGTTGAGGTGAGTGTGGGTTGAGGTGAGTGTGAGTTGAGGTGACGTGAGTGTGGGTTGAGGCGACGTGAGTGTGGGTTGAGGCGACGTGAGTGTGGGTTGAGGTGAGTGTGGGTTGAGGTGACGTGAGTGTGAGTTGAGGCGACGTGAGTGTGAGTTGAGGTGAGTGTGGGTTGAGGTGACGTGAGTGTGGGTTGAGGTGAGTGTGGGTTGAGGTGACGTGAGTGTGAGTTGAGGTGACGTGAGTGTGGGTTGAGGCGACGTGAGTGTGGGTTGAGGTGACGTGAGTGTGGGTTGAGGCGACGTGAGTGTGGGTTGAGGTGACGTGAGTGTGGGTTGAGGTGACGTGAGTGTGGGTTGAGGTGACGTGAGTGTGGGTTGAGGTGACGTGAGTGTGGGTTGAGGTGACGTGAGTGTGAGTTGAGGCGACGTGAGTGTGGGTTGAGGTGAGTGTGGGTTGAGGTGACGTGAGTGTGAGTTGAGGCGACGTGAGTGTGGGTTGAGGTGACGTGAGTGTGGGTTGAGGTGAGTGCGGGTTGAGGCGGTGGCCGTTAAAAGGGGGAGACGTAAATCGGAGTATTTCTGTTCAACCCAAAACCAGACATGTGATCCTCTAAAGAACGAGTAGCGAAACTACACGAACTCTCTCTGGGGAAGTCCTCTCGTCGTGCACTAATCAGAGATCTCGCCTCCGCTGTTAAGTTCGTACCCAATTATTGATCTGGCGCATCACGACATACACAAGGGACCGTGATGAACAGTGGCACCCGCTGCCGTACAGGAGACCCCTTGAGCCGGTACGTTTACCCGGCAATAATACAGGATTGTCAAGATGTTCAAACACCAAATAAACGCCTAATGCATCAAGTCTACATTAACCACACGTCATTGTGGTAAAATATACAAACATACTTTGATTAACATGAATGCATTGTCCCTAAAGCGGATTGGCCTACACCAGAACTACAACCTCCTTTATGGGTAGCCTGCTCCGGTGTCGGCCAATCCATTCAATAACAGCCGCCATTCACCACTAAGCAGCAGCGCCACGGCGCCTGTGCCAGGCCACGTGCACTTCGAGGCCAGTCCATACACCCACTGCCATACAACCAGCCCAGAGACCGCGTCAAACGTCCACCACCTGAGCAAGGCGAGGCAGGGGGCCGGGTGCGCGTAGAGGCGGTCGAGCGCCCGCGCCTCCAGGCCGCGCAGGAACTCGTGCAGGTTGCGGCACGCGAGGAGGCCTCGCGACGCCGCGCGCCCCGAGTTGGCGGCGGCGGCCGCCGCCGAGTTGTTGTTGTTGTTGTGGTTCCCCGCGCTCCCTGCGGGGCCCGCGCCGGACAACGACGCCATTGGCAACTGCGGCGGGGGCAGGGAGGGGGGGTGGTGCGGTGACGTCATGTATCCCGCGCCTGCGCTCACATCGCCACTTGCGTGACGTCATCGCGCAGGATTGTAAATCAGAATCGGCATCTTTTTCGATGAGTTACGAAGCTTCTTTTCACAGATGTCCAGTGGGGGTTGTGGGTAAGCAAATTATAGCAACAAACAATGCAAAGCAAGTACAAAATGAAGGGTAAGCAAGTCACATATAAATATGCAAATATATATAATTACAAGTACAGAAATTCCTACCCAATTTAAAGCGCGCTCCCCGTGTCGGCGATGAGTGACATCACGAAATCCGGCGCGCTGTCGTGACGTCACCGGACAAGTTTGTAAACGTCATAATAATAGGGGTTTTCCCTTTTTTCTAGCAACAAAACTGAAACCTTTTTTTACAGGGAATCATGTCTGCATTAACCACAATACTTGTGGTCAAAATGCAAACAAAAAACACACTCTGACACTGTGATCTCTACATTGGGTCAAACTTAACATCTCTGAATGTTCGACGGCTTGTGCACCAGATCTTATTTACTCATGATGTACTTGCAAAAAAATCTGCAGATTACCTGCTGGATCTCGTCTCTGTTTCAAAGAACAAATTTGACCTAAGGTCTACACTCATTTACCAGCTTAATATTCCCTATTGCCGTACATATACTGGAGGAAGGGCCTTTGCTATTGATGCCCCCAGGGTCTGGAATGCTGTTGCAAATAAATTGAAACTTGAGTCACTACCTATGAGATCTTCACTCAAAACTGCTTTAGAGGAGTTGTACACCCCTAGCTGCCAGTGCTATTCAGTGACCTAAAATAAAATGTTTCGCTCCGGATGATCGCTACAAAGTATGACCTGTGTTTTGATTTAGTGTGCTGATCTTAAAGGTGCATTGAAAATTTACAATACTCCGATTGATGCTCCTGCTGTTGTGGAGTGACTCATGCAGCCAGCTATGGCTGCAGGGTTTTGGTAGTACATGATGTTTATGCCATTTATTGTGAAAATTCCGTCACAGTTCCTATGATTGCTTTTTCATTGCTTTCATGGCTTTATTTTGGTGATTTCGAAAAGTGTATTAGTTTAGCCATGTTTGTTTGTTGTAGTACAGAGTTAGACTGATGGCCTTAATCTAAGTTGTCTTGTGGTTGTTGTTGTTGTTTGACTTGCATCCCACTGGGATTTTTGCACACAGCGTTGGTGTACGGTGTTTTTTCTGCAATATTTTTGCTGTTTTTTCTTGGATTTTCTGTTTGCACTTAGTCACATATTCACTTTAAGATGTTTTTTGTTCATGTTTTAGTTTTTTGTTTGTTGCGGTTGCACCCGATTCAAGAGCTGAATGGCTCACAGGGCTATACCTAATAAATGAACTTGAACTTGATTGGTCCACCCCATGAAGGGGGTAAAGCGCGGCGCGGGGAAAGTGACGTCCCGAGACGTTTTCGTTTTTGGGAGGAGTCCCAAGACGCAAAGTGAATGCAGCACGCGGCAACGTCATCACCAGCGGTAGCCATGGTGACGTCACCGCGAGGGGATTATACAGTGACGTCACGTGTGTTTGTGTTCACGCTTTTCCCATCCGGTGGTGGTGCCCAGACACGGATAAGGGGCCGTCCATGAATGACGTCACGCACCTGGGGGGGGGGGGCGGGGATCAGACATTTGTGACGATGTGTGACGAGTGGGGGGGTTTAGAAATGTGACGTCACATCAAAATGCGCAACTTTAAATATAGACAACACGTTCTACTTAATTAAATAGACTTTTAAATAAATGTTTTCTCCTACAACATCAGAGTGCAGCGCCACATTAAATACGCACGACAATGACGATAGTTTAAAGCGATTTGAAGCATGTTTTATTTTCAAAATGGAAATATGGTTTTGGGGGAGGGGGGACAGAGCTTTGTTACGTCATATTTGAGGGGGGGGGTCTGACTTTTTGTGACGCCGTGTGACGAGGGAGGGGGGTCAAAAATCCTCCAAAATCGCGTGACGTCATTTATGGACGGCCCCTAAGAACAACTCCACGCGTTCGTCAAGTCTTCATATTCAGGAGCTCATTCAATGCATTGCCCCAGCAGGAGCCTTAAGATGTTGCCAACTGTGCCCTTCCATGTGTAACGGGTTCCGGAGACACTTGTAGAGGTAACTTCTTTATTACAATCCAACACTCCAACAGTCCAACACTCCAACAGTCCTGATACTCTGTTACCGCCTAGGTACACAGCCTAGGTACACAGCCTAGATACTCTACTCTGGCTACGCTCTGGAACTCGCCCTCACAAGGTCGTAGAGTCGGGAGTTCCAGAGTCCCACCACCGGCTCTCACAGCGTCCCAGGGTCCTCAGATGGCTGGTCTTGGGTCTTGGGTCTTGAGCTACAACTGGCCCTGATCGTCCAGGGAGCTCCCCTTTTATGCCTAGTCCCCAACGAGGAGTGGGGCCGTGTGCGCCCCCCAGATATCCCACAGAGCACACACAGCCCCCCCCCCCGTTGGTGGCGCCAAGGGGCCCAAGCGCCTGGGCCGCCCAGGGTCCCAGAGCCCCCCAGCAGCCCCTCCCCTCCCATGTCACTACACATGCACAAAGATCACCTGTGTAGTCTCTAACACTGTCGGGGCAAGTGCTGTTTGCGAGCAGCACCTATGAAGCCCGACACAACACACGAGGTGGTGGGTGGCCAGCACCACGCCGGGCCGCCTTTGTCTCCAAAATGGCGATGTTTACACACCGCACCGGGTACTCATTTGAGGCTGAATCGACTTAGAGTAGGCCCAGGACCGGTTCAGATAATCGTCACCGGTGCTGGCCGTGAGCGGGAATCGAACCCGGGTCCACGTGTCTGGCGCTCTGATCGCTGCACCGCCGCTTCCCAGCGCAGCGCTGCTCTGTGCAGCAAACCCCGCTTAGCGTTACTCGAATCAGCGCTAAAAGAGGTCATTACAACAACAGCTGCCATTCGCCACTAAGTGGCAGTGACATCACCACGACACTTGTGCCAGGCTATGTGCACTCTGAGGCCACGTGAAGTGTCGAAGGCTCGCTGACAGGAGGTCAAGGGACAGACCCAGGTGCTATGGGTTGACTCACTCAGACGACTGGCAGATGCACCACACAGTATGTGCCAACTTGCTGTGTTTTAGCTTCGCTCGTTGTTGTGAGCGTCGCTCCTCCGCCCTCTGTTGTTGTTGGAGGGCGACTGCCTCCAACGGCTCCTTCACGAGCCTCCTCCAGAGGCTGATCTTGACACCGCTGGTACCATTAATTGGCAAGTCCACTCAGCTCCACGTCTTTCTCTACCGCATCAGTCCATCCCCTCTCCAGCCCGTTCCCGTATACAGTACGGTAAGTCCTCATTTAACGGGTGGTGTTCACATAACGCGTTTTTGCGATAACGTGGGTCTTCCATGAAGGAACACTTTTCGCACAACGCGCACCTTTTAGCACGGTTGGTTAAGTTCAACGTACTACTGTACATACCTGTGCCCATTGTACTACTGTACCTGTGCCCATTGTGCTACTGTACACACCTGTGCCCATTGTCACGTGGCTCGTGGACGGTGCAGTGATACTGTAGGCGGAATGACAGAGTAACGCGACATCGTAACCTCAGCTGTTCGTGCCGCAGTCTCACTGCGTGTGCGTGGTTCGTCGTCTCTCGCCAAGCCTGGTCGTTCCATCATTTATGGGGACATCGTTTTTCGCATGACACAACACGTTTTCGGAACGCATCTACCGCGTTAAATGAGGACTCACTCTACACTGCGCGCACGCCGACCGCGTGACGTGCAGAGCTGTCAAGGTGGCAAAGTCGCTGCAGGGGTCGGCGGGAGCTGTGGTTACCGACACGAGCGAGTGACGTGGAGTGCTGTCAAGGTGGCATCAAGGAGTTGTGGTTACCGACACGGGCGAGTGACGACACCAAGCGCTGCACCAACATTGACTCGCTGCCCGCTCTGCACGCACATGAAGATATCAGCAGGAAGTCTGCGTTTATAGTGGTCGCTTTTAAATTGACTATGCAAATAAGTTTACACCTGTGTAAAGGAGAGCCGACACAAGATTGCAGGGGTTTCGTCTTTTAATCCTTTTTCCCATCCACACCTGTCCCCAGCCGTCCCAATCTCGTTCCCGCCAAAGGCCACTTCTTCCCGCCCGTTCTCCCCTTATATCTCTTCGATCACCCCTCCCACTAACCCTCCTATTGGTGGGAATCCTTCCCCTGACACCCCTACATCTGCGTGACTCAAAAACACAGTAAGTCCTTGTTTAACGCGGTAGTAAATGCATCCGTAAAAAGTGCAGCATTAAGCGAAAAACGCGTGAAGCGAAAACTATTTTCCCATAAATTATATAACGATAAAGTTTGGCGAGATACTCTGTACGCACACACATTGAGATCGCGGGATAAATAACAGGCTACGCCGCTGCATTACTTTATCATTACACGTACCGTATCGTGCTGCTCAGCCGGACAGCTGAAGAAAGTAGTCGATCACTCAGAGGTCCGCGTTATAATGGTGCGCGCGTCCACGTTATAAGGGTAGAGGTCCGCGTTATAATGGGCGCATTCCGCATGGTGAGAAAAGTGTTCCCGAGTAGATGAACCGCGTTATAGCGAAAACGTGTTGTGTGAACACCAGGCGTTGAGGGCTTAATGGAATTCCAATCATGCCCCTTGGCTACTTTGCACACTTCAGATATTATTCCATTTCCTTTTTCGATGTCCGCATTTTCAATTAATCTGTAATAGCAGGCAATGTAAACTGCTTAAAGCAGCATGTTTTAAAAAAAAAAGCATATTTTTATGTTGCTTTTGCATGATCAAGTATTAAAAAAAGAGAGAAGTCCAATCTGCGCTCATGTGGTTCAGTTTGATTGTACCGCCTGTGCTTTCACAATTCTGTATGTTTTGAAACGGGTCTCCCTTGAAAACGAGACGTTTATTAAATGTTTCAATGGGCTCTTATCATAACCGCAGGAGCCGTGATCAATCGACTGCTAGATAATTACCAACCTACGTCACTGCCCACTTCCACTGGACATCTGTGAAAAAGAGCTTCATAGATCATCGGATTCTTCCGGGATAAAGAAATTAAAATACATAAACTGCCACCTATTACGATCCTGAGATGCACCAGTACAACCAGCACCACCTGCATGTGAACTGATCTCATCACTGATGGCCACTGACAGGCTTATAAGTTAAGGTCTTATGTCGAAGATTCATACGAAGAAAGTACAGTACTGTAATCGCATATTTAATGAAGATTATATTTCATCTCAAAGAAATATGATCATCCCAAAAAATTTCGAGTAACCAGAATGATTTACGTTTCAAAAATAACCCTTAGACATTGTGTATAATCCATGCTTGTGCAAAATATACTCAAAGGGTATACGTGTTGTTGGTCTTGTGGTTATATTTGTGGAAATACAAATGTTATTGTATTTACTTTATTTTCTGTGCTTATGCAAATCGCCTTATCCATCCATAGATATTTGGACTTGCGTGTTCTGTCAAGTTTGCCCAGAGGTTGTAACTGTGACGACTTTGCACACCCTTCCAGTCATCCTGTAATGTTTGTATTTCGCTAAAGGTGGGTTTGCGCTTGGCATGTGCAGAGCTATATATTGCGTTGCAGCACCACGCAGCTTGACAGAGACCCTCACAGCTCAGGGATTCAAAGCCCAGGCCTAAGGACTCGGGACACAATGATCGTGATTCAGAATCATAGCACCGGATTTGCAGCGCGAAAGCTTGGGATGCTTGGACGGTGACAGATCGGCGTTCAGATCAAAATCAGGAGTGTATTTCCCATTGAGTAAAGCCCATTGAGCTAAGAAGATCTTTTTCAAGGGCGACTCGGCCAGCAGACATCAGACTATTCCACAATTACAGGTTTTAAAAAACGTAATAATAGAAATTCTGTTGTAAAATTACATTTACACTTTTAATAATCGTTGAAATGAGGACATGACGAGACGAAACTAGGTCGTTTCAAAACTTTGGGGCAGCTACGTTAAAAGCTTTTAAGTGTACATTTTGTTAGAAATCTGGGAACTATTAATAGACAGACGCGCATCGCAGATTTGTATGATTGTCCAACAGTAATAACAACAGGTCAGACAAATAGAGAGCAGATCTACCGACAATAACCTTGAAAATGAAAATAGCCCTAAGGTGAAAATGGCTTCTCATGTCGAAGGACATGGTGGTACAGAGGAGGTCCGATTAGCACGGTTGTCTATGTACGGTGCGAAAGAAGTTCTACATACCGTGCATACATGTATGGAGCATCCACTGTGGATCCTAATGTAGCACGATAAACCGAGTAAAGTTTGTTTGAATGAACTAAAGGAGCAACCCTAAATGCTGCTACATCACAGTAGTCAAATAACGGAATGACTGTCGCTTCAATCATCTGTCTAGACATTGGAATCTCGGATTTCGGGCTGAGAGCCGGACGGCAGAACGTGAGATGAAACCGGAATCCCAACGTGAGTGACTTCACGCACTGCGCTCGTGCGCTCCAGGCATCTGTGAATACGATCCGTCCCGCCTGGTACGGTATTCACGGAAGTAAATTTAACACGACTCGTGGCAATTTCAATGATGTCTTTTTACCTGGTGCAGCAAACGGTCTGTTACCAGGCATGTTACCCTCCAGCATGCTCTATTAACTGGCATCTGTCACAGACAGGAATACAAATTTTCTTTCACGTATACAGACAAATTCCGACAGCCACCTGGCATCTTGCCGTGCGCTTTTCCATCTGTTGTTTACGGGAGCTTCAGGGCACTGCCAAGTGGTGACGCTGGCGGCGGTCTGAACGCAGAGGACGGTGCTGCTCTTTACTCTAAAGGGCCCCCCCCACCACCAGTCCTCCACAATCAACTTGGAATGTTCCACAGCTGAATGGTGAGTACCTCTATACAATTGTATGTTATTTCTTGTATAATTTTTTAAATGTAGGCTTAGTTTCTAGAAAAGTTGTATGGACTTTTGTTAATTTCGTGAACCATAAGTATAACTCTCAGATCACTGGCACCTCTCCATTCCCCATAGATGCTGGACAAGAGATTTTGCTGTCGTGAATAGAGGTTACATGACTAATTGTAATTATGCCGTATATACATATCATTTTATCCTTACTAATTTGTCCGTGAGCCTATTTCTATATTTATAATGTACTTTCATAAATTAAGTCCTCGTTTAACGCGGCAGAAGTGAGCGCTAATCCAATAAGCGCTAAAAGCGCTAATTAATTATACTGTACCATTGTGTACTACATGGGGATGCGTTCCAGACAGTATTGTCTTTTGTATGAGCAATATTGGTAATAGCGCTAATAATACAGAAGGTACACATTTAATACAAATACATCTCTGTGGTGAAGTTTCTTTCAGGTGAAATTTTACTGGTAGGAACGAAGTTGACCAGCCTACAATAGATTATATCGTCCGTCCGTTTGTCCGTCCGTCCGTCCGTCCGTCCGTGTAGCAACATCGCCCCCTACTGCTAACACTTGGCATGACCCTACAAAAACCTTTAGACTCAGTGACGCTTTCCTGGCTAAACAAGTGTAACATTCCCTTATAATTCCCTGAGATAGCTTTTAATTAAAACTTGTAAATTAAAATTTAACTCACAGCGGCCTAAAGCCTACAGCTAGGCCTAAAGCCTCGAACAACGCCTCAAACTCTCCCTTCGTATCGTTCCCCCGCGTGTGTGCAAGGGAGTTAATGTTTAACAATGTTACATTCCCCGATGCTTTTAAATAGAAACATTTAAATGTAAAGCTTTTACATAAATAATAAAAACAGTTAAATATAAAATTAACTCACGGCAGCCTAAAGGCTACAGCTAGGCCTAAAGCCTAGACCTAGGCCTCAAACTCTCCCTTCGTATCGTACCCCCGCGTGTGTGAAAGGGAGTTAATGTTTAACAATGTTACATTCCCTGATGTTTTTAAATAGAAACATTTACATTTAAGGCTTTTACATAAATAATTAAAACATTTAAATTAAAAATTAACTCACAGCGGCCTAAAACCTACAGCTAGGCCTAAAGCCTAGAACTAGGCCTCAAACTCTCCCTTCGTATCGTCCGATTAGGTGTTGCAACATCGCCCCCTACTGCAAACACTTGGCAGGACCCTAGAAAAACCTTTAGACTCAGTGGGGCTTTCCTGGCTAAACAAGTGTAATAATACATTATGTTTATATTCTTTGGTTATTCGTTCCTACCAGCCCACCCCGCAGGGTCCTGTTTTATTTAACAAAAAAAGTCGTCGTGACCACGATTCGTGCTAATCGGATCGCGGGGGGTGGGGTCTGGTTGGCTGAGAGCATCCATCGCTCTCATTGGCTGAGGGAATAATGGGGGCGGGTACGTTCCTCGGCCTGCGCTGCTGCGTGTTCTCATTCGTCAGCACTTTGTCGATAAAGTTTTTATTTAAATTAGTTTTGGTAAAAATGTTCTCCAGGAGGCAGAGCGCTCTACGAGGTCACGCTAAGCAAGGCCTGCCTGCATTAGGCAACGTCAATGCCTTGCGGCGCTGACACGAAATAAATCACGGACAACGATGGGTTCGTGAATCGGTCTCTCGGGATTCTGGAGCAACGTTTCCCAGTCGCCTTTGCTGGGGCACGAACCCCTCATGGGTGACCCGCCAGAGTGCGCGTGACCTGTTACCTCCATTGCCGCTATGGTTGTCTCAATTGTCTGTTGCCAGCAATTCCAGGGCAACTAAATTGCAGTCCAGCCACGTTGGGACGACGTTAATAAGATGCTGTCCTCGTGGATTGCTGAAGCTAGAAATACACTTTGGGCCAGTTTTGAATTTCCGAGTCTTGCTTCCTCCTTGGAGGCTGCACAGCTCAAGTCCTCGAAAAGTGCCGCATTACGCGAAAACAATTTGACCTAAATAATATAACGATAAAGTTTGGCGAGATACGATGTACGCACACCGTGAGATGGCGGCACAAATAACTGAGGGTCTGCCGCGTAACTGCATCATTCCGCATTACTCTATCTCTGTTACGCTCGGAAAGCGCCTTATAACGGGAGCGCTGCGCGTTCTAACGGGAGCGCTGCTGCGCGTTGTAACGGTGTGCGTGCTGCTAAAAGTGTTCCCTAATGGAAGAATCGCGTTATAGCGAAAACGCGTTGTGTGAACACGATAATACGGACTTACCATATTATCATGCAATAGCCTGGTGGGTCTTTGATGACTGATATGCGGAGTAGGCCACTGCCTCGTGTGTGTCTTATGAGTTCTGTCTGTGGTCGATATCCTCCCGTATGCAAGTCAGTGGAACATCGCAGTACAGTAGCGGATATTCAGGTAACACTGTTTGCATAGCTGCTCAATGAGTGCTGCTGCTGTTATAATTGCGCTGCTGTTGCCGTTTCGGTTGCAGCTCCCATGCTTTCTGTTTATTGTGTATATTACAAAAGCTTTCACTCAAATTAACGAGGTATGTTTTACTTGCTTTTGTTATTCTAAATATTACGTTTTTTGGTTGGTTGCAACGGGAGTAAAATGACTGTCAGCAATGCTATGATTATGCTATGCTATATGCAATTCTATGATGAGCAATACAGTGCTGCATTGCTGGCCAAGCAGATACAGTATTGAACTACAGGGCGACTTATTAAATATATGGATGTATCTGTGTGTTTAGAATAGCGAGTTAACGCGCTGTGCTACGAAAGCAGCTATCCGAGTTCGATTATCGCTCACGGCCACCAACACCAGTGACGATTACTTGAACTGGTCCTGGGCCACCCCTAGGTCAACTCAGCCTCAAATGAGTACTTGGTGCGATGTGTACACATTGCCACGAGGGAGACAAAGACGGCCGGGCATGGTGTTGGCCACTCACCCCTTCGTGTAGCATCCCGGCCTTCATAGCTGCTACTCACTAACAACACCGGCCCCAAAATCCTGCTAAGACTATAGGGGGGGTCTTTGTCACTTCCCCGTTCGAGTTCAGCATTGCTCATGTATTCCGCCTGGTGTTGTGGTGTGTGTGTGTGCTATAGAAATAATTTGGATACTTTTTTCTGATCTACAGCTACCCTTGAAGCGTAACATGGCACAAATGGCAGTGGACATGCCGGTCTGCAGGTTCCTTCGTCAACACCGCGTGGAGCTGGAAAGCTGCCTGTCCAGAAAGCCATTGTCCGTGCTCACACTCTCAGATGAGCGGGGCATAGTTCAGCCCCCAGAGTATCGCACCCTGAACAGGGTGAAAGACCCCCATGAGCAGATGCGGCAACTGATCGACAGAGTTACTGCCAAGGAGGAGTCGGATTGCCGGAGCTTCGTGGCGCACGTGCTCATTCCGCTGTGCTGCACGGTCAGCGGCCTGGACGCGTGGTTCACGCGGAACGAGTCCATGCTGGCCACGATGGGTTTCCTGTCCGTAAAGAGTGAGTGCCCTGGGGGTCTGAACAGTAGTACACATTACGGGGTGTGTGTGTGTTCAGAGTATCTCGCCAAACTTTATCGTTACATTATGGGAAAAGAGTTTTTGCATTTTTGCACGCAACGCAGAACTTTTCAGGAACACATCTACCACGTTAAACGAGGACTTATTTTATATATTCTTTCGTATGTTAACTTGTTTATTGAAATCTATATCTCGTTGTGGATTAGGTTGCATTTTGAAAATCTACAAAGAATACTTGAAGGAAAGGACTTCGATCATGAGAAGCTATGATGCCAGGCCCACAGAGCACATTTCCATCAAAGAGCAGTGTGTGGAGCCCATCTTGGTGACTTATGATTACGTGGATGAAAACAAACAACACGAGAGTGAAGTCAGACTCAACGCACACGAGAACATTGTACAGCGAATGAAGAGAGATGGGTTCAAACACAATCAGCTGTTTGACCCCATTGAGGAAGAGCGACCATTGATAGTGTTGCTCGTGGGCACTGCAGGCAGTGGTAAAACCACAATGAGCAACTTTATAGTGCACCGCTTGCTCTCTGGAGAGCCAGTATTCTCATGTAGCTTCCAATATGTGATATACATTCGATTTAGAGATCTAAACCACTATGCTGAAGAGACCACACTCCGAGAAGTGTTTGTCGAGTTGCATAACAATTTGGGGGATGAAGCGGACACGATATTTTCCAACGCGAAGGAGACATTGTTCGTGATGGATGGCTTGGATGAGTTTGCGAAGCCTCTTGACTTTCAGAGACCCTGCAGCGACCCTAACAGTAGGAGGAGCGTGGAGGCGATTCTTGCCGGCCTACTGGAGGGAAGGCTTCTGACGGGCGCCTCGTTTCTGGTGACAACCAGACCCATCGCCCTGCAGCAGCTCGCTTCCATTAAGATCAAACGAAGTTCGGAGATCATGGGCTTCTCGCCTGAAGAGCGCGAGAAGTTCTTTTGTAAATTCCTCAGAGATGAAGCCCTGGGAAGACAGGCGCACGGCATGTTGCAGCAGTACGAGATCCTCAGCATTCTGTGCTGCAACCCGGCTTTTTGCCAGATAGCAGCCATCACTCTCAAGTCGTACCTGAAAGATCGCAAATCTGACATATTCATGCTGACCTCCATGACCGACCTTTTCACAAAGTACACGTTTGTTCTCGTTCGACACCACAACGATGGCTGCGGTGGTAAGAACGCCATCAACGCCAAGGAGACGATAAGAGGGCTGGCCAACATGGCTTTCAAAGGCGTTCAGGAAAACAATCAGCTGTTCAGCGAAATGCACCTGCAAGAATTCAGCATCGATTCCGATCGCGTGCAGGAAACTTTTCTTAGTGAGATTTTCAAATGCGAAGGCGTTATTGTCTCCAAGAGCTATTCGTTCTCCCACCTGACAATTCAAGAGTACTTCGCGTCTCTGGCCGTGTATCTGCCACAGCCCAAGCTGCCAGTTCCTGCTGTCATTGAGGAAATGGAGAGGTGTTCTGATGGACGGTTTGACATCTTTCAGAAGTTTTTCACCGGATTAGCGTCACGCATTCATTGGAAAACGCTCGCCGAAATCCTCGACCGCCCATCCACGGACTCCCAGCGTGAGATCATCCAGTGGCTCAAACGCAGGATGACGGCCAGCGACCCCAACAAGCGCAGGCTCATTAGCCTCCTGCACTGCCTGTACGAGCTGCAAGACCCCGACGCCATTCGCGAGATCATGCAGACAAGAGAGTCGCTGGATCTGTCTCATACTCCACTCAGCCCGTTCGACTGCACAGCCCTCTCTTACGTCCTGCAGAGTCGGAACAGACCTCTTGAGAAACTAAACCTGTGGGAGTGTGGCATCAGCGACAAAGAATTAGTGAGGCTGCAGCCCACGATACAGAGATGTCACGAGCTGTGGTGAGTTGCAGCATTGAGACAAGTTGTTAGCGGTTTCATTCAGAAATGTCATGGATGTAATGTTTGGTGTGGTAGGCATAAGGTATGTTAAGTGCTCGGTTAACGTTTAGTGTTCACACAACACGTTTTTGCTATAACCCGGTTCTTTCATTAGGGAACACTTCTCGCACAACGTGAAACGCGTGTCCCGTTATAACGTTTAATGTGTGCCATTATGACGTGTAATGTGTGCTGTTATGACGTGTAATGTGTGCCGTTATGACGTGTAATGTGTGCCGTTATGACGTGTAATGTGTGCCATTATGACGTGTAATGTGTGCCGTTATGACGTGTAATGTGTGCCGTTATGACGTGTAATGTGTGCCGTTATGACGTGTAATGTGTGCCGTTATGACGTGTAATGTGTGCCGTTATGACGTGTAATGTGTGCCGTTATGACATCTACTGAATCCGTTATAACTTGGAACCCCCGCCAATTATAATGCGGTTTCTGAGCGGTCGACGGCAAACTACTTTCTTGAGCTGCGCAGCTGTGCGATACGTGTTGAACTTTGTTCGCACCATACGTAGCAAACCGTACTAATTGGAGGTGTGGGAACACTTTTTGATACAGTACACAGAATGATACAGTAACGCGGCGACGTACCATCAATGATTTGTCTCGCCATTTTGCTGTGTGTGTGAATTGTATCTCGCCAAACGTGAATGTTGCATTTATGGGGAAAGAGTTTTTGCTTTTCACTTAACGTGGCACTTTTCACGAACACATCTACCGCGTTAAACGAGGACTTACTGTAAAGTCCCCGATACAATAATAGTCCCTTATACAATCCGTCCTGTATCACGCCTCAGCCACTCAGAAACCGCGTTATAGCGGTGCGTGTTCCAAGTTATAGCGGTGCGTGTTCCAAGTTATAGCGGTGCGTGTTCGCCATTGTGCGTCCGTCATGGAAGAACTACGTTACAGAAAAAACTCGTGTGAACAAAGACTTGCCGTACTCGTCTGAAGTGAAGTTAATAAAGTTCACTGTTCACATAAGTCTGTGCATACAAAATCCTGTGTGACATGTTATAGCCTGTACTGTTGTACAATGATCAAATCTTACGCATCAAAATTAAATAATAACTGTTCAAAGGAAGTATTCTTTGAAAATACCTCAGTGGATCCTTGTTAAATGACATCCACTGGGGTTTATTGTCTTGTTGATGCGCAGTGTAGTCTCGCTGACAATTTTATTCAGCCAAGCACGATCAAGTGCCAAATAGTACCACAATGCACGTTTAACGTGAATGCGTTGCTGCGATAGTTACTTGGTTAATATAAGCATGCGTGTGCACCAGTCATCTCTGTTATTGTCAATGTGGGCTCTAGCAGTGTGCAGATTTTGCTGGTGTGAAGGACGATACCCTGGTTGTAGGGATGTCATGTGCAATGGTGGTGGTGTAGTGGTGGTCGATGGTAAAGCATTGCACTATTATTGATGTTCAGGTTTGGAAGTGAATCATTTGGAGATAATGGAGTAGAGCTCATGGCCAAGTATATGGAAGAGAGCAGTGGACATCTGCAGGCATTAATGTGAGTGCTGTGTGTGTCACCTGTCATATGCTGATAACAATGTGATAACAATGTACATGCATAATGTACGTTGATTACCATATGAATAACCAAACCGGCAATGGATACCCATTGTAATTTATATGCATTCATTAATCCCCCCCTTCAGACGTGAAGGGCTCACAAGTGTTGTCATCACATCTATCCCTCTATTTAAGGAACGAAACAGAAGGATGTTTGAACAAATCTGGCTGTCATCTGATTCTGCTAGTTGTAATTACTGGCGAAACGCCGTACTCAGATTGTAAATATTGTGGATTTCCTCTCCAACACACCAGTGTGCTGTACTCGTGTAATGAGCGACTTCTGAGACACAACGTATAGAGGGCTTCTTAAATTTCGATTTAAAGCTTTCGTGACTGCAGGGCTTCTTATTTATTTCTCATACTTGGGCACGAACACTGGGCGATATATATAAACGTATCTACATAGCTAGACACAGCCGACCTTTCTACACAGCCCCATCATCAGCGTCTAACTACATAGCTGGCTGACTAATATAGCGATGACGATGATAGGAGCCATGCAGAGGATCGGCCATGCGGCCAGACGACGAAGAGGGATGACAGCGAGCAGCGACGCAGCCAGGACCCGGGACTCCGCGACAGCCCCGATCATTCGGTTACGTCCCCCCTATATACTTCCCGGCGTGGCCAGGCCCCGCCTCCGGCCACGCCCCCTTCTAGAACTTTCGAGCAGGTTCCCGGAGCTTCCCGATGAACCCCGCCTTTTACCTTTAAGCCAGATACGCCCACCCCCCCCTTCTAGTTGGTTATTATATAACGCGCCCATACCCGTGATTACCCCTCCTGGCCGACAGGTGACACCCTGTCATTGCATCAGTAACGAATTGGCATGTTCTGTCTACGTGACAAACCTTACTAATTGGCTGTGTCAGGTGGTGGCGGGTTTAACGACACATTTATATGAACGCGATCTAACCCAAAAAAACCTATATTATGAACAAATTCAGTGTCATTCACAATACCGTGAATAAGCTACACATACGAGAGGGGGGACTCGTGCAAGGCTCAAGACTTTCGCGTGTGTGTGCGTATAATCAACGTTTAATTAATGAAACAGCACGTTATGTGTTGGATGATGTTAAAACTTGTACAATAAGTCTTCGTTTAATCTGGTAGATACAATCCAGAAAAGTGCTGTATTAAGCGGTACTTTTCGATAAAGTTTGGCGTGATATGCAGTACCCACACAGAGTACTGTGGCGGGACAAATAACTGAGGGTACACCGCCACATTATTGTATCACTACGCGTACTGTATCGTACCGCTGAGCCACTCAAGAAAGAAGTTCGTCGTCGACCACTCAGAAACCGCGTTATAACGGTGCACGTTCCTCATAACGGGTGTTTTCCGTGTTATAACGGTGCACGTTCTTCGTTATAATGGGCACGTTGTGCATTATAACGGTGTACGCATTCCGCGATATCACTGTCGCGTTCCACGTTGTGCGAAAGTGTTCCCTTGTGGAGGAACCACGTTAGAGCGAAAACGCGTTGTGTGAATGCCACACGTTAATTGAGGACTCATCGAAGTTACTTTCAGTATAAATCTACAATACCTTGTCTGCCCTTTGTCTCCAGCATGGACTCGTGCTGCCTCACCTCCAAGTCGATCCCGGCTCTCTGGAACATCATCACCTTAAACCCAAACCTTAAAACGCTCATGTAAGCATGCAGACACAACGATCTCCATAACCCATTGTGTGCGACTTGAGACAGCTAAAGTGGATGTTTGCATCTTTCTGCTGCCAAATTATAATTTTTTACAAAAAGCTTTCAGGTTCATCTTCTTGTTTCTTTCGGTAAAGTCACGTAGAAGGGAAGTAATAAAATAATAAAAATAAAACATAATAAAACAATTCTCACGACGTTTCGGCTACAACGCAAGCAGCCGTCTTCACCTGAAGACGGCTGCTTGCGTTGTAGCCGAAACGTCGTGAGAATTGTTTTATTATGTTTTATTTTTATTATTTTATTACTTCCCTTCTACGTGACTTTACCGAAAGAAACAAGAAGATGAATCCCTGCAGTCACGAAAGCTTTAAATCGAAGCTTTCAGGTTACTTTCGTTAGAATAGTTGCATTTTAAATGGACATCTTGGTAACTGTCTCCCACTCTTTAAGTTTCTTGTCGTCGTGGCCACTGATGTTCCCAGACATTACATTGTGCTGAGACATGGCGTAGACACCGTTATTGCCCTGCTCCTCATCACTCCTCTCACAGCGCTACCGCAATGTGAAGTAAAGGAGGCGGTCTCTCGTGCAGGCCAATCAGTCTCAGGGACAATGCAGACATTATTATAAAAGCATAATTGCAAGTTTAACCACATGATGTGTGGTTAATGCAGACTTGATGCCTTGTAATAGGTGTCTATTTGGTGTTTGAACATCTGAACACCTGTGTTATTTCCGGAAGGGATAAAGCCTATTCATAGATACTTATGCCATTATTACTCTTCAAACTTGCTCATTTCAAGAAACGTATTAAATAATTTGCATAATACCTCCACTGCTGCTGTTGCTGGTCACTTCTGGGTATTTGGGCCCTGTGCTCAGCAACTGTCATTTGAATAGACAATAATGACTATAACAAGCTGCTTGTGTCTGTAGGCTTTCCGGAAATGACCTGGGGGACAAAGCAATGGAGGATCTTGCTCAGGAGATGCAGACACATCCCATGAGACTGGAACGGCTCTAGTGAGTTCTCAACACGTTTATACAGCAAACCCTTGCCCATCGAGGGGGTTATGTTCTCGAAAATTGCTGCAATCGGCAAATTCTTGATCCGCAAAGTCAGAGGCGCAAACTGTACCTTAACACATTTGGCATAAAACCATGATAGCTAAGGGTTTGCTATAAATCCCTTATTACCCATTTGTGTAGCTTGCGTCATAATGTTTCTGCGTTATTCTGTTATTGGTATTTTTGAATTGTTCTCCACAGGACTGTACGATGAGTTCCTGTAAGCACACACAGTGAGATGGCAGGACAAATAACTGAGGCTACGCCGTCGCGTTACTGTTTCCTTCCACGTACTGTATCATACCGCTCAGCCACGTAACTCAATAAAGTAGTTCGTCGTTGACCAGAAACCGTGTTACTAAAGTGTGCGTTACGCGTTATAACGGCGGGCCTTCTGCGTTGTAACGAGCGCGTTCCACGTGTTGCGAAGTGTTTCCTAATGGAAGAACCACGCATGAATCTACGTACGTATTTATGTTCAACTTATTTAGCACTGTACATAGCCAACCATGTTAATCGGAGGTTAAGGGATGGACTTAACATACCCTTGAGTCATAAACTCACCTTTCTGTGTCTAGTCTTGCTCTCGACGTGCTTTCTTCACCATTTGATCATGGATGATATGAGACTAAACACTAATTTATAACTAAATATTGATCAGTGAGACCGGACACAGGGATGCATGATTGTGCAATTAAATAATGTTGTAACGCCCCTCTCATGAACACTCTTTTTGGAATGACGTGTTTTTCAATCCTTGAGAGATTTACTTGCAGGCACAGCAGCACTGTGCATGGTTTTAATTGATGATGAACTCTCTTTTTTTCCACCTCCACAGCTTGAACAAATGTTCGCTGACGGACAAGTCAATTCCTGCCCTGCATCAAATCCTCACCACTAACAATTGCTTCGACTGGGTCTCGTGAGTCTGTGTGGCATGTGCTGCTGCTTGCATTCCAAGATGAAATGTCTAATTTTAACAAAATTTCAAGTCCTGCATATTTGTCATGTTTTGCTCATAGCCACATCGTTAAACGCTTACACATTTCCGGCAAATCTCAATAGATTGTTAAAATGTATACAGTAAATCCCTGTTTAACGTGTGGCGTTCACACTACACATTTTCCCTTTCACATGTTTTTTTGCGGAACGTGTTTCTCTAAACGCGAGGCGCGCTGCTGTAACGCAAGGAGTCTCGCGCGTGGCAGACCACTTTTCTGAGTTGGCGTGGGTGTTGGCAGCATTGGTTGGGGAAGCTGGTACTGTAGTACTGCGACTGTAGTAGTGATACACGGCGTGCCTTGCTCTTCCTCAGTCTTTTTTACGGCATCTTTGTGTGCGTCACTTGTGTGTCGAGAGTCCACGTTTGTATTGCTGTAGACAACAACCTCATGAGCCCACTGTACACGTAAACATGTACAATAGTGTACACGATATACATTTGTCTCATTCTGTGGCTCGACCATTCGCGATTGACTACAAGATTCCTGTATGCAACGTAACTGCACTGCTCAAGCTAATGATGATGCTGCTGCTATAACACACATGCCGTCTTATATCCCCATGTTGTCTCTCAAGCGGCCCATCGCGGGTCCCAGGTCACGGGGTGTTCCCAGTCTCCAGTGAGGAGGCAGTGAGGTTCAGTCGGCCGCGATTTTTTTCTTGTAGTGTACAGTCGTATACACTTAATAAAAAAAACCTTGACATTTACTGTACAAGTTAGATTTAATGCTACAAAAATATTAATCATGAATTAAAGCTATCGTGGCTGCAGGAATTCATATTATTTGGGTCTAAAGTCACGTAGATAGGTACAAATTAATCAAAATAATAATAATATAAAATATGTATTATAATAATATTAAATATTTATTATTTTTATGAATTTGTACCTATCTATGTGACTTTACCGAAAGACCCAAAGAATATAATATTAATCATATTTTACATTCAAAATACTTCCTGTTTAATGTTTGGTTTGGTATAGGGTAACATCTAATAAAAGGAAGCGGTATCGTATTACGAACCGTCAACCAAACCTCAAGTTTTCCCTGTAATGCTTTTGAGCTTGCAGATCGCGAATTTGCCAATTGCTGGTATTTTCAAGAATGTAACTCCCGTGATGGGCAAGGGTTTCCTATACACTCCATACTGGGATCTCCATGAGTCTCTTCATGAACTATGCTCTTTCATCTTCTGAGCAGTTACATCTCGACTTAAAGCTTTCGTGGCTGCAGGAATTCATATTCTTTGGGTCTTTCGGTGAAGTCACGTAGATAGGTTCAAAGAAAAATAACAAAAACTACGTTTCGATCGCAACACAAGCGATGGTCATCAGGAAAAGGGGGTTGACTTCTAAAGGCAAACTGTTTATAAAGGTTTAAAATGGGCGTAGCCCAAATGTCAGCAGCATGGGTGGGGCAGCTGATGTTAATGTAAGTGACGGGCAGCGACCGCAATGGCGGTGGGTTTCCACCAATTAAAGGGCTGCCAGGTAAACATTTGCATGTTAATGTAAGATCGGTGAGCGGCCTCCACGGCGAGCGCGCTGAGGTGGCGATGTTAATGTGAGAGGTTAGCATGTTAATTAAGGGGTTAGCATGTTAATGTGAGTGGTTAGCATGTTAATGTAAGAGATTAGCGTGTTAATGTGAGAGATTAGCATGTTAATGTAAGATCGCAGAGCCACCGCCACATCGAGGTACTGCGCGCGAAGGTGGCTGTGTTTATGTGAGAAATTTAACCTGTTAATGTAAAATCGCAGAGCCGAAAATAACAACTAACATCAGAAGGTGGCAGGATGAGAACATCACAGCCAGTTATGACTTAAACTGGTTGATAACGTCCTTCCAATGATTGCTAAGTTTGTACCCATCTTCTCGGTTTAAATTTTGTCTGTCTGTATATATGGATGGCTTCATGAACAAATCTTTGTTGATAGCCAGTGGGTTTGCAAAGTACCTTCGTCTTAGAGATATCAATATCGTGTGAGCCCACTGCATTAAAACAATGATCAGCCACGGCCAAGGTATTGCTCCTACCGTGTTTCAGATTTGCCTTGTGTTCATGAACAGCACGCTCGTCGTGGAGGCCGCTCACCGATCTTACATTAACATGCTAATTTTTACCTGGCAGCCCTTTAATTGGTGAAAACCCACCGCCATCGCGGTCGCTGCCCATCACTTATGTAGTGAGTTCAACTGTGTCGCAGACGTACTCTTGGAGGCAACACATTTATTTAACACCAACACACAGGGTAACTGCCCCTTAACAGAATAACAACCTGTGGTGGTGACCACCAGGCTAACTACACTAATTACAACGTAACTGCTACAACGAACCGGACCAAAGCTTGGGTCCAGGTCCACGTGTTGGAGACTCGGTAGAACGTAGGACGCAGACGAAGGCTTCTTCAAGATGAACAACGCCGGTCTCTCTGGGGAACCCGGCTTGTATCCTATGCGACATGGCTGCCTCCCTCCTTGGCCACGACCACCTTCCAGAATCCTCGAACAGGATCTGGACCGGGACCACGTGACCACCCCTAGCCCCCACTTAGGGCCCCTTTGTAGACTTAACCGGTCACGTGTCCTCTCGGGTCAACCAGTGCCATGATCTTTAGTAACCCCGGCACACCCACACCCTATCCTGTAGGGCTGGCACTGTTCGCCAAGCGTGGTGCCACCTCACGCTAGCAACCAGCGCTCACCGAGCCCCTCTAGGGCCGGTACTAAACCCACATCATCGTGGTGTCCGCGATGTCGTTACATCGCACGCCGTGCCTCTCTATGGCTGGCACAGCACAGTGACATCCCGCGATGTCACTTCACTTACATTAACATTAGCTGCCCCACCCATGCTGCTGACATTTGGGCTACGCCCATTTTAAACCGTTATAAACAGTTTGCCTTTAGAAGCTACCCCCCTTTTCCTGATGACGACTGCTTGTGTTGTGATCGAAACATCGTAGTTTTTACTTTGAAACTATCTACATGACTTTACCGAAAGACCCAAAGAATACTTGTGAGCAGTATTGTGTTTTTCCTCAATGCTGACTTTCCCATGGCAACATTGGCTCTAATCTAATCTCCTTCTGTCACATGGGTATAATTTTTACATGCTGACACCTAGTTCAGTTAACTTAATTTAATGGCATGTCCACTCACATGCATCCCCTTTCTCCATTGCAGGTTAATTGACAATAAATTCAGCCCAGAAGGTTATTCCAGACTGAAGGACATGGAGCAGACAGGGCAGCTCTACATTCAGCTGATTGGACCGGCGCCAGCATCAGTGAGAGTCCCTAAATCGCATGACACCTTGGTGAATGATTATAACGTGGGGAACGATTCAAATGCGGCGATGTTGAAGGCACCAGCTGACGTCTAACATTCCACATATTGCTTCAAGCCAGCATGCAGAAAAGTCAGTGATCTGCTGCTCAAATGAGCATTGAGGCGGTGGTCATCTTCTATTTATACACCTTTGAGCCAATGGTGGATATTCCACATTCCTATGGTGGGGTCGAGTCTATGAAGGACAACCACTGTTCACTTCCCCACAAAGTGGTACTCATCTTAGAGACCCTGGAGGGATGATGGATTGAGTCAACGCCAAACCAGGATTCAAACTCCCAACCTTGCCATTGCGAGGAGCCACCAGCCCAGAATAGACAAGTCATAGCATATTTTTGTAGATTTTTTAAAATGTTTCTATTGCAACACAGCACGAGCCCGGTACAATACGCCAATCACCATCAGAAGGGAACATAAACTCTGCCAACAGCAACTCTAATTCGGCGCAGCAGGATCGTACAAAGGGAAGGGTGGATTGGGCTCGCTGCCCCACCCAAGTGGGGACCTCGTGCAGGTACGTGGAGATTTGTATTGGGTGAGGGCAAAGGGGGAAGGGGAAAGGTAACTAACATATTGAGGAAAGACCAGGGGCCGGGGGAGTGGGGGAAACAGGGGGGAGCAAATTAATCCCTACAAATAAAAACATACGTGCCATATGAAGCTTAAGCACTAACCTCCCACCACTCAAAGATCCCCTCTTTACACCCATCCCCATCTCCAGACTTTTTCGCCCACGCCCCTCATTTTAGGCTCCGTAGGAAGGAGGGATCACCTGGTCTCAAACTCCCGTTCCTTCCCATTAAGCTTGTGGCTTAAGTACTCAATTCCTGCTTGGGCTTAAAGAGTGTTGCGCCACTGTTTCCACGAGGGGGGTTCATGATCTTCCCAGTTAGCCAATGTGGTTTTCCTGGTCCTGAAGGTTTAAAGTAGAGCGTGTTGGTGTTTCGGCAGGGCATCTAGTATCAGGCCCCACAAAGTCATTTCAACTGAAGGGGTGATTTTTTTATTTTAAGAATGTATGGACATGCTTGTCACAATATGTAATATTTATACCTGGTCTAAACAAGCTCGTTCAAACAAGTAGTGTGCTAGTCAACTCTGGAAGATCTACATTAAATGTGATCTCACACCGTTGTAAAACATATTACAGCAAACCATTTTCTCTCTCGGGTTTAGCTATTTCAGTTTTGTGGTTTCGCACCAAATCTATTGAGGTACAGTTCGCCGATTGCGCCCCTGTGGCGGCTTGACCATTCACGGTTGACCGCCGGATTCCTGTTCACATTGTAACTGCACTGCTCGCGGTGACGATGCTGCTGCTGCTGCGGACCACCACGTTTCCCGCGTCTTGTGTCTCCGTCTTGCCTCCCACGCGGCCCATCGCGGGCCCCAGGTCACGTGGTGTTCCCAGCTTCCAGTGCGGTTCAGCACCCACGATTTGTCTTCCATTAGTGTACTGTACACTACTGTACACGGATATGTGTACAGTACTGTGCACTATATTTGACACTAGCAAGTAATATTTTACAATCAACATACTTGCTGTGTAATGTTTGGGTTGATAGGGTAACGTAAAACAAAAGGAGGTGTCGTATTACAAACCGTGAACCCTACCCCCGAGTTTTCCCCACAATGCCTTTGAGTTTGAGGTTCGTGGATTTTCCAATTGCCGCTATTTTCAAGAACACAACCCCTGCGATGGGCAAGGGTTTGCTGTATTTACATGCGGATTAAGAGAGATTCATATATTTAACCCAAAATGTCTGAAGACCAAAAAAAACAGTAACAGTTTAAATTGGAATGTCATTGTAAACTGTGGTGTATTGCACTGCATGTAATTAATACTTAAGGTACAATTAGTTTGATGTTGGAACAAAAGGCTTCAATTCCATACTCAGAAACGCAAAGACAACATATGATGCTTTATTACCACAACGTTGGAAAGCGAAGTTTGCTGGCTCAGGAATGATCAAGCAATGCTCCATTGGCTGTCAGATGTAAAAATAAAACTCGCATTGCATGTTGTTACTTTGGTGTCCACAAATGCATAATCCATTGTTAACCAACTATGATAATGAGATCATCGTTTGATCAATACAGGTTAACAACAATGGCTGACATTCGCCACCACGGCACTTGTGTAGTGTTTTTATTTCACGCAGACACCTTTCTTTTTCTCCTGTGTCACTTTTATTCAACAGAACTCCTCGTGTTCAACACCACGTGACTCCATCGCAACTCCCTCCCGCCTGCGGTGCTCGCCTGCCACGCTTCTCTCGCTCCGCTCTCTCTCTATTACTATATACTCTGCTAGCTTCTCCACTGCTAGCCTATAAACTCTGCTAGCTTCTCCACTGCTAGCCATTCGCCATATACTCTGCTAGCTTCTCCACTGCTAGCCTGTCTACCCTCGCTGCTCCATCCTCGCCCTTGCCTCCAGCGGGGGACCAGGCATCCCCGCTGGAGAGGACGCGGTGTGCTGAGAGGGCCCGGACTTGTCTTCACTCCAACCAACCCAACTCACAACTCCCCCGCGTGTCTCCGCACAACGCCTTATATCCCCTCACTCATTAACTCATTAATTAAGCTGGCGACCTCCCGTCGCCTCACGCCTGTGGCTTCCGCTGCTATGCCTCAATCTCCAGACCCCGAGACGCTTACACCGTGTCTGCATTTGCAGCCAGCCAATCACCGCTATGCATCTTAATTGGTCACCTCTGGCTGCTGTCTCTCTCCGCACCTGAGTGCGTGCACACCACTTGCAGACCCTGCGCGCGTTACTCCACTACACTTGTACCAGGCCAGGTACACTCCAAGGCCACGTGAAGAGTCGAAGGCTTATTGACAGGTCAGGGGACAGACCCAGATGGATTTGTAATACGAGAGTTCACCGACGATCGCCGATCAGTGGGATAGGCTCCGCCGCCTGGGCATCAACCCATCAGAGGGATGAGCCGAAGTTAAGGGCGGAGCTTAAAGGCTCTGGGGAGTAACCATCTAGAAGGGTCGTGAGGGAGTGTGGCTGTAGGCGGGGCTTGGTGACGTAGGTCAGGGGATATAAGGGAAAGCCGGACAGGGCTTGGGGTCAGTGTGTGGAGTCAAGCAGCGGGACCACGTCTCGCGCATCCGGAACGCCAGCGGCCACGTGGCGGGCCGGAGGCTTCCTCCTTGCAGGCCGCTCGACAGGGGTGCGTGGGAGAGGGTGTGAGTGAGCTGGCACGAGCGACAACATCTAACCGCGCGGGAATGGGAGTGCAGCCGTGTCAGAGTGAAGAGCGTGGAGCTGTCCAGCTGTGAAGGAATGAATAAATAATAAAGAAGACACAAGTTACAGATTGTCGTCGTCGTGGTTTATTACAGATTGACTGAGTTGACTGGCAAATGCACTATCTTTACTCCCTACTGTGCCAACTTGCTTAATTTTATCTGCTCCTTTTTGCGAGCATCGCTCCTCTACCCTCTTGGAGGGTGACTGTCTCCAACTCCCCAGCAGCGTCCTTCACGAACCTCCTCCTGAGAGGCCAATCTTGACACCGCTGATACCAGTCTTCGGCAAGTCCATTCAACTTCACATCCTCCCATACCACATCAGTCCATCTTTTCTCTCGCCGCTGCCACCCACCCAACAACCTACTCACCCATCCATTCACTTACCCACCCGCTCGCTCGCCCATGAACTCTCCTTTACTCTTTGGTTCTTTTGGTAAAGTCATGTATAAAGATAAAATAATAAATTAAATACTAGCATACGACGTTTCGATTGCAACACAAGCAATCATCAGGTATAAATGAAATAGAAACACACATCTAGTATACTTAGAAATGTAATGTAATACAACAGAGAGTCGGACAACATTACAGTCAACAACCTACCTGGTTGATTACGTTCTTCCTGAGAGATAAAACACAGAACCAGAGACATATAGACAGACATATAAGCAGACAGATATCGCAGAGATACATAGAGACAAACATAGGCACACAGAGAAACCACGTCTCTGTGTCGAGGCCTTAAATAGAGAGAGGGGGCGGGGGCGGAGAGAGAGGGAAGGGTTAGAGAAATTAGCATGTCAATGAGTGGTACGGTGCAAAAGCTTGAAAAAATTAGGAGACAGGGAGAGAGACACACTGAATTAAATAACCTAGCAAAATTTCGAAATGTAATGTAATGCAACACAGAGAGTCAACACACAATTAACGCATAGCTTGGGTGATTACGTTTTTCAAAGATTGCTAAGTTAGAAGTTAAGTGTGAAATTTTAAAGAGAGACAAGACACAAACACGAAGAACAGACAAAAGCAGAGAGGGAGAGGGACAACAGCCGAGATACACAGAGAGAGCATAACATAAGAACGACAAAACGAGTGGAGACAGAGAAAGTACACTAAATCAAATAAACCTAGCAAATTTCGAAATGTAATGCAATGCAACACAGAGGGTCGGTCAACACACAATTAACGCATATCCTGGTTGATTACGTTCTTCCAAAGATTGCTAAATTTGAATTTAAGTGTGAAATTTTAAAGACACAGACACAGTTAAGTGTTGACTGTTATGTTATCCGATTCTCTGTTGTATTACATTACATTTATAAGTATACTAGATTTGTGTTTCTATTTCATTTATACCTGATGATGATGATGATTGCTTGTGTTGCAATCGAAACGTCGTATGCTAGTACTTAATTTATTACTTTATCTTTATACGTCACTTTACCGAAATAACCAAAGAGTAATTTCTGCACTCACGAAAGCTCCAAATTACACTCTCCTCTAGCTCGTGCCATGTCCGTTTAGCCTCTATCCAGCCAAACAAGCTGTGTTTGCATGTGTAGAGGTGTTAGACACTCTATTCAGTAACCTGCGACCCGTGGCACCTGGGTCTGCCCCGTGACCTGCCAGCGAGCGTTCGACACTTCACGTGGCCTCAAGGTGCACATGGCCTGGCACAAGCGTCGTGGTGACGTCGCCGCCACTTAGTGGCGAATGGCGGTTGTTCTTGTTAGATCACTACAGGTTCTCGATTTAAAAACCATATGCATTTACCAAATATTTTGCCAATATTTCAACCAGGAAATTCAAACTGCTCTATAGCTTTATTTTTTTCTCGTGATGACGATTGCTTGTGTTGTGATCGAAACGTCGTAGTTTTTTGTTAATTTTTGTTCTAAGTGGCTTTACCGAAAGACCCAGAGAATATGCTCTATAGCTATACAAGTGTAGTGGTGATACGCGCTGGGGTGGGGATCGTGTGCCAGCGCGTAGTGATTGGCTGTGTGTGTTGGTGACGCGCGCTGACAGTGAAGGATCAGGGGTCAGCGCGGGGTCAGGGGTTATGAGGCAGTGATTGGCTGGGTATCGGTGACGCGCGCTGACAGCAATGGGATCCTGGGGCAAGCGCGCGGGGATTGATCAACTAAGGGGGATGCTCACGTCGAGGTCCGCATACGCTCCGTCTCCCGAGAGCGGGGGCTATATAAGGTGGTGCGCACAGGCGCACGGGGAGTTGGTGACAAGCGAAGACTGAAGACGGAGGAGGAAGATATAGGGCCCTGCGGCACCTAGTCCCGCTGTCCTTGTAAGGGCCGGGGCTCTGTGTGACCCAGAGGCGGGACCCTGGGACCCGGGGCCGAACGTCCGTGTGAGGGCCGGCCCTCGGGACCCAGAGGTTGTGACCCACGCCCAAGCTGGGGTGGGCCTGGAGGCTCCACGGACGTTACGGGGCTGGAATGCAGTGTGAGCATGCAGTGTGAGCATGCAGCGTGAGCCATAGTAACTACACGTGTCAAGTGGAGTGTGTAGTGGGAAGGGTAGTGACCACACGTGTCAAGTGAAGTGTGTGTAGTGTGAGGAATAGTGACTACACGTTGTATCGTGACAAGTCAAGGTTTAATAAAAAGTGTGCTACCCGTCAAGTGGTTTCCTGCCGTCATTCCGAATACTTCACAAGTGTAGTAATAGATGTAACTTCATGGGTACACTGCATGAATTACAAGTATAATAAATGATTGAATATAGTTCAACCGACAAACATTTAAAGTTCTAGATAAATGATCACACTACTAAATATTAAAATTCTTAGAATTGCATGAAATACATCCAAATGGTACAACTGTAAAACTCCCATCCACAATTATTTGATTACATATGCATGCAGATGGAATCATAGAACATACAGGCAGACCTCGCCTAGCGCGACCCCATAAAACGCTGATTCGTCATAGGGCTCTTTGTCCTGGAGCAGATTTTTACTTAGAATAAAAGCCTAATGGTGAGAAGATACAGCAGTGCCGGCCAAGGAAACGTACCCACCCCCATCATTCTCTCAGCCAATGAGAAAAACGAACGCTCAGCCAACCAGACCCGATTCGATTAATACGATTCGTAGTCATAATTACATTTAAAAAAATGGATTTGTTTAGCCAGGCGAGACCAGGATAGTCTCAGGCTCCACCTAAAATAAACCTAACCACGCAAATGTAGACTGGGGGCATGACTAAGATCACGGAGGTCATGAAGCTGTGACCTGGACTGGGGGCGTAGCAGCAGTTCCTCCAACATTATCTTACTCCTCTCTTTCTATATAATTCCTCAACTGTCTATCTACATGCTCTCTTGTATTTTTCTGTGGTTGAAGCAAAATGATGTAGCATTTGTGGAAGAACAGAAAAATAAGGATTCCGTAGCCAGAGAGAATGATAGAGATGATCTCAACAACGACCCTGTGCTCGTTACTCAGAATGTAAGCGGGGATGAATGAAATCCACACAATAAAGAACGTTAAGGCACTGAACATCACGAACTTGCCCTCGTTGAAGTTATTAGGAAGCTTGCGTACCATGAATGATAGCATTAAACAAATCAATGCCAAAACGTACAAATACGCGATAATAAACGCAAAGTTGAATGGAGAGCCTTCGTCGCATTGCAGGAAGATTGTGTCGGCTTTGATGTTTTCATTCCTAAATACGCTCGGAGATGCTAGGAAGTACCAGACCACGCACAATGCAACTTCTATGGCAATAACCACGGCTACGATAGGGATTTCTGCACGTGTCATTTGTCTGTGGAATGTGTCATTCCTGGTTTGATTGGGCTTGAACGCAATTATCATTGAGATTGTTTTGACCAAGATGCAAGACAAGCAGGACGAGAAGCTGACACCAAAAAAGGGCTGTCGGGCAATGCACATCCAGGGCTTTGGTATGCCGACAAACACGTAGATGCAGAGGAAATTGCAGAACAAACAAACCAATAGCATGAGGCTTATTTTGAAATTTGACGCCTTTACGATTGGTGTTTCTCTATACTTGCAGAAAATGAAGAGTACATCGAACGTGAGAAAGAGGCCAACGATCGCGGCAATGTGAAGAATGAGCCCTTCGACAGAGTCCCACTTTAGGTACTGCACGGGTTTAACAAAGCAGTCGGTGTGCGTTCCCGTTGACCAGGAGTCCGGAGGGCACCTCACGCAGTTATTGGCGTCTGTAACGGAACACAGTAACAACGGTGAGAGGGCATGGGCACTGATGGTGTGGTCTCATCAACACTCCGTCCGATCACCACACTTTGCAGGTCACAACAACGTATAGCAAACCCTTCCCTCTTGCAGGTTTAGCTATCGCGGTTTTTGCTGTTTCGCACCAAATCTATTGAGGTACAGTTCGCCGATCAATCATTCGCGGTTGACCGCGAAATTCCTGTATGCATTGTAACTCGCAATGCTGCTGCTGCTGCGGAAAGACACACCTATAGCCGTCTTGTCTCCCAAGCGGCCCATCTCGGGTCTCAGATCACGTGGTGTCCTCAGTTTTTTAATTCTATACATTTACCATATAAGTTACATTTAACACGATAAATATGCGTCATATTTTACATTCAAAATACTACCTTACTCTTTGGTTCTTTCGGTAAAGTCACGTAGATAGAAAAATAAAATAATATATCACGACGTTTCGATCGCAACACAAGCGGTCGTCCTCAGGTGGAATTTTTGGTATCCAGTAGTGGAACTGCTGAACCAGCGAGAGAGCTGTTACAACAACAAGACGTTATATATATGTAGATGGACAAGCAGGCGGGGTCTGAGCTGGAAAGGAATTCCATCCCCGTACGCAAGCACGTCAGTTGTGTTAATGGGGGAGATTCGGGAGAGAGATTAGGGAGAGAGATTAGCATGAAATGAGCTTCCGTCCCCGCATACTAGTATCGTTCCCGCATATGGCACACAGCAGTGTTAATGGAAGACTATCACTATATTGATGGGAGAGATTAGGCAGAGAGATTAGGGGGATTAGCAAGTTAATGTCATTTATATGTGTAACACAAGCTGCGGCGCTGCCAAATGCGCTGTGAGAGGCAAGATCCCCCCCTTGTCTCACGCTCAGCAGTCGTTTATGACTCTTGGGCTACGCCCGTTTCTACCCTTTAGAAGCAGCCTGCATCAGCAGCTTGCCTCCTACCTTATACAACCTCTTGTTGCAGCAGCTCTTTCTCCTTCGTCAGCAGTTTCCCTGCTGTGTTGATCTCATCTGATGACGGTTACTTGTGTTGCGATCGAAACGTCATGATCTATTTTTTAAATCCTTTATATTAAGTTCGCTTGCTTGCTTGCTTGCGTGCGTGCTTGCTTGCTTGCGTGCTTGCTTGCTTACGACCGTGCAAATCTTTCGGTCGTTTTTTAACCCCCTTCCCGTGATCCAATCGACCTGACATTTTCCACACAGACTCGTTGTGCGAGACAATTAATGTTCGTGAAAAAAAATTCCCAAAATGTTACACTTTTTAGGCAAAAAAAATGTATTTTACATATATTCAAATAGAACTCATTCATGGCTTTGGCTGAACGTCACAGTGTAAGAGCCCAGAGCGTAACCCCTCCACAGGCCGTGGCGGAGTAGCGCAGTTGGTAGCGCCCTCGCTTCCCATGCCAAAGATCGCGGGATCGATCCCTGCGTCCTCCACAGGCGAATCTATTTTTTAATCCTTTATATTAAGTTCGCTTGCTTGCTTAGGACCGTGCAAATCTTTCGCTCGTTTTTTAACCCACTTCCCGTGATCCAATCAAGCTGACATTTTCCACACAGACTCGTTGTGTGACAATTAAGTTCGTAAAAAAAATCCAAAATTTTACACTGTTTAGGGAAAACAAATTAAATATTTAATTACCAATTGCTTAATGGTGGCAGACAATCATCTGACCCATAGGTGGCAGCCATCTCAAGCCAGAGGACGAGAGGACTCTAGCCGCCACGCATATAAAGGATTTATAGTGAAAAACTTTGTTTTTACGGGTTTACTTGTTTCTAACTTCGTGACTTTACCGAAATAACCAAAGAGTATGGATTCCTGCAGTCACGAAAGCTTTAAATCCAGATTAAAATACTTCCTGTTTAATGTTTGGGTTGGTATAGGGCAGGGGTCGGCAACCTACGGCTCCGGAGCCGCATGCGGCTCTTTACGGGCTGCTTCTTGACGATATGTACGTATGTACATAGATGCATTGCGGCTCTTGAAATACTGAATTTTGTACCGAATTGGAAAGAAATGGCTCTTCTTGTTATTTTGGTTGCCGACCCCTGGTATAGGGGAACAACAAGTAAACCCGTAAAAACAAAGTTTTTCACTATAAATCCTTTATATGCGTGGCGGCTAAAGTCCTCTCATCCTCTGGCTTGAGATGGCTGCCACCTATGCGTCAGATGATTGTCTGCCACCATTAAGCAATTGGTAATAAAATATTTAATTTGTTTTCCCTAAACAGTGTAAAATTTTGTATTTTTTTTTCATCAAAATTAATTGTCACACACAACGAGTCTGTTTGGAAAATGTCAGCTCGATTGGATCACGGGAAGTGGGTTAAAAAACGAGCGAAAGATTTGCACGGTCCTAAGCAAGCAAGCGAACTTAATATAAAGGATTTAAAAATATATTCGCCTGTGGAGGACGCGGGGATCGATCCCGCGACCTTTGGCATGGGAAGCGAGGGCGCTACCAACTGCGCTACTCCGCCACGGCCTGTGGAGGGGTTACGCTCTGGGCTCTTACACTGTGACGTTCAGCCAAAGCCATGAATGAGTTCTATTTGAATATATGTAAAATAAATTTTTTTGCCTAAAAAGTGTAACATTTTGGGAATTTTTTTTTCACGAACATTAATTGTCTCGCACAACGAGCCTGTGTGGAAAATGTCAGCTCGATTGGATCACGGGAAGGGGGTTAAAAAACGACCGAAAGATTTGCACGGTCGTAAGCAAGCAAGCAAGCACGCAAGCAAGCAAGCACGCAAGCAAGCAAGCGAACTTAATATAAAGGATTTAAAAAGGAGGGGGTGTTGAACAACGAACTGTGAACCAATCCCTAATTTTTGCCAAAATGCCTTTGAGTTTGCGGATTGCAGATTTGCTGATTGCAGCTATTTGGAAGATTGTAACTCCCGCAGTGGGCAAGGGTTTGCTGTACTCGCTATTAGCGAGTGGCACCTATGAAGGCCGACACGGCACAAGAGGGGGTGGGTGGCCAGCACCACGCCCAGCCGCCTTTGTCTCCTCAGTGCTGATGTTCACATTCTGCACCAGGTTACACATTTAACACCGGTGTTAAGATGTTCAAATAATAAAGACACCGTTTGCAAGGCATCATCAAGTCTGCATTAACCATACATCTTTGTGGCAAAACATGCAAAAAAACATGCTTTTCTAATAATGTATGCATTGTCCTTGGAAATGATTAGCCAACATCAGAGACAGCCTCCTTTTACATCACTTATTGCCAGAAAGGGTAAAGCCCACGGTCAAATTTGTTTGCATCCACAGCAATACCTTTAGTCTTGCTGAACTCGCCATCTGAGCATTGCACACATCTGTAGCAGCAGGAAGGCTGCCCCGCTTCGTATTCCTTCCTGCTTCCTTCTGGACAAGCAGCCACGCATAATGAATCCGGAGCCTGTAATGCATTGACAACAACGTTGCTCAATTAGATTTAGCACAATGTACGAATCGTACATTACAACAAATGAAATACAGGCAGACTTTGCTCAGCGCGACTTCATTATAGCGCTCTTTGTCCTGGATAATCTTTTTAACGAATTTTTAAAAATAAAAACATCTACAAAGTGCTTACGAGTGAGAACACAGCAGCAGTGGCTGAGAAAACGTCCTCTCCCCCATCATTCAGCCAATGAGAGCGACGCACGCTCTTGAGTCAACCAGACCTCGCTTGCCATACATCTATGATGTATGCTGATCTTCTTTCGAACCGTACGTAGGCATGACGATTCGTAGTGACGATTGCATGTTTTTATCGAATTGCTTAGCCAGGTGAGAACTCACGAGACCAGGTTAGTCTCAGGCTCCACCTAAAATAAACCTCACCACACAAATGTAGACTGAGGGCATCACTAAGATCACGGAGGTCCTGAAGCTGTTCTCTGAGTGCCCCTGATTGGGAGTGCAGCAGAAGCTCCAACCTCGTCTCCCACTGCTGCCTTGTAGGAGTGCAATAGAATGCACTTGTGAGTGCAGTACCATCTTTATTATTTTATTATTATTAGCGCTATTACTCATACCCCAATGAAGCCCTCATGTATTTCTCATACGAAAGAAATCACATTGTTGGGAACGCATACCCATGTGAAGTACCCGTCGAGGACGCTTGACAACGGAGTTGAGGCACACGTATATTTATTTAACAAGTTGCCAGTACAGGACAGCCCTAGAGGGGGTAGCGGCCCCCTCACCCGTATAACTCAGGGAATACCCCTAGCTATCCATAGCCTATCCCCTGAGTCCTCCACTAAGAGCTAGGGGAGGCTGTCTGGCCCGACACTGGTAATCGGGCTCGGTACCCGGAGTCCCAGAGCACTGGCTCTGGTTCACGGGACCACGCCACTGGCTCGAGCCTGATCCCGTGGGGCCCTGATAAGGGCGGCGATCAGGGGGAGTCCAGGGCTCTAGCTACGACGTCTTCCGACTTCTTAGCTTAACTATAACATAACTGACTAAGCCCATATAACGACCCCTTTTTATACCCAACCCTCCTTGAGGGGTGGGGCCCCGGGGGATCGTAACGCCGAACCAGCCCCCCCCCAGGGTGTCTGGCTCGGACGTCGCAGAGGGCATCTCCCTGTGCACACACGTAGCCCCGCCCACTGTGTTTCTTTCCCATAGGCTGCCATGCATAACGGCCCTCTCTCCAACATCCCTACATCACTCCCCCCCGCATAGCTCGCAGCCGTCCCGGCTGCAACAATTTCAACAAATGAATCTTTACCCCTTAACTCCCCCCGTGTGTGCCCCATTTTTTTTTCATTTAACAGAACGAGAATTGAACAACAACACTAACAATGCCCCTAAAGGGAGAACAAACCGACGCGCCCCCCCCCCGAATAAATACGAAATCCGTAGAGGCAAGATATGTACATTTCCCGGAACCCTCAGCGCACGCACAACACGCACACAAGACGCACACACACACACAGCCATAATACAACAACGCGCCAAGAGCGCCACACGAACGCAGCGTCCAGTAACAATAGCACACGAAAGTGTACCAGAAAACGCAAAAAAAAATAAAAAAAAATTTTCTTCTTATTTTCGTTTCGTTTTCACTTCTTGTTCGCGTTCCAGTGTTTTTATAAGAGTCTGCGCATTTTAGCGCGCGTCCTTACCGCAGGCCCGTCACAAGGGCCAACCTCAGATGGCGGACCATTCGGTGGCCGCTGTCCCATCCGAGGCGAGTCCGCAATTGGAGTGGCGGGACCCTCGGCATCCCCCGTGAGGGATGTGCGCGAGCCCGTCATTCCGGGAGAACCTGGGGGCGGGGCAACCGGCAAGACGTCAGGTGAGATCAACAGAGGCGGACCCTCCGGGTCGGTCGACCCCTCACATGCTTGGCCCTGCGCGTGTGGAGCAGAGTCCCGCACCGCAACGAAGGGTTTTAGTCTAGAGGGGTGAACGAACCACCGGCGCCTCCCCCACTTGATACGAACGCACTGCGGTCGCAAAACCTCGACCACCTCGACGGGGCCCCGCCATGGCCGTACCAGTTTCGAGGAGGTCGCAAGCGGTACCTGGGGACAGTGCAGCCATGCCCTGTCCCCTGGCTTCCACTGCAGCACGTGCGCGCGCGCGAGTCTGAGGCGCTCATTCGCCTTTTGGCGCATGCGGGAATTGAGCATGGCAGCATCCCGCGCCTCAGTTAGCTTTTGAAGGTTAAATTTAACGTGCTCGTCCAATTTAATTTTACCTAGAGGCGCGGGGATCTGCAGCTGTGCCCGAACAGGTGGGTCATGTTCGCGACCATACATGAGAAAGAAGGGTGAAAATCCCGTGGCAGCATGGGGGGCCAATCGATATGCTGCCAGGACCCCTTGAATTTGCAAGTCCCAATTGGTCTGTGACTCCGAAACCAGGTGCGACAACATAGACGTGATGGTACGATGCAGACGCTCGACCATCCCGTCAGTTTGTGGGTGATAGGGAGAGGTACGAATCTTCTTTGTACCTAGGAGATCACAGACTTGTTTGAGGAGGTTCCCGGAAAAATTTTTACC